GCAGCCAATCGATGTTCTCTCTCATGGATGTTTCTATCTCTGTCTCCCTTCCTCTCTCTCTAAAAAAAAAAAATCAATAAAAAAAAATATATTTTTTTAAAAATGAGCAAGAGAATTAAACTGACACTGCTTAAAAAAAACAAAACAAAACATAAAACACCCAAATATCTATAAGCATATGCAAAGGAGTTCAACTTTACTTGCAGCCATGGAAATGCAAATTAAACCCACAAGATTCACTCTTACACATCCATTACATATTAAAAAATTTAGAGAGCTTAATCTTAAGTGGTGGCCAGGTTAGGAACATACATCACTGATGAAAATACTAACTGGCACCAACACTGGGCAACAGGTAGTGTTATTTAATGAAGTTAACGATAAGCATATGCCTTGACCTATAATTTTCACTTTTACTTACATACTCTGATCATTTAGTTGCCTGTAAGCACCAGAATACATGTTCAAGAACGTTCATTTCTTCTTTATTCTTAGTTGACAAATGTTGGAAATACCCAATTCCCCTTAATGGCAGAACGGATCAATAGAAATATAGTCATACATGAAATATTATACAATAATAAAAATCAACAAACATGATATTAAGTGAAAAGTTAAATTACAAATATCGCATATAGCATGAATCTATTATATACAATTTAAAAATAGGCAAAACTAAACCGTATTGTTTACATATGCATACATAGGCAGTAAGACTGAAAATAAAAGCAAGGAAAATTATTACTGTCAAGGTCAATAGAGATGCCCTTTCTGTGCTTGAGTGGTAGTTATATGAATACTCACCTTACCACCATTTGCTAAATTGTACACATACCTTTTATATCATTTTCTATATATTACACTTCACAACAAAAACAAAATCAAATAAATTAAAAAACAAAAACCCAGAAGGTAAAAAGAACACAAAACTAGAAAAAAACACAAGAGACAAGAAACAGACATATATATTTATTTAATGCATGCTCAAAGTGGCATTTCAAATTCAATTCATTCAATAAATAGTGTTAAAGCTGGAAGGGAGGGATTGCCAGTTTGGCTGCAAAAGAATATTAAAACATCTCTGTGGCCCTGGCCAGTTTGGCTCAGCGGTTAGAGCATCGGCCTGCGGTCCAGAGAGACCCGGGTTTGGTTCCTGCTAAGGGCATGTACCTCGATTGTAGTTTGTCCCCGGCCCTGTTTGGGTTGTGTGGGTGGCAGCCACTAGATGTGTCCCTTTCACATCAATGTGTCTCTCTCTCTCTCTTCCTCTCTCTCCCTCCTATCTGAACAAAAAATGGAAAAATGTCCTTGGGTGAGGATAAAACAAAAAACAAAACCCATCTCTGTGGCCACTGATACTACAACAAAGTGGAGAAAATATTCACAACATATAATACAAGAGACAAATGGCTAACATCCTTAATATATTAAGAATGCCTATAAATTAATGTAAGAGGGGAGATATGGGCAGTCAATACACAGAATATAAAACACAAATGGTCAATATACATGAGAAATAACCAACTTTATAAGTAATTGGTAAAGTACAAAATAGAAAAAAATCAATATATTATATGCAAGTACATTTAAAATAATCACGATATAATTATTTGTACAATTATATATTAAACTTCTTAAATGATAAAATAATTACAAAATATAAAAATTAAAGAAATTGTTCCAGGTAAGGCTTCTTTTAGCTTTATCATTCTCAGTGTGTGGCATATACCCTCATAGTCTCAAGATGATTGCTGTGCCGCCAGACATTGCATCTATGTTCCAGCACTGGAGAAGGGAAGAATGGCAAAAGGAAAACAGTACGTGCCGGCTGAATCTGACGTGGCTCATTAGTAAAATACTTTTCCCAGAACTTTATTCTCTAGAATTACACTTAAATCTTACTGGCAAACTGTGCCATTCTCATGGACTTGAGGAGGACTATATTTTTTAAATGAGCACATTTCTGTTCCCAAACTAAATTGTGGTTCTGTTAATAAGCAAGAAGTGGAGCATACACTTTGCTGAGTCAACTAGTGGTGCCTGCTGTGTGAAGGAAGCACCTGGTACAATGCCTGGTACGTGGTACCTACTCTAATATTAGTTAAATAAAGGAATCAGAATTTTCATATAAATCTGCATAATCCCCAGAATGGCAGTGAAGGGGAATCAAGAGCCAAGCACCAGCTAGTCCAGATGGAACAAAAGGCTGGCTCCCTGAGAGGTTTAAGATGAAATGGATACAACTGTAGAATTCTGCCTAATGTCTTTGAATATGTATACCGAGAGCAGGTTCAGACAGAAAGTTTTAGGTAGTTAGTGATAAATATCTAAAACTGTGCTGCTTAACACGATAGCCACCAGCCACACATGGCTAGTTAAGTTTAAATTAAATAAAAAATACAAAAACTCAGTTCTGTGGTCACAATAGCCACATTTTGAATGCTCAGTAGCCACATGTGGCCAGTGGCTACCATATTTCATGGTGCTGGTATAGAGTATTTCCATCATTGCTGAAAGTTCTACTAGGTACTGCTTATCTAGGAGGAAAAAAAGGAAGCAGGGAAAGAGACCCGGCTGGTTTGGTTCAGTGGTTGGATTGTCGGCCTGTAGACCTAAGGGTGGCAGGTTCAATTCCCAGTCAAGGACCCATGCCTGGGTTGCACGTTTGATTCCCCAGCCCTGGTGGGGTCATGTGGCAGGCAACCAGTCAATGTGTCTCTCTTACATTGCTGTTTCTCTCTCTCTCTTCCTCTCTCCCTTCCACTCTATCTAAAATACCCTTGGTGAGGATTAATAACAGCAAAGAGAGAGAGAGAGAAAGAAAAATATCAACTTTCAGAAAAATAAGCCCTTGTGCAGGAAACAACAAAAAAAATCAAATGTATGGGTTTCAACTGTGAATAGCATTTTGCTAGTCATAATAATGTAACCATTGAATTCTGAATTACATAAATAGAAACTTGATTACCAGGATATAAGGATGAGAGATGAGGCTGTGTCTCATGAGAACCGGGGTCTATGTGAAAGAGAACTATACCTCATTTCCCAAGGTGGGGACTTAACAGATAATGCCTATGATTGAATAGAAATCTGTAAAGAGTAATGTGGACCTTTTGTTAAATGTGTAGAGATAAATAACAATATAATGAGCTTGAAGAACTATTTAATTCTTAAACGATGTGCAGATATAATTTGATTAAGATAATAAATGAAATCAAATGAACTGCAATGACAAAAACTCTGTTACAATGCCATCTCCCCCATCAAATGTCTTCTGGTCTTCAGATACGACACTTCTATACTCTGATCTTTAAGAAAGCATATCGTCTGAAGCTTTGCTATTGGCACTGAACTGTAGTCATTATATAGGCTTCTAGTCAAACTCTTATTGATTCATAAATTCTTAGACTAACCAATGTTTGATTTCAGACGCTTTGCAATGTTTTGGTATTTCGATCTTATACAGAATAAAGAGCAAGGACTCTAATACAATGTAAAATATGGTAATGATTTATAAATTATAATAGCCAACATTTATTGAGCACTTTCTACATGCAAGGCATGTGATAAGAACCTACCAATAAATTAGGGCATTAGTTTATTCTTCCACAGAAGAGAATGCAGGCCAGAAAGAAAAATAAATCTGCTCTTTCATCCCCAGAGGGCATAATTCCAGATTAGCATTAGAATGTCTATGTTTATCTTTATTTTATATAATTTTGTACTATATGGTTTTTAAAAAATGGGGCCTGTGTTATTTTCCAATTTAACACCATCTTTTAAAACACATAATGAAGAATAAGTCATAATTCTTCTAGAATGCAGCTGCCAAGTGAATGGTCTCATATTACTCATACATCTTTTGGTCGTAAAACCTGTGAGAATATACCAAATGAATAGGTATGATTAGTAAACATGACAAAATGATGTTCAATTTTATTTATGACCATATGAATCACAGAAGGGAGAGAGGCACAGATGTTTAAAATGATATGAGATTACTTCCTAACATTTAACTCAAAAAGAACCATTACCATATATTTAGTCTGACATTTCTATCAAGATATCGGTGACCCACTGGGTTTTTGCCTTAGTCCAGAGGAGTGGAGGGAGATTAAATCAGTGAAAATTATCTTCAAGTAGAAAATTTTCAGACAATTTGTACAAAGTCAATGTCTTACACTCTGACTTGCCTAACAGAGCATTATCTCCTTGTAATTTACTGATTTCCATTTTTATCTGATCTTGCTGCTCAGATAATGTACCCTTTTGTGTCTGCATTCACACTCTGCTTCTAAGAGCCACCTGAGTAAACAGGACATCAGTAACCCCGTCACATATGAGAGACACTATTCCTAGCCGCTGGCCTTACCTAGGGAGAGAGAGAGAATGAATATGATCTTGGCATACCTGCCCCGGTTTAGTAATAGAAAAATGATAGGGCCTAATCTTGTTCACTATGCCCTGTGGATAGCTTATCTAGTGTCACTATTAAATAGTTTCATCTATCACTTCATTTTATTACATTAAAAATTATTTTTGCCAACTTGATACTTTCTGGATCTTATTCCTCTGTGTCTTTCACACCAATAACCTATAACCTCTGTAGCACACCTGGTGAGCTGCATGGAGCGAACATACTCACCTCTGTGAAGATTGGACAAATGCTGTGAAGAAAACAATTATAGAAGGTTCCAAACCCCTCAAAATCATGCTTATTTTCTTCCACATTATTTTGCATAAATATGGTATTAAACAGGGTTGCAGTCAGTGAGAGATTTAACAGAAATCTGAACTCCATATGCTGGAAGTTAGGTAAAATTTTACTACATTTGAATAGCTCTAAGCAAGCAATTTGTTACCCTTTATCCTTTAGTGAAATTGATGAACAGGTGGTTTTCAGAAGATCACTCAGTATATTTAGCTTCTGAAATTTGAGCAACTCAGGATCTGATTGGCTGGTCTTGCCACATGATAATTCAGAGCCCAGACACCACGCTGGCTCTTGCCTGGGGTTCTCAGGAGGGGAGAGTTGGGAGAGGCTTTGCTGCTGAGGAAATTGATTTGATAGATTGGAGGTAAGGCCCATTTATGGCTTTTTCTGTAATATTCTTTCAGGGGACGTTCCACAACTTCCCTTGAAGTATTTTCCAAAGTTTTGGGTCATAACTGGGGAAATCAGTGATGGGAACGGTGACTAGGAAAGTCTGTAACCCCATCTGTGCTCAGGCCCTACTAATATCTGACATGTAGTGTGTGGTTAGAACCAAGTCTGATACTAACCAATTGATTGCTTAACTGAGTGGGCTCTCTTGTCTAACAACATTTTTTTCATTTTTTGCCTTTGATTTTTTTTTTTTCCTAAATATATTAGTACAGAAAAGGATCTATAGTCTACGTTCCTATATTTATCCTTTTCTACTGGGCTTCATTTGCCCCAAGAGTGGCAGTTTCGCTAGCTTAACAAAACCAGCCATAGCAGGGTATTGGTTTACATGGCAAATGTCTCTGGGCGAAGGGACAGCTGCTCCAAGTCATCATCCACTTTTATCAAGAGAGAGTCCCACTCTCTGGCGTCAAACTGCAAAGGCCTTGGGAGATCCTTTCGTTAGCGCCTGAGTCAGAAGCTCAGGCCAAAGGCCTACAGGCGTATGCGTCAGTCAGCGTGTCAACAAATTGTTCTTTTCCAGGTTTGACTGAGAGCTACAGAAGCGAAAGAGAAAAATCCATACAAGCCAATGGTGTTCGGGAGGAAAATAAACCCATTGCCTTGAGGTTTCTATTTTTCTTTCCAAATCTATTGGCAGACTTGTTTTTATTTGTTCTCATCAGAAGCATAAGATATACTGGGGACCGTATAATAGAGCAGAGCCCTACGGCAGCCCTCTTAGGGTTTCAGTGCTTTGGGGGAAACGTGACCACTTCTGCAGAGAGCTGGGCTGACCTTCCTTTCACTAAAATTTGTGTTTGAAAATGTTCCTGTCCAAGTATTTGGAAGTTTAAGTACTCTGTTCCTTTGAACCTAAACCCTCTTGACTCCCTTACCTCAACTTCATTTTACAACTTGAGCTAAGTTGACCACACATAGCTACAAGCAGCAACACCCAATGCCCACCATGTCCCTGTGGGCCTCAAGGGGAAGACGTTGGGAGGTTCAGTTTTTCAAATCTGCATTTACGTGTCTTTTCTCCCCTAGCCTGCAAACATAGATGTAGAATGGCTACGTTTTAAAGTCTGCTTTTATAATATTTGTAAGATGATTTCAGTCCTGGGGATGGATTCTAATGTATCTTCATTTGTCTGGAATATGAGAAGTTTGTAGGTGCCACTACTACTCAGAGAAAATGGCAGATGATGAAGAATATGAGGAGGTGGTGGAGGTAAGATTTAAAAAAACGGACTCTGACAGCAAAGTATTTTATGTAGCAACAGTCAAAGCGTGTAGGTGAGTTAATCATTTGAAAAATACATTGTCTATTGTAACTTGACAAAGAGTCATCATTAAAGCATGAGAAAGGAATATTTTATGTTCACTTTCACTATAATTATGTGAGATTTAAAACTAAAAAGAAATATCACCATTTCCCACTTTTGCTTTTCTTTAAACGATCAACCCCGCGCCTTCTCCAACCCCCCAAAATACAAAGTGTAGGGTAAAGGCAGATTTTGATTTGTCTTCTAACTAAAACGACCTTCTTCCCCACCTCCCAACCCCCATGACCAAAGGGACAGAGAAGATGGAGAAAAAGTTCTGGAAACTGAAATATTTCTCAGTGTCTGCATAGAAATAGAGAAAAAACTCTTTGCTTCAACCAACTGATTATCTACAGGGAGATATGAATTAAATGTTCGGAATAATATATATGAGATTATATGCATATATGAGACGTTATATACATGTATATGTGCACACACATACATATAAAAATAAACTCACCCTTGGTTGGTGTGGCTCAGTTGGTTGGAGCGTCGTCCTGTACACCAAAAGGTTTGAGTTTAATTCCCAGTCAGGGCACAGACCCAGTCGAGATGCAGATGGGAGTCAACCGATTGATTTCTCTCTCATGTCAATGTTTCTCTCTCTAAAAAAAAAAAAAAAAAAAAATCAATTAAAGAAAAAAATCTCACAATGCTCCCAAGAAAGAATTGGAGCCACGGACTCTCACCAACTCTGTTGTATTTGCCGAAGGGAACAAAACTAGCCTTTGCTTCCAGATTTTGAAAAAGAATAAAACCATAATGGCACCTTGAAACATTCCCTCAGATTTTTGGTGGATGTCTGACACTTTTCACAACGTCGTTTATTTTATATATATTTTATCTAGTTTTGTTTTTATCACGTTATGGCTTTTCTTCACCGGCTCCTGCCTTCCGTGGAATATAAAAGTGGCTGGTAATGACCAGCTGATGGTGATCTAAATACATGTATGAACTTGGAGGCAGTTTTGAAAATCTGTGCTTTCTAAAAAGAATAAAATTAATTTTAAGAGCTTCCTAGAATCTAATTTCAAATGAAAGTGCCAAAATTTGTCTTTGGAAGATTATGTTATGGGCCAGTGTATATTTAGATGAAGGAAATTTTATTTTATTCTAGAAATAAAATTGCTTTTATTACTGAAGAATATATATACACACACATATATACATACATATACACATATATACATATATGTATGTATATGTATATGGTTTTGTTTTGTTTTAAAACCCAGAATGAATCTCATACAGTATAATATACTCTCTGGCTTCAGTGCCAAAGGCCACAGCATCAATTATTACTAGTGTGCATTTTACATATGTCCCTAAGGGTCAAATAATCAGTATCAAACACTAACACAATTATAAATTAAATGGTCTTCCCTGTGATGGTAAAACCAGAAATACTTTTTAGCTTCCAACTTAAATATTCCTTGTATTTCTTAAAATAATTGTGTTCATCGGTCACTAGAAACCCTCCTTAGCGCTCGGCTTGATTGGTAACGAGATGTCATAAAAATGGAGGGGGCTATTTTTAGGCATCTTGTCCTTGCCATTTTGTTCCCATTACTGCTCTGGGTCTGACCAGCAGGTGCTGAACGAATAGACTTCCTGCCAGAGAGTGTTGAACCAAGGTCTCTCTGACCTCAAAAAAGATGACATGAGAATGGGGTAGGGGCAGATTTGAGAAAATAGGGAAGAGTTCACAAAACAGAGAGGAATTCACTTTTAAGATACATCTCCTAGGGATCTTGGACATCTAAATAAAATTATACTTTCACTTCTACTAAAATTTAAATAAACTTGGAAAGAAAGGAAAAGAAGCAACCCATGTACTGTCTAACTAGTGGCAAAGCTCTTTTTAAAAAGTGAGACTTGGCATATAAGTTAATGCCAACCATTTGGATAATGTTGCCTTTCTTATAAGCTTATGTCTACGATACATTTACCTATCATGAGAGCCCAGCAAAGTTAAAATTGAATGGCTACCAAAGAGTGGCTTTCACTTGGATGCCAGTAAAATCTAAAACAGTTATGAATCATTTATTTAAGTTTCATATTTCTTCTCAAGTCACTGAGTTTTGTGTGGCCAGAGGTCCATGTGGACCAGCATCAAACAGTATTTCCCAAAGTGTCCAAATGCTATCTCCCATGTGAGGAAGGCACAAGCTTGGAAAAGACATTCTGTTCCTGTAGGAGCTGGTGATTTCTGATTGCATTGTGTGAGGACACAGAGATGGACTTATGAATATGTTTTTATTGATTTTTTTTTTTGAGAGAGAGAGAGAGTGGAACGGAGAGGGATAGAAACATCAATGTGAGAAACATCGATTAGCTGCCTCCTGCACGCCCCCTACTGGGGATCGAGCCCACAACGCACGTGCCCTGACTGGGAATACAACGGGGACCTCTCAGTCCATGGGACACGCTCAATCCACTGAGCCACACCAGACGGGCAACACAGAGATAGAATTAGATTTCAAATGTAAAAATTGGTAAAGGAGCAAAGAAAGTGCAAGAGTGAGGGACATTAGGCAAGGTTTGTACTAATTCTACTGCAAGTGAAATAGAGCATGTAGCCTGTTGACAATGGTTAAATAATCAAGGGCAAGAGAAGAGGCCACTGAGGGAGATTTTGCATTCTGTGTTTTTCCATGTCATCGGGTATGTGTTTTGGTGGCAGAGAAAAGAAAAATGAAGCAAAAAATCTTAGACATTTTTTTTTTTGAGTGAGAAAATGAGCCAAGTGCTTCATTTGTCTCCCCCTCCATGTGTGCCTTGGCCGAAACCAGTCCTCCTGTTCACCCGATGGAGCTGGGGGCAGGATTCCTCTCTCCTTACGCATCTGCAACAAAATGTCAGCCAGTTCCTATCACGTCTATTTATTGCTGGTGATGTCAAGAAGCAGAACAAAAGCAGATTTGATTTCAGGTCCAGCCTGTAGGAATCTCAGAACCATTTAGTGGCAAATTGTTGCCTAACTCCCACATTTTGTGATGAGGAATGTTCTCATTTTTTCCCTTCACTCCTGGGCATTTGTAAATTTTTATTTTAACACCCCTTTTAGGATTATCACACTATTGGAAAGGATTTACCCATCATTGCAGAAGAAGCTCTTATTACTTAGCAATCAAGGTAGTATAGGGATAAGTGAGATGTGAAGAGGCCTCTGGATATATTATTTCCATGATACTGTCCATTTAAAAATTTTATTCACACTGAGGTTTCTGTTTTGTTTTATTGTTAGTCAGCCAACAATGAGTTTTATCACAGTTTTTCTCTGCCCAACCCATATACTTAAATTATTATGATATCCTTTTTTTTTAAATTTATTTATTTTTAATCCTCACCCGAGGACATTTTTCCAGTTTTTGTTCAGATAGAGGAAGAGAGAGAGAGAAACATCGATGTGAAAGGGACACATCGAGTGGTTGCCACCCGCACGTCCCAACCAGGGCTGGGACAAACTGCATCCAAGGTACATGCCCTTAGCGGGAACTGAACCCGGGTTTCTCTGAACCGCAGGTTGACGCTCTAACCACTGAGCCAAACTGGCCAGGCATTATATTCTTTTCTAAGCAAATTCTATTTGGGTACCAGAAGAAAAAAGTTTTAAGCAACATAGCATCCTGTGACACCTTTCAAATCACTCTGCATCTCCTTGTCCAGTCTGATGGCATTCACTTTAGCTGCCCGCAAGTTTCACAGATTTAAAATGGGGTCCAAAATATGAACAGACTTCCCCTTCTACTTCCTTCCATACGTAGAGCAAATCAGGTGGGCTAGTGGAATAATCCAGGTGGTTCAGCTGAGGCAGAGGAGAGGTGGTTTCTGCTTTGGTTCTCATGGCGATACCTTTGTGCTCTATTTGTAGTACTACACAGAGGAGACAGTCTACGAGGAGGTGCCGGGTGAGGTAAGACCCAGCCCACACCTGCATGAACTGTGTGCTCAATAAAGCAGGAAGAACCTCTTCTCTCTCACACTCCCAGGGCGACAGGGCTGGTAAAAAGGACAACCTAAGGGGGAATCACTTACCTATGTGTGCTTAGCAGCTGGTGGTATAAGAATATTACTTGTTTGACAGGTTTTACCTCCGTTTTTGCTATTCAACATATCCAACGTGCTAGGGGATGGTTTCCCCCATTGTTCATGTGGTATTTTTGGTGAAGGTGATGCTAATTAGAGTAATGTCAGTGCTTAGCACCACTCTGACTGCAGCAAAGGGATGGCCTTGGACTTGTGATTTGCATAGGGACCAGCAGTTGTATTGTGTAGAGGTGTAACTTGTGGGGCACCAACTCTGCCAGTAGGGATGGTGCCCCCCACCCTTTGTCCTTGACAGTGCCATAAAATGCTACTTAGACTCTAGCACATTAGGAATTCTGAGAAAGCCATTTCCCATAAATATCCCAAATTGGAACATTGTCTTCCCCAAGGTGAAACACCTCACTCATGCCTCATTTTCTGCATGGAGCATTACTCTTGAGCATGACAAACCATGATATGGTTGGCTAACTCCAAAGCCTACACAGCGATCTTGTGACTGCTTGGAAACTAACATCTGTAGATGCTGTAAATTGGTTAATTTCTCAAGGTCAACCACACATCATTAATAATGAGCAGAAAGCAGCCCATTAGCAATGGTCTGACAGCCCTAAGGGAAGTTGTCTTAGATGGACAATTTCTTTATTGCTTAGGTTTCTCTTCTCAAAATTGATGCCAGAATTCTTCCTGTAATACAGGTGGTATTAGCTGTAAAGAAAATTATACTATGAGATGGATTGAAGACTTGGCTGCATATCTTCTTTTCTTACATACAGTATTTTTAACCTTGGACTAGACCCAAACTTTGGGCCTTAGTTTCTTCCACTACAGCTTTTTGAAAGAAACAGTAATTTCCCACCTACCACACACATAAGGCTGTTGTGAGGATAATTACCCCATTATGTTGTCATCGTTATTCCTGTTCACCTAAGCATTTATTAGTACAAATGTCATTCCAGTTCACATTAAATAACTGACAGCCAAGAGAATGGTAATCACTTGTAATATTGGTGTGATTCATCTTAAAATAAAGTTCATTATTCTTTGTCTCATACTACAGGAGAGGAAGCTTAAATACATGCAGAATAAGCAACCAACTTTTCCTTAGACTTACTCAAAAGTTAATATTAAAGTCAAGAATTTGAGCTTTATTTGATTGTCTTAATCTTTTGTTCTCTGATCCCAAGTTTGCTTTTACTTGACTCAGTCAATTTAAAAAGATTTTTAAATGTTTAAGAAGATTTTACTTCTGTTTTTTATCCTACCTTAAAGTGCTTGAGTTCCCTTCTGCAAGTGGAATTTTAAGGCCATGTTGTAAATTAATAAGGCATAACGGTTCTACTCCATGCAATCTTGAGCAACCAGCCTTATGTATGTAACATAATGTGCTTTCAGCTGGATACAGTGTGTGATTTTCTGCTTTGGCCTGTTTTAGTTATGGAGAAATAATGCCAGGAATATAGGTGCGACTTAAAGTCAGAACACTACGATCGAGCCTATCACAGTTTTTACTGTTATAACAATGTCAAACTGCATGTCAAATTTTCAGACAATAACAGAAATCTATGAAACAACAACAACAAGGACAACAACATCTGACCATGAGCAATCACGACCTTCCAGACCAGCGCTGGCCCAGCCAGAACCCGCAAAGCCGGTGGAGAGGAAGAAGGTTGTCAAGAAGAAAGTGGACTCTTCGAAGTTCATGACCCCCTACATTGCACATAGCCAGAAAATGCAGGATCTTTTTAGCATAGTAAGTTTCAGCCTGACTTCTGCTAATCTGGTTTTGTTATGGAAAAATCACTCTTTTGGATTTTGTTCTCAGCCAACCCTGTTTTGGATGCTGGCTGGATTTTGTTTCTCAATCTTGTGTGAGACAAAATTATTTTGCAGAAATATATGCTCTTGTGAGTCTTGAGTTTTCCTTTCCTGTAATGTATTTGTGTCATGAAGCATCAGGAAAAGCATCCTTGCTGAAATTATTCCTGCAAAATAAGCATCAAGCCATTTATAAAGCATTCACTGGTATTTAACCACAATTAGTTAGCCAATCTAGAATAATGAAATCATAAATATAGATTTAGTTGACATCAGTTCATGGAAGCTAAATAGCATCTATTTAAACTATATCTGAGCAGGATGCCTCTTAAGTAGATCTCTAAGAGGTGGATGGTGAAGAACACGTAGCTTAGAAAACCAGGCTCAGACTAAGAAATTGAGGATCGAAATGTTTGTATGCTAGAACAATAGTTTTGAACTGTGGCTGCACATTTGAATCCCCTGGGAGCTTTAAAACTACTAATGCCTGGGCCATTCTGGTTTAATCAATGTGGTTATGGGACCAGTGTAGCAGGATTTTTAAAACCTGCTCAGGTGATTTTAAGGTGTGGTCCAGGTTAGGAATCACTGCTCTTGATGTCCTTGGTCTTTAAAGTTCTGTAAGTTACATTGATTGGTAGCAGATTCAGACCTTTTGAATGGATCTAATGTGTTGATTTTCCAGGGAACTGAGGTCTCACTAGGTAGCCTGATTACATGTCCTCTAGAGGCTTGAAATAAATGTAAAGTATCTCAGGGAACATTGGATTATATAGGACTAATGCTTATATCAAAAGCATCCTGTTGTGGTTGGCCAATAAATATTTACTTTTGGTTGAGTACCAGCTCTTGAGGACTATTTGATAAATTACTAGTTCAGATTCTTCAATGATCTAAAACTTAGACTTCTAAGACTTAGATTTCTAAAAACAAGATCATCGTGCCTCTTTTATGACTGCAGTATTCAGTAAAAATTGAAATTATTTTTGTCAACTTATTGCTATAAAATCTCATTAATTCAGACACAAATATCCTAGAATTTCTGGTAGGCTGAGCAGAATGTTGGCAAAGGTTTTTAATATTTTAAAAGTGGTTAGTGACTAAATCAATAATATAATTTAGATCATTGACTACTCCACTCTTGTAGCATGAATAATGATAAATTATGCACATTATATTTAAGGCAAGAACTCATTGCATATTTAGCAGAAATAATAAAATTGCATTTCTTTTCAAAATACTCCATAATTTAGACTTTCCATTAATTCAGGTGGTGTGTCAGTTATCTAAATCACTGAGATTTAGCTGCAACTTCTGAATTGAATATTTTTGCATTGTATCAGCAATTAAATCTTTTCACATTTGGTTCAATTTCTACATTTATTTTCCAAAATTACTGCAGTTCAAGCTTTTTATGTGTACCCTCAGACAATAAAAACACTGAGAGAATCATTTTAGGGTATTATCAAGACAATAGTCTGTAATACCATTTCTACTGTCTCTATTATATACCCATGTTTAGGAAGAGCAATTAACAAATCTATTTTAGCGCTTGTTTGAGAATCAGGGTAGGGTACAGAAAATGTTGTTACAACTGATAATTGTTATAACTTGCCGTATTTTTTTTTATCAGATGGGAATGAGTGCATTGTCTAAAATCTCTGCTGCTGCATTATAAGGCTTTAGGCTAATATCTTACATTCTTTTCAGAATAAATACAAGGAGAACTATGAGAAAGCAAAAGGACAGCCATCCACCATCACAACTGATACCCCAGAACTTCGCAGAATCAAGAAAGTACAAGACCAACTCAGTGAGGTGGGCTGCATGGCTGAAATAAAACACAGACACATATCAAAAATGTGCCTACCACTGGGAATTGGCTTTAAATAGGTGTGGAGAGAGTACGGGGTTGAATTACTGTGAGCCAGTGCAGAAATCTAGAGGAAGCATTGGCCACAGATGATGTTGCTCTACATGTGAACCCAGAGAGGGTTCTAAAAGCTTGGCTTAGAGAGTCAGCTTAAGAGGTGATGATGTGCTTTGGAAGTTCCAACTCACTGTGGTCCCCCCTACTGGAGCACAGGGAGGCTGAAATTCGGCCAGGAAAGCAGATAAGCAGTAAATATAGGTGCTCTGCAGACCTTCGAAGATCACAGTGTTCTACCAGAAATCAAGAAACTTTGCTTTGTGATGCAGACATAGAGCGACTGGGTCCTCCTTGGTTATAAGGTATTCTTGAACATACTCACTTGGTCATGCCTGCCATGAATTCTAACTGTGCATTATTTCTGCAGGTTAAGTATCGAATGGATGGTGATGTTGCTAAAACTATCTGTCATGTAGATGAAAAAGCAAAGGACATTGAACATGCAAAGAAAGTGTCGCAGCAAGTCAGTAAGGTAAGGTCACGGTATGAATGGCTGAATACAAAATAGAGTGCATCACCTCTTCCTGGCCTTAGAGGAGAACGCCAGACAGGCCTGATTCTGCCCACCAGTCCCACTGAATCCCAGGCATTGTGAGCTCTACCTGCACACGTGTGTCAGGAGGCTGTGTGAATGATGGAAGTGGCCTGCCGGAGCATGTGGATTGGAGAACCTGTGCCACTCAACTGCACGCAGGCACTGCACAGAACGCAGTCCCAGTGTCGTCTGGGTCTCTTATTTTGGCGGCAGGGAGCGGGGGGGGGGTCTCTTATTTTTTAAAGAAGCTGGAAGCTGAAGTTTTATGATAAATCTCCATATTTCAAATATAGGGAACTAAGTCAAAAGAAACACGTATACTATCTAAATTCAGCAACCTTTGCAAGGAATCTATAGAGAATCAGAATCATGACTGAGTAAAAAATTAGATTTTTCAAGGAAAAGCTTACTAATGTGAGAAAGGTATTACGGGATGTCGACATGGTCAACATTTTCCTGACGGATGCTGGAAACACATGGGCATGTTGGCAGCCTTTGTGCAAGGACACCTAGAGTGCGAATAGCTCTTCACACTGCTCTCCTTTGTTCTCGAAGTCCTCGTGCCATGGGGAGACATCCAGCCCTCTGCTCTTCCTGTCTAGGTTTTATACAAGCAGAACTGGGAAGACACCAAGGATAAGTACCTGCTTCCCCCTGATGCCCCTGAACTTGTCCATGCCATTAAGAACACAGCCTTGTTCAGTAAGGTAAGGGCCTCTTCTTTTCACCACCTCTATCTTCCTGTTTTCCTACCCTGTCATTTAGAGGAATACTCACTAAACTTTCATAACCTAAAATATGGTTCTCCGATATTTTTTGTGAGTGGCCTTGAGATCTGTGGGGCTGGCTGCAGGGATAGGGCTCGTCAGGGAGGAACTGAGAGAAAGCTCTGGGCAGGGTAGAGGAGAGGGTCCTATAAGGACCCGAGCAACCTGGGGCAAGGCTGTGGGGGGAGAACAAAGATGCTCTTGAGGTCCAGCTCTGGAGACCCACAAAGTACATTTTTAGTTCTTCTGTAGACCTTGTGCTACACTTTGGATATTCCTGGCTATCACTCTTACTAAGGGTCTATTTCATGACAGAAACTGCGCTAAGTAGCTTCCTGGCTCCTTACACTTGCATTAGTACTTGTTGCAGGAGGCAGGTAAAGTCACAGAGAGGAGATGAAACAGAATTAGACACATCTGCCCTTCTGTAAGTAAGATTAGTCAGGAGAGTCTATTAATAAATATGACCTGGATTGGATGGAAAGAGGGAGGTTACCGGTGAGTTCCATTTTCCTTGGCTCTCATCTTGCCCTTGGTCCTTTATGCCATTGATGGATGAATTGAAAATTATGTGTTTCATGGAAGTGTGATTTCATTTTCTCACAACTTTTCACTCTTTTCTGATTTAGAAACTGTACACTGAAGACTGGGATGCAGACAAAAATTTGTTCTATCCATATAATGACAGCCCGGAGCTGAGGAGGGTTGCCCAAGCCCAGAAAGCTCTCAGTGACGTAAGTGATCTGCAATCAGCACCAATTGTAGTGTGGAGTCAAGTGCCTCGAATGACATCATCTGGCCAGATGTTCATTGCAGTTCTGTAAAACCCACTAAATGCCATTACTGCAGAGGACTACGTCTAGAATCATCATAATTCTTGATGTCTAATTTAAGTTAGATTTTATCATTTATATTAGATAAAATTTAGTCCAATCCCCTTTTATTACAGGTGAGGAACCCGAGTCTAAGGCCACATAAGTAGTGGTAGAGCCCAGACTAGAAGCGTGGTCTCGTGGATCCGAAGGCCAATGCTCTTCTCACTACAGCGTGCTCCCTTCTGTCCCCTTGGCTGGAGCTGACGTTTTTCTGTACAATAGAGGAGCATTTTTGAAACCTATTGGAATCATAGCCACCTTCCCACGTTTATTAAGTAAATAATATATTGGAAGGTTTTCATTTGCTGTCCTAATCATGAAGTCAGAATTGTGGTGCGTCCTCGTTTTCCTGCACGGAGGAACTGACTGACATTCTTGTTCAAATGTGTGTATAGTTACCCCACGAGGACTTCTTGCCACCAGAGCACATAGAGGATATTATAGATTTAGCAAAAAATCAGCGGTCCCACTGGCTAGAAAACTGTTTACTAGAGGAACTTAAAAGCCCTCACAGAGTCCTTAGGGGTTAAAATAGCAGCAGCAGCAGCCTCCGCCTTGGGTGGGCCCAGCACTTCCCCTTGTTTGGAGTTACTTATTTCTTGGCCCCTGGATTTGCTAGAGGCCATGTGGAAAATCCAAAGCCTTTAGGAGAGCACTCTGTTATAAAATGGCAAGTTATTTTTCAATTAGTTGTCAGCTAGATCTCTGAAACCTCTAACATTCAATATGAACTTAACTGGCCAGTTGGCATCTTAAAACTTACTGGGATTGACCTCCAATGGATCTTGCCCTGAACTAAAATTATACATACTCATTTGGTGGTGTATCTAACTTCTGAGGTCTAATTTTTATTGCCTCTCACTGATATCACCTGCAAATTTAGTGGACATGTTTTCTATTATGGACTGCATGCAGTTGGTTAAAATATAGCAGATACATTCCTATCCTTGTATAGGGTAAACTAGGAACTAAAGAAGGTGTAACACAATTTTAAGGCCATCTAGTGTGCCAATTTTAATGTGTGGGGGCTCCTGCTTTTCTTTTAAGATTAACTTTTTTGTTCTGTACCTCATGAATACGTAATATTATGTGATCTTTACTAAGTGATCAATAATTAGTTATTGGAAGTTCGATATGCATGCATACCTGGCAGGACAGAAAAGTTCAACAAGAAGTTTTCATCCTTTCCTTTGAATATCTATAACCCAGCAGGTCAGAAGAAAGTGTTATATAATGAACCATTAGAAAAAAGTGGGGGAAAACCAAACCCTACAATCTAATACTTGCTAAGAAAAAGATGAGACCCATGTGAGTAATCAGAGAAGGCAATGTGAAGGTGGAGATGCAGAGAGAATGGGCAGTGAACAGGAATGGCATTTCAAGTAGAGAGCTCTTGAACAAAGGGACAGTGGTGAAATGAGTCTGGGACTTTAGGGGACAAAGGAAGTGAATAGTGGGGATGCCAATTTATGAGGGCACTTATAAGAAACTGGCAGCAGGACCTTGAAAATCAGACAAAATTGCTTTGACAAGATATGATCGTCAGTAAGACACATCATAAGATTTTTCAAAAATCTTATTACATGATAAAGTAGAATCAGGAGAAATTTTGATGGACAATATGATAGGTTGGGACGAGGCAAAGTCATAGATTGTAGAAGACTATTTTAGTACTATAGATGGATCAGAGGGATGATAGGGACAAAGAAGAGGAAAAAAATCTGAATGAAATAAGTATTTAGAAAGTGTTAATGATATTGAATATTGGAGATAAAAGAAAAAAAGGAGCCACAGATGAATTTATAACCAAGACTGGCAGTCTGTGTGGTAAGGGTATAACCGGTAAAGATGCATTAATGAAAGAGAAATCGAGTCGAGATAATGGACGGAACATTCAGATCAAGACATCCTCTGGATATTAGAAATGTAGTACTATTGCATAAATGTGAGATGACAAGAGATTGATATTTGAGAGTCATCAGAATGTAAAGTGATAACTGAAGATATAACAATATGGGAGGGAGGCAAAACAGTGTATACATACCCAAGGGTTGAGTTGTGAAGGACACCATGCCGAGGAAAAGAGCCAGTAAAAGAAGGAGGGAACAGATGGTCGGAGAAGTTGAAGGGGAACCAGGAAATGCATGTCATGTTAGCCTAAGGAGAGGTTTGCAGGAAGACACTTCATCTCCTAATGTCTCCCTTTACCTGTAAAGTGGAGCGATGGAGGGGTGCACTCTAGTGCTATGGACTTTGAGCAATTAAAGTTGACCGCATTATTTTGAGATATCTCATTAGAAGACATAATGAAGAAGAATTATAATAATGAAGTAAAATCTTCCTATCCTTGCTCAGAAAGACTTGGCAGTTAAGACATGCTTTTATTTTATTTATTTATTTTTAAAAAATTTTTTTTCTTTATTGATTTTGAGAGAGAGAGGAAGGGAGAGGGAGAGAGATAGAAACATCGATGAGAGAGAACATCGATTGGCCGCCTCCTGCATGCCCCCCACTGGGGATCGGGCCCACAACCTGGGCATGTGCCCTGACCGGGAATCAAACCTGCGACCTCTTGGTGCATGGGTCGACGCTCAGCCACTGAGCCACACCGGTTGGGCAAGATATGCTTTTATTTTATTGCAGACCAAATATGCATGAAGTATCACATTACTGACGTGCCTATTAATACTGCTGTCAACATCATGAACTTTTAGTTATCGGGCACCAAGCAAGCTGTTGTTCACAGAAGGTACCACTGGATAGTCATGTAGATTTCAAGCCAAGGATTTGGGTTCAGAGGCTCCCTCTCCCTCTCCTGTACCTTCTTCCAGTGTTTCTCTTAACCTTAATTATCATGTTTTCTTTATTTTATAAATAGAGACCAAAGACTTTGCAAACACTGAGAGAATCCTTCAGCTGATTCACAGCACAGGATTTTAAACAGACAGAATTCTGACCAAGGTTCCTGAGAAATTAGAATTTCTAGATCTGATTTTTCTGAAAGGTCTTAACAGGATGTCATACTTAATAAACATTTCTCCTGGGAGAATGTTGCTTTCTCCTTAAGGACTTATCCAGCCATGGAAAATACAGGTTGCCCTATGTCTAAAATAGGTCTTCACTCATTTAAAGGAAATTAAGCAAGGAATACATTTTAAAATATGTCTTTTGTGTCTTAATTAATTTAATGTTCATGAAAGCTTTTGTTATAGGTACTGGATAGACATTATTAGAATGAGATAGACTTAGACTTGGTTAAAACATTAAGAGAAGAATTGAGACCTTGGAACCCTATACAATCTCTTTACTTTATAAATAAGATTACTGCCACATGAAAGGAGAAATAATCTGTAGAAGTCTCACAGCTGAGTGGATGAGCTGGGAGGGTGATTCTCCTCTATGGACTTGCCCCGATGGCCTCAGTGTATAAACCACACATTCAGAAACCAGTCATTGAACCCTCACTCTAGTCAGGTGCTATGCAGGCCACAAAGTTTCCCAGATGAGAAGTTATGTTCTCTGGATCCCAGAGCTCACAGTCTAAGGAGGGACAGACCAGTTACAGTGCCATCTGATAATGCCATTAAAGGAGGTAAGGACTAAGTTGAGTGAGAACCCCAGAGAATATCATGGAGTCGAGGAGCGCACAGGAGGGAAAATTGTTCTTGTCCTGAGACCTGGAGAACAAGTAACTGTTTACAGGCAGATGGGAAGAAGGTGGAACTGGGGTTTTCCAGGGAAAGGAGACAGCATGTGTGAGGTCCAGAGACATAAGAGGGCTTCATGTGTCTGGGGATCTATGCATATTCTGCATTGTTGGAGACAGGGGTCAAAATTGGTGGAAGAAAAAGCCAGAGAAGTTAGTAGTGAAAAAAAGGAGAGAGCAAAAGTAAGGGGCAGGGGGATGCATGATTAATGGACAGAATACTTTTTTTAAGGTGAAAGAGGTCTTTTATAGGCTGAAGGAAAGGAGCTAATGAAGAGGGAGAGTTTGAAGTTGTAGGAAAGAAGAGAGGTGACTGATAGAGTTAGGTACAAAGAGCTGCTGGAGGGAACAGTACTCTGAGTGCTGGGCTCATGTCCTGACAAGGACACTTCTCCTCTGAGTCATGCAGGGGGTGGGAGAGGTAGTGATGAGTATAAAGATAAGTGTGTGGGCTTCCTTTACTCTATCAAAGAGGAAGCTGAGGGTAAGATAGAGCTGATTAGAGTTTAAGGACAGGTTGTAGCTTTAGACTAGCCCTTGGGAGTAGAGACTGACCCAAGGCACATAATGGGATATTTAAGCTTCAATAAAGGCAAAGTGGCAATTGGATAAATTCAGAGTCTTGGGCACAGAGCCCCAAGCAAGCTGTTGTTCACAGAACATATCATTGAGTAGGCATTTAGATTTCAAGCTAAGGACTTGGGTTCGGAATCAGGGTCCCTCTCCCTCCTCTGTGCTTTCTTCCTGCAAAACTTTTAACTTTGTTTATCATGTTATCACTACCCAATCCATGGAGTTGTGTGATTTTCTTCAGTAGCACTCAACATCCTGATGTAAGAAGTGTGTGGTTAAGTTGGTCCAGACCTGGCAGTTGGTTAATGAGTGTGATGGAAAGACAAGAGGTTGAAAGTTGAGGATGCTGCTTAAGAGAAAAATTTTAGTAGCAGATTATGATGTGGAGTCAAATGGAAGGACACAGATCCAGGGCCAATAATCTTAGAGGGGAGAAAAAACTCAAAGAGAGAAATCACCAGCAATGCTGGGGGGAAGGGCATTTAACATCTACAAGGATAAACTATGGTTATGTGGAACACTAAAGTTTAAGACTTCGGGTAAAGATAAAAGCACAGGCTTTAAAAAATGCCAATAAATGGAACATGAGAAATGGAATAATCATCTATGGCTCATTTACATCCCTTTCATTTGGTCAGATTGCCTACAAAAAAGGTCTCGCTGAACAGCAAATGAAATTCACACCTCTGGCAGATCCTCCAGATATTGAATTTGCCAAGAAAGTGACAGATCAAGTGAGCAAGGTAAGTAAACAGGACTAGAACACTGTCTTCCTTGAAAACTCTGCTTAATAATCTCAACCCTCCCCCCAGCTTGGTAGCTCAGTTGGTTGGAGTGGTGTCCCAATAGGCCAAGGTCAGGGTGCATACAAGAAGCAACCAATAAATGCATGGATAAGTGGAAGAACAACTCTCTCTCTCTCTCTCTCTCTCTCTCTCTCTCTCTCTCTCTCCCCCCACCCCCTTCTTTTCTCTCTAAAATCAACATATAAAATTTAAAAAAGAAACAAAACTCAACCCTCAGAAAAAATAACTAAGGTGAAAAGACACAAGGTAAACACTGAGTATTTTTGTATATGATGCTAAAAATGCTAAAGTAACAGCAATACATCCATGGACATCATAGAACTGTGTTAAATGTTCAGCCCGCTTAATTGTTCAGCCAGCTTAATGTACTCAGTGATTGATAAATATGAAAGTTGCATTTTGAAAACAGAACCCATGTCTTAATATCCTTTGACATTTAACGTATGGTATTAATACCAACAGAGAACCAAGTACCCAAACAGAATCTGTTTTAATTCAGTGTGAAGATCCCATTTACTTTTATGCTCTCAGTCAGACTGGGAGAAAATAAGAATATGTGAGTGGTCTTTCAGACACAGCTTAGATTGACAGCCATGGGGAAGGTACCTCCTAACTTTTAAAGCCCTGGCGAACAGCCTGGTCTGCCTATATTTAGGCTGGTAAACTATCTCTGAGGAATGCAGAGAGACAGATGTTCAGAGGATGAACAGACCCATATTAAATTCCTTTTAAAAAATTGGTCCAAATCAGGCACTTTCTCCTAGGATACTGCTGCTTTTAAAGAAACCCTATTCTTTGTCCTCTGTAGAGTTGAGTCTCAGTATGGTCTTAAATTTTGATGGAACCTTAAGATTTCTATCTTGTTCAAGTTTTTCTTTTTTCTTTTTTTTTTGAAAAGATATCTCCAGTAAAGAAGAAGAAAATGTTATGGATAATGAAGTCTATTTAATGATTTTTTTAGTGTCTGATATTGAAGCTTACCTACCTAACTGTATTACCAAGAGCTCCTTGGATGAAAGATCTAGCAAGTAGAGTAAACTTTCACGAATAGGAATACCATGAACCTGACATTTTACTCAGGACTAAGCAGAAGTTAACTTTAGAACTGTACATAAAAAGATGGCCTACTGAAAGTGTCGGTATTGTAAATAAGATAGGGGGAGCAAGGACTGTTTATCTTATTGGAAGGAAACAAAAAAGCTGTTTTCAAATAGTCATTTAGAAAGAAAAATAAATCTATTTAAAAATTTTATTTAGCCCTGGCCGGTTTGGCGCAGCGGTTGAAGCGTCGGCCTGCGGTACAGAGAGACCCGGGTTCAGTTCCCGCTAAGGGCACGTACCTCGGTTGCAGTTTGTCCCCGGCCCTGGTTGGTCGTGCGGGTGGCAGCCGCTCGATGTGTCCTTTCACGTCGATGGTTCTCTCTCTCTCTCTTCCTCTCTCTCCCTCCTGCTCTATCTGAACAAAAAATGTCCTCGGGTGAGGATAAAAAAAAAAAAAATTATTTAAAGCATATTTTATTTTATTTTTTAATTAATTTGTTTTTGTTACAGATGTTTTTCCTTTTTTCCTTATTGACACCATCTTCCCCATTCACCCCCCAACCCCATCCCCAGCTTTGTTGTCTATGTCCATTGGTCATGCATATAAGTTCTGTGGTTTATCTCTTTCCCCCTCAATGCCCCCTCCTCTGAGGTCGGTATCCCACCTCTATGTCTCTGGGTCAATTTAGTTTGTCAGTTTGTTTAGTTCATTATATTCCACAAATAAGTGAGATGATGTGATATTTGTCTTTCTCTGCTTGGCTTGTTTCGCTTAGCATAATACTCTCCAGTTCCTTCCATGCCATCTCAAAGGATAAGAGATCTTTCTTTCTTACAGCTGCATAGTATTCCATTGTGTACATGTACCACAGCTTTTAAATTCACTCATCTACTGATGGACACTTGGGTTTTTCCAGATCTTAGCTATTGTAAATGGTGCTGCTATGAATATAGGGGTACATATATTCTTTCTGATTGGTGTTTCAGGTTTCTTAGGGTATATTCCTAGAAGTGGAATCACTGGGTCAAATGGCAGTTTAATTTTTAACTTTTGAGGTAACACTGTAGTGTTTTCCACAGTGACTACACCAGTCTGCATTCCCACCAGCAAGGTACTAGAGTCCCCTTTTCTCCACACCCTCACCAACACTTGTTTGATGATTTGTTGATGGCAGCCATTCTGACAGGTGTGAGGTGATACCTCATTGTTGTTTTAATTTGCATCTCTCTGATGATTAGTGATGTTGAGCATTTCTTCATATGTCTCTTGGCCATTTGTATGTCCTGTTTGGAGAGGTGTCTATTCAGCTCCTCTGCCCATTTTTTAATTGAGTTTTTGTCTTCCTTTTGTTGAGTTGGATGAGCACTCTATATATTTTGGAAATTAATCCCTTATCTGATGCGTCATTGGGGATTATGGTCTCCCAAATAGTGGGATCCCTTTCCATTTTGATGGCTGTTTCTTTTGCTGTGCAGAAGCTTTTTAGTTTGATGTAGTCCCATGTGTTCATTTTTTCTATTGTTTCTCTTGCCTTAAGTGTTGTATCAGTTAAAATTCTGTTGCGTATGATGTCTGAGATTTTGTTGCCTGCATTATCTTCTAGAATTTTTATAAATTCACGAATTACATTTAAGTCTTTTATCCATTTTGAGTTTATTCTCGTGTATTGCATAAGTTGGTGGTAAAGCATATTTTAAAAGATATTTTACTAAGGAAACATTCTTTTACCTTATTTGAGTATGCAGTGTGAATACCCACTACTTTCAAACACCCCTATAATCACTCTCCCTACTAAATTAGCCAGTTAGTTTAGAGCTACACTCTTCAAAATAGTAGCTTCTAGCCAATGTGTCTATTGAGCACTTGAAATATAATTGTAGAAACTGACAGTCCTATGCATGTGAAATATACACTAGATCTTGAATATGCAGCATGACAAATAGCTCATTATTTTATATTGCTTACATGTTGAAATCATAATAATTTTGGATCTATTGGGCTAAGTACAATATATTATTAAAATTAATTTCTTGTTCCTTTTTACATTTTAAAATATGGCTACTGGAAAAATTTTAAATTATAGTAGTGGCTTGCATTATATGCTTGTTGGACTGCACTACTGCAGTTGGATATGGAGATATCACTGGAAATTTTTAAGGCATTTTCAGGACTGGTTTTGTCCTTGTGGAATAACATTGTGAGCCAAGGAGAGGATGGCTGTGGATGAAGTTCATCAGATTCAGTCATGATGATAGTTACTCATCCCAGTCTTATCCAGATTTCCAAGTTCTTAATGGCTGTTTACATCCCAAATAATGGTCATGTTGGGAACAAATGCTTGTGTGCTCGCAGTCCATTTAACAGCAAACCATTCAACAAGAGAGGTGTAGGGCTGCCAGGGGTGACTTCAATGTGGGACTCACTTCCTTTCTCTTGACATCTTCCCCATTATCACACTGCTTTGACTCATGCTGCAGTATCATTTCTTTCTCTCCCCAGTAGGTAGAATCTCCTTTATCTACTCACTCTCATGCATTTGACTTCTTACCATTTCCTTGTTGAATCATGTTTCCCAGATCCGTCCCTTTGTCTTACAGCCTTCAGTTCATATGTTCATATAGTAAATACATATCAATAATGATTATATTGCTGTTACATTCTATTTACCAGCCTTCCTTATTATACCTGTCAGAATCCATTCTCTGTCCTTTGTCTTTGGCCAAAGCCATCAATGACATGCCAGCACCTCCTCCTGGCTCAGCTCACTTTGTAGCTCCAGCACAGATGGGCAGGAAGGCAAAGTTGTTCAAGTAAGCAGGCATTCCACGCGAAGAAACAATGCCTACTGTACCAGCAACAAGTGCGGTTTGAATGCAGTACTGGGACGTCCCTTTAGTTTCTCTGCGCCTCTGCTTTCTTCCAGATTCACAATAGGAAAATACAAGAGTTCAGGTTGTAATTTCCATTTCATTCCCAACTGGGATCTAGAATGAAGAGGAAAAACCCTGTATTTATAGCACTTCTGATAGTCATGTGGTTAAGCAGGACATTAGGATGCCTACTTTATGGTCCAGTGAAATCACCCTCAGCTGACTTCTGGGGAGGAGAGACTATGGTTTGGGGGAGCAAGTGTACTACACCTATTGACATGTGGTTACCCTCTTGCCCACAGAAGGTGCCCCAGAACTTATAATTGACCTAATGTACTTTCTTCTGTTAAATGAACAAACACACCATCCTAGAGAAAGTTAAATCAGTTCTTGCCTCCAGGTTTCCATTGACCTACTCCAAACAGGACAGAATTGGAGAGGTTTGGGGGGTTAGTTGGGGGATAAGTTGAATGCTGGACCCCTGATGTGGCTCAACTGCTCCATGTACCACACAAACACTCAGGCTCTCTGCCAGGCATGTAGAATGAGGCCCTGTGGCTGGCAGAGGGGTCCCACGTGGACACATGCCTCTCTTTCTTTCCTCTGGCTTCAGGCCTTTATCTTTTCAACTTCCCTCCTACCCCACATGAAGGGGAAGGCCATAACTTCCTCGGCAGTTAAGCTCTAGCCTCCTCCCTTGTAGCAAAATCTTCCCAGACTTGGGAGTACTCAGGAATGGGTTGTGAGAGACCCACCTCCACCCTGACCCGCTTTGGCTGTGGGTGGGAGGCAATGACAAGCTTTAGTTCATGAGGCATAAGAAGTGGGGAAGGACTCCGGATGAGGTGGCCTTCCATTCTTGTTTTACATCTTGTTTTGATGTCTTTTTTAAAATCAGACATCTATCTCTTACTGTGAGAATCAATCTCCCACTCAATTTTACTTGACAAATCTACATATGTGATTGTTATTTCTTTATAATAGCCCACTTCTGGACCTTATTAAGAATGTTTGCTACCTTCTCAACCTTAAATTATATTACAACATTTTCTATATCTCTACCTGGGGATGTATGTAGCCCAGTTGCTCCCCACTCCCAACCCTAGAGTTTTCTTCCTTTGACAGCAGGCAGGGGAAATGGTTGTATCTCTACAAAAGAAGTTGTAAATTAGATCTTAACCTCTTGTGTGTGTATATTAAGTATCTCTGAGGTTGTAAGTATTTATGGGCATGTTATAGCTTTCTCAGATTCCTGATGAGGTCCATTCTCTAAAAAGATTAGAAATACTTCTGTAGGCTGTCTTAGCAAATTGAAAAATCAGTTTTATTGACTTAAATTCTTTAAAGCTTCAAAAGAGAAAGGTAGGCCAATTAATTGGCAGCATAAAGCAAATTTTATCTCAGCAAAACTTTCCATTGAAGAATGCACACACACACACGCACTCACGCACACAATTTTCTTTTCTTCAGAGTTTCTCACTCTCTGTTATCTTACAATGATCATACCTTACATTTATTTATCACTGTAAAGTACTAAGTATTCTTCCATGTACATCTGATCTTATTCAATCTTCCCAACAATCCTCTGTGTAAGTATTATTGTCAGCATGTATGGTTAAGGAAACTGAAGCTTAGAGAGGGTGAGTTACACCTTTGGAAATGATTGAGTCAAATCTTGAGCCCAGAGCTTCTGAACTCAGGTCCAGGACTCTTAAATTTATAGCTATTAAAACCACAATATGCTAAGGTAAAATTAGCATATTAACCTTTTGAGAAGGAAGGATATAGGGCATTTGACAGAGGAATGGGCTTCCTTTAACTCAAACTTACTGGCCCTACATATCAGTTACCCTTGGTTAAAGGTACACCAGAAAACCACTCTGTTTTTCCTTGAAGAGTATGATGGGGGTAGGAGTAGAGGGATAGGCATACAAACACTATGAAACACATTGGTTATGTCTGTTAACACATTCTGCGAACCAAGGAGGGAAAATTGCTCTGGCCCACCTCTGACACCAGGTCATGTGCCAAGGTTTGGGGTTGACTGGGCTAATTCTATTAAAATAACACTCAAGCTAAGGTCGTCAAAGCCACACACCATGGACTCAGTTCAATTTAGTGTAGTTGAACAAACATTTATAAGGTAACTTCTGTGTGCTGCATTTGTGTTAGAGTCTGAGGATACAAAATGAAGAAGACACATTTCCTCTCTCTGAGGATTTCACAGCTTGGGACTCAGATACCATGGTGCTTGGGAGTAAGATGGGCAGCAGTTTAATTTTTTAATTACTTGCCAGTTCTCACTAAAATGTCTTGAAGTCTAAATGAGAAAGTCTTATTTATTGGCTTGCAAGACAAATTTTGTTGTGGTATTGTTTTTTGTGTAACTAGAAGTTTTGTTAAAGCTCAGAAATGAATGGCTAAGTTCATCTGGCATGGGAATTTGGGGTTGAGTGGTTTTATTATAACAGTTAATTACAAATGAAAGATACGTCTGTCTCTCTCCTTCCTCAAACATCAGGGAACATCTGTGAATTCTGAAATGAACTAAGTCCCCAAACTCAGTAAGAAGAGGTGGACTTAGTACCTCTATCCCCTCGGTCACCTTTCTTGTTGGGTACACTGACACTGTATTGGAAGATCTGAAGACATCTGTTAAGGACCCCAAAAGGGTCTAGACAAGATATTTTTGAAAGCTGACTATTACCACTTAATTTGCATTCTTATTTGTCAAATCCTGAATTTTGCTTGTCTTCTTTTATTTTACTTTATTTTCTCTTAGCTAAAATACAAGCAAGATTATGAAAATAAAGTCAAAGGCAAGTGGAGTGAGACACCTTGCTTTGAAATTGCAACTGCCAGGATGAATGCTGACAACATCAGCGCAGTAAGTGGGAAGGGGCAGCTGGATGCCCTTGGGCTGAGGGGGGCCCTTCCTTTATGACTTCTGGCCACCTGCTGCACCTGAGGTGGTGCTGGACCATCCATGCCCTGGCACCTCTTCTTGGGGGCAAGACTTGTGTGAAGTTCCCATGAAGGAAAAAAATCCCACAACATTTCCTTCTTGTTGAGAAATATTGTTTTGATCACCATTAGAAGACACCATTATTCTTGCCTCAATTTCCGTTGAACAATATGGTTTCAAAGTGAGCACAGATTAAAGGGGCCCTTTTTAATTTATTCTTTTCTGGGAACCCAAACAGTACATTTGTGAAACTGATTAGTTTCTTCCCAGATTTTCCTCACTGGAAAATGCAAATTCTCATTTTCTTTTTCCTTAACTTCTCTGTCTCTGGCCTTAAAGAGCTTCTTCTTGGAGTCTGTCTTTTAGCCTATTATAACTGCTCCAAATCTCTGTTAAGTTACTAATTGTTTCAGTGATGGCATCACCTTCTGTAATTGTAATCGAACTTGTGTAGGCCAAGAGGAGCACGGCTTTGGGTAACTTCTCTAGATGGCCTCTGTCTTCCCATGTAAAGCCTTACGTAGTTTTTTCCCCGTAGTAATTCAGTTTGTTTAATGTCTTACAGAGGAAATATCATGAACGCTTTGAGAATATGAAAGACCAGATCTACTTCATGCAGACGGACACACCAGAGTACAAAATGAATAAACAAGCTGGGGTGGCTGCTAGCAAGGTACGAGGAAATTCTCTCATTTATCTTGATGGTCCCAGTGAGTGCGAATTTCTTATAGCTCCTGCTTTTGTATGTAATGGGGGGGAAAAAGGAGGGTTCTTAGGGGATAAAAAAAAAAGTACTTTGGGATTGCAATAAGGCTACCAAATTTTTTTTTAAATTTGGCATGTATGAGCATTAAGAAGACCGAGTTACTGTCTCCAATATTTCATACAGTAAAGGACTTTTGCTACCCGGAAGTAGGAATGCTATAATCTCAGACAGAAGACAGAAGAGGGGTCTTGAAACCCCCTCAGGAAAAGGCAATTGGTAGCCTTATATGAATATAGACACCTCCACACTCACCAGTACTATTATTTTTCTTACATTCCTACAGACTGGTGAAAATCTAGTCATGGACAAGATACATGAATCTATGTCTATGCCCATACACACTATAGAGTGACCTTGGTAAATCGTCAGGTGCCTTGGCATTCCAGAGCAGGTTGGGCACTAGAAAGAACACAAACTTCAAAGCCAATCTGACTTGATTCGATCCTGTCCTCGGCTCTGCTGGAGGAGTGAGAGAAGGAAGCTCATATCATGTAGGAGGCTCTTTCCATATCCAGGTGCAAAACAGCGAGGTTTTGAACCAGGAAGGTAGCAGGACAAGGGACGAGAAGTATTTTGAACTTAGAGTTGACCCGATTTGATGAAGGGTGGGGAGTGGAATATGAGAGAAATGTTTTGGTCTAAGCAACTAGACGGATGGGGTTTCCCTTGGTCCAGATCAGAGAGACTGTGAAAGCAGTGAATACTTTTGTTGTTGTTGTTTAGAAGAGAGATGTGAGCTCAGCTTCAAGCATGTAAGTGTTGAGGTGCCTTTTAGACATCCAAGTGGAAATGTCACGTGGGCAGTTGATTACAAGAATTTGAAGTTTCAGGGGAGCTATCTGGCAAGGTTGTATAAGTTTGGGAATTATCTGCATACGCATAGTATTTAATGTTGTGAGAGTGGAGGTCATTAAGGGAGTGAGTGGGAGAGGTCTAAGGACTGAACTCTGCAGTGTTCCATGTGAAGACATCAGCGATATGAGGTAGGAGCCAAGTCCAGAGAGAATGATTTCTTGAGAAGCAAGTGAAGGGTGAATGGAATGATCAACTGTATTTGAAGTGGATTTATCAATGTATGGTCTCTGGTGGACTTAATGAGAGCAATTCAGCTGAGTCTGCTTAGAGGGGGTTCATGAGTGAAAGAAGAGAGAGAAATAGAAGAATATGAACACACTCAACGCTTTCAAAAGTATTTTGCTGAAAAGAAAAGAAGAAAAGTTGTAGTAGCTGATGGATAAATGTGTGAAGAGGGTATTTTCTTAAAGATAGGAGACAAAAACGCCATGTTTCTATGCTGATGGCAAAGATCCAGTGTGGAGGAAAAACGGGACAGTGTTGGAGGGGGAGAGTGGCTGGAGTGACGTCCATGAGGAGGTGAAAGGGAGGGTGACTGGTGCTTAACAGGAAGCTTGGCTTTGCCACAAGCCCTGACTGCTCACCTGTACACAGGAGAAGAGGCTGCGTCCTAACTGCAGATGAGGGATAGTAGGTTCATAGAATTTCCTTTCTCATTGTTTCCATTGTTCAAGGAAATGTATAACTCTATGAGACAGAGAGGTTATCTGTCTTCCATCCCTGATGAGTCCTCTGTGTGTTGTAGGAGGCGGTGTATCTGGTTTTTGGTTGTGTGCTCCTGCCTTTGGATACTGAACTGATGGCATTTGTTTTCTGAGGTTCTTAAATGTTAATAGATATCTGAGATTCTTTGAGCTTGTCTGTATTTCATGGTTATATTGGCTGAACAAACAGCTTGTCCCGGAGATCATGGTCAGAACTAGGATCAGTTTCTTCTCCTCCTCTCATTGGACATGTTCCTGAAAGAGGCTTGCGAGCCCTCGTGTACAGCTTCTGCTACAGCTGGACGTAAAGGTGCAAAGTGGGAAGAGCAGAAAGACAGGTTGAAGTTGCCACCATTCGTCCTGCCCCCAGCCCCTTCCTCCTCCTCCTGCGAGCATATAAGTCCACACTCACTCACATGCACAGTCATCAAAGAGACATGAGGGTAGATTCATCATGCTTCCTTTCTTTAAAAATGTGTTGGCAGATAGGCAGCTGGACGTTAAGAGCTGAGTGAGAATTCTGGAGCAGCAGGTATCTGGGACATGTCTGTCCTTCTTTGTTCATCTTTCTCTCCCCCATTATTTATGTATCTGTCTACCGCTATCATTTAGGGCAAGGACCATGTGTTATTCTGTCTTGTATGTGTCCCAGAGCCTGGCATGCAATCGATACTCCAAAATATCCTAATGGATATTTTTGAATCAACAAAGGAATGGGAAGAAAAGATAACTTGAAAATGAATGCAGTTTCTCTGCTACTGTTATGCGTTACTATGAGTATTTTGTTTATAAAATGTCAAGCTGCCATTTTTTCTGAAGAGAAAATTGATTTGTGGAACTATGTCATAATAGTCATAATAGAGACGAGAGCAAAAAATAACCCGTAGAGTTTATCGCTTTATTTCCCTCCTACAGGTAAAATACAAAGAAAACTATGAAAAGAATAAAGGAAAAGCAGATTATAATGTACTTCCTGCTTCAGAAAACCCACTGCTCAGACAGCTGATGGCGGCAGGAAATGCCCTGAGTGATGTAAGTACATTCTTGTCAAAGGTGGTGTTTTTTTCACCTTAGCTGCAAGGGAGACGAACTCTCTCTCCTTCTATTATGACTAAATGCAAATATAACTTTGCAAATGATTTAAAGTTATGGGGTAGCAGCTCCCCTGGAACTGTTTAATCCCAGGAAGGCCTTAGTGCCTCTGAGTGTGATGTGTGTCCATCAGGGGGGTGGGGGCCGTGGATTAAGTTCAATGGGCGGGAATCCTCACTTGCTTACAGGCTCCCGGTGCCTGTGCCTCCATGGCTAGTGTGCATTGTAGGAGACATGCTGTGATTTTGACAGAGGCAAAAGGAGATTTTAAAAGGGGAGGAGAGCCCGGCCAGTGTGGCTTAGTGGTTGAGCATCGACCCATGCACCAAGAGGTCGCCGGTTTGATTCCCAGTCAGGGAACATGCCCAAGTTGTGGGCCTGATCCCCAGGTGGGGGCATGCAGGAGGCCACCAATTGATGTTCTCGCTCGTCGATGTTTCTCTCTCTCTCTCTCTCTCTCTCTCTCTCCCCCCCCCCTTCCTCTCTCTCTAAAATCAGTAAAGAACAAGAAAAACAAATACAAGGGGAGGAGAGGGGCAGGGAGAGACGAAGCAGCATCAACACCCTGCCCTTGTGTCCCTCATGCCCGCTCCCAGGAGAAGGACAATGTCCTGTGTTATACAACTTCTCCCCCACCTCTGCCATTGTCTCCTCAGGTCTTGGCCACAGAAACCATTGCTGGCAGACAGCAGGACTTAGAAGAAGCCCCCTAAGTCTCCCCAGGAATCTCTACTTGTGGACTTGTTAAGAGCTTTACTAATCCATTAGAATTAAAACAGATTAGAGCAGTAAGAACTGGGCCTGGTAGTGGAAGACTAACAGCCCAAGTCCACTTTGCCTGTATATGTAAAGGGACTGAACACGTGCTCGGTCGAGTTTCTCCCTTATGGTTAGGTTACATTAAGCTTTCCCAATATTTGAGGATTATATGTGGCTTCTGGATGGGTTCATTAGCTTTTCTTTGTCCCTTGGGTTACGTCAGCACTGTAGAAATGAGCACCCATGATTGAGAAGGGGGTTGAATGGAGTGACAGGGGAGAGAGTGTAGATGGATATGTCTAAGCAGCTCTGTGGGGACATCTCCTGCCTCCTAAATGAAGACCATGTTCATCAAATATATAAAAGCCAAGGTTTAAATCCACTCTGCTCACAAAGACAAGAATATCAAAATATTAAAAACGAGAGCACCGTTTACAATTTCAAAACCCGACAGCAACACCGACAGGGACCCGCTGTCTCCGTTGTGCACCCACACTCTGGTCGTTGCGCCTCGTCATTGTTGGAGCGAGCGACGAATCCCGCGGGGAAGAGTTAGTCATGGTTTCAGTACTTGTGTATACTTCATTTTTATGGTTCAGCGAGGAATTCTTCCTTGGTAGAAGGAGGCGGAGAGAATGTGTATTTCTCAACATTCACTAAGTTTTTCATGAAAGTTTGTGTAAGAAAATGGAACATGCGCTGTTGCTCAGATAGCCCTGCTTTCTGTGGCCCCGTCATGAGAGCAGCGTGTGTGAGCTGGAGGCGGAGACGGCGATGCAGAGGTACAGGGGTCTCTGCCACGAGGGCTTGCTCTGAGGCCGCTTACTGCTTTCTTAATTCTTAAAGAAATATTTTCATTAATTTTTAGAGCAAGAGGAAGGGAGAGGGAGAGAGAGAAACAGCAATCGGCTGCCTCCTACACACTCCCCACAGGGGACCAAGCCTGAAACCTAGACACGTGCCCTGACAACCCGGGGACAACACTCAACCGACTGCGCCACACTGGCCGGGGCTGGTTTCTTAATTTTTTGGAAAATGTTAAAAACTTGGGCTTTACAATGATTGCTAATAGAAAAAGGTTATCATTCATGACGCTGCCAGTGTTTGATTGTCAGTTTTTAAGACAACTGATAGGTGATTATCTTTTCTCTTCTTCTTTTGTTTTAGTGTTGGAAAATACAAGTGCTATCATCAGTGAGGGAGTGACAGGAATCGACTTTAACTAGCTGTTTGTTTGTTTTACAGAAACGGTACAAGGAAAACTATGAGAAGACGAAGGCGAAGAGCATCAATTACTGTGAGACCCCCCAGTTCCAGCTTGACACGGTTCTGAAGAAATTCAGCAGCGACGTAAGCAACCCCATAATCACCCCAGTTAAAGGAAAGACCCGTCGTTTCACAAATAAGTAAGTGAGACATCTTGTCTTTCAGACGAAATATAAAGACTCCTACTTAAAGAATGTTCTGGGACACTACGTGGGCAGCTACGAGGATCCGTACTACGCACACTGCATGAAGGTCACAGCGCAGAACAGTGATGTAAGTTCCAGGACAACTGCTGGACTTTCCAAAGGACACATTTTGGGGCCAGGAATACAGTGGTTGCATCTTGATGTCTGATTTTTCTTCCTCATAGAAAAACTACAAAGCAGAATACGAAGAGGACAAAGGTAAATGCTTCTTCCCGCAGACCATAACTCAGGAATACGAAACCATCAAGAAACTGGATCAGTGTAAGGATGTAAGTCCGTGGTGTGAACTGTGAGCATGACTGCCCTCCGTCACATCTAGTGGTCAAGATATGTTTAAACTTTGGACGCTTTTACAAATAAATGCAAGCCAAAAAGAATGGAAAGAAAGAACATTTATTGAGAGTAGATACACCATTTTTTGTATCGTTTCTACATTTCGAGAGATAATTCTAGTTTATTTTCCCAAAGAAGAGTTATTGGGCATCTGAAGATATGGGAGAGTTTCTTGTACTGATGTAAAAGTGTCTCTCCCAGACACTGCCATCAACTTAGAAAAACAAAGTGTTTTATTAACCCCAAGTATCTTCTCTTTTGGGAAATGGGGTTCTGCTCATACGTCCTACAGGCAATCATGGATTTGACAGGTGATATTGCTAAACCTGATTCCTTGTCTCACCCACAGCACACCTACAAAGTCCACCCAGATAAGGTGAAATTCACTCAAGTGACTGACTCACCTGTCCAGCTGCAAGCCCAAGTCAACGCCAAACAGCTGAGCGATGTAAGTTCCTCTCCACACCCAGGAGACGTGCCTGTGAGAGACAGGGTAGCATAGCCCTATACAGAAAACCCAGTAACGTATCGCAGTTCAGAAAAGGCTATGCAAGTTCTATGTATGGATCATCGCTTAAAATATTTTCCCATTTAGTCGTCATCTGTGTTCCGCATCTTCTTGGGTGGATAATAATTCTAGTAAAATGGTTCTTTAAGGGAAACGAATGTGGCTCAATGCACTGGAAAGAACATGAGTTCTGAAGTCCTACAAAACTGGGTTCAAATCCTGCTGTCTGGGCAAATCATTTAAAGTCTAGTGTCACGTGGTTCCTTTTTAAAGTATGTGGTCGTTCTGAGAATTAAGTGAAAGGAGTTAGTGCACAGCTCACACCCTGACCCACAGCAGGTATTTAACACACAAATAGGTTTTCAGAAAATGGAGTGTTTGCAGTAAGTTTTATCGTACGAGTTTTGTGTGAATTTCCAAACTTACATTGAACTAGAAAGATAAAAATAAAAGTGATGCCCTGGCTGGCTTGGCTCAGCGGTTAGAGCATCGGCCCGTGGACTGGAGGGTCCCGGGTTCGGTTCCCGCTAAGGGCACGAGCCTCAGTTGCAGTTTGTCCCCGGCCCTGGTTGGGGTTGTGTGAGTGGCAACCATTCGATCTGTCTCTCTCACATCGATGTTTCTCTCTCTCTCTTGTCCTCTCTCTCCTTCCCACTCTATCTGAAGATAAATGCAAAAATGTCCTTGAGTGAGGATAAAAAAAAGAAAAAGGAAGCTCAGTAGATATATGGCCAGAAGTCAAAGGGTTTCATTAGAGTATCAACAAACATGTTTGCACAGAGACATAGCCATATGGGGTGGGACCAAAGTAGGTTTACAGTTGTGAGTTTGTAAAACAGAGTTTGTTCTTTATTAATTATTGTATTCATTTCCATGTCAACAGACCTACTTTTGTCCCGCCTTATATTTGTTTAAAAAGATTCTCCAGTAAGAATTGACAGTGGACAGGAAGACAGGGCTGTCGCTCTCGGAGTCCACAGGGCCAGTTGTGGTGTATGGGAAGGGGACCACCTGTGACAGAGCCCCTCCTTCTATTTGGGTCCTCCCACAATAACAGTTGTGACAACAGCTGTCACAGTCCAGCCCACAGGTTGTCAAGAATGCAGGGTGGCCGACACTATCTGGATTTCTCTTTTAATCTTAACAGTTGGTATTTAACAAAGTGTAGTTTACATTTTATCTCATGAAAATTTGTTCTTGTACTTTAGAACAATTCCTCTTCTGAACTCTCTCTCTCTCTCTCTCTCTCAGCTAAATTACAAAGCAAAACACGAAAGTGAAAAGTTTAAGTGCCACATACCTCCAGATACCCCTGCCTTCATCCAGCACAGAGTCAACGCTTATAATCTGAGTGATGTAAGTCCCTTACCTCTATGCCGTGCGCCACACTGATGACTTGTGCTTTTACTTTTTAATTGTTTCACTAAGTAACTATGTCAGTTCCAAAGAGGGGAAGGACAGTTAACATTTGTATCGTGTTCCTATGCCTCTGCCAATGTAACTTTGAATTTACCTTACAAACCATGTGTAGCAATCACGTAAGCAGCTTCCTACAGCTAGACGGTCTTAATATATTTCCACCAACCCTCAAAATGCCACCACTCCTGTATCTAATTGCAAACTGAATGTTAGCTCTGTTAGTCATATATTCATTTGTATTACAGCATAATTCATTTTCTTTTAGGAGGTGATGTTTTAAGATTTAGCTTTGTTTCATTTATTCCCCAAGCCTATAATGTTTCTTGTTTCACATGAATAGTACTTATTTCTACACATATGAGTCCTTGCACTAACGAACATAGAGGGTTTTCCAAAGGCATAAGGCCAGGTATTCAATGCTATCTTTCATTTTCAAAATTAATTCTGTAGAAAAGTCAAATTACCCTTAGTGGTTTCCATTTCTTCAACAGTCTTATGAATGAGTCCTAAGATTATCCAGCATCAACGAGTACTATAATGATTCATGAAATAACCTTTGCAGAGGACTTTGAGACCAAACGAAAGTGATGCCTTTATATTATAAAAAGTTAACTTGTGCTGTTCTATAAAATCGTGTTAAAGATAAAATATTAGTATGATAACTAGAATTAATTTGATGAAATAGTCTAATGGAAAGTAAAAAGATTAATCTTGTAGGATCAGATGTTTCAGCTTGAGGAAAATTATCTAAACTACGCATAAGTTTGTGGACAATAAAAATAGTCTATTTTATATTAAGACAAAGTATTGGGTTACCTTTTAGTCTTCAAAGTGTGATAACATGCATATCACTTTTGTCGATTCCTTTATTAAAATTTTCCTGTCCAGAATGCTTATAAGCATGACTGGGAGAAGAGCAAAGCTAAGAAGTTTGACATTAAAGTGGATGCCATCCCCCTGCTGGCAGCCAAAGCCAACAGCAAGAATGCCAGTGAGGTGAGTATGGCCTGGGACCTGGGCTGGGGCACTCAGTGCTGTTCCCTGACGGGTGGGATCTGGCACGTGTGATGTCTTTGCAGGTGATGTACAAGAAAGACTATGAGAAAAACAAGGGGAAGATGATTGGCGCCCTCAGCGTGAATGATGACCCCAAGATGCTGCACTCTTTGAAGACGGCCAAAATGCAGAGTGACGTGAGTGCTTCTGTCATTCATCCTTATTCTCAGATGTGGCCACACTTACGGTTTAATGTGACCTTGGGTACGATGTTAGCCTAAGTGAAATCTCAGATTCAGGAGGACAGATCAAATATGCAAGCCCAGTGGTGAAAGATGATTAGCTTCCTCATTTTTATGACGTCTCTATACTTTGAGACATCGGTGACTATCATAAAGGTTCCCATCATCTCCTTAATGCCTTCTGTTTTATTAGGGGGAATTTGTACTAGCAGTATCATTTTCTTTATTGCTTTTCCTAGAAATGGACTTAGTATCTCAGGATGTATAAACGTGTTCATTCCATGCCATAATCTGATGTAAGGTACTTTACAAAAATACATACAGAAAAATAAAAGGCAGCCCAGGTGGCTTAGTTGGTTGGAGCATCATCTCCTACACCAAAAAGTTGCAGGTTCAATTCCCACTCAGGGCATGTATGAGATTGATGTTTCTCTCTCACATCGATTTTTCTCTCTCTTTCTCCTCCCTTTCCTCTGTCTCTCTCTCTCTTTCTCTCGCTCTCTCTAAAATCAACAAAGATATCCTCTGGTGAGGATAAATAATTAATTAATTTTTAAAAAGCAAAAGTGAAAAACAAAAGCAAGAATAACTAGTTGAAGCATAACTTCACAGCAAGTCATTTTAAGAATTTTATAAAATACAGATCTCATTTTAAAACCTCTAGAATACTTATTATATATAAAATAAAACTTTATAAAATTGCTTTTCTAATTCAGAACAAAAAACAAATACTTTTCATTCTGTATCATTTATAAATAGTCCTGTCTTTAGTAAGAATGGGTTTGCATTTCTATATGGGAGAATTACATAATAATGTGAAGAAATATATGATATATATGGTAAAATAGAAAACCTGTCTTTTCATGTATTATTGCTATAAAGTAAAATATTAGGTCTTAATGATAAAAGCTAACTTTCAGAGGTTTTCATCAAATGCTGAGCTGAATACTTTTCTAAGACTGTCCCTAAATATCCAAGTTTCACCTTATACCTTTAACTTCATTGTTTCAACTCTTCAAAAATGTTATTGTTCTTCACACATTCAAGAAGAAAGAATTATTTCAAGACCAAAAGCTGCTTAGACAGCAGCATCTGTGTGCTCTGATTTATCCTGGCTGAGAAATACTAGAATGGGTAAAGCAGACTTATTTGTGATTATCAGCAATCATACAAGACATGAGCCTCTGTTATTTTCATCCTGCTTTTTTGCTTTGTGAAAAATCAGTGCTGAAAAAATACAAATTTTGCCCTTTCAGTGGAAGTATAGCAATGTTGTGAATGGCTTTTATACCATGAGATTTACTTCTTTTCCTCTGTTTGATTTTCTTTTCCCTTTGACAGAGACTGTACAAGGAAAACTACGAGAAGACAAAGGCAAAGAGCATGAATTACTGTGAGACCCCTAAGTACCAGCTTGATACTCTGCTGAAGAGCTTCAGCGAGGTTCGAAAGGCCGTGATCTCTGAGGTTGGAGCTCTTTCCTCCTGTTTGACAAGCAACTGTCAATCTGAGTGACGTATGTTTCATTTTTCAGGCTAAGTATAAAGATTCGTATGTGCAGAACATCCTGGGGCATTATATAGGCAGCGTCGAAGACCCGTATCAAGCACACTGCATGCGAGTCTCAGCTCAGAACAGCGACGTAAGTTTGGAGACAATTGTTCAAGCCTCGCGGTGACCCTGGGAGCAATAGCAATCATCATCCATTTCCGTTTTCCTCATTGCAGAAAAACTACAAAGCAGAATATGAAGAAGATAAAGGGAAGTGCTATTTCCCTCAGACAATAACTCAAGAATATGAAGCAATCAAGAAGCTAGACCAGTGTAAGGATGTAAGTCGGCTGCTCTGAATTCTTGAACTGGGGATTGGCATTCTTGCGCCATCTAGTGGTATTTTTAGCAGGAGTAGAAGAGCCAGCTTCCAGTAGATAGCAGGTGTTACATTTTAAGTTCTGGCTTTGGGGTGGAATTGGGGGACACAAAAATTACTGTGAAGAAGCCTATTTGTTACAAAACAGGTTTTTTATAAGTCTTTGTTTCCACTAGTTTGTACATGACCTCAAGGGAAATGGAGGACGTGGAGATTTGTGAGCCATAGGTGTTCATCCATCTAACACACTTACGCAAGGGGCTTGCTTGTGTTAAGTGCTGTCCTCGGTGCTGACAAGGTTGACTGCCTCTCAGGGAACATGCATTTGCATAGGAGACACAGACAGTGAGCAAAGAGCGCAGAACAAGAAAGAGATTACGCAGTGATAAGGCAGCTAACGTAGAATGTTTTCAGGAAGTAAACTATTTTCGGCTGGAAACTTTTTATATGTTTATATATATGTTTCATATGTGTGTATAGGAATAAGAATATAAAGATACATTATGAAATTTCATTAAAGAATATCTTTTCCAGCATACCTACAAAATTCATCCGGATAAGACCAAATTCACGGCCGTCACTGATACTCCTGTACTGCTGCAAGCCCAGCTCAACATGAAACAGCTTAGCGATGTAAGTGCCTTGAGGTGTGCACCTGTGGGTACCCAGAATGCCTTGAGAATACCAGCCGTAAGCGTTTACATGTTTAATCTTCATGCACGCATGTATCGTTCCAACAATGTTATTGTTCAAGATTTCTTTAAAATCTTGGAATGAGGTGGCTGAAGCATACTGGGGAGGGGGACAGTGGTAAGAGGCGAATGGTAGGATATAGAGACGGAGATGATTTCTGTGGGAATATGTAACTGTTATTTTAAACTGCAGCCTCAGAAAAATGGTGTTAGACAATAATTAAAATAACTAGTAAGTTTTCAAGAACTCGTTAATTTTTTATGGGAATTTGCTCACTGGGATCATACCAAAAATAATGCATCCTGAAAATAATGCATACTAAAAATAATGCATACTAAAATTCATGGTAACTTAAATAAACCACAAAAGCATCCACTGGGGTAGCCTACAAGGCAAGCATTTCCCGTTCTTAACTTTCCTAACAAAAACTTTATAAATAGACAAAGAGCACAGAGATGAGAAGCATATCAAGCAATAATAATAATAATAATAAACTCTAAAATAGGATGGAGCTACAGAATTCAAATAGGATGACAGGAGACAGAGTGACTGGGTGGGCACTTTGGACTGGGTGATCAGGGAAGATCTATGGCAGCATGTCCCAGCCATGCCAAGATCAGGGGAAGAACAGAGATGTTTCTCACACATTCACGGTCACATGGATTACCCAGTGACCCAAGTAAAATGCAGATTCTGATTCAGTAGGTCTGGAGGGACCCAATATTCTGACTCCCTGATAAGCTGCTAGGTGATGCTGATCCTGCTGATCGGCAGACCCCACCAAGTAGCAAGGTACTCACACAGCTAAATCCTTCCCAAGACAATAAACTAAAACATCAGTGTGCCCTACTATAACACATGCTTTAATCATATGGATGAGCTCATGTGCCATTGGTAAAGAAGGGAATGGCATCAGTATAACCCAGAAGTCATATTAGTTCTATGCAATGCTTCCTAGCACATTAATATTGTGTGCCCCAGAAAGAACAGCTAATCATTAACACCACTGAGCCCAGTGAACTTGGCAAGATGGAATGCAGTGCCCAGCCCCCACCCACTCTTCTCCTTGGCCTGGTTAGACCTCAGGCTCTGCTTTGAAGATGCTTAGTGCACAATCCTCCTCAATCTTGTCCATTTGCCTTTAGCACCACAATTCAACAGCCTCATTTGCTCTTTACATTTTCTTCCTTCCACTTAATGTTGCTTTAAAAATTTTTAAGTACCATATTTTATATTTTAATAAGAATTTACATATCTTTTTCACTATGTTAGCATGTTATTTAGAATTATTATTATCTTCGTTAGTGCTCTTACAGAATTTCATAGATTTTAGGTGTTTATGCCTTCAAGGTACAGCCTGGAAGTTGAGACCAGACAATGAGTTTACCATGTACACATTGTATTTACAAAATGACAGCCCAAAGTCTGGCTATACCACAGGAGGCCCGAGCGTCTGGGCTCTGTGCTGTACTTCAACGGGATCAACTCCTTGTTCGAGGCATTTTTTTTTTAAATGGTAGTGATGACTTTGCGACACATATTCTCCTACGTAAAGTCAAGGATGTGCCTGCCCTGAACTGTTTGGCCACCCTCCTCTGTGTTTCAGCTGAACTACAAAGCCAAATATGAAGGCGAGAAGTTCAAGTGCCACCTGCCGCCCGATGCGCCCCAGTTTATCCAGCACAGAGTCAATGCCTACAACCTGAGCGATGTGAGTACAAAGCCAGAGAGGTGCGTGTTCACGTGCACACAGAAACAGGCAGTGCCCCGGGGTCTGGAAAGACCAGAGCAGGAGTTATGTTATACTTATTTGGTGGTGGGGAGGGAAGCTGGATAGTATATAAATCAGTGGTATACTACCATTTGGTAATTATAGTATTTATTGGGTAAATAAGTCCACATATACAAATTTTCACTGTTTTTTATTTTTACTGAGTGAATCCGTGTTAGATGTTTTTACAGTTCCTTTGCTAAAATTTTCCTGTCCAGAATATCTATAAGCATGACTGGGAGAAGAGCAAAGCTAAGAAGTTTGACATTAAAGTGGATGCCATCCCCCTGCTGGCAGCCAAAGCCAACAGCAAGAATGCCAGTGAGGTGAGTATGGCCTGGGACCTGGGCTGGGGCACTCAGTGCTGTTCCCTGACGGGTGGGATCTGGCACGTGTGATGTCTTTGCAGGTGATGTACAAGAAAGACTATGAGAAAAACAAGGGGAAGATGATTGGCGCCCTCAGCGTGAACGATGACCCCAAGATGCTGCACTCTTTGAAGACGGCCAAAATGCAGAGTGACGTGAGTGCTTCTGTCAGTCTGTCTTGTTTTCGAGATGCCATCCCTGGGAACATGCCCCAGGGTAGTAGCAAGTGAAAGGATTCTATACCCACGGGGTCCCTCAGGTTCAAGCCAACAAACTGCTGGGGAGAACTTTAGAGGTGGAATGAGCCCCAGATTCTTACACCTCTCATGATGGAGGAGAAAAATGATTGATTTGTACTTGATGTCCATTTTATTTTGAAAAATGTGTGTATATATATATATATATTTAATTGTTTCCAAAGAGAAGGAGGGAGAGATAGAAACATCGATTGGCTGCCTCCTGCATGTCCCCTACTGGGGACTGAGCCCACAGTCTGGGCATGTGCCCTGACAGGGAATTGAACCGGGGACCTCCTGGTGCAGAGGTTGATCATCAATCACACTGGTCGGGTGAAAAATGTGTTACTATTTAATAGAATAATGGTTGTAACTCTTAAAACCTTTTAAAAAACATCACTAGATGTTTTAATATTTTCTTCTCATTCATTGAAAAATAACCTTTAAAACATGGTTTTAAAACTGTATTTTGAAAGAAAATCTTGTCAGAGATAAAATTTTTATTATAGCTATCATTGCTGTTTATCCATCCTTTGGTAATTAATATTGGTCTAGGTCCAAGAAAAATACACAATTAATCATAGGCCCCTTTGAGAATCTGATAAAATATTTGGATCATTCATCTAGAAAAATATAAAAAATTTTATGCCTTTTGCCTGAATTTCAGAGAATTTATGGATTTCCTACGGCTTATCTGTGGGCCATCGATTATCTTTTGGTTAAAATTCTTACTATAAAGAAGCAAACTTCTACTACTGCAAATTACAGTATAAGATGTGTTTAAAAACTGTTTAGAGAATCAATTAAGCAAGTTAAGAATGTTCAACATAAGTTGCAAATAATTAGTTTTTCATCATTAAATGGAAGGATGTTTGTATTATTTGCTTTCATTTTATTCATGAGTTAGTGTGCTCTATATGTACCTTCTTTAAATCACTTTGCAGTTACTATATACTCATAAAGAACTTTAAAATATCCCATTCAGTTACTTTATCTAATAACTTCACGTTGAATCATGTCAGTGTACGGTGCTTACATACATAAAACTACCTTGTTTTCTAGTTCCTTATCCCTTCTTAACTCAAAAAGGTTATAGTTCTCTGTTCAGAGCACATGTGTGTTTATCTTTGTTTGTCATCCTATCCCAGAACCCATTAGAACACTAGGCACATAATAAGTGCTCAATAGGTGCTTTTTAACTTATTGATGTTGGCAACCAAAAGAGGTAGTCAATGATGAGTAATTTTCACATAATATGCAGGCTCAATGCTAAGCTACAGGTACAGAACTTGAATAGCTTTCACAAGGGATCTTTTAAAGCCATCTGGATCTTTGACAATATTGTATATGTTGTCAGGTATGTGTGAACTGGTGTGAACATAAACAAAAGAGTCACAACAATTTAGTCAAAACCACTTCCACACACCAACTGCTGTTGTAGCATTGCTTTATCAGTTTACTTCCAATAAAGACAAACTGTCTTTATTTTTTTAATGTTTTTTGCATACCATCAGACAGTTTTCATTAACTAGGATCTAGATTTTACAACAAAGTGATAAATTTGTTCAGTTTAAGTTACCACCCACAAAATATTGGAAGGAAGATCACATTCCCAATGAAAGCTAAAAGACTAGATTATTTGCAAAAGGAATTTCTACAGAAGGTTTCTGATGCACATCTATACTTGCTAGCATGGGTTACTGTCTTTAAGGCTATGTGACTCCAGAGAGATGTAATGTGTTTAGAATTTTCCTAAAGGCACTGGGTCAGAATTTTTCTCTCTGTTAAGGTAAGTGGTAAGTAGACCTGATGAAGCTGGGACTTTGACCTAGTTAGAAACTGTTTAACCATTCCAGAAAACCAGCCAATGAAAGGACCTTCTGAGGCTCAGTCAGGACATCTGGTTTATGAGAACTCTATACATAAGGGCCAAGGTTACTTTAACGGCTCAGCTTCACAGACTTTTCTTCTTTGAGATGTTATAACTGCTGCGATCTGAAGCTTCTTTTAAATTGATACCAAAATTAAACTTGGTATGAAAAACCTTTGAGATTCTCAGTGGGGCTTATCAAACACAGAATGGTCAGGTTGAAAAATAAGAAACTATCCATTTATCCCTGGCTGGTTTGATTCAATGGTTAGCGCGGTGACCGTAGACTGAAGGGTGGTGGGTTAGAATCCCAATCAAAATCATGTACCTGGGTTGCAGGTTTTATCCCCAGCCCCTGTTGAGGTCGTGCAGGAGGCAACCGATTGATCTGTCTCTCTCATATCAGTGTTTCTCTCTCTCTCTCCCTTCTTCCTTTCCACTCTCTCTAAAAATCAATGGAAAAGTGTCCTCGGGTGAGGATTAACAAAAAGAAAATAAAGAAAATGAAAAAAGGCATCCATTTAAAGATGCCTTTAGAAAAGCCCACAAGTCTAGTGTACAGTTCTGTTGACCAGGTAGTCATCTTATCAAACCAGAATTATGAAATGATTGTTATATGATTTTGGTCAATCAAAAAATGCTCCCTATTGGAAGACTCTTTAAAGAATAGATTGCCTCAGTAGATCACATAGCTTGTTAGTGGTCTTTGAAAATCCTTGTTTAAAAATAAAGTAATGCCTGGCTGAAGCAGAAGCCATGTCCCATTCCTAAGTCGGACAGTTATACTTTGATCTAAAAAGAGATTTTGAGAAGATCGGTCCATGTATGATTTGGGGGGCATTTCAACAATGTGTAACATCTGAACAAATTTGAGGAAAAAAATAACTACTCAGATGTTTGGATCTGTTTTTCTAACTCATATTGGTTGTTTCTAAGCGATCTCTATGCTGTTTCTGGAAACCCATTAAGGTTATAAATGGTAATTTCCTATTCACAGCGTGAATATCATAAAGACTATGAAAAATCAAAAACTGTTTACACGGCACCTCTTGATATGGTCTCAGTCACTCAAGCGAAGAAATCTCAGGCGATTGTCAGTGACATTGACTACAAGCACCTCCTGCACAATTACAGCTACCCTCCGGACAGCGTCCACCTGGACCTCGCCAAGAAGGCGTACGCACTGCAGAGCGATGTGAGTGATCGAGTTCCTCTCTTCCCTCACATAAGGTGGAAACCGAAAAAGATGTCTAGGTTGAGTGAGTTTTTTGGCAAATTTCAGAAATGTCTGCGTGGTCTCCTGGACGTGGGAAGTATGTAATGGGAAAGTTACCCTTGTGTTTCTATGACAGCACACCCTTCCGAGGTAGAGCGACGGGGTCTAGCGTGCACCCCCTCACTGTGTCCCTTTGGGAAAGTTATCAACCTTGCTGAGTCTACAGTCTTCTTGTGAAATTGGAATAAAACAAAATAATTGTTTTTGAGGATTTAAATGTATGCAAAAATACTTAGCAGGATGTCAGGCCCTTGTGAATTCTCAAAAAATATTCACTATTATCATCATCATCACTATAATAATGATCACATTCATCAGTATCAATAATTATTTCACATAGATTGCTATCTTGTCTAAAAATAAAATATGGGATTTACAGCATCAATTTGTATAATAGTTAGGTTTTTCTTTTCCTGCAGATCAAAATTTCTTTAGGCAAATTAACTGGTCTGAACTACACTATGGAACACTTTATCCTAACAATTCTATGTTCTAAAAATGTGGTAAAATACACTTAACATAAAATTTGCCATCTTTACCATTGTAAGTCTACACTTCAGTAGCAGTTCATTATGTTCACATTGTTGTACAATCAATCTCCAGAACTTTGTCATCTTGCAAAACTGAAACTCTATACACATTAAACAACTCACCATTCCCTCCTTCCCTCAGCCCCTGGCAACCACCTTCTTCTTTCTGTTTCTATGAGTTGGACCACTCTAGAGACCCTGTGTAAATGGAATAATCCAGTATTTGTCTTTTTGTGACTGGCTTCCCCTAACCCTAACCCTAACCCTAACCCTAACCCTAACCACTTAGCATAATGTCCTCAAGTTTCATCAGTCTTGTAGCATGTGTGAGGATTTTCTACCTTTTTTGAGGCTGAATATTGTTCCATTTGATGTTATACCACATTTTGTTTAGCCCTTTAACTGTCATTGGACATTTGGGTTATTCCCATCTTTTGGCTATTATAAATAATGCTGATATGAGATCCCAACATTTCCATCACTAGGAATTCTGTTTTATGCATGATCGTCTTGTTTATTTGTTTACTTTGTTATGCTTCTTCCTCCCAAATAGCTTGAATGCTCCTCAAAGGCAGGAACCAAATGATTTCTTGATTTTTCATTCCAATTAAAAGGCCCATAATAAAGAACAACAATTTGAATTTTGTGTCTAGAGTATAAGTTTTAGGTACCCTCAATAGCCAGATAACAAGGGTAGCTCATTATTTTAATAACATTAAGTAGCTGTCCTCAAAATAGGACCAATTCCAAATGATAAGCAAATTAATGAGTGTAACTAAGTTAAAGTACATTGCTAGCCAATGTAGAAAACCTCCCAAGCTGACCTTTACACACGAAGGGCACCGTGTGCCAACAGTACAAACAATTACTGTCCAGTCTTATCTAATCAGAAAATGAGCAAAATTACCCACCTTTAATGTGGCCATCACTCTTAATTTGACCATTTAAACATAATACTTAGAGCTCTAGTGAGCAAACATCTCACGTATAGTATAAAATTTCATTTATTCCTTGAAATAAAGCTTTGAATTTAGCATTTTCCAGATTGAACGTCCATTCTGTTGGAAATGAGAAGGAAATGAACCACGTGCCCACTGGAGAAACAGTGGAAACCTACGGGCTGTTAAAATCCCTCACCAAGGGTGGGTTTAAAATACCCGTAATGTATGGAGTAAGGAAGCTGGTCAGAAATCTTAACATGTGAATGATTTCACGAATAAGTGCGATGCTAAACAAAAGAAATGTAACCTTTCTCTTGGTGTTCTAGGTGGAATACAAAGCTGACTACAACAGCTGGATGAAAGGCTGTGGCTGGGTGCCTTTTGGGTCCTTGGAGATGGAAAAGGCAAAGCGAGCCTCAGACATCCTTAATGAGGTAAAGCCAGTGCATCATTGGTCACAGAGAGACTGCGTGTGCTGTGTGAACATCCTCCCAACCGTGGGAAGCGCCTCCTCTACTGCTTCATTCTCTAGTAATCGTTGCTGAGGGAAAAAGCAACCACATGCATGGATTATCCTGGTAGAGGAACATATATCCCTTTACATCATGAAAGTCACATATGTGAGCTATTCATGCTAAAAACATTTTTAGCAACTTTATCAAGGTATACTTTGCATACCATAAAATACGATGTTAGGTGTACCCCATGATGAGTTTTAATAGGTTCATACAGTCATCATTACTGCTGAATTTTAAAATTCTGCTAGAACTCTAGAAAGATCCTTGGAAAAGTCCTGCTCCCACCTTCAGCGCCAAGCACCCCCCTCCTCCATCTGCTTTCTGTCTCTATAGTTTTGGTTTTCTAGAAATTTCCTTTTATATCAGTCTTTCCTATAGCATAATGTTCCTAAGGTTCACCCATATTCGTATGTGCGTCTGCAGTTATTTCTTTTTATTATTGAGTAGCATTCCTCTGTTTGGCTGGGTTGCATTTTGATTGTGTAGTTGGTGGGCCTGTGGATTTTTTTCCACTTTTTTGGCGATTATGAATAATGTATATAATGAATATCATAGAAATTGTGTGAAGTATTATGTTATATTCTTGATGACTTTGAAGTAGTATATAAGTTATTATTTGGTCCAAGAAAAAACAATGATGATCTTGCAGTCTTTTTTTTAAGGTGTGCATTGCTATTCTTTAAAAAAAAATTTTTTTTTCCTTTTATTGATTTGAAAGAGAGAGGAAATGAGAGGGGGAGAGAGAGATAGAAACATCAATGAGAGAGAACACTGATTGGCTGCCTCCCGCATGCCCCCCCTCCACTGGGGACTGTGCCCACAACCTGGGCATGTGCCCTGACGGGACTTGAACTGGCGACCTTTGGTGCATGGGTCGATGCTCAACCACTGAGCCACACCGGCCAGACTGATCATGCAGTCTGAAAGCCGCCAGGCTATCTGTCCCTTCTCTGCCCATAGTGAAACACTCTGCTACTGTCAGGTAAACCCATCATCAGGAGGTTAGACTACACACAAAAGGGACAGAGGGGCTCAGTGAGACTTGTCTTCCATACTCAAGGTTGTGTTGTGCTTGTTTGGTGCTTTGGTTTGTTTTCAGTGGAATCCATTTGATCTACCCAGAGATTTTTCAGAAAAAGTTCTTCTGGGTTGGTAGTTGTCAGAAGTCTGGAGTTGGAAGAGTGATGCAACTGGGGGAGAATAGACGGAGAAGAATGTAGGAATAAGGGCAGCTAGAAGTTGTCAGCTCCCAGTTGGAACACCTTCCAATGTTCTCTCTTCTGTGCCTTCTCCGCACGTTAGTGACCATCTGTATACCAACCATGTTAAGGTTTGCAGAGCAAGGTCCTCCCCTTCTTTTTAATAATCCCCAGCTGTTGTCCTAATTCCTCAAGTCCTCTTCCCTCAACTAGAGAGCTTCTTCACTTTAGCTGCTGAGGGTGTGACAGGGACAACGACATCTCTGAGAACTTGTTAGTGTCATGCAAAGATACCCTACATTGTTTTTTGTTTGTTTGTTTGTTTGTTTGTTTTACGTGGTTTTCTGTTATTCCTTTAGAAAATTTTGGTGTGTTTCTGCATTCTTCTTAGCTGAGAGTGCCCTCTTTTCTGTCATAAACAAGAAATTAAGAGAGTGAAGTCTGATTCCTGAAAGTTGTATTGGTCTGTACTGGCCCAACAAACCTAAGATTAAGTCAATTTTTAAATAATGGCTATTGTACTGTATTCATCCCCCACATCCCCAAGCCAACCCCAAATCTAGTGTTTTCACATTTAAAATCAAGAAAAACCCTGTCTCTCCCAAATAATTTTCTAAGATTTTTATATATTAGCCTTCGGTGCAAGTAATATTATTGTTTTCTTTTTCTTTTTTTAATTCACCAAACAGAAAAAATATCGCCAGCATCCAGATACTCTCAAGTTTACCTCGATCGAAGATGCTCCGATTACAGTTCAGTCTAAAATTAACCAGGCCCAGAGGAGTGATGTAAGTGTCCTTCTTACCTGTGTCTTAATGAGTGTTACCTAACTGAGCACTTGCAATTATTATGGAATCTGAAGAGACTCAATGACAGGAGCAACTGTGTGATTCCCTCAGCTTTTCACTAGTAAGGCACACCTAATTCATGTCTTTGGAGTGTTCTGTACAGCGTGCTCGCTGTCCTTCCAGGACTTTGACATTGCTTCCTAAGGAGAAGGGAAGGGGGCTTCCCAAGAAACACTACAAGCCTATTTCTAGGGAAGACCAGGAAAATGAATATAGGAGCTACATCATATGAAGGAGTTATATTTTAAGTCAGAGCTAAGACAAAATCATGTGTAGTCAAACCTACGCATCAGTCCCTTTCAGAGCCCACAGAGTATAATAGAAGTGGTTGGTGTATCCCCCTGTGTTAGTCTTTCCTACGCTCAGTTAATCTGTGTCCACAGATTAACATTTTCATTGGCTCACCTTCCTGGACTAATTTCCACCAGGTGGCCCTACCTAGGTCCAGAGGTATCTAGTGCGTACATACCAAGGGGCCTTTGTCTAGTCTCAGCCAGCATGAAGGTAAGACCCTGTGTAATTGCATGAGACCTTGAATGCCTGCAGATATTTGCAGGTGAATATGGAGACCTCACAAAGCCTCTGCAGTGCAATCCTCTCTGAAATTGTTTTCCTGTGCCATTAAATCCCTTTTCCTACTTTATTAGTTTGTTTATGCATTTTTTTTCCCTTCCAGATTGTCTACAAAGCCAAAGGAGAGGAAATTCTTCACAAATACTGCCTGCCAGCGGACCTGCCCCAGTTCATTCAGGCTAAAGTTAATGCCTACAATATCAGTGAGGTGTGTGCACGGCTCAGCTGCTGATTGCACGATACGCCTTTTCTAAACGTGGACTGAGTTGTAGTTAAATGACATTTTTCTTTCAGAATATGTACAAAGCAGACTTGAAAGATCTGAGCAAGAAGGGATATGACCTGAGAACTGATGCGATCCCCATCAAAGCAGCCAAAGCTGCCAGGCAGGCAGCGAGTGATGTAAGTCCAGCTGGTGGTCACTGCTGTATAACCAGAAAATGTGGGTGGGGTGGACTTGTTACTCTGCTGTCCCCGCCTGGAAGCAAATCTGGTTGAAAACTATTTGTAGCCCTAGCCTGTGTGGCTCAGTTGGTTGAGCATCGCCCCCTACACTGAGAGGCTGCCAGTTTGATCCCCAGTCAGGGCACATGCCGGGCTTTTAACCCCCCAGTAGGGGGAGTGCAGGAGCCAGCTGATTGATACTTCTCTCTCAACAATGTTTCCCTCTTTCTCCCTCTCCTCTCTCTCTCTCTCTAAAAAATTAATAAAATATATTTTTAAAAATCTGTTTAAGAAAGAAAGTTTCCTGAACAGATCTGAATTTTCTTGGAGGTGAGAATTTATATACCTTCCCCAATCAAGAACCCTAATTCAAAATTCTCATGTGTACTTCCACACAAATGCACTTTATTCTTCTTGTGGAAATGAATAAGTTATACACTATTTAAATCATAATAGCTTCCTGATGGTAAAAGTTTATATCAAAACTTGCTTAATTTATATGAAATTCCCTATTGCTCAAATAAGAGAAATGACTCTCTTTTTATTTCATTACTTCTACAATGATGACTCAGCTTCAAGTTTTATAACCTCTAAAGTCAGTCATTAGATTCCATACAAGCTAGCAACTTTGTTTCTTTTGCTGTCTTACTTTAACCCAGCTGTGAACTGAAGTCACTTTGCTCCTTGGGAATCAAACAAAATTGATTTAAGCCCTCACCTGTTGTCCTCTAGGAAGTGGGACACCCTCCCTTGACCCCTGCAGGTGTCCTGAGGTTTTTGTTTCTTAATCGCCTGCCTCCTGGTTTGCTCATGGTGGTTTTGCTCTGGCTCACCTGGGTTCTCCGTCCCTGAATTCACTTCTCTTTTGGCTCTGTGTGATCCAGGGATGGAACTACAGCCCGTTGCTCTGATTTCCCCCAAATTCCAAGCCCAACTTGACAGATTGTTTGAAATGAAGTTGACATTGCACCAGTGTGAATATGCGACAGTTAAATACTAAATGCCTGTGTCCTAAAGGCCCTGCCATCCGAACTTTCTCAGTGATTCCCTTTCTCTGAGGGTGATGTCCTCCAGCGCCCTCCCCCAGCATACACATCTCTGCTTCTCAGTGTTCCAGGTTCCTTCCCAGGTCTCCCCAAGGAAGCTCAGTTCTCACTTTATTATTCAGAGAAAATTAGTGTTTACACACTACTGGCTCTGGGTCTCCCTTTGAATATGCAGACTCATTAAAAATTCTGCTACTACCACTATAATTCTATTACTAATCAAATACCAGCTATTTGGCACCTTCTTTAGTAGCCCAACGTCACTAGTAGAGACTGTTAAATAGCTCTCTTTCGTTTGTCTCGAGTGTCTAAGTGGGCAGGAACTCATTGCACTTAGTCATTGATATGAATTATAGTAACATCCCCGCCCAACCTCTCTAGGGTGGCAGAAACATCTATAGACAATCGAATGAGCTAAAAATAACACTTTAATTTTACCCAGCTACTTACAAGTGAGTATCTAATTGTTTGGTTATTGAAGTAATTTCTGGAAATCCCAGTTGCTTCAAACCATAGTCTCATTGTTCAGTAAAATCGTCATTACCACATTTTAAAATATGCTCACCTTTGTTTCTAATAGGTTCAGTACAAGAAAGATTATGAAAAAGCCAAAGGGAAAATGGTTGGCTTCCAAAGTCTCCAAGATGATCCTAAACTGGTTCATTATATGAACGTAGCCAAGATGCAATCAGACCGGGTGTATAAAGAAGGCTATGAGAAGTCAAAGACGAAATTCAACATACCCCATGATATGTTCAATGTTGTGGCAGCTAAGAAAGCTCAGGAAATTGTCAGCAATACCAACTATAAGCATCCCGTCCATCATTACACCTACCTGCCTGATGCCATGGACCTGGAGCTGTCTAAAAACATGATGCACATACAGAGCAATGTAAGTGATATTCACCCCGCAAGACAATCCCCCTTCGAGGTCAGAGCCTGCGTGAGAGAACCCCTTGCCCGGGGCGCTCACCCCTCTCCCCCCTTTGCTATAGAATGCCTACAAGGAAGACTACAACACCTGGATGAAAGGCATTGGCTGGATACCTATCGGGAGTCTGGATGTAGAGAAGGTTAAAAAGGCAGGTGATGCCCTGAGTGAAAAGAAGTACAGGCAACATCCAGACACCCTCAAGTTCACCAGCATCGTGGACTCCCCAGTCATGGTCCAGGCAAAACAGAACACACAGCAAGCCAGCGATGTGAGTAGAACAAAGCAGGGTGCTAAGGTTGGAGGGAGGCTTTAAGAAAATAAATATCGGCTTGGTTTGTTTTTTTACTTCTTCTGAGCCCATATCTTTTCCTTTTGAAATTATTTAATTCAAAATTAATAATTACAATTCTTTTTGGTGTGGGCACTTATATTTTCTTTTATTTCTATCTTGGTTTTTACCTTCCTTTTTGAGACCTCTTCTTTGACTCCCTTGAAATATTGTGGTATTGGATAAATTGACATGGTGCAAAAAAAATATTGCTCCAGTACCACACACACACACACACACACACACACACACACACACTATGTTTAAGCTTAAATCCCAGACACTTTACTGTAGAAAATTTATTATATCCAATTCTATATTAAGTTCCTCATATTTAGTTTTCATATGTAATACAGGGAAATAATATACATGAGTTTACGATTTTGCACCTCAATTTATCATATACAGTTATTATAGAGACTTTTTTACTTATGTCTTGGTGGAGATTGGTGTATTGTTTGCCTGTCTGTCCATAAGCCAGCTGTGGGCTGGCTCAAGTCAGACCTAAAGGAAAGACTGATGCATAGGTGAGTTAAAGAGGCATCAAAAGCACTCCTTTGTCAACTCATTGAATGAATGTTTTTGAACACCTTCCATGTGCCAGGCACTGAATTATGTGCTGATGGTATCAAGATTAAATAGACAACGATTAGTGGGCTATGGGAGATAACAAGGATACAAGGCCAGGGCATGGATGGAAACAGCTTTGCCACACAGAGAGATGAATGCTAAGTAAGTACTAGGGACAAGGGTAACTGCCTACCACACTTTCCCTGGCAGATATGGGGAGGAAGGGTACTTTCTTGGCAAAAGGAAAATCATGACAGTGAAGAAGTAATGAGCGGAAGGACAGTGAAGGGCTCAGGATTGTAACCTGATCTCTGAGGGTTTTGTATGCTAATTTATAATCTGGGCATTGTGGAGTAGGTAACAAGATGCATCGCATATTTTTAATCCATGAAGTTGCATTGTCATGTCTGTGTTTTAAAAGATAAATCTGGCTATAAGTACAGAGGCTGTATTGGACAGGGGAGAGGTAGGAAGCAAGGAGATGAATTAGAAAGCTGTTACAGTTATCCAGCAGAAGGTTTAGTGGGACTTGAAGGCAGAGGCAATGGGAAAGGAGATGTTTAGAAGGTAGAATTAATGAGATTCTGTGAATGCTTAGAAATGATTCCTAAGGGCAGTGAGGTAGTAAGGATAGCTCTTGGATTCCTAGAAGAAATTATTTAGTAATTGAGGATTTGCTTAATGATCAGCCATCTCAGACTTGACTTGTGATGTATACACACCCGTTCACACGTGATATTCCACATAGACATGCCTAGGAAATGGAGGTCTATGATAAATAAAAGAGATTGAAAACCTACTTGTGGTTCCTGTTCTATTATAGTTTTAGAAATTAAACAATTTCTTTCTTTACTGTTACCAAGAGGAGGATACAATATGATTTCTACATCATACACTTTGAGATTTTTGCACATCTTTATTTAATTTTCTTTCTTTATTGATTTTTGAGAGAGAGAGAGAGAGAGAGAAACATCGATGAGAAAGAACATCGATTGGCCACCTCCTGCATGCCCCCCACTGGGGATTTGGCCCATAACTTGGGCATATGCCCTGACCAGGAATCGAACCCATGACATTTTGGTGCATGGGTCAACGCTCAACTACTGAGCCACACCAGCCGGGTACTTTTGCACATGTTTAAAATGACAAGTTAGGGTAAATATGCAATGGTAAACCTTTTGAGTATACTGGATTTATGTATAAGCACATTCATTTAATGAAATTATTATATGCTTTTACTGATGCAATTATAATCAGAAAGTTTTAAGCAGAAGTGAAAGACTCATTCTAACCATCATTTCCTCTTTAAAAGTAAAAAAACAAACAAAAACAACACACGACTTTAAGAACTATTAACTTCACTGGCAAAGAACGAACTTTTCCGGCTTTGGTGAATTATGTAATTCATGTTAGAGTTTCCCATTTGAACCTATTTTTCATTGATCTTTGGCAGTAAGTGATTTCTGTTCTTTTAAGGATTTTTTTCTGTCATTTGTCATACACAAAGTTGTTGGCTTTTCCTAAAGATAACAAGGTCCTTGAGTTTCTTAAAAACAAGGAAATACCTTTGATATTTTTAAACAATACGAATAGTGGGGGACTGTGCTAGGAATAATTCCGTTAAGTATGCAATTACTGTATTTTGCATTTTGTAGTATTTGAAATGCGTTTTATTTCTGTGGCTGTGTTCGCAGATCTTATACAAAGCGAAAGGAGAAGATGTGAAGCATAAGTACACCATGAGCCCTGACCTTCCGCAGTTTCTTCAGGCCAAGTGCAATGCTTACAATATAAGTGACGTAAGTAGGATCTTTGATGGGGCGTGAAATCCAGAAATGATGATGAAATCATAGAATTTTCAGGTGTGATGGGGCCTTGACAATTATTTAGGTCAACTGTTGCAGCATAGCCCGTGGTGATGGTCCTGAACCTCTGGACTTGGCCTTTTCAAGTGTGGGACAACTCTAAAGGATTCTTCCTCTTTTTTTATTGAGTTTATGGGTGTGACCTTGGTTAATAAAATTATATAGGTTTCAGGTGTATAGTGCTATAATACATAATCTGTATATTGTGTTGTGTGTTTGCCACCCCAAGTCAAGTCTCCTTCCATCATTTATCCCCCTGTACCCTCTTCTACGCCCCTCACCCCTTTTCCCCCTGGCAATCACCATGAAAGAGTCTTCTTCATGTAGAGCTCAACATCTGGTTCTCTAAAACTTCTATTTAGTTTTCCCAGTTTTGCATGTGGAGGAGGTACATATCCTCCAGAAAAATAAGAATAAAGAGAGTCCTTTTTTTTTTTTTTTTTAAACAACAGTCCTAAAATTTCTAAAGCTAACCACTGGGTCTTCCCGGGACCTTCTTTTCATAAGACTGAATAACTTCATTTTCTCCAGTCGGTCCTCACATACCAGGTTTCCAGAAGCTTTATGAAGTTCGTCTGAACCACTCCAGTTTCCCAAGGTCCCTCTTCAACAAGCGCCCTCACCAGATTTGGGTGAATAATTGGTGCCGAGCCCAGTAATTTCCTGCCACGTCAAGTGTGACGTTTTGCTATAGGCAGTTCTTTACGCTTCCATCTGGAGAGGAATAAGACAGTCCCAGCTGTTGAGGAATCACTTTGGCTGATTAATACACAGCATGCTGACATCCTTTTCTTTCCCTGTGCCAGGTCTGTTATAAGCGGGACTGGCATGATCTAATAGCCAAGGGCCACAACGTGCTGAGCGACGCTCTGCCCATCACTGCGGCCAAAGCGTCGAGGAATATTGCCAGTGATGTGAGTAAATGTTCCGGGCGAAATCTGGGTGACCGCCTTTTTAAAAAGTAAACAAATGTGTGCTTGTTTAATTGATGTCACATTGAAAACAATACGTTCGATTAATGACATTCAAATTCTCCACAAACTATTGCTTTGAGACACTGTCATGTCTCCAGGCTTTGTGATTCGTTGACCCCACGTGGGGAGCTGTGGGGAGCTGTGGGGAGCCCGAGAGCAGCGGTCTCCCCCATTCAGAGCCCAATTACCTCCCCCGACACTCCCTGACAGCGCAGGTTTCAGTGAGGACACCCTGCCTGGCACGAACGCATTGAATTCAGGTGCCTACCTGCACTACCATTGTATTAAGAAGACAGAAAAGATGTTAAATAACATGTACAGACTTTATTTTATTTTTATGTATTGAATTTAGTGGGGTGACACTAGTTAACAAAATTATACAGGTTTCAGGGGCACAATCCCACAACACATCATCTGTATTGTGTGTTCACCACCCCAAGTCAAGTCTCCTTCTATCACCATGTATTACCTTTTACCTCCCCACCCCTGGCAATCACCATTTTCTAAGCCAAATGGGGAAAGGCCCACTTTTCTAGAATGTAATTTTGATTTATGTAAATTGATACCCATTTTGTCTGTAATAGAAGTACACACTATTCTTCTCGCCATCACTGAAAGCAGCATTTTCTCAGAGCACACATGCCCTGCACTGTCACCACCATTCCAGGGGTGCGGCCTTGGTCCGAGGAGGGGCAGTGTGTGCAGGCTGCAGGGGAGACGGGAGTGAGGACTCCGCCGCTCTCCTCCTGCGGCCGCGCCTGCCACCGCTTCCTCGGGGCGCGCACGCCACGCTGAAATACATCTCCAGTTTAAGGAGAAAGTGAACGTCTACAGCAGGACGTTATGATGATGATGTTAGCACTTGCACAGAGCTTTTTCTAACACGCCCAGAGATTACTCAATAATCCTGTTGCCCACCAAACTCTTGTTGATAAATTGGTGCTTAAACGGCAGGAGCAGCGTGTCTGCAGAGTTTAGGTGGATTTGAATCTCTTTACGTGAAAATGGGGTTTTGGCCTGTTCCATACAGTATAGCTCAATCTGCAGCACACTGCCGATTCCGGCAGCGAGAGATGTTGGGCATCAGAGATTTTGTGGTTAGATATTTACTGGTGGGGAAGCTCCCAACAGTTCCCGCCCTTACTGCAGCTCCTTCATTCACCTGCTGCTGCTTCCGCAGCGAGCTGGGGGGCTGGGGCAGGTGAAGACCCGCCACCTAAACCAGCGTCTAAACCGATGCTACATAGAAAGAAGAGGGTTCTGTTTTAACCCTATTCGGTCAACCTGAGACAAAAATCACAGTGATTATTTTTACCCCCCAACCCCAAGATGATCTGAGAGTAAATGTCTCACATGCAGAATTTTTTAGAGTTTCTCCTGCACCTGTTGTGTACAAATTACTGGGCCAATCAGAACAAAAAAAAAATAGAAGGTTTTCTCAATAATTTATAATATTCTATGATATGCAATAATATAATGGATTCAGTAGAGTTGCATTCCTGGAAAACCAAGAGATATTGATCTAATATTTGGAATGTGTCATGTTTATATTAAGTGTGAAAATTCAATTGGCTTTAAATAAAGTTCTAAGTGCAAATCATCTGTAGGATTGATAACAAAGAACAGAAACTGGTCCTGAGTGTATCATGATGCCCATTTGTAATACAGTAGTGATGGGAATAAATGCTGTCACTGAACTTTCTGGGGACTGTGTGTGGGGGGGTTATGGTTTGCCTTTTTGTACAATCTTCCAGAAAGTCACAATGTTTTGAGTGCCTTTTTGTGTGACTATAATTGCTATATTTAATACTATTGCCTAGGACTTTGCTAACCAAATTCTACCTCTGCAGTATAAATACAAGGAAGCTTATGAGAAGGCCAAGGGAAAGCATGTGGGCTTCAGAAGCCTCCAGGATGATCCCAAGCTGGTCCACTACATGAATGTGGCAAAGTTGCAGTCCGATCGTGAATACAAGAAGAACTATGAGAACACCAAAACCAGCTACCATACCCCTGGGGACATGGTTAGCATTACAGCTGCAAAGATGGCCCAGGATGTTGTGACCAACGTCAATTATAAACAACCGATACATCACTACACGTACCTACCTGATGCCATGAGTGTCCAGCACACCAGGAACGTGAACCAGCTTCAGAGTGATGTAAGTCTATAGACCCGAGCAGACCCAGGGATGCTGGCATGCAAGGGATAATCATTTCTTCCTACTTTAGTAGACGTCACAATACAATATTTGAAAAAGTGTCCTTTAAAATAATCATTATTGAAACACGAACAATAATGATTGTTAGAAAGGCATGGTAGACAAGCTGTGTTTTTTGCTGGCCTTCTGTATGCCCAGTGTAATCATTGGCGGTTAACTTCTGGGTCAAAGAGGAAGCCATATTCCACTAAGTATATGAGGCACCTTGATTCTCAACAAGAGGAAATGGTTGCTCCTGGGGTGCTTGCTTCCGTGGTGATATGTATAATGCAAAATAGGAGTATTCTTTATTCTTTCTGAATTCCGGAAAGTTATTTTTGACTTTTTTTTTTTTTTTAACTCAAGGTCACACTCTCATGCATGTAAATCTCTGTGACAAGTCATCTAAAGTGAACCAGGAAGGCGTTGTGATTGCAGCATAATTCACGGGGAGCCGCAGAGGGAGGTGTTTAACATTCAGGGCTTTTTCTTCTGCAGGAGCCAGATGTCTATAGGAATCGTCCTCTGAAAAGGGAGGAAATGGTGTTCATTCATTGCTGCTCAGTGAAAATGTCTCTCCTTAACTGAGATCAGGAATAGCCTAGGTGGACAGTGTGGGTGAAATTCAAAGCGGTGGAGTTTTCAGTGACATCAAAAGGAAAGCCCAATTTATTGTCAAAAGAGACACAATGTTTTTCAGCAGCACCCATGGAAATATGTGGCTTAGATTCTCTCTGTGTTGCATAATGCACTCTAACAACAGAACTGCCTTTTCTTATTACCAACTTCTGGGCGAGAAGCTCTGTGGCAGACCTACCAAAGCCTCATTACAGATGCAAACATGCTGAGAAAGTGGCTAGTCATTTCCCCTGCAGAGGACTGCAGATTTCAGAAACACCGCTTGACTGTTCTCTAGGACACATCCTCATATGGGATTGCTCTTTTGCAGAATGTATATAAAGACGACTACAACACCTTCTTCAAGGGCGTTGGATGGATCCCTATTGGTTCTCTGGAGGTTGAGAAGGCCAAGAAAGCAGGCGATGCATTGAATGAGAGGAAGTATCGACAGCACCCAGACACCATCAAGTTCACAAGCGTGCCTGATTCCATGGGCATGGTTTTGGCTCAGCAGAACACAAAGCAGCTGAGTGATGTAAGTGGTTTCCCTTCAGAAGTGTTTGTTCCTGAATAACCCCGTGACAAGCCATTCCACCATCCTTCTTAATTCAATACCTGAAGCCGCATCTATGTTACCAAATCAACTGCTTTCAGAGGTATAATAAGAAGATTTTCCTTTTGAAGTCCCTTAGAACTTGAACATAAGCAGAACAGGGAGAGGAGGAGGGGACTGTTCCAAATTTGCTTTACTTTCCGAAAGTAGAGAATCTGTGCTATTCATTAGACACACGAAATGAAATTGTTAGTATTGTTATCTGTCACTCTGTCTGAATGGCAAAGCAAGCTATTTATTGCTCTCAGTTGCAACAGTTCTACTTAGCTACACTGGGAAAAGGCGTAATAATGTCCTAATCCCCGTGGACAATAGCTGGGTGTTCTGAGGGGCAGTCTAGAGAGGCCTCTGGGAAGGAGCTAAGCAGTTTACTTAGCTCCTTAATCCTCTGGCGTCTCCTCTCTGAGCCCAGGTCTATCTGGACCCTTATTCTTAGTCAGAGGCTGATGACAATTCTCAATGCTTCAATCCATTTGGTAATTTCAGAGTTCTGTTGAAATACCTCCAGCAGAAAGAGGAAGGTAAGTAAAAAACAAAGAAGGGAAGACTTAGTGTTTTTAGCCCCGACTATGGGGAGGTGGGGAGGCTTATCTGTGGATTTCATTTCTCACACTAGTCCCTGCTCCCACATTACCACATGTGTTTCAAGATTAATTCTATTTTCACGGTAATAAATGACATAGAGTTTTCTGATTTCTTTGGTATTAGCCGAGGTGTCACATCTTACTGCGTTTTCTCTAGTTAGCTAGGAAAACTGTGCTCGGTCACTGTCTTCCCCATTCCAACAAATGCCATTGACATCTCTCTAGTCGCCCAAACCAGAAACCTGGCTGTCCCCACGGAGGCCTCTCTGTGCGAACCCCCAGCCAGAACCTCTGCTGCGTCAGCCTCCTGCATCTCTCTCAGCCACCCTGCCTGACACCTCTCATTCTTTCAGCCGCCAGCCCAGTTCCATGTCTCTCCTGTGGACAACTGCCATCCTCTGGCGTCTGGACTCCATGCCCGGGGGCACACACCACAACCAGAGAGACCATCTGACATCACATCACATCCCTCTTATACTTAAAACCCCTTAGTAACTTCTCCTTCAACACATTAACGTGGCTGCAAAGGCGCCCAGCCCTGTGGCCCCACTCTCCATCCTGCCTGACCCCTGGCCCCCCTCGGCCACCCCAGCCCTGTAACAAGGCTGCCTTCGGGCTCTCGGGCTGGCCACGCCCTTTCCAACTCAGGGCGCAAAGCTCCTCTTCTGCATGGACCCCTCCCTTTTCTTCAAGTTTGGGCTTTTGCTGACCACCCTTGTTTCTTCCCTAAAAAGTTATTTTATTTACAACACATCACAGAATCTAGCTCAGTCTTATAGTTGTGTTTATTCTCTGTCTCCTCTACTAGTCTCTAAGGTCCAGATACCAGTCTGCCTTTTTCAACCCTTTAAACACAGAACCTACCACCCTACCTGGCCCATGGTGCGGTCCAATAATTATCAGCGAAGTGAACTAATGACTATGTGTGCAAGCACCCCCCCCCTCTGTGATAGTTTGGCATTTGCTTTATACAGGCACACCTCGTTTTGTTGTGCTTTTTTTGCGCTTTGCAGATAATTGAGATTTTTACAAATGGAAGGTAATACCCTCCACCAGCAAAAAGAGTCACTGAAGGCACAGATGATTATTAGCATGTTTTTTAGCAGTCAAGCATTTTTAAATTAAGGTATAAACATTGTGGTGGTTGGTTTTTTTTTTTAACAAATGCTATTGCACATTTAATAAACTTTAGTGTAGTGTAAATATAACTTTTATGTGCACTGGGAAACCGGAAAATTCATGTGACTCGCTTTGGTGATATTCACTGCACTGCGGTGGTCTGGAACTGAGCCCACAGTGTCTCTGGGGTAGGCCTAAATATGGAAAACACAAACGATAGCCTTGCTCTGTAAAGGAGAGTGTGCTTGATGGAACTCACATCGTGTGAGCTGACGACGTTTGCGTGCTGTCTCCTTTGTTTCCAGCTGAACTACAAGGTGGAAGGGGAGAAGCTGAAGCACAAGTACACTATAGACTCCGACCTGCCTCAGTTTATTCAAGCCAAGGTCAACGCCCTCAACATGAGTGATGTGAGTGTTTGTCCTGGAGACAGGCTAATATTGCTCACCTGGGCCTTTCCTCTCCAGTTCTGGGTAACTGTAGAACTTAGAATCTTTATGGGGAAGAAACGGAGTGACTGCCAGTTGGCCCTGCGCTGGACCCGGGCAATTGCAGGCTGCTCACCTCCTTCCCTGTCCTAGGAATGTGTGGTCTGCCTGTCCCCACAGTGGGAGCTACTTTCAAGGGCACAGCCTTGAGAGAACAATGTGTTGTTGAGACCCTCTGGACGGTATATGTGCTGAACCCCATTAAGGCCTCTATATAAACTTTTAAGATTCTGGCAGGTGGGTGTGGAGATCTACTATGAGGCCACCAGGGACAAGCCTCAGACGGAAGTTCCCTTGCTTACTAACCCTGCACCCACCAGTCTGGAGTGACCTGCCTCTTTCTGCAGTCTCTCCTTGCCCTCCACGTACAGGACCAACCCAAAGTCTTCAGATTGGACTCTTACCGTAGAATATAGACTAGAGGCTACCATGAAATTTCACTTAATGCAGACTTTTCCAAACTGTGGGCTGTGACTCATCAGTGGGTTATAATGTCAATCTAGTAGGTTGTGTTCCATTAAAAAAAAAAAAAAAAGAACAAAATGGGATAGACAAAATTGGAAAATATAGCAGTACATAGTCTGTAGTAGGGTTAAGTTTTGCTTTAGTTAACTTTCATTTCAGTTATTTGTTAAAACTTCTAAGAAAGTTTACTGTAATTCTCTTTAGAAACTCTTTTTTGTGTGTAACTAGCCTCTCAGATAGTCTAGATACAACTTGGTGGTGATGTTTAAATTTACTATTATGAATTGCTTCCTTTTGCTCGTTTTTTTTTTTCTTTCTTTCTTTATTGATTTTAGAGAGAGAGGAAGAGAGAAGGAGAGAGGTAGAAACATCCATGAGAGAGAACATCAATTCAATTGGCTGCCTCCTGCATGCCCCCCACTGGGGATTTGGCCCACAACCTGGCATGTGCCCTGACCAAGAATCGAACTGGTGACCTCTTGGTGCATGGGTCAACACTCAACCACTGAGAGACACCGGCCGGGCTTTTTCTTGTTTTTCTTTTTTTTTTAAGTTGGTAAATTCTAGTTTATAAACATAAACAAACCTGAAAAAAATTGTTTATTTCTTAAAAGATGCCTTCATCATTCTTCCTAATTTTTTTAGGCTCTCTTTTTTCTCCAAATAAACAGATTTTGGTACTCATTTCTATGCATTTTGTTTATTTAGAATTTTCCCCTGCTGTTATAAGTAATATTTAAACATGAAGGTTAAAACTGGGAGATACTACATCTGGAATTTTAATTTTAGTCACAAATACCTTACTGTACATTAAAATGCTTTATTATTTAAAATACCATAAAATAAAAATATTACACACTTATTATACAAAAGTTGGAAATATAGAAAGTTATGAAAAAAATTTAAATCCGTTATCCCCCATTCAAAGCATTACCTTTTAGTTGCTTAGTTATGCCAACATATACATTTTAAAGCAGTTGAAATCATACTTTGTATATAATTACTGATGTTTTTTAAAAGACTCTGATAGATTCATAAAAGATGAACTAATAGCCCAAGTGTGTAAATTCTCTTAATAGAAAGGGGCATATTATGTCATGTTATATAAGAAAGATTTTAGCGTCCTCTTTTATTCTTTTAATTTTGTCAAATAATAAAATAATATATTTTTTTTTTTATTTTCAAGGCTTTCTATAAATCAGACTGGAAGAAAACCCTTGCCAAGGGCTATGATTTAAGAACAGATGCTATTCCAATTGTTGCTGCAAAAAGTTCAAGAAATATTGCTAGCGATGTAAGTCTAATTTGAAAGTATATATTTTCAAAATCTTTACAAGGAAGCTATATAAACTATATTAGAAAGAAAATAAAAAAGTTATGGTATTAAAATATTTTCTAGTATCCTAAGTACCAATGATTTTTTTATATTGTTCCACTTTAAAATCTTTAATAACTCAATAGAGTTGTTACAAAGAAGAAAATTCTTTTTTTTTTAAACTATAAAATATTTGGAACTCTCTTTAATATCATTGTTATGAACTAGAAAACTGATTTTTATTTGAATTTTGTCAAGAAAAAAACCTTGCTATACTAAAATGTTGCTAAATTAGAAAAGTTTCAAAGTGTTTTATAAAAACACAGTTTTTAAATATTTCCACACAGAAATTGGTAAATATGAAAAACCAGGAAGAATTCTAGATTAAAATGACAGGATTTTAGTTACTTAATTAATTAGTTCTAACAAATGAAGTTGTGATTTCTATATGTATTGATATAATACCTTGATAGTATTAAAAATGCAGTCATTTGTCATCCAATACACTAAATATTATAAGGGTTTTGCTGAAATTTACTTAGGATTATGCAAATATTTTATAAGATAATGCAAGGTAACAATGGAAACAGATAATATAAAAATACAGCAAACCCTAAATAAACTTTTCAGCAACCTTTGACCATATCCAAAGAATCTACTTATGAATAATCTAAACTACAAATTATTCCATTTTTAATTATACCCAGAGGACATTCAAGATCCTCCATTAAAAATACTTCTCTATTTTTTATTTTATTTTATGATAATAACACTATATTTAGACTGAATTTGGCTATTGCTTAATTTGTTAATATAAATTCAGTTTAATACTTTAGTGTTTTCTACATTATACCTTATCAAACTTCTGTTTGCCCTTCTTTTTCATGTAGTTCAAATATAAAGAGGCCTATGAGAAAGCCAAGGGCAAGCAAATTGGATTCCGTAGTCTTCAGGATGATCCTAAACTGGTTCACTACATGAATGTAGCCAAAATGCAGTCAGATCGTGAGTACAAAAAGGGCTATGAAGCCAGCAAGACCAGGTATCACACACCCTTGGATATGTTCAGTGTGACAGCAGCCAAGAAATCTCAGGAGGTTGCTACCAACACCAACTACAGACAACCCTTCCACAACTACACTCTGCTGCCCGATGCCATGGATGTGGAGCATTCCAAGAATGCGATGCAGATTCAAAGTGATGTACGTAATGATCAACAGATTGTTGGCAGAGAATCACTCATTTCTAGCTGGTGGGAGGGAGGAACAAGTAATCAGCAATTCCGCTCACTCCAACCTAAACTTAGCCAACTCAGTGTAATTAGTGGTCCTCTCCAGAATTTAGAGCTTTAGGATTTTACTCATTTGAACTATATGTAGCTTCTTTGGGGGGTTATTATATACATAGTTTAAAACTTTGGATGTTGGACCCAATATATATATGTATCTTTAAAAAAATGAGAGATTCAAATGGGTGCTATATGTTTTCTAGTGCAAAATTCTGTTCATTTTTCCCCCAAGAAAGTTAAATTTTTAAAGGAATTATGGTTCCAGATTTCCAGTATGAAACCACCATGAATGCAATCTCTTTTATAATTAATTGTTTTCCAAAAGATAAGAGGGACTAAAAACCAGATTATTCTCCCTCAACTCCTTTTTCCCTTCTTGATAATGAGTGAATTGTTGAGCCAAAGAAACCTGTGCCTTGACTCTTTCTGAAATGAAAATTGCCTTTTATGTTGTAAAGAATCTATACAAATCCGACTTCACCAACTGGATGAAAGGCATTGGCTGGGTCCCGATAGAGTCCCTGGAAGTGGAGAAGGCAAAGAAAGCAGGAGAGATTCTTAGCGAGAAGAAGTATCGCCAGCACCCTGAGAAGCTGAAGTTCACATATGCCATGGACACGATGGAACAAGAACTTAACAAAAGTAACAAATTGATTATGGATAAGGTAAGAACTCTCCTGCTGGCTCAGCCTGAGAACCCTCACATGGCTCATGCCACTGAGCCTGTCGCTGCCATCATGATCCTCGTTAGCATTTAATCTTTCTGATGGTGGTGGTGAGAAGGGCATTCTATAACTTTTATCATGTCCAGAGAGCTCTCACTTACACTGACCTTTGGGCGGTTGAGGCAAGACGGTATGTTGTTTCAGTGGAAAAGGACTCCCTTGTTTGATCATTGTTTTCCTCAGCATGCATGTGTCTGGTTTCATCAGCCCCTCTTGCTATTTCACCCATTTCCCAACATTAGATTTAAGCTCTTCGAAAGTGGAGTTGTGAGTCTCTTCCTCTTGATAGCACCACCACATACTGGTCCTGCTGTCCAATCACGTGCCTCCCCTTCTTGTTGTAGAGGCGCTACGTTGAGAAATGGAATAAAGACAAGACCACCATTCACGTCATGCCCGATACACCAGACATTCTACTCTCCAAAATGAACCAAATCACTATGAGTGATGTAAGTAGATGGACAACCAAAGGAGGGGAGAAAGCGAAGGGAACTGATATTTATGGAATGCCTGTCTTCCGCATGCCACCACTTGAAATCAGGATCCCCGTTCTAACCCCAATGACAAGATGCTGACTTTTTTTTCTATTTGATCATTAAGAAACTGTACAAAGCTGGCTGGGAAGAAGAAAAGAAGAAAGGCTATGACTTGAGAACAGATGCCATCTCAATAAAGGCTGCAAGAGCCTCTAGAGACATTGCCAGTGATGTAAGTGCTTCCATTGGGCCTTCCTTAGGCTGAGTGAATCAGAGCAAATGAGTCAAGTTTGTGTGTTTGTAGGAGCTACAGTCAGCTCTACCCAATGTCGGTGGGGCCATCATCCCATGTAACACACAAGCCACATCCCTTCACTCCGTCCAAGGACCCTCCCATCACTTGTCCATTATTTAATGTAAAAAGTGACTGGATCTTGTTAAAATAAGTTGCTTTTAGAGCATTCAAATCATTTATAGGCAATTCTAAGCAAACATAGGGATGCAAGCTACAAATTTTACCTAGGAGACCCATGATCAGGCTTTTCCTGAATTTAAAGATGCCCCATGAAAAACTGTGTCTACAGCCTTTTCTGCTGGTCAGACAGCTGAGCTGGAAAAGTACTTTCTAAAACTCCCAAAACCACTTATTTCCACACTTCTTTGATTAACTCTGAAATCCTTTTCTTTCCCTGGACTCAAGTCTGGCAAGACATTTGAAGTCAAAAGGTTTTGTTCCCTGTCTCCTAAAATTCTTTCTAAATTTAGGGTAGCTCTAAAACTCTACAATGAGAAAGCCAATGGCATCTACTTCATTATATTTTCTTCTCTTTCCTCCACTGTCTCCATCACCATATGTGTTTTCTCTCTCTGCAGTTCAAGTACAAGCAAGCCTATGAACAAGCCAAAGGGAAGCACATTGGCTTCCGAAGCCTAGAGGACGACCCCAAGTTGGTGCACTTCATGCAGGTGGCCAAGATGCAGTCAGACCGGGAATACAAGAAGGGCTACGAGAAATCTAAGACATCCTTCCACACCCCGGTGGACATGTTCAGTGTGGTGGCAGCCAAGAAGTCTCAGGAAGTGGCCACCAACACCAACTACAGGAATGTGATCCATACCTACAGCATGCTTCCTGATGCCATGAGCTTTGAATTGGCCAAAAACATGATGCAGATTCAGAGTGATGTATGTGACAGCCACACCATTTGCAGAACATTTACTCTGCTTAATAAGCAAATCAGTAATGACCCTTAGTAATGACACTCTGAAAATCCTGAGAGAAATTCATGTGTAATTTCCCAATAAGGTGTTTTATTATTATTATTTTTTACTTAGGTTAAATTTATTTATTTATTTTAAACAAAAGGGGATCAATTCTAGAAACTAAAGTCTTAATTTCTACCATTATTGCTGTGAGCCTTGTTGGGTATTGGATTCAGGAAAGGCAAATGAAATTTTGTTTCAGAAAGAACGTTGAAAGAAGTATGTCCACCAAAGAGAGTCAGAAGCATACGAGGCTCCTGATTAAGGAGTAAGAGGGAAAGCAGGAAATCAGATGACGTGATAGCTCGTGCCTCTCACTCCCAACCAGCTTTCATTCCATCATGTCTAACTTTTGAGGAATTGATGGCTTATTAGAATGAATGTGAGAAAGGCACAGACTAGAGAGCCAAGAATTCAGCTCTAGAGGACATCTGGTGGCTGGGAAAAGTGAATTTAAATTATGAACCAAAGGCAGGCCACCCCGAGCCTACATTTCTTTTTGGGAATGTAAGAGCTGAGCTATTATCTCATATGTATAATATAATATGATATATGATATGATATGATATGATATATATTACATATATGAGGAGGTATGCAAGTGCCCAAATGAAAGCAACTGTGTATATACTTGTGGAGGAAAAAAGTGAAATTTGCACAAAGTATCAGTGAGGTTTCTGGTGTACCTGAGGGAGTTGTAACAGTGGAGACTGATCAAAGACTTATAGCAAAAGAAAGAAATGAGGTCTCCATAAGTCATCTATTAACCAGGGGAACTTGAGAATTTTTGTAAGAAAGTTAGTCCAACATGGTTACATTTTGCGAGATAATAGTAACATTGGCAATTAATCTACTTGTTTATTTATTTATTTTTTAAGCCTTTTTCCTTCAGGAAGGCATGTAGAAAAACAAATCACAATAATATGACTGCCCATTTTTAATTTCTCGTGTAAGAAAATGTATAAAAGTTGAAGTTTAGGAATAAAAATAGTTGAAGTTCAATATAGTATGGGTTGGAAACTGAAACAGAACTTAAGACGTATTTAAAAAGCTATGCATGGTTCTTAGAAGTTTTGGTTCCTTCTTCATGGACTTGTCCTCTTCTGCAGAATCAGTACAAAGCTGACTATGCTGACTTCATGAAAGGCGTGGGATGGATCCCTTTGGGCTCCCTGGAGGCGGAGAAAAACAAGAAAGCCATGGAGATTATCAGTGAGAAGAAGTACCGCCAACACCCAGACACTTTGAAGTATTCCACATTGATGGACTCGATGAACATGGTTTTGGCTCAGAATAATGCAAAAATTATGGATAATGTAAGTCTCTCAATAATGTCGTGTTGCATCTGCCTCAGGAAGAAGCCAGGCATATCCTCCATTTAATCTACAGATTTTGCTGACAGTTTTAGGGCATCATAATTAATGTTTACTTCACCTTGAAAGAAGGCCTTATAATTTAAAAAAAATATTTTAGTCTTAATAAGTGCGCCTGCCCTTGATGAACCTCTCTAAATAAATATGGGCTCTTTTTTAAATGCAGATCTTGAAAATGAGTCCTGTTTGTGAGTTTGAGTAGAAGTCCATGAGACTGAGTCAGAAGACTGCCTGAGAGCAGCAGGCTGTTACCCCCACCCTGCTCCCAGCTGCTGGGATGGGATGGAAGCAGACTCCCAGATCACAGGGCCATCGCAGCATCCTGAACCAGGACCTTCTCTGGGCAGTCATGAGAGCAGTCTTTATCCACCAATAGTTTCTTGGATTACTAACTATTCTAGTCTTTAGAAAAGCCTTAGTATATTTTTATATTTTTTTAGCTATAAGTTGATATCAGGACCAACAAGTACCTCAACTTTGGACTCCAGTTTTTAAGTGACAAGTAATAAAATAATTGCAGCAGCATTGGCTGTTTTATGTCGATCACTATTTAAAATGCTATTGATTAGCAACAAAGGGGGCACATTATTTGGACTATAACACTCGGCAGTTGCAGAAAATGATGGTCCGGAAGACAGAGCTGTATGATGCTAAATCTCTGAGTCAATCCTCTGGAGACTTCTGATCTGTCAAGAAGACCAACCTCCTTGAAAGGAATTTGCCTAAAAGACAAAGCACAACTCAGTGCCCCTTTTGCCGTTTAAAATTTAAACTATCACAAGCGTACATGTATTTCTAAAACGTTAAAACTTTCATTTTTTTTTTCATTGTTAATGGTTACCATTTCAGAGTAATGATGCCAAGAGGAGAATCATAGAAATAGCAAATGCTAATAGTGAGAGATAGCTTGGTGGTCAAATTGAATCCTCTCATTGCAGCATTGAGAAAAGCGTGGCCCAGAGAGGCAAGGCACCTCCCCTAATGACACACAGCAGGTTAACTACTGGGTCTGGACTAGAACCAAACTGAAAACAATAAATCAAATGTCTGTCGGTAAAGAACAGGTTAGCTCAATTGGGTTACACCCCATGGAAGAGTAAACTCTTTAAATATATAAAGTAAATTATTTTAAGAAGTTTAAAAGACGTCTAACCTGTGTTATTAAGTGAAAAAGCAAGATGTAGAACATTACATATTATGTGACCTCGTTTATATTTAAAAATAACTATGTGTGGGCTTTAATATGCCTAAACATTTTAGGATGAAGATGCCACCTCTAGGCTATCAGACAAGAAGATAGGACATTTTACTTTCTAGCCTATGTCCTCTCCACTGTCTTGTTTGAATGAGTACTTTTTCATTTAAATTTTATAAAAATAAGACCTAGCTAATAAAAATACATAAAAATTGATATGTATGTACAGTGAGAGAGAGAGAGAGAGAGAGAGAGAGAGAGAGAGAGAAAGTTTCCTTTTAAGATACTAACTTCCACTGGGGGTTTTTGTTTTTACTTTCTAGCACCTCTACAAACAAGCTTGGGAGGCTGACAAGACCAAAATCCACATGATGCCTGATATCCCCCAGATTATTTTGGCAAAGACAAATGCAATTAACATGAGTGATGTAAGTATTATTCCCCTGCTGTCACCATGCTTTCCCGCCTATTTGAACCGGTAAAAATGAATGAATTAATTAATATGTCTTCATTATGAGAGTAGATGATTTGGAAGTAAAAGTGAGAATCCTAAACAGAATCTTTCTCTATCTTGCTTTGCTAACAGTGGGCCTGTCTATGGGCCTCGGGCCCAGCAATTAGGAATTTGAAGGGCAGGTGCATTTTGTTTTAGGGGTAGGTCCTCCTTCTCAAACGAAGACACTTGGCAAAAAGAGAAGCTCTTGGGGGCCAGGAGAAGAGAAAAAGAAGTGAGAGTTCTAGGATCTCATTCTTTTTTTTTTTTTTTTTTATCCTCATCCGAGGACATTTTTCCATTTTTTGTTCAGATAGAGTGGGAGGGAGAGAGAGGAAGAGAGAGAGAGGGAAACATCGATGTGAAAGGGACACATCGAGTGGCTGCCACCCGCACGACCTACCAGGGCCGGGGACAAGCTGCAACCGAGGTACATGCCCTTAGCGGGAACCGAACCCGGGTCTCTCCGGACCGCAGGCCGATGCTCTAACCGCTGAGCCAAACTGGCCAGGGCGTAGGATCTCATTCTTAGAAAATCCATCCACTAAGACTTTGAGATGGTCCTAAAGAAGGGGTCTGGGGAAAGTTCAATGGAAAGGGAAGATGCACATTCTGAGGAATTTGGGGCAAGCCTCATAACAAGAAATGTGTGGCAGTTAATATCAGAAAATGCATAGTTGTTTTATTTCACTTCCTTTCTAACCCTAACCCATGGTTACTAGGAAATCCTCTAATTCTGCCAGTTATTTTTTCTTTTTCCTTTCTATTCTTTGTTTGAAGTACACAAGAATTTGGGATGCTGACTTCTTTTTGGATTGTAGAATCCACACCATTATATACATAAAAGTATCAACTGTAAAACAATGAAATGTGCTTTTGATGTAAGAATGTGGCTGTTTTGTAGTCATCCCTTGATTCTCATCTGATAAAACGCATCAATAGAACCTACTGGGCTTTCACATTTTTAAAAAGCATTTGTATAACCTCATAGAGAGGGAGAACTTTTACTTTTTCTGGTAGTTTCTTAAAGGTATGTTTGAGTTTGGTATTGATTTTATTTTTTTCTTCAAACACAATGATGTTTTTTGTGAGAACATTCAGCCATTGAACCACCGGTGAAACATTCTGTTCCGAAATAAAAACCATGCCACGGTGCTAGTTTACTCTTTTAAAGTAAATCCAGGCTTTCCATTTAGAAAACTATTCCCTTGCCTCTGTTTACAGAAACTCTACAAACTTTCCTTGGAAGAGTCTAAAAAGAAAGGCTACGATCTCAGAACTGATGCAATTTCTATCAAAGCTGCCAAGGCCTCAAGAGATATTGCCAGTGATGTAAGTCCAGAGGGAGCCATCACCTGGCTGGGGGCTTCTAATCTACCAAAATAATAGTAGCTCAGTTCTGGAAAAGCTGAGTGGATAAAATATTGGGGTGTCAGGGGATGTGGAGCTAACAATAGCCTCACTCTATTCTGTGAATGCTTCTTAGCTTTGCTCTTTTGCTTGCTCTGGTATTTCTGAAAAAAACGGAATGCTAACCACGTTTTGACCACATGGATGTCTGCTCCCTGACTCATGAGATTTAGGTGACTTTACCTTGAATTCCATCACCAAGGCTGTGACCTGTAGAAATCTAAAGATGTGTATTGTTCTTGCCTCTTAGAATCTGTCTTCCTAAGAGGATGTCAAGTGAAGTGGTGTGCTGAGGGTGTTGATCCTTTGTGCTTAGGACAGCTGATTATTAAACAATCGGGAGTTGTGCAAACCAGTTGTTAAAGTATGGCAGCTTGACCTCAGCCATGGAGGGAGTACTTACACCACAGAAACTGCCAAACACTGTAACTCAGGGCTTCTCCCCCAGAGAGCTAGTGTGCCAGCACACCACTGCCGTAGCATAAGCTTTGCGAGCTTGGTCCTTTCATCCGGTTGTTCTCCCAAGAAGTCTACTCACAGTGAGTATCTGATGACGCGGAGTAGTGGAAGGAGTAGTCTTCAGAGCACCCTTTCCGTATCATCCCCCAGTTATACTTCCTCTGTCTCTGTTCTGCATCTTTCCTTTCCCACCGATTCACCCCTGTTTCACTCCTACATTGTCCTGAGACCTCCCAATTCTTCTCCCTCTATTATGCTGGAAGGGCTCTCCCATCTCCTACCCCCTAACTTGCACACTCGGACCCACAAGAGTTAGGTAGACTATATCCACGTATCAGGATCTCCCCTCTATTGAGGGAAATTGGGTGATAAATAGTAAAACTTCTTCCTCAGGAGACCAGTATGAAGAGTCTTAAAAGAAAAGGAGTTCCACAAATACAAAGCTACTGTAAAATTACACTGTGTCTCTCATAACTGAACTATTCTCACCTGTAAAAGACTGACTGGATTATTTCTTACGCAAACATTAAGCTACTTAGAACATTCTGCTTTTTTTCTTTCACTTGCTGTACTCTTATTACCAACTAAAGGCCTCTTTAACACTAACAGCAGAGTATGTGTGGAAGTCAGTGTGGTGTATTATCACAAGAGATGGGTTCTAATCCTTGGTGACCTTACAAGTCCCTCACCTCTGGTTCTCAGCTTACTCATCTATAAAATGGGGGCAATAACAATAACTTTGCTATCTACCTGACAAGGTAGAGTTGTATCAAGTTACACAAATAAATGTGAAAAATGTATTTTGTGAGCTGTAGAATCCTGTACAAATATTGTGATGAAATACAGACTGCCGACACAAGAATGTTTCTTGTTAAGAGGACTGCTCTGAATAAATATTCAAATTTTCTTCACAGTATAAATACAAATATAATTATGAAAAGGAGAAGGGAAAAATGGTTGGTTTCCGCAGTCTTGAGGATGATCCCAAACTAGTCCATTCCATGCAAGTGGCTAAGATGCAATCTGATCGGGAGTACAAGAAAAACTATGAAAAGACAAAGACCAGCTACCACACCCCTCCCAACATGCTCAGTGTCATGGCCGCCAAGGATGCCCAAGCCAACATCACCAACACCAACTATAAACACCTGATCCACAAGTACATCCTCCTTCCAGATGCCATGAACATCCAGCTGAGCAAGAATATGAATCACATACAGAGTGATGTAAGGCTCACTTCTTTCTGGGTGATGGTTGGATTCCTAGCATGGGAAGGGAGACCTCAGTCTCCTATGCCACACCTTCGTGTCTGAATTGCCTCTTGTCTTTATAGAATGAATATAAACAGGACTACAATGAATGGTACAAAGGGCTTGGCTGGAGCCCAGCTGGTTCCCTAGAAGTGGAGAAGGCCAAGAAAGCAACTGAATATGCCAGTGATCAGAAATACCGCCAGCACCCTAGCAACTTCCAGTTTAAGAAGCTGACCGACTCCATGGACATGGTGCTTGCGAAGCAGAATGCGCTTACCATGAACAAGGTAGGCAGTTCCCAGCGAGGGGGCTAGCAGCCTCTGGCTCTCCTTTAGGGCTTTTGATTCTGGCTCACCCCCTCTAGGCATGGCAAGCAGCCCCAGAGCACGCCCTACACCATTCTCTTCTGCTACTTGCCTATTTTTATTTCTCCTGTCCTTCTAATTGAGTGAGAAATTATTTTTTTCAATTATTATATCTGAAGTAGTTTGATCTATCCTAGAAGGTAGAAAACATTTAAATATTTACATATTAAAATCTGAGTTTGGTCTTGGTGTCTTCTATGAATTATATGCTACTTTAGTTACTAAATTAATTTCATCTGATTCAAGTTCTGTGCATTCAAATACCCTGCTACATTTTTTCCCCTTTCTGGTCTACCCTAAGAAGTTATTCAAATTTCAAATGCCTTTCTTTTTTAAACTTTCTAGCACTTATACACCATTGATTGGAACAAAGACAAAACCAGGATTCATCTGATGCCTGATACGCCAGATATTTTACAAGCCAAGCAGAATCAAACACTGTACAGTCAGGTAAAGCTCATAAAGATTTGGCTCAAAAGTAATTCAACTTATTAAGCGATGTAATGGCAAAAAAACTGATGTAAATGCTAAAGCATTGGAAATGATTGACTCCAACCGGCTGGCCTAGGGATGTTGCAAAATGTGGTGAAAAGCAAGAGCTTCAGCTACAACTGCGTGTTCCATGGAGCCAGGCGTTGGGCCTATCTGTTTTTCTCAGTACTCACTGTGTTTGGCAGAGAGTAAGAAATCAATACATAAATTGTTGAAAGAAAAGATTGTATCCAACAGACCTGGTGTGGGTTTTGATTTTGCCATTTATAAGTTGTATAATATTGGGTCGAAACCTTAGTTTCCTCGTCCCTAAAATTGGGACCATACAATTGCCTGTGGCGTTGAATTGCTGTGAGGACCAAATGTGAAATTCCATGTAAGGCTCTCAGCACAGTGCCTGGCCCATAGTAAGTACTGGATGACTTTCAGCTGTTGCTATTATTATCCAGTTTTCACGCACATGCATCCATTCAGTGAATTTGACTCAGAAAGATTAAATCATGTATTGCACCTTATAAAAGGCATTTCATCATCTATGATTTTGATCACTTAGCCAGTGGTTCTCAACCTTCCTAATGCCCCAACCCTTTAATACAGTTCCTCATGTTGTGGTGACCCCCAACCATAAAATTATTTTCATTGCTACTTCATAACTAATTTTGCTACTGTTATGAATTGCCATCGGAAATATGTGTTTTCCGATGGTCTTGGGCAACCCCTGTGAAAGGGTCGTTTGACCCCCAAAGGGGTCGTGACCCACAGGTTGAGAACCACTGACTTAGACCATTAATATTTTGTTACCTGACTTTTTGTTATCAATTATTTTAACATCTGTGTTCAAAATATGAGTACATAGCATGGGAAACTTACCTGATATATCTGATATGCCCATATAGTGTCTGAACAGAAAAGACCATACTCAATTATACCTGGGAGGGGTCTCAGAGCCAAAAAAATGAAGCCAGACAATGTGATGCTTAGTCAATGCTCTATTAAATATTGTGTTTTGTTTTAATCCCTATCTTGAGAGAAAAAAGAAATGATATTAGATTTACCTAGATCTCTATTCTGTAGGTAAATTTTTGTTCAGAAATCTGTTGGGGTTTTAATATACAATGAATAATACTAAATCATTTCTTTAACTTTCAGAAATTCTATAAACTTGGATGGGAAGAAGCTTTGAAGAAAGGCTATGATCTTCCAGTCGATGCACTTTCTGTACAGTTGGCCAAAGCTTCAAGAGACATCGCTAGTGATGTAAGTACTACTTTGACTTCTACAAGAATGCATTTTTATCTGAACCAGGTACATTAAGCCTTCATGTTGTTAATCCTAAGAATTAACCACAAAAAATCCAAAGGACCTGGGATAGAGAACAAATGATCAGAATTTCACATGGAAGCACAATCTCTTAATCAAAATCTTTAAAATCAAACAAAACAAGAAATTGATTTGGAGAGAAAGACTGTCTACAGACAGAATCTAACAATAAATTCTAAGAATATGAGGGAGTATTCTCTCTAATTCAGTTAATCTGTGGCATTCCAGAAATGTTGGACAATTAATTAGATCATGTATTATTACCTGCTTTCTGGCTTAAGGTCAATACCTCATTAAAATGAATCAATGTGGTGATAAAACTGGAGCAATAATGGCAATAATGATGACTGCATGTTCCCCAGAACCAAAACTCATTTTGCTTAGTGTTCTGTGCTCCCCATAAGGTAAAGATAGTTTAGAAATTTAAAAAATAACATCAATAACTTCCTAACAGCACAACATTTGATGGTACCTGTTTTCTTCCCATGTGAACCTATTAGTTGAAAACTTTTGAAATATTACCCCCAAATTAAATTAACTATATGTGAGCTTTCCCACCATTGTAGACATTGTATCTCTTCTCAGTTTCAAATGGTTCTTGTATCTATAAAATTTAAGAAAATTAAAGCTATTTTTATAAATGCATAATAAATTAAAATCATAGGACTTAGAGTTAGAAGATAACTTAAAGGTCATTTAATCCAAACTATGCATTTAATGCCCTACCTTCTTTCCATCTCTAACATGTGGTCATCCAGTCCATGAATACTTACAAGATATAAGAATTTTTTAGTCCATTTCCTTGTTGGATCATCTCAAATTGTTATTATGCATTTTCTTATATGGAACTTAACTATGTTACCAATCGACTCTAGTTCTGTGTTCTAGAAACCCCACAAAGTAGTTGAATCCTCGACTCTTTGGTCTGCAGGCTGACGCTCTAACCACTGAGCCAAACCAGCCAGGGCAAAACTCTTCATATTTTGAATGTATATAACCATGAAGCTGGGTGTCAAGAGAGAGTAGAACCTACTTTCTTGAGGTGCAATGTGCGCTCAGCATCCAGCATCATGTAAATGCCATTGTTACTATCACTGTTATCATTGTTGCTATTGTCATGCAATTTCCCAGACTGAATCTAGATACTGGATTTCTCTTTTACTTTCTTATATTCATGTAGTTCGTTTTGACCCACCTTAGCAATGTGCTGAGATCATGTAGAATTTTCTTTCGAATCTAACACATTTAGCTGTTTTTAGTAATATGAGCATTAAGAAATGGATCCTGAACAGGACAAGTGTATATGACATAACCATATGGCAAATCACTAAAAATCCTGGTGCTTAATTAATCTACATTATTAGACCTATTTGTCAAGTCCTGGATCTTTCTCAATTTTACCATTCAGCCCATACTTTCCCATTATTTCTATAAGGATATCACCAGTGCTTTATCTAACACTACCCTAAAGTCAGCACACACAATGCTAGCCCGTTCCAGAATATATTGAAATTAATTTCTCACTACAACGTCTCTTGATACTCAACTACATTACATTCCTTTGGAAGCGTCTACTTGGGTTTTAACATTTCTCATTAAGTTAACATAGACACCCCTTCTCTCATTCCAGTTTTCGAAACAAACATACAGACAAAGCAAACTAAACTTAATTTTGGTTTCTGTTAATAAAAGAACTTTTCCTCCGATTGCAGTTTAAATATAAACAAGGCTACCGCAAGCAACTTGGCCACCATATTGGATTCCGGAGTCTGCAAGATGACCCCAAGCTTGTGCTGTCCATGAACGTAGCCAAAATGCAGAGTGAAAGAGAATACAAGAAGGACTTTGAGAAGTGGAAAACCAAGTACACCAGCCCCGTGGACATGCTGGGGGTTGTGCTGGCTAAGAAATGTCAGGCCCTGGTCAGCGATGTGGACTACAAGAACTACCTACACCAGTGGACGTGCCTGCCCGACCAGAATGATGTTATCCAAGCTAAAAAAGTTTATGAACTACAGAGTGAGGTCAGCTTCTATTAAATCTAAAAGTTTATGTATTACTTCCTATCTCATATGAGTAACCATTTATTCATAGAGAGACAGAAACTAGAAAGAGAAATTATTACTGAATATCTAAAATCCATCTGTTTGTAGTGCGTAGAATCACTTAGGTCAAGGGTCCAGAAGAGGAGGAGATTTTGATGGCTCGCTTTGTTTTTTCACAGAATCTGTATAAGTCGGACCTTGAGTGGTTGAGAGGCATAGGATGGAGTCCCCTGGGTTCTTTGGAGGCAGAAAAGAACAAGCGGGCTTCAGAAATCATCAGTGAGAAGAAGTACCGTCAGCCTCCAGACCAAAACAAGTTCACCAGCATTCCAGATGCCATGGACATAGTTCTGGCAAAGGCAAATGCCAAAAATAGGAGTGATGTGAGTATAATTCTTTGGAAATGAAATAAATTATAGTGCCTGATACTTGGTAGGTACGCAATATAATTTGCTTATTAAATTAGTAGAATACTGTAGCATCACATCATACAGCCTAACACAACGCAGCATAACATTTTTATTTAGTTGCTTCATTTGAATTATCAAGTATTTCACACTGGATCATGTAAAAGTGGGTTAGTATCAATTTTTGTCACCCAGAGCTTGTTTGTTTGTTTATCCAACGTGTAATGAGAAAACTATAAACAATACTTTTTTTCTTTGAAACTTGAGTGCAACACAATCCCAGATTTTGTTGTTAGGGTATAGTGTATGAGAGGGCGCTAATACTTTACACAGGTACAGTGGAAATGTTATAAAGAGTTTATTTACTTCCAAGTAATTATAATGCATTTTGTTTAGCTAAATCAAGATACATAAACATTTATATATATCTCCCATCTTCAGCTTCCTTCTCCGGCACTGACACAAGCGTCTGGCACATAATAGAAGCTCAATAAATATTTATTGAATAAAATAAATGAAAGAGCAGTGTAGAGTAATTCTATGCAGAAAAGGGAAAGAGTAATCATCATTGCCCAGTTAAAAGTATAACCCTGAAATTTACGGTAAATTAAATTATGTGCACTGAGATTCTGGAACTGGTAAGAAAGTTTAAATCAATATGTAATAACAGTTTGGGTCTTAGAAGGATCTATCTATATATATAATATGCTATATGCATGTCATACATATTAGTTTTCACATAATATATATATATATGCTCATAATCAGATTAAAGTAAACATTTGATAAATTGTAGCTCCTCTCTTCCCAATCCACCTCTCACAGGTTTCTTGCAGTTTTGGTATCCAAAATTTATAGTAAATGCTCATACGCCAGCTTTGTTATAAATATTCAAGTTTTCATTCTTTTATTTTCAATGATGGAAATTTAAATTCGACTGGCTGGCTAAAAATTTATGCAAATTAGTTTCCCCTTTGGAATCCAAGTTTCTTTTTTCTCTGAGACAGGCCTGTCTACAAGGCTCTGCATTAATAAGGTGGCCAAGAGAAAAACCCTGGATCATGACATTTTTCAACATCAACACCTCAGGACAGACTTGGCAACAGCGTGCCCTGGTTACAGAAATGCTAAGATACTAATCGCCTCAGGCCTCAGGAGAGGGCCCCCGAGGTCCTTGAACCTGCTATCTCTCCTTTTGAATAGACCGATACATCTATTACAGTATAAACAAATATTAACATTTTCTCTGTTTTCCATGGAGTAAAAGCAACACATGCCTTTAAACAAATGGTCCAACTTAATGGTTCTCAACCAGGGACAGTTTTGTCCCACAGGAGCATTTGGCAACACTGAGAGACCTTTTTGGTTGTGACAGTTTGAGGGTGGCATGCTACTGGCATCTAGTGGGTAGAAGTCAGATATGCTATGCACATCCCAGAATGTTCGGGGACAGCTCCCCACCTCTCCAAAGAATCATCCAGTATAACACTAATAATGCAGGTTGAGACACTCTGATCTTAATCAGAAAGGTTTGTGCAGAACCAGGATAACTGCATATGGAAATTCACAAGCCTTGCTTTGATTTTGCCCTGAAGGTCTTAATCAGCTTCTCTGGGTTATATGGTGTAGTGAGCATGTGCAGGAAGGAGAAAAGTGCCAACCCCACACACCCCACACTGCAGGCCTCGAAGGGAAATCGACAATGCAAGGAGCCAGTGAGACTTTTACAGTTTCTATATTGAAATAACTTCAGGAATACAGAAGAGTTGCAAAAATACTATAAATAATTTAATATATACATATATATCTCTTCACCCAGATTCCCCAACTGTTAACGTTTTGCCATAAATTTTTAATTTATAGACATTAAAAATTAAATATTTTATCCATATATATATATATATGGCACTCTATCCCTAAATAACTTTACTGTGTATTTCCTGAAAATAAGAACATTCTGCAAGAACAAAACCACGGTGCAATGATCAAAATCAGGAAATTAACATTGAAACAATACTAGTCTAGAGAATTTATTAAATTTTACCACTAATGTTCTTTAGACAAAACAAAAGGAAAATTCTGAGCCAGTATCCATTCAAAGATTACACATGGGATTCACTAGTCATGTCTTTAGTCTCCTTGAATCTGGACTCATTCTTCACTGTTTGTCTTCCAAGTCCTTGACATTTGCGAAGAGCACAGGCTGGTTATTTGATAGAATCTCCCTCAGTTTGCGTTTGAATGATGTTTCCTCATGATTAGATTCAGGTTTTTATTTTTAGCAGGAAAACACATGTTGTATCCTTCTCCATACATTATACTGGGAGATACATGATACCAATTTGTCCCGTTACTGATAGCTTTCACTTTGATCCCTTGTTTGAAATGGTGTCCCCAAGTTTCCCCACAGTCATTACTATTTTATCCTTTGTAATTAATAAGTATCTTCTGGAAAGATTCTCTGAAAATCACTGAGATTTTGTTTGAATCCCCTTATCTTCTGTGAAAAAAGACAGAGGATGGCTCTGGGACATACAAGAATTTGTTATGAGTTCTCGTATGAAATTCTTTTGGGAATCCTAATCCCCCCAAATAATTATGGGGTACAACTATAAACAATAAACCACAGAAGAAATGAAACACTCTAAGTTCGATACAGTGTCTATATCATCTCTTGAGAAAACAAGGGCCGTCTCCCAATTAAACACCAAGGGAGATGTTTACAGTCGAACAGATGGAGAATTACTGCTCCATTTGATGACATTGGCAAAGGTTACCATTACTTGGGTTGATTTCTTATAGGCAGGGTTATCTATAAGTTGGTAATGGTAATTAATAATCTTTATTTTAAATGGCAATTATATCCCAAGATTAATCAAGAAACACTGGAGCTATTTTCTGCTTATACTATCTGCTTATGCTATCAATCATAAGGCTTAATTCAGATGAATTCAGTAATCCTGTTTGAATTAACTATGTCATTCATTAATCTAACAACATCACTAACAAACTCTTATTTCTCATTTTAGAGACTTTATAGAGAAGCTTGGGACAAGGACAAGACTCAAGTGCACATCATGCCGGATACACCTGACATTATTCTGGCTAAAGCAAACTTAATCAACACAAGTGATGTGAGTGTCCAATCCAAAATGTGGTTTCAGAAAGCTCATCTTAGTTGGTTCTGTGGCAGTAATTTATTTGGAAGTTATTTTGAATGCCTGAATTATTTTCATTAATGGACTATATGTGACTTAGATTCCTCATTTAGTGGCTTTTAGCTTGAACATCAACTTAATTGGTGCCCCCTGTCTGAGGCAGAGATGGGGTGCACTGTATGTTCCTTGCAGTCTATTGTTACATACAGCATCATGATGTAATGGTCCATATCACTCTCCTCTACGTGGTAGAAGCTCCTTGAGGGCAGTGAATTACTATGGAATCTGTAGCGTTTCACTAGTATAGTGCCTGGCACACAAAAAAATTCAGTGAAATTTCAAATAATTGAGCATGTAAAACTCATGCAGGAGAATTTAATTTTTATTTATTTTTGTCATCATAGCATAATCTCCTAAAATTTATAGACATAAAAATTAAATATTTTAAAGACAAATTCTAAACTCTAACAGAAAGACTTTAATATTAAGTAATGTATTAAAGTAATGCCTCAAAGAGAATACTACACACACACACACACACACACACACATATATTTATTTATTTGTGGGTATATATACAAAAATACAAGATCAATAAGCATTTTAAACAATCAGGTTTCTGGATAAAGTGCATTAAATGACATTCTCAATTATGTAATTATGTAACAAATCTGAAGAAGCAAATCATTTCACTTAAGCTTTTTAAATTCAATATTTAAATTTCTTTCAAAAAATCTTACATTTTAAAAATTATGAAGGACTTTGTTTCATACCTACCAATGTAACCCTACGTTGGATGACCTTATACTCTGAAATAGACTCAATATCCCAATGCTTGGACTACACAGAAGAGACAGCTCATCCGGCATGACTTTTCCACACTAGAGGTGAAAAGGCATTGCTCTTTTATAACAAAAACTTCTAATGAAACACTCTAAGTTGGTTGGAACTTATCACCTAAATGATATTTCATTTCTCTATCAATTCACTTCTGCTTAATTTTCATAAACATTTGAAAAGAGCTGACATTTAACTTTGTTGATCTAGATAACTGAAGAGCTTTGAAGTTTAAAACAGGATCATTAGCAATCAATGGGCATACTTTCCAATTACATTTGAGTATTTTGGAGCACAGATACTATTCCCATAGACTCCTAAAATATTGAGCACATTGGCTTCGTTAGGCTGCAGTTGTTTATTTCCCAACGTGATCTTCATCTCTTAACAGAAAATCTACCGAATGGGCTATGAGGAGCTGAAGAAAAAAGGCTATGATCTTCCCCTTGATGCCATATCAGTCAAAGCAGCAAAAGCATCCCGAGAAATCGTCAGCGAAGTAAGACTTTGTCCAATTCATATAATTCTATTGCAATTTTTCATTTCCGAGCAGTCTCCATTTCATTTTAAGTTGAACAAAATCTTTCAAGGAGTAATGTGTGAAACAGAGGGAAATGATTTGAGATGCCATGTGGGATGAGGATGAGCTTGAGGATGCATTTATTATGCATGAAATTTGAACTGGATTTAGCCTTTAATCTTTCCTATAAAAAAAAAAAATATCTGTGGCTCTTTGGGCTTAGAGAAATATTTGGAATTAATGTGCTTTGTAATTTGCCACAAAGATGGCAATATACATTCATCTCCAGAAGAATGAACTTTTCTTTTTCCTTTAGTACAAGTACAAGGAAGGCTATCGTAAGCAGCTCGGCCACCACATTGGAGCTCGGAACATCAAAGATGACCCCAAGATGATGTGGTCCATGCATGTGGCCAAGATCCAGAGTGACAGGGAGTACAAGAAGGACTTTGAGAAGTCGAAGACCAAGTATAGCAGCCCCGTGGACATGCTGGGGGTGGTGCTGGCCAAGAAGTGCCAGACCTTAGTCAGTGACGTGGACTACAAGAACTACCTGCACCAGTGGACGTGCCTGCCCGACCAGAACGACGTCATCCACGCTCGGCAGGCCTATGAGCTCCAGAGTGACGTGAGTCTAAGAATTACCTTGGCCAACAAAACACCATGTATGCTTTCCTAAGTATCAAAGTTCCCCCAAATTGAGGAGGGTTGAGTTTATACAACTGAATTCTACTTCCCTGACTAATGCCCAGACTCTATCCAGTCCCCCAAGCATTATTCCACAAAGAGCGAGCCAACAAAGCCCTCATTGCTTTGGTAGAGGCCTCTATATTGTTGACCCAGAAGAGTTGGGTCTTTCTCTACATGCTGCTGTTAAAAATGTTTTTCAAAATATTGCTTCTAATCTGAATATTTTGTTGATTCATAAGACACACCAAAATTTTTTAATTTCCCATTAATTCAAACATTGTAATATATATTACACTATACTATACTATACTGTTTTATTTTTAGGGGCATATTATTATGTTTATGTTTAGTGATTTATCAATTACAATTGCAGAATTTGTACAAGTCTGATCTTCAGTGGCTAAAAGGTATTGGCTGGTTACCTAGTGGTTCTCTTGAGGATGAGAAGAACAAGAGAGCTATGAAGATTTTAAGTGACCATGTTTACCGTGAACACCCAGATAAATTCAAGTTTAGCAGCCTTATGGACTCCATCCCAATGGTTTTGGCAAAAAACAATGCCATTACCATGAACCATGTAAGTTATTTCTTTACTTGGGAGGAGTATTAACTGTGTGTATGTGTGTGCGTGTGTGCACGTGTAAACACTGAAATCTGTTTCTGTAAAAGAAAATTTATATTCAATTATTTTGCTTTGTATTAGAGTGGTTTTTAAGTGTGTTGTGCTTCCAACTGCCGTGAGACATCTAGACTTGAAGGTGTCACAAGTGCCAACTCACAGAGCAGATTCTCTTCATTTACTCTTATTAAGAACCAGATTATTTTTATGTATCCATTTATTACTGGTCTGTCCTAATCATATCTTTTTGTTTGTTTTAGCGCCTCTATACAGAAGCTTGGGATAAAGACAAAACCAGTGTCCACATTATGCCAGACACCCCTGAGGTTTTACTAGCTAAGCAAAACAAAATAAATTACAGTGAGGTAAGCCATATATTTATGGTGCATGATATATTTTCCTTACACTGCACTTTATAAATCAAACTTATGATGATTTATTTCTATTTCAGAAACTATATAAACTTGGCCTAGAAGAAGCCAAGAGGAAAGGCTATGATATGCGGCTAGATGCCATTCCCATCAAGGCGGCCAAGGCCTCCAGAGACATTGCAAGTGAAGTAAGTGCACCTGCAAAGTTCTCTGTCTTAGCCTTGGCTCAAAGATTTCTTCCTTTCTCCTAGATATATGCTAGAGCAATTAATCTATGGGGTTAAAGTTCTTACTAACAGTTTCTTCTCAGTAAATAGTTTTAAATAATGGTAATGAAATTCTCAACACAAAAGCTAATTTCTAGTTATGGCTGGGTTCATAGCAACATGCATTTCAAAATATTGTCTGTTTCCTGCTGAACGAAAGCATTGGATACCTGACTATCGTTCAGACATACTTTTGGCTTTTCCACATGATGTATTCTTATATACACCCACACTCATTGTAGGATTCCTTCAACTCCCAACCCATGCCCTGTGAACCAATAACCTACAAGGGCTGCATGAATGGGACACATTATTCAATTCAAAGTACAACCATCCATATAGATCATATGTTTGTCTCTGCATCCAGTGATTGGCTACGGATATTTATGTTCTTTAAAACATCAATTTGCTCAAATGTATTTTTTATTTATTTTCAAAATATGAGAAGTAACCATCATAACTTTTAAATGTTCAACAATCACAGAAGGCTTACAAGAATTAATACATGCCACAGCAATAGAATATCTGCTACCATTAAAATTGATGTTTATAAAGAATATTTAATGATGCAGAGAAATGCTTATATGATCATGGGAAAGAGCAGGCAAGACCCATACACAGTGTGACTCTTATTTTAATTTTGTTTTCTCTGTCTCTCTCACACACACATACACTTGTTATCTTTTTTTTTTTTTTATCCTCACCCGAGGACATTTTTGCATTTTTTGTTCAGACAGAGCGGGAGGGAGAGAGAGGAAGGAAGAGAGAGAGAGAGAGAAACATCTATGTGAAGGGACACATAGAGTGGTTGCCACCCGTACGACCAACCAGGGCCAGGGACAAACTGCAACCGAGGTACGTGCCCTTAGCGGGAACCGAACCCGGGTCTCTCTGTTCCGCAGGCCGACGCTCTAACCGCTGAGCCAAACTGGCCAGGGCCTTGTTATCTTTTTAATGCGTAGAGAAATTTGGCCTTAGTCACTGATTTTTACTAAAAGTTAAAGGTGGTTATCAGCATTTTTCTTCTTCTAGTACAAGTACAAAGAAGGCTATCGTAAGCAGCTCGGCCATCACATTGGAGCCCGGGACATTAAGGACGACCCCAAGATGATGTGGTCCATGCATGTGGCCAAGATCCAGAGTGACAGGGAGTACAAGAAGGACTTTGAGAAGTCGAAGACCAAGTACAGCAGCCCCGTGGACATGCTGGGGGTGGTGCTGGCCAAGAAGTGCCAGACCTTAGTCAGTGACGTGGACTACAAGAACTACCTGCACCAGTGGACGTGCCTGCCCGACCAGAACGACGTCATCCACGCTCGGCAGGCCTATGAGCTCCAGAGCGACGTGAGTACCTGGGAATCATAATGACATTCAAAGGTGGGAAATTAGTGAGTTCACACCCATTGGAGAAGGTAGCAATAGGTGTCACCAAATTCACCACCCCCTGCAAAGGGGGGAATAGCATTCTTTTTTTTTCTTGTGTTAATTGTTTAACCCTCCAGACCAGAAAGAAATGTTGTCTGATACCCTGCCTGTCCACTAAACTATATTTTCAAGAGTGCCCTTACTTTGTTTCATATCCTTAGATGAAAATTTTTTCCAATGAGAACAAATATTTATTGACTATTTGTATCAACAGAATATGTACAAGTCAGATCTCGAATGGATGAAAGGCATCGGCTGGGTTCCCATTGGCTCTTTGGATGTGGAAAAATGCAAAAGGGCAACTGAAATTTTGAGTGAAAAAATCTATCGCCAGCCTCCAGACCAATTTAAATTCACCAGTGTGACTGACTCTTTGGAACAAGTGTTGGCAAAGAATAATGCCATCACCATGAACAAGGTGAGGTTTCAAAATTCAGTGAACCAATGTAGGACTCTTAAAGCTGAATCAAAGAAAAAGAAGCATAATCAAGAAAAGAAAGAAATAGAGCATTTAGCAACAAAAGACACCTATCTATGATCTATCTATCTATCTATCTATCTATCTATCTATCTATCTATCTATCTAAATCTAGTATATGTTATTTATAATATTTACTTCAGTAATTGTTTTATGCTTTTGATAAAACGGCATATTTTTATGGAAAATTATCTTTGCATAAAAGATATTCTCTGTTTCCTTTTGTTAACATATGTTTCAGGTTATCAGAAATACTTATTCTACTATGAACTTATTACTTCGCTTGAAGAAATGTATATAAATACATAATGTGTATAAAATGCATAGCCCTTTGTTATTTTTGTTTATAAAGTTCTCATGGTCTGAAACTCCTACTAATGACTGACTGACTTTATTTTTCTGATGATATTATATCTTTTCTTTGATAGCGTTTATACACAGAAGCCTGGGACAAAGACAAGACCCAGATCCACATCATGCCAGACACCCCAGAAATTATGTTGGCAAGAATGAACAAAATCAACTACAGTGAGGTGGGAGCAGATGCTAATTCTGTAACTTTGCATTCTGTTTCTAACTTCAATTAATCTATTCCTTGGTGAGGTAACACTAACGGACAACTTTATAAAGAATCTCTCTTTGCTACATGTACACACCCACAGTTGCATTTCTCGATCACCATCCTAAACATCAAATTTCAAGTAACACAAATTATTATTCAGAAAGTACAAATCATAAGAACTAATCATTTAAGCAGTAACCATAAGATTAATTAGACCTTTTCCTTTTATTAATTTTTTTGAAGTTAGAAAATTAGCAATAGACCAAATATAAATGTATTTCCTCCTTATCTACATAGCCGTGCTAAATATGTATTTCCCTCTATAATTTATTGTTCCTAAATTATAGTTTAGGGTCAAAATTTAAGATTTTTAATGTATACGATTAAGTCAAGGATGAAAATCACAATAGTGCTACCAGACAACACGGAGAAAGAGGGAGACAGAGGCAGAGAGGACCCGGCAGTGTGTATATTAGCAAGTCCCTTTCCTTTCCACCTTCTGTGAGCACAGGGCCGTGTGCCCCCAACGCAGAAGCACAGGTGTGTAGGCTGAGAGATCCGCCTCTCCGCATACAGGAGTCCCCACCCAGAAGGTTGTCGTCCTGCTTTTGCTTAAGTGTTCTCAGTGACAAGGAACTTATAAGTCAACCGGTGTGTCCTGGAAAATTCCATTAGGTGCTTCGATGTTTTGACTCAAAGACTTCTCTGTGCAGACCCCCCTAGTCCTCTGAGGCTATGCAGAACCAACCTGCGCCAACGCCATGGAAAGGTGATAGCACCTGTGGTGCCTCCCCTGCCACCTCACCCCGGTTCTCTTCTTACTAAACACCCCGAGTGCCTGGGCAGTCCTCACAGGACACCCCTGCCAGAATGTGACTCTCAGAACCAAACAAAGTTCTGCCAGTGAGGAACGAGCCATGGAGGAAACAATTGACGTCCTGTGTCCTCGCTTGGACTTTTGACCTCCGACTCTGCACCGTGTGTCTCAGGCACACGGCAGTTGTGTTCCTGCTGGTGCACATGGAATCTGGGGTCAGCTGAAGTCCTAAGACATCGTACATGGGCTTAAGCTGGGTTCCCTCTAGCCTGCATTTACACATTTGGCCATTTAGATCTCAGTTCAGAGAATGACATTTGTCTCTCTCACTTATCTGCAATTTCTTGTTCCTCGATGGAACCTATCATGTTTGAGCCTGTGGAGATGTTTGTGACTCTAAGATTCTGTCAGAGGATGTATTAGTTATTTCTACCAGGTTTGTGCTACCAGCAAAGAAAAGAGTGTCTTTTGACAGCGTAAATCAACAGAATATACTTTAGAGAATTTAAATAGGTTAGCCACCATCTTAAGTCGTTTTATTTTAAACTACTGTTTTAGTGCTTATATAACTAGCTTTTACTTACCACTAGAAACTAAAAGTGCAGAAGGCTTAGAACTCATTCTCGAGGTGAATTATTTCAGACCCCAGTCAGTTTTTGGATACGAATGTCAACATCTAACTGCTTTTGTTGTCCAAACTTAGAGTCAGTATAAACTCGCCAATGAAGAAGCCAAGAAGAAGGGCTATGACCTGCGAGTTGACGCCATCCCCATTGTGGCAGCCAAGGCCTCCAGGGACATTGCCAGTGACGTGAGTTGTCAATTGTATTCCAAGTATGTGATGCATCAGAAGTGACGTGTGCACTGAACTAAATCTTTACAAAGAACTTTCCTGGCCCTTTGAAAATATCTCCTGATATATTATGTGGGGTTTTTCAAAAACCTTATTTTGAGGGAAATGGAAAATGTTACGTTCATAATAGGTGTGTGTACGCTGTAGGGCACAGTCTCTTCTGTTAAAACTGGTCCACCAAGAAGAGGGAAAGATCTGTTCATGGGGAAATTGTTACAGGGTTCGCTGCAGGCTTGGAGATGCTTATATAAAAATGATCACAGTGCTTATAGAAAGTGTCATTCAAAAACAGAAGTTCTCTCAGAGTGAATCAGGGCTTGCCAGTTGATCAGAACCAGCAGTAGTTACTAGCTCAAGCTCACACCCTTAACAATAGCTCCTGGCTGTGCACCTCATCCCTCCCAGAATAAATCCATCATCCTTTCCTGGTGCCTCAGGGAATTCTTGAGGAACAGACCACAGCTCTAAAAATCAAGATGCAGTATTCAGGAATATGGTAACACACTGCCCTTTCTATTGGAAAATCATGTTAGTGACTCACTTTAGTTGATGTATGTTGGACTTCCCCTACAAATGGATTTATGCCAATAATAATAATAAAATAAGAAGAATAACAGAAACTATTGATAACTCTGTGCTAAGAGCTTTGAGTGTATTTCACTTACTCTTCAAAATTGCCCCAGGATGATAAACCCTAGTAAACATTGTCCTTATCACCATTTTGAGGTTTGCTTAAGCAACTTGTCTAAAATCAAGCTCTTGGTGGGTGATAGAGTTGAAATTCCAGACCCCTCATTCCTTTCCACTGCACCATTATTGCCTCCTGCTGACTCATCTATACTTTCTTTAAGACTGGAAACATGTATTTTAGATAATTGACTCAGATTCCAGGATAAAGCCATTAGGCATAGAATAATAAAAACATTGTTGGCCCATGACTTTGTTAGGAGCATGTTCTACCCAGTTGGGCAACTACGACTTGACTAGAATAATCAGTTTCCAAAGTGATGCCAAGTATTTGCTACCACCAATGAATGCATGGATCCGTTATAAAATAATAAGTTCTCCTCTGTTGTCCTTGACCTAGAGTACCACCCTTCCAGGAACCAGACAGTCAGGTCATTACTTATTAAACACACCATGTCACCAGGTGCATCTCTTTCTTAACATGCTTTTAGCACATAAAATCTATTTCTCCAAGGTTCATATGGCCTCTCCCCCACTTCCACAGGTAACCTCTCCCTACTATGTGCACTTCTGCCTCCAGAACTATTTATTACCAGGCTATAAGTGATTTAGGGCATACACTCCAATTATACTGATTACTCTATTTAGCTACCTCTATAAACTTCTAAGGTAAAGGTCAGGGCTACTGGCTTGAGTTAGTATTTATTAGCAAAAGTCAACTTACAACAACTGCAATATAAGCAAGATGATTTTGTATAGACTTGGGGCCTCTAAGGGTTTACAATAAAACCTGATTTGTACATTTTCATCTCAGTACAAATACAAAGATGGTTACCGCAAGCAGCTTGGCCATCACATTGGAGCCCGGGACATTAAGGATGACCCCAAGATGATGTGGTCCATGCATGTGGCCAAGATCCAGAGTGACAGGGAGTACAAGAAGGACTTTGAGAAGTGGAAGACCAAGTTCAGCAGCCCCGTGGACATGCTGGGGGTGGTGCTGGCCAAGAAGTGCCAGACCTTAGTCAGTGACGTGGACTACAAGAACTACCTGCACCAGTGGACGTGCCTGCCCGACCAGAACGACGTCATCCACGCTCGGCAGGCCTATGAGCTCCAGAGCGACGTGAGTACACCATCTGTAACAGAGTTGTGTGCAGAAATAAACTATACAAAAATTATTTTTTTATACAGTCAATGGGCTACTCAAACTAGGATTTATTGAGTGATATTTGAATATTTGATATTTGAATTCATGTACAGCTTTATGTCTTTATTTGACTTTGTTAATAGGCTTCATAAGGAAGTGAAATTTATAAGCTGGATTTGATCTTATAAAAGTAAAACCAGAATTAATCAATGTTAGAATTCAGGGTCCACCAGAGGGAGACATTTTCTTTATCTTTTAAGGGAGAAAGAAAACAATTTTATTTTTTTAAATATTACTCTGAAATTGGTTTTTAGCTCTCCTTGCAAAACACATGAGGTTATAATTAATGGAACATTAATGCCTGCTACATCACTAAATATTATTCTTATGAATAAAAAAAAAAAGTCACCGTGTCTGTAGCTATTGGTTCATTTCCGTGACACGTTCCCCTCTTAGCCCAGCTCCTTGTGGAAGGGTCAGGCGGGTGCGACAGAACCCAGGACCTGGGAGAGGCAGATGCACTCAAAACTGGGTGTGAAAGGCACATTTGCTGCAGCACATACTGTATAAGCACTAGAAGGAATCATTAAACATTAGAGGACTGTGAAGAATAAAATAAATTAATGATAATTATGCATTCATTGGCTGTTCCCAGAAACAGTATAGCCCATCTGTTCTGTAGCTTTCAACTTACAGAACCCTGTATTTTAAAATTCTGTCCAAAAAGAACGGCTTTGCCTGCACATGAAAGGTACCTACAATGGTTCACGTCGCATAGTGGGGCCCCTTGCGTTCGTCTCTTTGTTGGTACCTTTTCAAGGTCGCCTCCCGCACAACGTGATCCAGTCTTAATAACATGGAAGCATTTGAACATTAAAAAGTCCTCCAGAGGTATAAACTGTTATTGTTTTCATTCTTCCTGTTGTTATTTAGGGGACAGTAACTAGTCACCACAGGACAATTCTAATAGGCTTTTTGTCTAGACTGCAAAATATCAGTGTTTTTCTATTTCATTGTTATGACAAGTAAAATCCTTCAAATGAGTCGGGCAAAGGTCCAATCCCATTGTTGTGAAACAGTTATGAATATCTAATGGGTACACAAAAATCTTTTTTTAATAAGTATTTTTATTTATTATTTTCAACTACAGTTTACATGAATATTATTTTGCATTGTTTTCGGGTATACAGCATAGTGATTAGACAATCATATACTCTACAATCTTCCCCCAATATTTCCAGTACCCACCTGGCACCGTACATAGTTACTAACAGTATTATTGACTGTATTCCCTATGCTGTAGTTACATCCACATGATTATTTTGTAACTAACGATCTGTATTTCTCAATCTCTTCACCTTTTCACCTGGGCCCCCAACCTTCCCTCCTCTCTGATAACCATCATTCTGTTCTCTGTATCTATGAGTCTATTTCTGTTTACAAAATTCTTCAGCCGAAAAAAAAAGGATTTGAAGTAAAGTGAGAAATAAAGATATGAAAAAATGATTCTGGAAAGAAGTCCATGCTTCCCTTCCTGAGAACTTGGTGGGGAAGAGACTGGGCCCAGGACCAATGAAATAGGTCCCTATTGCCCTGAGTCTTGGATGGTGTTACAGCCGTCTGAGTTCTGGCCCTGGGCTGTAGGGGTTCTACATCATTATTCTATTTTAACTTCTCTATCTCTTTTTTTTAAAGAGCAGTACAGGTATTTTGAAATGTAAGAAAAAATACATAGAAGGCAATAACAATCTAACATAATCCAACCACTGAAAAAGCCCTCTCCTGCTTATGTAATTTATCCACACAATATATCTACATAGCTTATGTGTAATTATTTCATTTAATATTATATTCATGACATTTCTGTAAGTCATCAATTTCTTTAAAATTGGCTTTTAATAGCTGCAGACTGTTTTATTTGACTAGGACTAACAGTTATTTATGTTGGCCATACATGTGGTTTCTCTCCCTCTGGGTTGGCATTCTTTTCCTGAGTACATAGACATTAAAACGATATTCACTGAATTGACGGACAGAGGATATTAGTTCGGATCACGTCTCTCCTAACAATCTGAAATATCTGATCACTTTTTGTTATGGTTAGGAGACATTGTGGGGTCATTTTTGAACATAGTTCCTCTTTTCGTTAGCCTAATGCAGTGCGCTTGTTTTCTATGAGAAACAGCAATAACCAGAATCGTACTCGATTACTGATTCCATGTGCATCTTTACCCTGAATATTTCGGTCTTGCTGAAGAATGACTGCCTCTTTTCTCTTCACAGAATGTATACAAGTCTGATCTCCAGTGGATGAGAGGCATTGGCTGGGTCCCCATTGGGTCTCTGGATGTGGTCAAGTGCAAGAGAGCTGCAGAGATACTGAGTGACAACCTCTACCGCCAGCATCCGGACACGCTGAAATTCACCAGTGTGACCGATTCCCTGGAACAGGTGCTGGCCAAGAACAACGCCATCACCATGAACAAGGTGAGCCCCAGCTGCCCTGAGCTGCTTCAGGATGCCAAAAGATGTTCTTGTACTTTAATGACTAGTGGAGTAATAATTATCCATGAAAACGTGGGGTCACATTTGCCTCCTAAATTACATACTTAAAAGCCTCTAAATAATTTTTCTTATTCCCGGTTTTAACCTTGATAACTAGCCTTAAGACTCAAACCTCCCACTGAATACTTGATATTCAAGTCTGGTTTATTTTTCTTAATTTTACCAATAGTCATCCTGTTTTAATTTGACATTTTGGAATTGCTTTTCAAATGGTTTTCTATCAACATCTTGTTTGATAGCGTTTATATACGGAGGCCTGGGACAAAGAGAAGACTAAAATTCATGTAATGCCTGACACCCCAGAGATCATTTTGGCAAAGCAGAACCAACTCAACTACAGTGAGGTAGGAGCAAAATTCTATGGTGCTTCACTTACTTTGTTGTTGTGGTTATTGTTTGTTTTTCTGCACTTAACTGTTGTGGATGTGCTCAACTATCTTGGTGCGTGGGGCTCCATGATATGAACACTGGGCCCATCCAACCTTTCATAGCTGGGCTGCATATTATATGCTATCAGATTCCACAGGCAAACTGAAGTCATATTACCTTTTCAGTTTATGGCCACTGCTAGTCTGAGTTAGTGGACTTGAGTAGTATTTTTCACATTCCCAAGAAGTAGGATAGCCAGATGAAATACTGGCTCAATATTTATATTAAATTATTTATTGTTTATCTGATATTCAAGTTCAAGTTCATTTGATAACTCTAGCAATCTGTTCAGGGGGCTCTAATAATATGCTCCTCTTTCCCACCTGAATCCTCAGTAAAACTAAGAAGTAAAACTGAAGAGTAGAAATAAAACTCAAAATCTCACAGGTGTTACTGCTAAAGTTAGGTTCAAGGACATCTTTGGACGAGAGGCAAACAAGCTGCACTGACCGCAGAATTGGGTTCCTCATCCAGGCACAGGCCACAAGGGAGCGGGGCAGTCAGTTCCGCCCTTCTCAGGGGTGAGTCCTGCTTAGAGTCCAGAGACAGATGAGGGCACGCTCCCTGGAGGGCGCAGTTAGGCTGAGCAGGGCATACCCGGTTATCCCATCCCTACCGGTTACATAAAGCTGTAAATCACTACACCTCTCCCGCGGCAGAGAGTAAAGGTGCAGAGAAAGGAGTAAGGCCAGAGATGATCATTGAGCTTCTTTTCTAGAAAGAAAACCTCACACATGGAAAGAAGTGTTGTCCATTAACAACACTGACTACTGTCATTTTAAAAGAGTAAGATGCAGTTTCATAGGTGCATATTTCACTAATATGATACAGCTAAAATTTTGAATCAAAGTTGTGATGATGGTCATTATCTACTTTTTAAATTGTATTTCAATCTTTCTTCCATTTGTTTTCCAAAAATGATAAAATAATACGAGATTGTCAAAAAAAGTTTAAGTAATAAATAAATGGGTAAAAGTATATAAGTATATATATTATAAGCAAATAAACATATTCTGCAATTTCTTTTTCACTTAGAAATATGTATAGATTGATGCTTTATTCCTTGAATGATATAACTCAATTACATTAATGTATGTTGATAGGTATATTATATTAATCTACATGAGATATATTAATCTACTATATATCATTTATAGATTAATAATAGATTAATATATCAACCTATGTTATTACCCGTTGATATATCTCATTTTTTCTAATGCTATCTAGTTCTTTTGGTAAGATATGACTTATTTACTTTCAATGTTGCTAGAATTTTAAATAGTTTCCAGAACCTATCCTTTTTTAAATTATGTGATATGTCACTTGATAATCTCCAAATAAGTGCTGTTGAACCTTTTGCTTTAACTCTGACTTCTTTCCCTAGACTCTGTATAAACTCGCCAATGAAGAAGCAAAGAAGAAAGGCTATGACCTGCGAAGCGATGCCATCCCGATCGTAGCAGCCAAGGCCTCCAGGGACATCATCAGTGACGTGAGTGACAACACTCCATGTATCTCCAAGGCCGGACGGGGTGGGGGTCATCACGGTCATTATTAGAACAGAAAGATGCATCTGGGTGCTCATTCAAGTACATTTATTATGAGTTAAATGAAAGAACTGGTTCTCATTTGAAAAAGCTCTTCCATATATATATATATATTTTTTTTTTAATCCTCATCCGAGGACATTTTGCCATTTTTTGTTCAGATAGAATGGGAGGGAAAGAGAAGAAGAGAAAGAGAGAAACATCGATGTGAAAGGGACACATCGAGTGGCTGCCATCCTCACGACCCAACCAGGGCCAGGGACAAACTGCAACCGAAGTATGTGCCCTTAGCGGGAACCGAACCCGGGTCTCTCTGGACCACAGGCCGATGCTCTAACCACTGAGCCAAACTGGCCAGGGCTCTTCCATATTTTCACTCCAAAAGATTTTAATATTTAGGTCCCATAGAGAGGAAGTGTCCCAAACTGCAGTATAAGATTGAATTTGAATCAACAGCTGTTCATATCTACAATTATGAGACATTCATCTCCATATTTTGATCATATGGCCCACACAGAAGTAAGAAAATGCCAGAAAACTTAAGACAAACTTGGTTACATGTATTGGGTTCAACATCAGAAAAAGACCTGGTTACAGCTAGGTCTAGGGAAATACACCTTTCCCCAAACCTGCTCTGGATGTTTGTTAACTCTTTCTTTGAAAAATTACCTTAAGTGCCTCCATTTGTGTTCTTTTAAAATGAAAACAGAAAAGCGAAGGCAGACAACCAAGACCCAATGCAATGGTGGGCCTGATTTCTCTTTCCACCATCTCTGAAGGAAGTGGGTCCTTTGGTGGAGAATTCAAACTTCCAGAAAGTGTTGCTGCTTTTATTTCCAGGGACTTAATGTCGCAAACCATAAAACTATGTAGCTTGGCATATAGAGTATTGTTGTAAAGCCTAATAAGAGTTTAGGATGAGGAGACAAATTGATATTCAGATTATTCCATCTCTCTGAAAGATTTTAAATCATAATTAACTTTGAAATTAGTAAGACTTTTAGCCCTTGCTATTTATTTCTATTTTTTAAATGACTGCTTTTCTTTCAGTACAAATACAAAGACGGTTACCGCAAGCAGCTCGGCCACCACATTGGAGCCCGGGACATTAAGGACGACCCCAAGATGATGTGGTCCATGCATGTGGCCAAGATCCAGAGTGACAGGGAGTACAAGAAGGACTTTGAGAAGTGGAAGACCAAGTTCAGCAGCCCCGTGGACATGCTGGGGGTGGTGCTGGCCAAGAAGTGCCAGACCTTAGTCAGTGACGTGGACTACAAGAACTACCTGCACCAGTGGACGTGCCTGCCCGACCAGAACGACGTCATCCACGCTCGGCAGGCCTATGAGCTCCAGAGCGACGTGAGTACTTACACCTGTTAAATACCACTGGTGACCGTGCTCATGATAGTAACACAGCGATTTTCAACTGGTGTGCCGCAAGAATTTTAAAACATGCACTACTTGACTATTTAGTCAAGGGCACTGACCTTTTTTCCCTTAGTTTGTCAAATATAAGAATGACAGCAGCTAACACAATAGCCATCTGGTATGAATGAATCGAAATTATACCTACTTTTTTTGTCAGATGAGCAAAAACTATAACATATTCTTGATGTGTCACAGAATTTTAGTAAGTAGTTTATGTGTGCCTTGAGATGACAAACGTTGAAAATAAATTTAGTAATACATAAATAATGGTCTAGGATTAGATAAAGCTCTCAGAAAGAATGATGTTTTTCTTCTTCACCTCTCATTCATTGTGCCTTACTTTTATTTATTTATTTTTTTTAGAAAGAACATAATACATGATGCTATATCTAATTGGCCTTCATAGTTTAAAAGACATGGACATGAAATTTGGCTATCCAAGTTTTCTAGTCTTTTTCTTTTCTTTTTGAAATCAAATGTCATAACAGCTTTAGTAATACTTGCTATTGTGTTTATCTCACCAGAACATTTATAAATCAGATCTCCAGTGGATGAGAGGCATTGGCTGGGTCCCCATTGGGTCTCTGGATGTGGTCAAGTGCAAGAGAGCTGCAGAGATACTGAGTGACAACCTCTACCGCCAGCATCCAGACACGCTGAAATTCACCAGTGTGACCGATTCCCTGGAACAGGTGCTGGCCAAGAACAACGCCATCACCATGAACAAGGTGAGCCCCCAATTTGGGGGAAAGTAAAATAGGGCTATGTGTTCTTGAGAATATTGATAATTAATTAATATTTTTTGTTTTATCCAATTACTGTTTTGTATATAGTAATTTGGTTGAGTTCTCTATTCAGTTACATTAGGGTTCCAAAAATATATGTGGGAATTTCTACTTTGACATCTCTTGTACAATAGCCAGAGTTAAGAACAGGACAGCTGTTTGGTGCACAAACTGTTTAAAGTCTATGAGAGTTATACATGGCTTGATATCAGGTTTCTTTCTTGTTGGTACTCATCTAGGTAAGTATAGAAGAAAAAAGTCAAATGCCCATCTCCTTAACATTTATTAAAAAAAAAAAAAAAAAAAAAAAAGAAATCTAGATGTGGCTAATCCAGGTACATTTGCAGTTAATATACAAACAACAAACAAAACCATGGGAAGGATTTGTTTATATAACCAGTACATATGGATGCGCCTATGTGCTTGGAAAATACTTGCTTTCATTTCATTGGAGTAGAGGTGATCTTGAAATGAAACACACACGTTTACTAGTCATATCTTAGTCTACATTTATATTTAGTGATAATAAATGCCTTGTAACATCAAAGAGACAGAAGAGTATTGGCATAAAGCACGCAGCACAGACAGTGAGGACGCTGACTTTCACCTTTGTCGCGATCTCTAGGTTGGAAACTCCTGTTGACAGCAAACACTGTGTTCCTAATTCACTAATCTTTGTATTTCACAGCGTTTATACACAGAAGCCTGGGACAAAGACAAGACGCAGATCCACATCATGCCTGATACACCTGAAATTACGTTGGCAAGACAAAATAAAATAAATTACAGTGAGGTACGACCATTTATTTTGTTTCCTTGATCTGACCACATTGATCTTTCCTGATGTAGTAGAAAGATCAGAATTATGGATTTAATTCTCATGTGGACCAATGAGTGTGGTTTTATTTTTTTTATGCCTGTTACTGCACCCTGGATATATGTATTATTGTATTTAAAAAGTAGATAGATAAATAGAGAAATGGATAAATACAAAAATTTCTTCATATCAGGATGAGGGGGAAAGCTCTAAAAGTCAACTATTAATGATTGACACAAATTATCATTTTAATTAAAAAATAAGTATTGCTACTTATCAGATTAGTACTTGCTTCAGATTTGTTCTGAGAGTTTTTCTTCAGTTATTCATCTGCAAAACAGGATAAAAATATCTATCTTGAAGAATTTCTGTGATGACTAAATGAGGTCGTATATTGAATATGCCCAGTGTGGAGCCTGGTACAAAATAGTTGCTTAGTAACTTTACTTTTTTTCCCTTCACACTCAAGTCATCATGAAAATTAGATTTTTTTTTTTTTTTATCCTCACCCGAGGACATTTTTCCATTTTTTGTTCAGATAGAGCGGGAGGGAGAGAGAGGAAGAGAGAGAGAGAGAAACATCAATGTGAAGGGACGCATCAAGGGGCTGCCACCCGCACACCCAACCAGGGCCGGGGACAAACTGCAACCGAGGTACATGCCCTTAGCGGGAACTGAACCCGGGTCTCTCTGTACCGCAGGCCGACGCTCCAACCACTGAGCCAAACCGGCCAGGGCAAAAATTAGATTTTTAATAGGCTCAAAGTAACTTGAGGTTTATTTACAAGAACTGAAAGAGAATTCTTAAATTTATCCATTTTAGAATTATCTGAGGACAATAAAATACATTCTTTTATGCACTATCTCCAATTAAATTTGCAGTCCAGAAATAGTGCTGCAGAAACAGCTTCTTGCCCAGTTATTCTTGACAAAGAATTATCTGATTTATTCAGGAAGAATTTTGATTTCGTGTGTGTATGTGTGTTCTTATTTTTAACAAAAAAAGGGAATGCAGACTTCTCTTTGGTTTGAGAACAATGGAAACTTTAAGTACTCATTTTCAAGACTTGGCCATATTCATTGTTTTACCCATATTACTTACATTTGCCTAATATAATGTAGCCCTGCAGAAGAGGCAGGCTTATGTCTTTTTAAAATTTATTGAAGGCTGAATATAGTAGTACAGCTCTATATCCAAAAGTAGTCTTCCTTTGGCAAAAATACCTCTTTAGAGTGAAAGCAAGAACAGCATCTAAAAGGCACTATTCTGTTCTCAGAACCTCTACCGCCAGGCCATGGAAGAAGCCAAGAAAGAAGGCTATGACTTGCGGAGTGACGCCATTTCCATCGTGGCCGCCAAGGCCTCCAGGGACATTGCCAGTGATGTAAGAGCTGATCCAGTCCCTTTGTTACCAGCAGGCCAGTCCCTGCATAGAGATCACATTATTAGAACAGCTGGAAGTCTCTTCAGGCATCATCCACCTTAGCCACCTTCATCGTATAGGCAAATACATTGAGGCTTTGAGACAGTAGGTAACCTGCCCAGGGTCACAAGCATCATAGGACAAAGCCTGGATTGGAATGTGGTTCCTTTGATTCTTGTCATTCGGGCTTAGCTTAATGAAACTGAGTGCCTTGGTTACAGTTGGATGGACATACGTTGAGCCAGTCCTAAAACCTCATGAGCTCTCCTCAGGATACACCCAAGGCAAAAATTCCAGGAAAGAAGTAAGTTTAACTGAGTTCTCCCTATGACTTGAAGAAGGACGTAGAATAGCATAAAAAGCTATACATTTCCCAGTTGGGGGTCCACAAAATCAATATTCCTTTACCCTAAAAATAAATGTCAGCTTCCCTGACAACCTAAACATTAATTCAAGAGTAACAATATTGTTCATTTTTATGCGTTTTTCTTTTTTTATCATGATAAAACAACACGTAACATACAACTCGCCATCTTAACCATTATCAAGTATACAGTTCAGTAGTGTTCAGTATGTTCTCACTTTTTCGTCTTGCAAAACTGAAACTCTGTATCCATCAAACAACAAAAACTGCCCGGTTTTAAACTAACCCCCCCAAATTATTTGTGCAGAAGAAATTATTTCCCAAAATGCATTAGAAAAATAAAATCAATGAACCATGTAAACACATCTCAGATGTACCTGCCCACATGACCGACCTCTGAGACACTGTCACTCTAATTGACTCACCCTTTCAATGTTCACTTTTGGTCACTTGTTGCGCACATAAAATTTTTAGCATACTGTAAAGGAGTCGTAGAGTTACACCATGGGAGTGTGAGAGTGAGCACACCATGCTCTCCTTCGGGAGTCAGCACACCCTAGTGTTGTAGCGTCCCAGCAGCGCATGGTGAAACTCCCTTAGTGTCCTAAGGGTTTCACAGAAAAGCATCACTGCAGAAAGAACAGGGAACAGCTCTTCATGCTTCCTCTTCATTGACTGGGTTCTCTTTTTCAGTACAAATACAAAGAAGCTTATCGTAAGCAATTGGGTCACCACATTGGTGCCCGAGCAATACATGACGACCCCAAGATGATGTGGTCCCTTCACATCGCCAAAGTGCTGAGTGACCGCGAGTACAAGAAAGAATTTGAGAAATACAAGACCAGATACAGCAGCCCAGTGGACATGCTTGGTATCGTTTTGGCCAAGAAATGTCAGACCTTGGTCAGTGATGTGGACTATAAACATCTTCTCCATGAGTGGACGTGCCTGCCCGACCAGAATGATGTCATCCATGCTCGGAAAGCTTATGACCTGCAGAGCGATGTGAGTATTCACGATGTTAAAAGCAGATCCGAAATGTGTCCCTGGGTTCTGACTAGTGCCAATGGACTGGAATTTGTCTGTGTGTTTCCGAATAATATACAATTGAATGTTCAAAAACAGTTTCCCATTTGTGGCAATACAATGTACTTCACAATTTTTCTTCCCCAAAACTTGTATATAATAGAGGAAATAAAGTATATATTATCAATTTTATACATATTTCTTCCTGGCAATTCAGGTTTCCTTTGTCTGAATTAGATGAAAGTTAGTCCTCAAAAATACAGAGTTACATATTTTTTGGAAGAAGTGGTAGAAATGTATGTATATGTCAATGGAAGATAGTATGGAGGGAGTTGGGAAATAGAAGTATATTACACTGAATTGTTTTAAGAAACATTCATATTTTATACCTACTGATAGGAAAATACTAGGACATTCTTACCTTTTTCATGATGTTTTGCTAAGTTATACACTTTAAACCTGTATGGTTTTGTGGACCAATGTCACCCCAATAAGTTCAATAAAAATAAATAAAGTAAAAATATAGTTAGTTCTTGAAAAATACAATAATCTAATTCTTATTAACAACTAGCATGTCCTATTGAGAATAAAATAAAATAAATAATTAGAAAAATATCTAATATACTGTCTTGTGTGAAAATTTTGTAATACACTCAAGGGCATGAGTGCGTCTTTTACTTTAAAAAAAAAAAAAAAGAACCTTTCATAAATCTTGGTATAATCTTCTGTGCCAAACAATTCTTAGGAAAAAAATATACTCAGGATTCAATGTTTATAAATGAGTGGTCAACTGTGCTGGGAGCCTTATCTGTTCATCAATACTTTGTATTTTCTCTAATATGAGCCATTTTGTGATTATGAAGCAGAAACACCAATTAATAAATGTGTTTTTTTATCTGTTGATTTGCAGAATTTGTATAAGTCAGACCTTGAATGGATGAAAGGCATTGGCTGGGTTCCGATTGGCTCCTTGGAAGTTGTTAAAGCCAAGAGGGCCACCGAGATACTGAGCGATAATATCTACCGTCAGCGTCCAGATACGCTGAAATTTACCAGCATAACTGACACCCCGGAGCAGGTGCTGGCAAAGAGCAACGCTATAAACATGAATAAGGTGAGTCTTCACTCTTTTCATCAGATAACAAAATTCATTATAGAACAAGGTAAAAAATTTTGACATATTACTACATTTTAAAGATTCCTATAGGGTTTATGGTACCTTGAAAAATGACTTTTCCATTATAATACCATAGTTATTTTTTAATACTTCAAAATATTAAACTGATGTTAAAAATACTATGTGCGGTAATTATTTTATAATTACCGATTTTAACTGCTGCAATTCAATGGTACTTTTCAGAACTGTTAAAAATTTTTAATGAGAAACAATAAAAACTCTGAAGAAAATAGTGAGCTAAATACTCTTGAAAATAGTAATTTATCTACATAACAGAAATTTATGCAACTTTAATAATTTTATTTCTGCTTTGTATGGAGAGGAAGTGATTGGCACATAATCAAAAAAGCATCTGTGAACTCAAAAATAATTTTTCTATTTTTTTTCCCATAGCGTTTGTATACTGAAGACTGGGACAATGATAAGAAAACAATTCATGTCATGCCTGACACCCCAGAAATCATGCTCGCCAAACTCAACCGAATAAACTACAGTGATGTGAGTCAACTGTTGCTCTTATAATGAACAGAAAGGCAAAAATGAAGTGTTGTAGCTGTTTTCTTAGTGAACTGTTCGGGCTAATTTATTACACATACTCCAAACTAACATTCTCAGTAAGAGATAGTTCTCCTTTGATTCAATTTTGGGCTATGTGGTAGGTCTACAAAGGAGACCAGTCCTTTAGCAACAGGGTATCAGGGAATGGAATGCTTATGGAGGAATATACTAACAGGAATTATACTCCTCCAGCCTTCCCCTAGATGTCAGGGTGGATATCAGTCATTATTTTTCAACAACTATTTTTTAGGCAGGCGCTGGCTTAGAACTCACTTGATAATCAGTGAGTTTTTATGCCCTGCATTGTTTTTGCTCTTTATTAATGCTGGTTACCATTTAATGTTATTTACAATAATTTTTCTAAGGTGTCTCATTCAGGACCAACATTTTCATTAAGACAATGATTCTGAAACCCTACTCGACAGATAGATCACGGTCTGTGATAAGGACAATCATTGAGGTTTTGTGAATACAAATATATTCAGTTTTAAAAGACTTTCCTTATTCTTTCTCATTTTTTGTATTAAAACTGCCTTTCTTTTATTTTATGATAGTGATAGTAAATAGTTTTTTAAAAACATGTATTTGTTTGGCAAAACAAAATTTTGGCAACCACATGCTGATCTCCCCCCCAAAATTTTGAAATTTGCCCATCAATAAAATTTCAAAGTTTCAAACATGTGCCTATGAAACCAAGTTTTGTACAAATCCACCCTAATACTTCACTCTGTGGATTTGTTTGTGTAGCTCACATGAGGATGGAGGATACTCAATAATTAACAGTTTTATTTTTATGAAAGGAGGAACGATTTAATGACTTTCTTTTCTACAGAAACTCTACAGGCTCGCTTTGGAAGAGTCCAAGAAGGAAGGATATGACTTGCGTGTGGATGCCATTCCGATCCAGGCAGCCAAGGCCTCAAGAGATATTGCTAGTGATGTAAGTTGATGTGCTTTGAAGAAGCATTTCTTATTCGGAGATGTTCATAAATGGAAGTTTTTGTAGTTTTTCTTGATAGAATTTTTGTTGCCCCTCCACGTCTCAATTTCATTTAGTGATTTCCCCATGTACAAAGTTGCAAATAAAAACAAAGCACAAGATACTACGCCCATTATACCTATTAATCAATTAAAGATAGGGATTTTTTTACATATAAATATCTTATGGACACTGAAAATGGGTTCATATTTTTGAGTATTAGAAACTGAGCAGCAGTTGACCCAGATATTTGTTTTTAAAAAATTGATAGCACTTGCAAGTCAACCAATATAAATGTGAACCCTTTTCTACTACTTCTATCCATTAATTCTGGCATTAAAAGAAGACTCAGTGAGAGGTGTGTTTTAGAATTTTGGATCATACTTTGTAATTTTTAGTGAGATTTCCCTACCCAGATGCGCCTAAATGGTTTCAAGAACAAATTGAGCCCAACCAGTGTGGCTCAGTGGCTGAGTGTCGACCCATGCACCAAGAAGTTGCCAGTTCAATTCCCAGTCAGGGCACATGCCCAGGTTGTGGGTCCGATGCTCAGTGGGGGGCATGAAGGGGGCCAATAGATGTCTTTCTCATCGCTATTCCTATCTTTTTCTCCTTCTCCTTTTCTCTCTCTAAAAAATCAATAAAGAAAAAAAATTTTTTTTAAAGAACAAATTGAGAAGTAAGTGAAGCTTTTGTCAGTCCCCACTTGTCTCTTTTCTCTGGTTCTTCCTTTCTTATGAGAACCATCTCAGAAGGGTGTCCAGTGCCCTCATTCTGTAGCAGGGCTCCTTCTTCTAGAACAGTCCCATGCATTGATTTGTGCTCCATTCCTTCCATTATTTAAACTTTTTCTGGCTGTTCAGCTGGAGAAGCCCACACTATGATCATCTTATGACAAAATGGACCATAACTTGTTGGGCAATCAAATATAAACTAGGTCAAATAGTTTAAGAGAAAAGGAAAAATATTAGGAACCAGAAGCTACTCCGTTCTAGTCTGAACTGTGACACCTACTTGTGATGTGACCTTGAACAATTACTTAACTCCTCTAGCCCTTAGGTTTCTATTTTATAAAATAGGATTGATAATATTAATCTTTCTCACACTACTGGTAGCAAAAATCAAAAGAAATGATATGTGTATGAAATTATGAAATGTAATATTAGACTCATATCCCTTTTTTTTTTTAGTACAAGTACAAGGAAGGCTACCGTAAACAGCTTGGTCACCACATTGGGGCCCGAAATATTAAGGATGACCCCAAGATGATGTGGTCCATGCATGTGGCCAAGATCCAGAGTGACAGGGAGTACAAGAAGGACTTTGAGAAGTGGAAGACCAAGTTCAGCAGCCCCGTGGACATGCTGGGGGTGGTGCTGGCCAAGAAGTGTCAGATCCTTGTAAGCGACATAGACTACAAGCATCCCCTGCATGAGTGGACCTGTCTGCCCGACCAGAACGACGTCATTCAGGCTCGGAAGGCCTATGACCTGCAGAGTGATGTGAGTGGGTTTAATATTATTCAGCATGTGTTTAAAATGTTTAAAAAAGATATCCGGCCGGTGTGGCTCAGTGGTTGAGTGTCGACCCATGTCACCGATTTGATTCCTGGTCAGGGCACATAGACAGGTTGTGTGCCCAATGCCCAGCAGGGGGCCATGCAGAAAGTGGCCAGTCAATGTTCTCTCTCATCGATGTTTCTATTTCTCTCTCCCTCTCCCTTCTTCTCTCTGTAAAATCAGTAAAGAAACAAAAAATTTCAAAAATTAGATTTAAAAAAGGGGTTCTAACTTCTTTTGTGCCATGGAATCTCTTGGCAATCTGGTGAAACCTAGGGACAACTTCTTAGGACAATGTCATAAAATGTGTACATTTTTAAAAATATACATACTTATACATATATGTATGTGTATGTATATGTATATATACACTTTTATTAACACATTAAATAAAAATATCTAGCAGTGAGTGTAATCACTAGTTTAATTTCAAAGAAGTGATGAGCATAAATATTTCAAGCTGTCTGCAACAGCAGTAATAGGATATGAAAATATTTGTGATTTCTATTGTCGACCAAGTCCCATGTAGTGTTAATATTACTATGATCTGTTGCCTAAACTTAAAATGGAAAGAAATGCTAAATTTCAGCTATAGGTTAATGAAAATAAATAATATTATGTTTTTTCCTATACATGTTCATTGATATCGGATTAAAAATTCTTAGTTTAACTCAACCTATTTTTTTTTTTTTTTTTTTTTTTTTTTTTTTTTTATCCTCATCCGAGGACATTTTTCCATTTTTTGTACAGACAGAGTGGGAGGGAGAGAGAGGAAGAGAGAGAGAGGGAAACATCGATGTGAAAGGGACACATCGAGTGGCTGCCACCCGCACGACCAACCAGGGCCGGGGACAAACTGCAACCGAGGTACGTGCCCTTAGCGGGAACCGAACCCGGGTCTCTCCGGACCGCAGGCGGATGCTCCAACCGCTGAGCCAAACCGGCCAGGGCTCAACCTATTTTTTCAAATGAATTGATTGCATTTTCATTTTTCTGACTACTCAACTTGCAGGAAAAATCTATTATAAGTTGTAAAAGGAAGTTTAGGAATGAATTATACTTTGGGATCATTTATCTACACAGCTGAAAACAATAGCTTCCTAGGAATATGTTAGGCACTTTGGTTATCAGCTAGTAAATTGTCCTTAGGACGCAAGTGCTACCTCTTTGGTTTAGTAGCTCCTTGTTGTTTTTTTATCAGGCTCTAACAAGTAGTCGCTTTCGAAAGAATGATAAAACTAGCGGCATTGTAAAAAAGAGTTTCCCCCAAATCCATAAGAATAAAAAGGATTGTTAAAACAATAAGAAAAATTATCTTTCAATTATTTAAATTCAAAGAAGAAAACTGAAAGATGAAATATCTTATTTTACTTGAATTATCACAGTAGAAGGGGACTGAAAATAAGATAAATATATGTATATAGAATTATATGAAAAAAGACACCCTTTTTGTTGTCCCCAGAAAGCCCATTAATTCAACATGTGGTCAGCCAGTAGTATTCATCCTTTCTTTATATTACAGGACTGGCTGTGAGGGCCATTGTCCAACTAGATACGAACAAGCTCTTCTATTAGAGTATTAGTCCCACACAAGGAGGTATGGGCAATCAAAAAATAAACTCTGCCCTGGCCGGTTTGGCTCAGCGGTTAGAGCGTCGGCCTGCGGTCCTGAGAGACCTGGGTTCGGTTCCCGCTAAGGGCGCGTACCTCGGTTGCAGTTTGTCCCCGGCCCTGGTCGGTTGTGCGGGTGGCAGCCACTCGATGTGTCCCTTTCACATCGATGTTTCTCTCTCTCTCTGTTCCTCTCTCTCCCCCCAACTCTACCTGAACAAAAAATGGAAAAATGTCCTCGGGTGAGGATAAAAAAATAAAAATAATAATAATAATAATAAACTCTTTGCATCAGGAGGCAGGCAGTAATTTCCCTAAAATGGTTCTGTATCAATGAAATTCCATATTATTAAAAAGATTTCATGGGTCTTTAAAACAGGGCTACCTTCAGAGATAAAGTGTTTAACCAAGTCCTCTATACCAAAGTCGGTCTTCCCAGAAACGTATACAAGATTCAGAATTACACATTCTCTGTATATGCTAAATCAGGATCACACACCAGGTTGTCAAGGTAATTTCTATAAATACATGACATTATTTCATTTTCAGGCTATTTACAAGGCTGATCTTGAGTGGCTGAGAGGCATTGGATGGGTGCCCATTGGCTCTGTGGAGGTCGAGAAGGTGAAGAGAGCTGGAGAAATCCTGAGTGACAGGAAGTACCGCCTGCCTGCAGACAAGCTCAAATTCACATGCATTACAGATAGCCCAGAAATTGTCCTGGCAAAGACTAATGCCCTGACAATGAGCAAGGTTAGTCTTCTGCTGTTTCCAGTTGTCTGAGTCATACCTCCCACAATGTGACTTATAAAGTGAGACATATATAACCATTTAGCATTTTGTTCTAAAGTCTGGCAAGCATGGTGTTTATAGCAATGCCGTTGCACAGCTCAGATTAGTTGCTTGGCTTACTCTTTCTGCTTAGGTTGTGGAAATCCACTTTGAAAAGTGAGCTGCCATTGTTGCTTTCCGTTTTATTACACAGGATAGATGATCAGTTCTTTTTTCCAGAGTTCTAGCAATCTGTTTATTGAGACTGGGTTCATTCTTTATCCAATGGGTAGGGCTTCAATATGCACCTTTTAGGTTGAATTCAACTTACCTGAATTTTCCCACACCTGCCTGGATGTCTTCTAAACATCCAGGTGGTGATATTGAGTGCTTGTTCAGTGAAAACATAAACTTGGCGCTCAGTGAACTCCAGAGTTAGGGTTATTAAAACTCCAGAAATTCTGTTCTATTCCACACCCCTCAGCAGTATCCACAGTGATAACAACAATAGAAAAACACCATAAAATGTGTTGAGTGCCCACTATGACAGATGCATTTTATATATGTTATGGTTAATCTTCATAAAATACTCAATAAAAAAAAGATATGGATATCTCGCTCCAAGAAATGAGGAATAGGCATAGTGGAGTTGCCTTTGAACTTGAGATTGATTCTGAAGTCTATGGATTTCTACTATATCACAGTTCTATCGCCCAACTCCAAGCGTGGTGGTCCTAGTAGTAAGCTTGAGTTTCACTGGATAAAAATAGTTAATAACTGAGATCATTATGATGTTTTATATTAGTTATGAAATGACCATATGGCTGTTTAAATATTGCCATATTTGACTCTCCTTACTATCCTTTTGCTTCTCTCACCTCCAAATGACCTTTAAAAGGCTATTTTATACGTAAAAGAATTTAATTTTATAATAACTCTGATATATTGGCTTTTTTTAAAAAAAGTGTTTTATCTTACTTCCCTCATAGCGCTTATACACAGAAGCTTGGGATGCTGACAAAACCTCCATCCACGTGATGCCGGACACCCCAGAAATCATGCTGGCCAAGAGCAATTCTGTCAACATCAGCCAAGTAAGAGATCTGCTGATTGTTGTTTAAGCCTTGGTAGGAGGAATTAAAACACGTTTTTTAAATATCTTAGCACCTTCCTTTCTGGAATTGGCCTTTTAACTTTCTATAACACTTTCATTTTTCTGTTGTGTATTATTCTCCACGTAGAAACTTTACACCAAGGGATGGGATGAATCAAAGATGAAGGACTATGACCTAGGAGGTGATGCTATTTCCATCAAAAGTGCCAAGGCCTCGAGGGACATCGCCAGTGACGTAAGTGCCCTCCGTCTAACCCCCTTGGTCTCACATTGCTAAGCAACCACAGTGCAGCTGGCGGGCCACCCTTGTAACTGCTTCCACGGGTATTCCTCCAGTCCTGCTTCCTGTGTCCTAAGGCCTTTGCCTTTGTTACCACAGGGAAGAAAAATACACTTTGCAATTACAGTTAGAGTTGATGCAGGAAAGGGTTCCACCAATGAAGCTATATGATCACACTACATGTTGATGACAGTATAAAATGTGAGTCTGAGCCCTGGCCGGATTGGCTCAGCGGTTGGAGCCTCGGCCTACGACCCAAAGAGTCTTGGGTTTGCCCTGGCCGGTTTGGCTCAGCGGTTAGGGCGTCGGCCTGCGGTCCTGAGAGACCCGGGTTCGGTTCCCGCTAAGGGCACGTACCTCGGTTGCAGTTTGTCCCCGGCCCTGGTTGGTCGTGCGGGTGGCAGCCACTCGATGTGTTCCTTTCACATCGATGTCTCTCTCTCTCTCTCTCTCTCGGTTCCTCTCTCTCCCTCCCACTCTACCTGAACAAAAAATGGAAAAATGTCCTCGGGTGAGGATAAAAAAAAAAAAAAAAAAGAGTCTTGGGTTCAATTCTGGTCAAGGTCACGCACCTTGGTTGTGGTTTGGTCCCCGACCCTGGACGGGGTCCTGCAAGAGCCAGCCAGTCAATGTATCTCTCTCCCTTCCTCCTAACCACTCTGTCTGAAGATAAATAGAAAAGTATCCTCGGGGGAGGATTTTAAAAAAATTAGTTTGAAATTATTCAGAGATGCCAAAATGTCTGCAATATAAAATTCTTATCTAGTCGCTGGTGGGTATTTACATTATCTGTAATTGTCAGTGTGTATATGGTCAAAGAACTGGGTTTCTAAACCTGTATTTCTGACATTTTAGTACAAATACAAAGAAGCCTATGAAAAACAGAAAGGCCACCACATCGGAGCCCAGAGTGTTGAAGACGACCCCAAGATTATGTGCGCCATAAATGCGGGGAAGATTCAAAGTGAAAGAGAGTACAAGAAGGACTTCCAGAAGTGGAAGACCAAGTACACTAGCCCAGTGGACATGTTAGGCATCTTGCTGGCCAAGAAATGCCAGACACTGGTCAGTGACATTGATTACCGGAATTACCTGCATCACTGGACGTGCTTACCTGATCAAAACGACATCATCCAAGCAAAGAGGGCCTACGAACTGCAGAGCGATGTACGTCACATGAACATGGGGAAGGGGAAGGGGAGGGCACAGGTTACTAATTGTCCAGTCACCTCCTCTGGGGCGCCATTCACATTGCTTAGGAGTTATGTCATGGGAGCAAAGAATATAAAGAACCCTGCTTGGGTCATGTCCTTACTCCTTGGCTTATATTCCAGACTGCTTTCTTCATGTCACTTTATTTTATGGCGATGGAAAGATATTTCAGACAAACATAAATTATATGAATGTTTTTTAAAAAACTGCCACTACTCTACTATATCCAAAGCACTAAATGGACTTTCCATGAGTCTCTTTACAGGATAAAAATGGAATGAGAGTCAACAAAATTTTCTTTTTAAATTGTTTCAATTACATAATATAATGTTCTGCAGGTCCAGGGATGATATGTTTCATTGGCAAGCCACAATTATGGGACCTAATGACAGCCCATATCAAGGCGGTGTAGTCTTTTTGACAATTCATTTTCCTGCAGACTACCCCTTCAAACCACCTAAGGTTGCATTTACAACAAGAATTTATCATCCAAATATTAACAGTAATGGCTCGATATTCTAAGATCACAGTGGTCTCCTTCATTAACTATTTCTAAAGTTCTTTTATCCATTTATTCACTGATATGTTATCAAAACCCAGATAACCCCCTAGTGCTAGAGATTGCACAGATCTATAAAACAGACAGAGATAAGTACAACAGAATATCTAGGGAATGGACTCAGAAGTATGCTATGTGATACTACCTTAAAGTCAGAATAATCTGTATTATAGCTGGAATAAACTTTAAATTACTGTTAAAAAAAAAAAAAAAAAAAAGAATGATGCTTTTACAAATTACTCTGTCATTGATATTAAAACCCCCATGCCATGTGAAATCTCAGATCCTACTTTTGGGGGGAACCACCATCTCCCCATGAACTTTATTTCTCAATTACGGGATGATATGTCTAACCTGAGAACAAAATTTTGTTCTAACATCTTTTAGAGCGTGTATAAGGCAGACCTGGAGTGGCTGCGTGGCATCGGCTGGATGCCAGAAGGCTCGGTAGAAATGACCAGGGTGAAAGGTGCTCAAGACCTGATCAATGAAAGACTCTATCGAACGCGGCCAGATGCCTTGAAGTTCACTTGCATTACCGATACTCCAGAAGTCGTCTTGGCGAAAGCCAATTCTCTGCAAATAAGTGAGGTAAGAACCAGCCTACTTCAAGCTTTCCTTTTGGGGGGCTCTGTTATCAGAGGAGGCGAGCCAAGCCGGACAAGCAGAATGTTCCTCCGCAAAGCCTATTGTGGTGGCAGCACCTCTGAGGGTCTCTGGACTAGTTCAGTGAGGCACCTCTGACAAATGCCCACGTGCCTTTCCCCTGCCACACGCTTGGAAGCACTGAAATCAGAAAAATGTTACTCCATTGTGATTCAGGAAAACAAATATCATTTAAGTCCTATAAAATGCTAAAACCTGTGGCATACTACTACACATTACATGGTATGACAATTTATTAGTCGGGGTTCCCCTGAGAAACAGACCGACAGGACGTGTAGGAGAGAGATTGGTTTTAAGGAATGGCTCACCTGCGGTGGAGGCTGGCACGCCCCGCATCTGCAGGGTGGGCTGCAGGTGGGAGACCCAGGAGGAGTTGCAGTTCAAGTCCCAAGGCAGTTGACGGGCAGAATTACTTCTTGCTCAGGGGAGGTCAGACCTTTATCTATTAAGGCCTTTGATTGGACAAAGCCCATCCACATTACAGAGGGTAGTCTGCTTTACCCAGTCTGCTGAGCTATTAATCTCATCTGAAAGATAGCTTCATAGAAATGTCTGGAATAATGTTTGACCAAATATGTGGGTACTGTGGCTTAGCCGACACATAAATTAATCATCATAAACATGTATAAAAACATTTTTTTCCGGGTTAAATAGTTGCTTAGACTTTTCGTTTCAGATCTCCATTCTCTATTAAATATTGAAATGATATTTCCCCTTCTCTCCACAGAAACTGTACCAAGAAGCCTGGAATAAAGACAAAACCAACATCAGCATTCCTTCTGACACGCCAGTCATGCTGCAGGCCCAAATCAATGCCTTGCAAATCAGCAATGTAAGAATATGAATATTCAAGGCATGAATATGAAGTGTAAATGCCTTTGTGAGACAGTATCTGTCAGCTTACGGAGTGTGTTGTAGTCAGCAAATTACCTGTCTTAGAAATGATTACAACTTTCTCTTTAGCTACCATTCCCAATGCAATATGAATGGAAATTCTCTTTTAAGCCTTAGTTAAGATATGTGGCTGTGTCCCTGGGCTGCGGCCTGTGGGACACCTGAATCTTACGGTTGCTCCTTTCAACGTTGAAATCACTGTCCTGTATCTAATGTTTACAGCTCAGTTTCATTGTATATTATTCAAGAGTAATGAAATCCCTAGTTAAATGCCTCTTGTGCAAGAAAGTATAAGAGGTAACAGTCTCTACTGTCTTTTTTTCTGTTGTCTTTTAGGTTTTTTTATTGATCCAGAATTTTCTTGTTTGACATTTAAAGGCCATAAAAAAAGCCAAAAGACAACTTTTAATTTTATGCAAAGTGCAGGATATGTATGATATCTAAGTCACATCACACTAGCAGAGAGACCTCTAAAAAGTTAAAGGATAACATTAGGAAGAAAATCTAATCAGGTCTTATATGGGACCTAGTGAAGGTTCACAGTTGATTCTTAGTTTTCATGTACTATGTAATGAGATTTCTTCAGGTGTGGGCCATATTGTGATGTGACCATTTGAATTCAGATGTTTGATTTAGATGGTTAGCTGTTAAATTTAGATGTTTACCTTTAAAATTGTAATCAGAAATATCCTGCACTTTACAAAGAAAATAACCAATAACCAAGAGAAGAACTCAGAAGTGACAGGTTTTTTTCTTATTTGCCTCTATTGACATTATGCCTTATGATTCATATGACTACTTTGAGTATATTTATTTATTTTCAATTCTTGTAAACAAATCTGTGTTTTCCCTCAATAGAAACTCTACCAGAAAGACTGGAATGAGGCCAAGCAGAAAGGCTACGACATAAGAGCAGATGCCATTGAAATCAAGCACGCCAAGGCCTCCCGAGAAATCGCCAGTGAGGTATGGCTCCGTTTCCTTCTCCTCCTCCGTACAACAAATAGGCAGAGTATTTTTCAAGAATTTAGCTCTTTAAAAAAAAAATATATGCAAACAATTGTGTTTTGTCTTACACTAAAGACTTTATTTAAAAACATTAAAATGGGCCCTGGCCAGGTGGCTCAGTAGGTTGGAGAGACGTCCCATATACCAAAAAGGTTGTGGGTTTGATTCCCGGTAGGGGTGCATGGCGGGGGGGTGAGGGGCAGGCAACAGATTGATATTTCTCTCTCTCTTTGTCTCTCTTAAATCATAAACAAATCTTTGGGTAAGGATTAAAAATAATAATTATAAAATCATTAAAATGAAATGAAAAATATTAAGGTAAGCATAGATGAGGTTTATGTGTAAATAACGTTTAAGTTGTTTCTAAGGAGAAGACAGATATTATGAAGAGTCTGTCTGAAATTCTTAGGAAAATTCAGGAACCAACACAATGTGATTTTACCCCCAAAATATTTATGACATTTTTTATAAATATAAATCACAGATGAAAGTGACAAACAAGAAGACTTAAGAATGAAATCACATAATCACAGGATTTTATCCTGGAGGCCTATGTATAGTGCTCTTAGTAACCTTTTGAAGTTCATTTAAAAGTAATTTTAAAACTTACTAACAGTCAAAGCAATTATCCTATCAAGTCCCCACACCTCAGTTCCAATTCTTTAAGCTGGCTTTGTTTTCTTTCTGCCCCTTCTCTATGTTTTATTTCATGTATCAGCAGTTTCTTCTTTCTTTATTTTTATCTCTAAAAACCATAGCTGAGCACAGTATCTACCTTATTCCCATTCTATTTCCCTTTTATTCAAATTTGTCTATGTCATCTAAATATAGGAAAAAAACGAGAAACTATCTTAAACTAATTCTAAGGCACTTAGGACAAGTGTGGACCAGATAGAAACTGTTGTCCACGGGACTTTTACTGTCATCTTCTGATACAAACCAGCAACCTAGCTTTCCATTCCTGAAACACGCACCTTCTCTGTCTCCTAAATCACACATGATATTTTCCTACTTGAGGTACCTTCGGTACTCTTGGGAAACCATCCGACCTAATGTTCCACCTGCCAGGCAACCTTGGGGACAATGGTTAGTCACCCTTACTGTGCCTTATTTCCCCATCTAAAATATGTTATAATAATAGTACTACCATGTAGAGATGTTATGAGGATTCGGTGAACTTATAGTTACCACTGTCAATGATTTTTAACTAGAAAAATTCAGCAATATCATATGAATCAACCTAATCCATTTGAAGCACTTATAATAGTGTCTGGCATATAGTGATTGCTCAGAAATGTTCGCTATTGTTATTTTTTATTACTATTGTTCGCCATACTGTCCCTCCTGATTTACTCATATCTTCTATAAAACTATCTAAAGAGCCCAATCTAATTTTCTTATAGTGAGCTGATGTATAGAAAGACTGCCAATGTCAAGCCAATTTACATTAAGAAAATATTCTAAACCATTTAATGAAAAGTCCTCTTCATACATTATTTTCATGTGACTCTTTATCTGATTTTTCACAACTTTAGTACAAATACAAAGAAGGTTACCGTAAGCAACTGGGACACCACGTGGGTTTCCGCAGCCTACAAGATGACCCCAAGCTGGTATGGTCGATACACGCTGCCAAGATCCAGAGTGACAGAGAATACAAGAAAGCTTATGAGAAGTCTAAATCAATTTACAACACACCCTTGGACATGATGTCAATTGTTCAAGCCAAGAAGTGCCAGGTCCTGGTTAGCGACGTTGATTATCGCAATTACCTGCACCAGTGGACGTGTCTGCCGGATCAGAACGACGTGATCCAGGCTAAGAAAGCCTACGAGCTGCAGAGCGATGTGCGTATAGGATCACCAGGCCCTTGGGGAGACGTGTGTCTGTGTGTCTAATCCCAGTGTGTTCCCTGGGGACATAAATGAACTGGTAATTCTAACAGAACCTAACACATTCTGTACATTTTATGATAGTAGAATTCTTCTGAGCATTTTTTAATCTTATCGAGGATTCCTTCTTACGTGATAATGCCGTATTCACCAGGATGAAAATCACTCTGCTATTCTGTGTATTTAGGTAGAACATTTCAGTCTCAGTTGTTCTGATCCACTACATTTGCATTATCAGACATCAGAAACAGGTTCAACATAAGAATATTTTGAATTTCAAGTTTATCCAATACATATAGGAAAATACATATTTATGTTATAGTTTTATATAGAGAGAAAAATGTATAGAGATTATAGATATGTATTTTTTATCATTATATATGCATCCAAGGACCTTTTTTCCTAAATTCCGACAGATGTTATTCCCAGTGGTACATAAAATGCAGATTTCAACCTTGTATTTTATGCCATTGTTGTCTGTCATTCCCCAAATGCCACTTGTCGGCCCTGCTCCAATTCCTGTAGGGGCAGACACTGTGAACTTCTCCCAGAGATGTGTGCCGGAGACATAACACCCAAATGTTAACATTGAATGCTGATCCTTGAATTTCACGGGCTGACCCCCAGATGATTTGAACAGCTCGTGTGTGGTTTGCGGCATTGTGCTCCAGTACAGAGTTGACTCTTCTGCACTCTGTGGTCCTCCCCTTCTTGTAGAACGTGTACAAATCAGACCTGGAATGGTTGAAGGGTATCGGATGGTTGCCGGAGGGTTCTGTGGAAGTGGTAAGAGTGAAGAATGCCCAAGATCTCCTCAATGAAAAGTTGTATCGTACAAAGCCCGAGGCGCTCAAATTCACCAGCATTGCTGATACGCCTGAAGTCATTCTGGCGAAAACCAATGCTCTACAAATCAGTGAGGTAAGCCAGGTCTATGATATGTTCAGACAAATTGAGGAAGTCTCAGTAAAATTTCTAATTGTGAACTTTAATTTGCTATTACCAGCATCAGAATCTTGAAGATATGTACATGTAGCTAGATAGAATTTCATATAGTCAATCAATTAACAGTATCCACATTTCATTTGCTTAGCTAACTCTTCGGTCAATGTAAGTGTGGTGGGCATCTTTGTGTTTCACAGGTTATGATAATACACTTCGAACACATTTTAAGACCTTGCCTATAAGACAGGTTAACCAGTTAATACCATGATCACAAAATTGCCACCTTTTTTTTTTTTGGTATTCAATCATAAACTAAGTTAAAAAGTCCAGGGGAACAATATTAGACATTATGATAGTTACTTCAGTTAGAGAGCCAGGATTTTATTAGCATTGTGGAATATCATAGTTACCTGCAATGAGGGTTTACCTGCCTGATAATTACATGTGAATAAATGCAAAAGGCTTATTTTACTACCATGGTTCTGATTCATTTTACATTTATATTATGTCACACATGAATGTATTTCTCTTATCAAAATCACTATTGGCACTTTCTAAATAAAAACACAAATAAGCCCTGGCTGGTGTGGCTCAGTTGGATAGACCATCAGCTTGTGCACCAAAAGGTCACAGGTTTGATTCCCAGTCAAAGGCATGTACCTGAGTTGCAGGTTTGATCTCTGGCCCTGGTCGGGGTGTGAGCAGGAGACAACCTTTCACACAGATGTTTCTCTCTCTCTCTCCCCCTCTTCCTCCCTCCCTTCCATTCTCTTTAAAAATCAATGGAAAAAATATCCTCCAGTGAGGACCAACAACAAAAAACAAACACAAATAAAAAAATGCAATCTATATTTATATAGGAGAAGCTTCAAAGAGAATTTCTAATTGCCCCTATAATTTTACTCATGTGGTAATTGACGTATTTACTAGTCAGTCATCCTTTGCTTTTCATTTTTCCCAGCCTCTGTATCGGGAAGCCTGGGACAAAGAGAAGGCGAATGTGAATGTGCCGGCAGACACCCCAGTGATGCTGCAGTCCAAAATCAACGCCCTGCAGATCAGCAACGTAAGGCACCGCACGCCCACCTGCTGCACCCTCACTCTGTGAACTTCCGGCATATATGCCGGGGAGGGTTTAGCAAAAGGCACCTCCCTTCCGTGCCTTTTATTTCTAGTCTTAAAGCTAATGATAAGTGTGAGCACACCTGCATGTGTGTTTAAACTGTAGAGATGTGTGTCTTTATTTCTGTTGGAAGGAAAAATGCAGTGGTTTTGCCAAAACACAACCTAAAAGTATATATGCATGTATAGTAATATTAGTTCTCTTTTTAGTGGTCCATCATTGATTTTTCCTTCTAAAAATCAAATTATATATATATATATATAATTTTCACAAGACTTACTGTCTTCTAAATTTCTGTCTTAAAAAAATGTTATTAGGGAGGACTTTACTAAATGCCATTAAAAATATGTTAGAACTCAAGTTCAGTAAGAAACTAGCCTTTTATAAACCTCATGGGAGATTAATTTTCAGGGTAACTGTTAACCTGTGTTCTTCAATACATCAGCAACACTGAGGCAGTAGCTCCCTCTTCCGATTAACTGTGGCACTGCAATCTCCGTTTGCAGAAACACTATCAGCAAGCTTGGGAAGACGTCAAGATGACGGGTTACGACCTGCGAGCAGATGCCATTGGGATCCAGCATGCCAAGGCTTCCAGGGATATTGCCAGTGACGTAAGAGCTCTTCTTTGCCCAGCTTTGACAAACACCAACTCGTAGGCACACACACTAATCTTTAACTTATTTTCCCAGGAATTATATTTAAGTAAAATGGAGGTCATTTTTATTAGTGTCGTGTTTTAAAATCTCCAATTCAAGAGCAACTTTACGGCAGTTTGATGATATTCATTCATCTCTGCTTAGTTCTACTCTTCTTACGTTGAAGCACAGATTTTTATTTTATTTTCAATATAAGTTAGTTTACAAGGACTTAGGCAGTGGTTCTCAACCTGTGGGTCGCAACCCCTTTGGGGGTCAAACGACCCTTTCACAGGGGTCACCTAAGACATAACAGTAGCAAAATTACAGTTATGAAGCAGCAAAGAAAATAATTTTATGGTTGGGGGTCCCCACAACACGAGGAACTGTATTAAAGGGTCATGGCATTAGGAAGGCTGAGAACCACTGACTTAAAGACTTATGGGTAAAAAGAATTCTGTTGTTTCTCAAGTGTTGCATTTATAGGTGATCCCTGTGATAATTTTATGTAGCACCAAAGCAAGACATTTTTAAATGGTTATATATTTGTTTGGATGTGTGCTAGAAAAATACTGATTTTATTCCAGTTAGGTAGAATTATAAATTAAAAAAAAAAAATTTAAGTAAATTTACACTTTAAAAATGAATGTATTTAAACAAAGAATCCAGGTGACTTAAAGTATGAGTACCTGTGTGTGGCAAAACATGTGAGGGCGCCAAATAATGACTGAAGTTTGGGAAACAGCGGACAAGCCCGCGTTGAGGATAATCTAGAAACACATTTCTTGCCTTAGAGGTGCTCTCAATGTTCTTGCCTTAAGTACTCACAGTGCCCCAGAAAGAGTCATCTAAGGGAATGGAGCTGTTCTGAACAGAATGTCTAGAAAAACTGAGTTTGGAAAAACAACTCTTCTTTCTTCTGTTCACCTCCACCAGTATCTGTACAAAACTGCTTACGAGAAACAGAAAGGCCATTATATTGGATGTCGCAATGCCAAGGAAGACCCCAAACTGGTTTGGGCAGCAAATGTGTTAAAGATGCAGAATGACAGACTGTACAAAAAAGCCTACAATGACCACAAGGCCAAGATCTCTATCCCGGGGGACATGGTGTCTATCAACGCTGCCAAAGAAGGCCAGGCGCTAGCGAGCAACGTGGACTACCGCCAGTACCTGCACCAGTGGTCTTGCCTTCCTGACCAGAATGATGTGATCCACGCCAGGCAAGCCTATGACCTGCAGAGTGATGTAAGTGTGTGCTCGTGAGGGGTGAGCCGTTCCCCAGGAAGGAAGCCTTCCACGGCTTGGCCTGGTCACTCCTTCCAGTGCTGGGGAAAACGAAACTCTCCCTACATATGCACTTCTCTTGAGTATTTTACCAAGTTTATGTTTTGCCTACCTTACTGCTGGGTTTGTTCAGAAAGTTTTTATTTTCCTAATTTTTCTGTAGATTTTTTTAACATGGACAGTGCTTATAGTTTATTAAGCATAAAAATGGTCCAGATCCATCAACTCTGTATTGAAGAAGGACAGGGCTGTCATCCTTAAAATTAATTTCAGAGCGTCGCAGCATGCGCCAGACGCACTGGTTCCCCTTAAGCTGGTGTTTTCACATCGTGGTGTTTCATGCATTTACCGAGAGTGCTTTTAGATTTACTCATATTTTATACCCACTCAGTGTTTTGGAAATGGTGGATTCCCTCCGGCTACTTATGTCTTCTGTACAAGGAATACCTTTTCTTCATTATGTGAACTTGGTTGCCCTAAGCTTCCAGAGATGCTTTGTCATAATGAATGAGTTTCCTACAGGAAAGTGTGCCCATCCCTTGAAATGAATTGCCAGCTGGTAGATGTAGGCCGTGTTCGGAAGAAAGGCAGTCTGTTCACTGACCCGAAACAAACGGGTGCACTGAGGCGCGCATGCCCATCAAGTTCTCAGAGAATGAGAAAGGAGAGTCTCACAATGTGCATGTGATCCTCTTCTGAATTCTGCATGTCTATCACACTTTACATGCTAAAACATTATGTCATTCTTCATTAAGGTAGAAATTTTCCTGTAGGTTTCACTCCTCTTACTACCTTTTTAGCCTGGTATTTGTATCTCATTAACTAATTATTAAAATATCATTTCTGAAGAACACCATGGTTTTTTAGAAAATTAATAATTGGTGTTTAACATAGAGTAAGTTTGTATGGTTAACTGCTTACCTATGTCTGGGGAAACAAGTTTAGATAACCAAGAAATGAAAATCCCAATTCAAAGGGAGGCGCTATCTTGGAAAAAGAAAACCCAGCTGAGATAAAAAAAACTGTGGAGCTAGAGTAGGGATTGAATTCTTAATTATTAAAAAATATATATTTATGAAAACACTATGTGCGAAGCATTGTGCTAAGCACCAAAGATCCCATTGTGAATAAAGGAGAAGAAATAAGACCAAGTTCCTGACGTTAGGGACTTCACATTGATACCAAAGAAACTGATGTTCGTCAGAGAATATCAGTGAGCAGTAAGATGACTGACGGGAGTGAGCCCCGGCTCTGTGGGAGTCGGAAACGCTTCTATACGGGCCTGCTGATACAGTGGGGCATGAAGGGAGAGTGGAGGCAGCTTTGTGAGGAGCACATTCCTGCAGAATGAGCAACACACGCAAAGGGCACGGTATGTGAACCACTAACTGAAGGAAGGCCAGCCTGGTCAGAAGGCCAGCCCGGTCAGAATGCACAGGGCAAAGGGAAGCAGAGTAAGATGATGAGTCTGGGAGAACAGGTGGGGATCGGTGCTACATCGTCCCTCGCCTTCTAGTCCGTGTTAAGGATTTTGATCTTTATCCTAAAACCAATGGGAAGCCACAGGATGGGGGAATGTTGTGACATTAGATTTGCATTGCAAATTTTAAAAAGATCCTTCTGGCTGCTTGTGGAGAATTTACTGGAGAGCCTATTATTGCTTTTAAGGTCCACATTGACTAGAATGATAATTACCTATTATTATTCAAACAGACATTTTTAGAATGTGCATATGCACCCCAACATTGACCCCCTGCCACAGAAAACAAGCAGAACAAAATTCTGCTGTGGCCTTGGCGGGTTTGGCTCAGCACGTAGAGGCACGACCAGAAGTCCATGGATTCGATTCCTGGTCAAGGCCTCGTACCTGGGTTGCAGGTTAGATCCCCGGCGACCAATCCATGTCTTTCTCTCTCTCTTTCTCTCCCTCCCTTCCACTCTCTCTAAAAATCAATCAATTATCCTTGGGTGAGGAATAACAAAAAAACAAACAAGCAAACAGAACGAAAACAAAAACACTGCTGTGCATATGATCAATTGTGTTTGTCAGGACACTGCTCACTTTTTATTATGTGTGGAAGATAAAATATAACAAATTGTTTTCCTATTTTGCTTTTTAAAAATCTGTTTCTAACCAGCTTGGTTTCCTTTCCAGGCTGTCTACAAGGCTGACTTGGAGTGGCTGCGGGGCATCGGCTGGATGCCTGATGGGTCTCCCGAAGTGCTGAGAGTCAAAAATGCCCAGGAGATCCTACGAGACAGCGTCTACCGGACCCCAGTGGTGAACCTCAAGTACACAAGTATTGTGGACACACCGGAAGTTGTCCTTGCTAAATCAAATGCTGAAAATATTAGTATTGTAAGTCACCATTTTCTCTATGATACGATTAGGTTGGTGTTAAAAATAAATGAAGTAATTCACTTGGTAATCTGATAGTAATAATGTTGATGATAGCAAAAATTTTCACATTGACAGAGTCATTTTATTATTACTTAATAATTCTAAACAAAAACTCAGAGTATTGATAAAAAGTATTAATACAGCCCTGGTCGGTTTGGCTCAGGGGTTAGAGCGTCGGCCTGCGGTCCAGAGAGACCCAGGTTCGGTTCCCGCTAAGGGCACGTACTTCAGTTGCAGTTTTTCTCTGGCCCTGGTTGGTCATGCGGGTGGCAGCCACTCTATGTGTTCCTTTCACGTTGATGTTTCTTTCTCTCTCTCTCTCTCTGTCTCTCTCTCTTCCTCTCTCTCCCTCCCACTCTATATGAATAAAAATGGAAAAATGTCCTCGGGTGAGGATAAAAAATATATATATATTAATACAGATTTTATATCAAATTTCAGTAACTTACGTGAAAAGACTCTAGATATGAAAAGATTTGGATCCAAAAAATGGAAATCTGTGCATTGGGACAAGCCAAATTACAAATCACAGAGTAATTTTGTTATTATTGGTTCTTTCTATAGCCAAAGTACCGAGAAGTTTGGGACAAGGATAAAACTTCGATCCACATCATGCCCGATACTCCAGAAATTAATCTCGCCAGAGCCAATGCTCTCAATGTGAGCAATGTAAGTACTGCAGCAGACTCACCCAGCTGGTGCTACAGTATCACCCGTGGAACTCTCCGTAGCCACAGGAGAGCAGATTGGTGGAGGCAGGCGGACTCCGCACCACCTGCCCTGGCCAGCGGTGAGGACACGAGCAGCTCCCTGGCTCGAGTCCCTGGGCAGGGTCAGGACCGGTGAGCTAGTGTCAACAGGATAAAAGGGAGAAGGGAATAAGGACAAGAAAGATGAGTCAGGAATGAAAAACCCACAAACAAGCATGGGGAGTTAATGACAGAGTCAGATAAAGTCTAAACATGAGAATTATTTGCAAAATTTTACAAATTAATTTTAAAACCTGGATTATAGGGAATTTTCTAGGAAATTACAAATTACCAAATTAACCCCAGAAAAAAAAAAATACATATAGCAAGAAATTAAAGAAATACAGAGAGTTATTAAAGACTTTTTTTCTCCTCTCAGATGCCAGGGTCACCCAGATGATTTCACAGAATTCTTTTAAAACTTAAACAAAACAAAACCTAACGTAAAGCTCAATGAAAGAAGAAAAGCCATCACAGTTACCAACACTTGTCCAAATAGTTTCACAAATGAAAACTAGACCAATACTAATGAGGAAGATCTTAAATAAAATATGAACACATCAAATTCAGTTATACATAAATATGTGACAACAACTAGGATTCATCCAGGAATTCCAAGAAGGTTCCATATTCAGAAACCTAATAATGTAATAGAACCAAAGAGAGAAATCATACGTTCCTTTTATTAGATTTGAAAAGGCATGCAACAAAAATCAGTATCTGCTCTTATTTTTAAAAATCAAATCTTAGCAAAATAAGAATAAATGAGTGTTTTCTTGACATGACTAAAAGAATAAATCTCAAATCCAAGGTGAGGCTCATCCTCTGTAACTAAGCTTCTCATCAGGTCAGGAATAAAACAAGGATGCCCATTGACATGGCCATTGTGCTAAAAGTTCTAGCTGAGTAAGCTTCTCATTCAAGCCAAAATAACTAAATAAGAGTAAGAATAAGAGATACATTTTGGAAAGAGAAGAGGAAAAGTATCATTACTTGCAGAATAAATCGTTATATGCTTGAGAGAAGCAAGAATCTACTTAAAAATCTGTTAGATAAAATGAACTTGGTGATGTGGCTACCTACACAACTCAGCAATGTTCAGGGGGGGTACCACCTGCAGGGATCACAGAGGTTTCTCATGTGCAGAATAAGTATGACCTTAGAAGAAATATACTACCTTAGTGCAATTCATCATGGTTTGAAACTGCATCTTTCAAAAAATAATACAACTTGTGGGAGAAGGTGCCTGCCAAGCAAAGATTCCTCACCATGTGTTAAACTGCACACCATCCAATCTATTATAATGAGCCACTTGGAGGCTAATTTTTTTTCAAGGATGGGGGGGGGGGTTGTAGGGCCCTGATACCTTTTTTTTGGACCAGAGTCTGTATTTTGGGCGCAGTGCACGCTTGCCAGGTGGCGGGGTGCAGACAGTCAACCCCTCATTTCAGCACAGCCTCCTCGGCGCTCTGGTTTGCTCCAGAAGCATCTTTGGCAGAAAAATTCTGGAAAGTCTCACATGCTCTCTTTTGCATGATACATTTCTCATCTGGAAATACCAGAACCCTGATATGATGATATAAGCACGACCAGTATTTGAAACTGTGCCAAAAGTCAAGTTATTAACTTTAGATATTTAGATATTAATGAGAATCGCTTGTGTTTGAGAAGAAATCAAACATCCCATCGGCATGTTAACCAAAATGTGCGTTGTCTTTACACAGGCTGTCATCATATCATTATAATCTTTATAGAATCCACTATTTAAAACTCTTCCCATCGTTTAGAAAACACATTTTTAGAATATTTGTATACAATTTTACAGGTAACCAAGCAAATTCATATTAAATTGACCCATTTAATCTTCTAACTAACCACATGAGTAAAATATGGGTTTTTTTTAATCAAATGAAAGTTGAGACTTAAAAAGATTAAGAGGAATTTGCCCATGTTCTCACAGTAGAAGAAGTTTGGTTTCAAGCCAGATTATTTCTCTAGTTCAAATAAAAAATATATTTGACCACACATGTAATAAATAATGTAGTAAACAATGAAAATGTAATAAATAAAAAACAAGAACTTAAAAATAACATAATGACAGGTTTACATCAAATATTCTCTAGTATAATACATTTAAATGTGGAGAATAGTTTTTCTTTCGTACAGAAAACAAGTCAATTGTTAAAATAGGACCACCCAAATATATACAAAAACGTTAATGAAAATTCCTACAAAACGTATCCATACTTACAAAAACAAAATTTACCTGAGCACTCGTATTTCAGATATGAAAAGGCCATGAAATTATCAGTAATAGAAATTCAGCTCCCATTTCTGTGTTGTAGATCCCGTACTGATGGTATGCTTTCTAAATTACACACTTGCATTACTGTTACTTCTGAGCCTTTGTGACATTGTCAGTACAGACTGTGCCTATTTAAATATGAACATATACTTTTTTACTTTTATTTTTTAAAATTTTTTATTTATTTATTTGTTTTTGTTACAGATGTTTCTTGTTTTTCCCCCATTGACACCCTCCTTCCCTCCCCCCCCCCACTCCATCCCCAGCTTTGTTGTCTATGTTCATTGGTCATGCATACATGCATGTAAGGTCTGTGGTTTATCTCTTTCCCCACAAACCCCCCTCCTCTGAGGCCTGTCAGCCTGTACCCCATCTCTGGGTTAATTTTGTTCAGCAGTGAACATATATTTTTTAAGTTATCTGTAAATCAGTCACTCCCTTAATTAACTTCTCTTTGCAAAAAAAAAAAAAAGACGCTACATTTTTTAAATGGTTATTAACATCTAATTGTACTTCAGCAGGAATATCTAACTTTCCCAAACAATATGAATCATCAGTCCCACAAGATCTAAGAAACCATATTGGGGGAAGGAAGCCCCACAAATGTAAAAAGTTTATAATTTTTAAGGTTACAAAATTGAATTGAATTTAAAAGTTAAATAATTTGAATTATTGAATTAAAGAAACTCAATAACCCATTAATGTCTGAACTTAAAGTTATCCCAAAGCTACCAATACAAGAGGCAACTAAACTCCTTTACACAAACCATTTACAACTACATGGAGACCATGATTCAAGCTAAAAGGAAAGAACACTGGTCAAGCCCAGATGTTTGGACCCCGGACACAATGTTACAGTTCAGTGCCATGGCACCGAATGATTCTTTCACCTATTCTTTCTTTAACTGGTTCTGGGACTTCAAAACTGCATCCCTCTGATAATTGTACGTGAGCCCTTGAGGTCACTGGTAAATGAACTTGAAACGATACCATTTGTTCTCTTTAGAAAATCTACCGCGAAGGCTGGGACGAGATGAAGATGAGCTGCGACATACGGCTGGACGCCATCCCCATCCAGTCGGCCAAGGCGTCCAGGGAGATCGCCAGTGACGTAAGCATGGCCTCTTTCCATGTCTCAGTTTTTGCAGCACATGCCCTCCGTGTGTCGAGAAAACAAACTGTGATCCATCTGCTTTGTTCTTGCATCTCCAGTATAAATACAAGCTTGACCACGAGAAGCAGAAGGGCCACTACGTGGGCACCCTCACAGCCAGGGATGACAACAGGATCCGCTGGGCCCTCATAGCGGGCAAGCTGCAGAATGAGAGAGAGTATCGGCTGAACTGGGCCAAATGGAAGACCAAGTTCCAGAGCCCCGTGGATATGCTCTCCATCTTGCATTCTAAAAACTGCCAGACTCTGGTCAGCGACATTGATTACCGCCATCGCTTACACCAGTGGACATGCCTGCCTGACCAGAACGATGTGATTCAGGCCAAAAAGGCCTACGAACTGCAAAGCGATGTGAGTGGGTTGCAGTGAGATGAGCTCTTCTGTATTTTGTCATGAGTCACAGACAGTTTATGTCATTAAGTCCTTGTATCAGAAATTCATGTCTCCATACAGCCAAGAATTTGGTTTTAGGTACACTTTCTAGTGTAGTATCAAAGTCACCCAAGCCATAAAGGATCTGGACTTGTGTCAAGAAATCACAGGTAGTGTGAATATAGTTCTTATTATTACAGGGCAAGATCAATGACAGAGAAAATATTATTTCTATAAAATTTAAGTAGCAGCAGAGGTTTATATGATCGCTACAATATTGGCAGCCCAGGAGCAGGATGTAGGCACAGATATGCTTGTTTAGTTGACACAAAGTTTAAAGCTTTTGAATTAAGTTGCCAGGGTTTTTACACCAGGAAACTTTGTGTACAAATCTAGGATTTTCCATTTCTCTTGGATAACCTCGGGCTGAACGGAAGCCAATCCCTTTCAAACAGAAAATATGTCCCTCAGTTTGTCATACCACCTGGCCTCCTAATTAACTTACGTATGTTGCCTGCCTGGCCACTTGAGTGTATCCTTCTTGAACTGTATTTCTTCATCAGACCAACGGACAGAGGAGCAGGACTTGTGGCTAGAGTTGCTGACTTTATCCCGGCCTTGTTTTCACAGGCTGTTTACAAGGCTGACTTGGAATGGTTGCGTGGGATTGGATGGATGCCCAATGATTCTGTTTCCGTCAATCACGCCAAGTATGCTGGAGATATCTTCAGTGAGGTATTTCAACATTTTATCCTGCCATTTGTTACATTTCTTGAAAGATTGAACAAAAATACACAAGCCCTGGCTGGGTGGCTCAGTTGGTTGGAGCATTGTCCCACACCAAAATGTTTCGGGTTCAATTCCTGGCCAGGGCACATACCTAGTTTGTGGGTTTCATGCCCGATTGGGGTACGTACAGGAGGCAACTGACCAATGTTTCCCTCTCAATCTCTCTCTCTCTCTCTCTCTCTCTCTCCTTTCTTCTCTCTAAACATAATTTTTTATGTGTGGATTTTAAAAAATGCACAAGCCAAAATTTAGTCATTCCCTATCAACAGTATAAACAATTTCAATAGTTGTTATTTGAGCCAGGCATACATTTTCCCCAAAATAATCCTGTGCTGTTGCTATGACACTACAGGACCATATCCATAATATAGTATCCAGCACACCTGTTATGCCTGGAATTATATATATGAAAAATTCCTTTTGTCAGCAATAGGAAAATACTTGTGAGAAGTTTGTCCAGTTGAAAAAAAAATGTATTGAGTATTATGATACACATAATATTTGTAATGATATATTACATGACTTTGGGAGCTAAGAAAACCTACTGCTTTAAAATCTGTGGGAGATATAAGAAGCCAACTCATGTGGTAAAAAATAAAATGCTAAGAAGAAAGCCAAATTGCGGAGAAGACACCATTCAAATATGGTGCTCTATGCTTCTAGCAGAAAAGGATCCTTAAATGTAGCATACCTCTCTCAGCTCACACAAGACCGGTGACGACGCCTGTCTAAAACCTATTTTCTTTCCCATAGAACAAATATCGTACAAAAATCGAAACCCTGAACTTTACTCCTGTGGATGACAGGGTGGATTATGTGACAGCCAAACAAAGTGGTGAGATCCTAAATGATGTAAGTACAGGGCTGTTACTCTGAAATCGTCATTTCAAAGCTTTTCCGCCTACTAACTCAGCATCGATCATTGTCTCGGGTACAGACTGTAATCTTTGAGCTAGATCGTTGAGGCTAGTTTACTTACACTCTGTTTGCCTCTCGCTTCCAGATTAAATACCGGAAAGATTGGAATGACACCAAGTCGAAGTACACCCTCACGGAAACCCCGCAGCTGCACACTGCCCAGGAGGCCGCCCGGATACTGGACCAGGTATGGGCTTCACCAGGTGCCCGGGACTCTGTGTGGGGGTGGAGGACCACGACGTGCCGATCTGGGGTGCCTGCTACGCCTCCCCTGACTCCTCGGTGTAACCCTTCGTTGTGCCCTGTCTTCTAGTACCTCTACAAGGAAGGCTGGGAGAAGCAAAAAGCCACGGGTTACCTTCTGCCCCCGGACGCCGTGCCGTTTGTCCACGCCCACCACTCTAGTAATATTCAGAGCGAGGTAATTCATTCATTCTGCCAAGAGTGCCCTTTGCAAAGGCTGGCCTTGCGGTGGGCAGCCCTGTCACGCTAAGGCATAGCACGGTGGAGTGTCCCGTCGGCTCGGCAAGCCTGGCCAGGCGTGGGGGTGGGGGGAGAACCTGCTCCTTTCTGGTCCTTTTCCCATGACTTTGGAGTTATTTCTCCGCCTTGACTATCGTTTGAGATCTTTACTTTTTCATTCATTTTTTTAATTGAGGTAAAATTGACATCTAACATTATATTAGTTTCAGGGGTACAGTGTAATGATTTGGTGTTTGTATATATTGGGAAATGATCACCACAATATATACATCCATCACCGTCGTCACGTTTTCTTTTATTCCCTGGCTCATCTAACCTCTAGGCCTTCAAATGAAATATTGCCAGAATTAGGAAACAAATATCTTTTTGTTTTTCACTTTTAAGTTGATAGTCTTTTATATGTATTTATTTCAATGTTTTTTGTTATTTATTCTCAGGGTGGGGGTATGTGACACAAAAAACTGGGGGGCTGAATTTGCTGACGCCCAAAGTCCTTTTGCCCTGTGTGCTTATCAAAGCTGATGGAATCTCTCTGCTTCATCCCACCAGCTGAAATACAAAGCGGAGCATGTAAAACAGAAAGGTCATTATGTAGGTGTTCCGACCATGAGAGATGATCCTAACCTGGTGTGGTTTGAGCACGCGGGCCAGATTCAGAACGACAGACTGTACAAAGAGGACTATCATAAAACAAAGGCCAAGATCAATATACCTGCTGACGCGGTGTCCGTGTTGACCGCCAAGCAGGGGCAGTCCCTTGTCAGTGATATTGATTACCGTCATTACCTGCACCAATGGATATGTCATCCTGACCAAAACGATGTTATTCAGGCAAAGAAGGCCTATGAGCTTCAGAGCGATGTAAGTGGCTTTTGCTTCTTAATTTTCTAGAAACGTATTGTATACTCTGAAAATTGTAAGTAGCATTCCAGAAGGACCACTCTTTGAAACTTGGAGTCCTAAGTATTTAGTTTGTTCCTGGAAGGAACTGAAGCTGGATATGAATGAAGTAGAGGAAGGTCAGGAACAGTGACTGAGTGACAGGTGGTCTGCTGGCTGCACTTCTGAATACATTTCAAAGTCAGTTGTTGTTTTCTTAATCTGCTACTTTTGTACCATCGTATTAGCAACTCCTCACTCACATTTGCATGAAAAATGATCATCAACTGATTTAAAATAGTAATGGCCTTGGGAGGGAATTGGGGTTGAGTTGGGATTTTGACAACATTGCATGATAGAACAGTCGAGGCCCTGGGAAGGCCCCATTCTTGCTTTGCCAAGCGTCTCATCCTTCAAGGCATTTATGAAGTAGTCGCTTGCAAGGAATCAAAGCAAGGGGGCCCAGGTTTTCTCATGCAGAGCTTCGGTTAAACTAGGGTAGAGAATATGACTTCGGCCACCTTGCACTGAGGCCTGCATCAAGATCTCTACCTGACACCAGGTGTCTGTAGGGAACAGAAACATGAGGCATCAACATGATGCTCAGGTGCACTGAGGAGCTAACCCTACCTAGGCCTTCTCCTCACTTCCAAAACAGAAACGGGAAGTAAAAAGCTACCTGTAGCGCAGGTGCTGAACTTGAACCTCCCACCTCACCGGTTGCTGCAGCAGAGAGACCACTGTGGAACTTGAATCAGACTAGTAACCCCTCCCCATTTGGTGTGGGTGGGCTGGGGGAATCCAGGAGCTAATGGCGAAGTGTAGAGGCAGGCTTGAGTAGGAGGTTGCCTCCCCTAACCCTGCAGTCCGTGGACATTTACATTTGTAATTTCCTTTATTCTAAATGTCCCACATATTTCTATCTAACTAAATATACCACCTCTTTGATAAAGCCTTGGTTTCTGCTCACAGCTGGAAACAGCAGCCCCTGCCCTAACTCCCACAGCACCCGAGTGGTCTTGTTCGCACAGCTCTTACCCACTTTCCATTCCGTGAATGATCTCTCCACGCCTAGGCTCCTTCCTTGTGCTTATCCTCAAAGCACCTAGATCAGTGCTTCATTCCTCGTAAGAGGTTCAAGAGAGATTGTTCAGGTGTACCGATGAAAGCGTGATTGAATAAAGGAGACAACAGCTACGAGAGATTGAAATCCTTTAAAAGCTGAAAACATTGTTTTTAATCTGCCGTCTGTGGCCCTGTGTCTGGTTCACTTTCCCCGCATCACATCTTTCTTCCTGTTCTCAGAATATCTACAAAGCGGACCTGGAGTGGCTCCGAGGCATTGGCTGGATCCCCCTGGATTCTGTGGAGCATGTGAGGGTGACTAAAAACCAAGAAATGGTGAATCAGGTACACAAAGGTTTATTCTTACCTAAGGGCTGGCCTCCTTACCGGCCATGTGGGGACAGGTACTCTAAGGGGAGACCTGTCTTAATCATCTCGATTTCTTTGCAGGTGAAATATAAGAAAGCAGCTCTGGACAACTATCCTAACTTCACAAGTGTGGTAGATCCTCCAGAGATTGTTTTGGCCAAGATTAACTCAGTCAATCAAAGTGATGTAAGTCTGCTTTGTGTATAATGAGGTACATAGACTGAGGAGCTAGTTGTCTATCACTGAACAGATCGGCTTGTAAGAAAATTGAGGTGGGGAGAGGTTATATAACCTTTGGGAGAGAATTCTTAAAAGCCACTAGTAGGTGGTATAATTCTACCCACTTTTAGACAATATCTTTTTTTTCTATTAATCCTCACCTGAGGATATTTTTTCCATTGATTTTTAGAGCGAGTTGAAGAGAGGGTGGGAGGGGGAGAGAGAGAGAAACATCGATATGAGAGAGGCACATTGATCAATCTGTTGCCCCCTGCATGTGCCCCCCCAACTGGGGCTGAGGATGATTTGCAACCCAGGAACATTTGTGGGCCAACGCTATAACCACTGAGCACCACTGGGTGATAATACCCATATTTTTGTCCAACTTATTCTATTGTACTAGCTGAAATGGACTGAAAGCAATTCCTTTTAATCTCTAGTCCATTCATTCATTTTAATCTCTAAATGTAGACTATTATCTTTCAAGGTAGATACAATGAAATTTTAAAAATATATTTATAGTAATCAGAGGTTTTGTTTTGTTTTGCTTTCTCTCCTTAGATAAAATATAAAGAAACATTTAACAAATTAATAAAGGGCAAGTATATGTTTTCTCCAGAGACACCATACATCACCCACTCCAAAGACATGGGAAAACTCTACAGTACCGTAAGTTCTCTTTTATGTGACATATAACTCAGTTCCTAATTTTAAGCTCTTATCAGTATTCATATCCTTGGATGATACTGTGAACCACTGAACTTATGAGGAGAACTGTTACTTTGGTTGTATTTAGTCTTGTTTATTAAAAGCAGCAAATTGTTCAGAGCATGAACTGTTTGTCCAGCTGGTACTTTTTGAGCTGCCGTGATGTGCCCGGCACGGAGGAGCTAAAGCTCAAAGGACACAAGCCCTTTGGGAGGTCATACAAGTGAGAGGAACAGACACACGCATAAATAGACAGATGATAATGTAACACGTGCAGTACCAGCTCTGAACCCACACAGGACTGAGCAACCGCCATCAGAGAAAAGACAGGAAAGGCTGGTCACTCATTAGAGGTCATGTACAGACAGCTCCAGCCAGCGGATGGAGGACATGCCCTTCTCTTTCCATTCAGCTAATTTAAGGGACGATGTACGTGTGCACGAGGCATGCATATGTGTTTAAACTCAGTGGGAAGCAATCTTCGGCAATCCTCCCCCTAGGAGCAGATTGGTTTTCACTTTTATTAGGACTGTAAATACAGTTAACCTCTGTAATAAAATGCCACCGAGTTTGTAGATTTCACTTGCAACAAACCCAAAGACTACCTTGTTCTTAAGTAGGTACACTAACAGCTGTAAATAAAGATTTAAGCCTTGACTTTAAACCTACATATTTTACCTTGATTTTACCACTTTCTTTTTAGTGGCATCTGAAAGCAAATTTTTGTCAACACGCATTTCTCTGTTCTAGATACTGTATAAAGGGGCGTGGGAAGGCACCAAGGCCTATGGCTATACCTTGGATGAACGCTACATCCCTATTGTTGGAGCCAAGCACGCTGACTATGTGAACAGTGAGGTCAGTAGGACTTTTTCCTCTCACGGATTTGAGAGTCTTTCTTGGGGAGCCAGGGCTGGTTAGAAAACCCCAGTGGTTCTCAATGTTGTACCCATTTCACAGCTGAAATACAAAGAGACATTTGAGAAGCAGAAGGGTCACTACTTGGCTGGAAAAGAAATCAGTGAGTTCCCTGGTGTGGTTCACTGTCTGGATTTCCAAAAGATGAGGAGCGCGGTAAGCAAAGTTCACAGTTCCTTTATTTCTGATCTGCCCTTTGGTTCGAGATTAGCTGAGGATGGGGGATGAGGAACGAATCAATCATGAGATTTTCCCCAACTTTGCTGGTTAGCCTTTGCATCTTTGATAACTTTGAGCCCCTCCCCCCTTTACTATGAAACACACAGTGAGGGCTCTGTATTTGGCAACAAGCTCACTATTTACCCTATGTTATAAAAGGATGAGGCATTTTTTTAAAAATATATTATAGTATTATTTGTGCAAGCTTAGTCTATTCTAAAGGTGCTGATCCATATTGGAAATAAGTCTCTATCAGTAAATTTACAGTTTCCTTCCTTATTTTTGTCTTTAAAAATATTATTCTTTAGTTGAACTACAGAAAACATTACGAGGACACCAAAGCGGACATTCATATCCCCAATGATATGATGAATCACGTGCTGGCCAAAAAGTGCCAGTACATCCTCAGTGACCTGGAATACCGACACTACTTCCACCAGTGGACTTCTCTCCCAGACGAGCCCAGTGTCCTCGTGGCCCGAAACGCACAGGAGATCTTGAGCGATGTATGTCTTCTCTACAGCTTACCTTAATTACAGGCTTCACCCAGCCCTGCCTTGGCTCTAATTGTCCCTGTATTCATAAACCCTGCTGCTTTTCAATACAGCGTGGCATGAAGAACCACTTTTTGGTTTAAGAATTCCCTCTAAACCATGGACATCTATGGTTAGTATGTAGTCTGTTTAACATTAGAATAAAACTTAGCTATTGCTCTCCTCCTAAGCTTTGTTTGGGCAGAGCATTAAAGTCCTCCCAGCTGTTGAGAAGCCCACCCTGTGACCACTAAGCTCCAAGCACAGCCATGAGCTGATAGATCATCAAAACATTCCATTGTAAATTCATTGAGTATCTGTATCTTTCACCGTTTCTTCTTTCTTGCAGAATGTGTATAAAGATGACTTGAATTGGCTGAAAGGCATTGGATGCTATGTTTGGGATACACCCCAGATCCTCCAAGCCAAGAAATCGTACGACCTTCAGAGCCAGGTGAGCCAATCTTCCCAGAAGGACTAATTCGCAGTGGATCAGTGGGATCCATGGTGCTCTCAGTGGGGTGTTAGCAAGGCTGTCCCCGTGCCCAGGCAGAGCACGCTGCTCTAACTGCATGGCCAAGGGGAACCAAAGGCCACTTCCCAGTAAAACCTCTCCTGGTGGCCTGCTCGGTGCTGGATCTTCTCCGTTTGAGTCTCTTGGTAGTTTAAGGCATTAGACATTTCTAACAGAAAGTTATCTGGGAGGTATTTCATAGTAAACTACTCTCAAGCATTAATGCCTTAGTTGATCAGGTTACCTTGTAGACAGTAGAATGCTAATGCATGCTTTGAGCATAGGAAGATAAGCTCTGAAGTTAAAAAAAAAAAAAAGGTATTTAGAAAATCTCCCAGCATATGGTTCCGTTCTGATAGGGCAGACGAGTGGAATGTCGAAATTGAGGGGCTGCCGTCGGGTGGAGCACAGGCATGGGCAAGACGACAAAATGAAGAAGCGGGCCTGGCAAAGATCCAGACCTCCCTCTTGGTCAGGAGAAACTGCTGGTTTTGACAGCCACATGAAATCAGCAGGATGATACAGTGCTAGCCTCTTTGTCAGGATTAAAGGAAACCCAGACTGAAAATAAGGGCACATCTAAGTTGGCACAAACCGCTGAATCTGACCGCAGACCTGTATTTCACTAGTCTAGATGACCTTCGCTTTTCTTCACAGCTACAATACACGGCAGCAAGTAAAGAAAATCTCCAGAATTATAATCTGGTCACAGATACACCACTTTACGTGACGGCTCTTCAAAGTGGCATCAATGCCAGCGAGGTGCGTCTTGCTTGTCTTCTCTTCTGGAACAAGCCTTCATTTTCATTTGTCTTTACATGTTTTCAAACAGCAGAGAAGAATAACCCATCTTTTCCATCTGTAGGTGAGATATAAAGAAAACTATCATCAGATTAAGGACAAATACACGACAGTACTGGAAACAGTGGATTATGACAGAACCAAGAATCTGAAGAACCTTTACAGCAGTGTGAGTAGTTTTTTTCCCTCTCATTTGAGTAGCTTTCCCCACCTTAGGGGCACTAGGAAAATAAAAGGAATAGGTACTTTATTCCCAAAGGTTTGTCCAGTTTTTTTCTCTGACCTTCAAATTCCTACTTTATCTCATACATCCTGCTCATTGTGATGGGGTGAGCCCCAATTTGAATATTGCACTATTTCACGCAGTTGACACAAATTCAGCAACTCCCATGTTGCAAGCAGGTACCGTTGAAGCTACTCATTGTTGACCCTGAACTTGTCTTTCCCTGGCTTCTCTAGTGGCCACTGGTTTGCAGACCAACCAAAGCACTCTTTTTTTTCCTCTTCTGAATTGATTAATTCAACACTTTTTTAAAAAAACTTCATTTTGAAATAATTTGGGATTTACAGAAAGGTTTCAAAAAGTGTTCATAGAATTCTCACAGTTTTTTCCTGTTCCAGACCTAGAATCAACCACCTCTCCAAGGAGCCCTAGTTTATTTACTAGAGAATGGTATTTCAAAACCAAGATCTATGCATTGGGTGTGCTCATGGCTCCTGGGGTGTCATTGCCATGTGCCCTTTGAGTGCACAGAGCTTAGAAATATATGTATGTATACTGATCCATGTGTACTTACATGTCTGATTTCTGTATTTATCCAACGGTATCTGTACTTTTAAACGATGAGTTCGTACTGATACCTCCAATGCAATTCAACACCCAGGGTTCATTTGAGCCTTCCCCCTTTCCTTACTTACAACTTCTTTTTCCAACTTGTAACCTTCTTTTTCCTTTCTACTGAAAAGCCTGGTTCTCATTTTCTATGATATATTTACTTGTCTCTGCAACCTTTGTATGCACATAAAGTATTTGCAGAATTGTTAACCTATACCACTCTGAGAAACAAATTTTCTAACTAGAGTACAGTATCTTGTGTATAATTATTTTTGCCTATAGCCTTTGAGTACCTGGTCAAAATATCATTTTCCAAAATAACTTAAGTTAGTTTTCTTCCTCACTTTCTTCACTGTAGTCTTGTTATGCATTTGTAATACAGTTACATTAATTTGTCACAGTTTGTATTTCATTTTAATTCCCTCCCTCATTCAGATGGATTCTTTTTGTTTGTTTTAATTCACATTCAGCAAATTTCACCGTTTGTGGTATATAGTACTATGGATATTGATAAACACAGACAGTCATGCATTCACCACCACAGTCAAGATACAGAAAAATTCTTCCAAATTTCAATCTTGCTCCCTCTCCTGCTTATCCCTAAAGTCTTACCATTTCCAGAATGTCATGTGAATGGAATTACATAGGGTATAGCCATTTGGTCTGGCTTCCTTCTCTTGGCAAAATGAATTTATATATTATGCACATTATTGCAAAAATCAGTAGTTTGATTTTTGCTTGCAGAATAGGTGTCCCACAGTGTGTTTGTCCATTCACAGTTGAAGGAATTGGAGTTGTTTCCAGAGTTTGCCAATTATGAATAAAGCTGCTCTATACATTTGCATATGGGTTTTTCTGTGCACATAAGTTTTCATTTCTCCTGGATAAATGAATATGGAGAAGTGGAAATAAACATAGTTTGAGTTTCCACTAGCTACATAAAAGTAGGGAAAGGCAAACAAGTTTAAAAAAAAAAAGTTCGTTGTTTTCAACCGCCAGAAATTCTTAGACCTATGGGGAATGAATATGGCATCAAAAACTCTGATAACTGCCCTGGCAAGTTTGGCTCAGCGGTTGGAGCATCAGCCTGTGGACCAGAGAGTCCCAGGTTTGATTCCCTCTAGGAGCACATGCCAAAAAAGAAAACCCACAAAACTCTGATAACTCTCAGACTGTGATAAGTACTATGGTAGAGAACAAAACAATGGACTATGAAACTTCGGTCATGGCATTGCACCAGTCATTCACGTAGGGTACTTGGATCCCACAGATTGAGAAGATCAGAGGGTTGTTAGGACGTGTCTAAGGACAGAAACGGAGGGGAAATCTGCTACGCAGAAGCTAACCAGAATGTATTTTTTCACATTCACAAGAAGGTTTTTAACCCCTACAGAACCTGTACAAGGAGGCCTGGGAAAAAGTGAAAGCCACCAGCTACATCCTGCCTTCCAGCACCATGTCCCTGACACACGCCAAGAACCAGAAGGATCTGGCCAGCAATGTGAGTCAGTACAGAGGTGACAGCCTTCCCGCCCACCCTCTGCCCTCCCCTGCTCTCCACTCCCAGGATCTCTCTGGCCGACAGACACGCTGCCCAGGAGCACCCCAGCACCCCCGTAGGACTATACCACCCACAGATAATTCCAGATGCTCAACCATCACAAACACTGTGCCCGTCAGTCCTTCTTCTCAAGGGCCCTGAAGTCCAGAATCAAACGCTTGTATGAAGGACACAGATGTGGCCTATTAGAATGGGGTAGATGTAAGGAGCATGTTCACTAATATTCTGGAAAATTCTGTTGGGAATTTGGGTTGGTTTCTAGTCAGCAAAGAGCTTTGCAAGAATTCTAACACAAATACTCCCACCTCTCATTTTTCTCACTGGGATGTGGGCCTCTGAGTTGTGAGAGAATTGCTATTGTATCGTGTGCTGGGAGACCGTATCCTAGTCTCTGTCAGGGCCTTCCTCCTACTTCATGAAATCATGCAGCACTAATGAATCAGCATTGCAGCTCACACACTGAGAGTCTGTTTTCCCATAGAAGTTGATCACACTCTACTTTCAGAAAACCTTGTAGAAACTAAAACTCGAAGACTGTGTCTCTGAAGCATCAGGCTTGTCTGTTATTAAAAACAAAGACATTCCTGAGCACATTTTTCCTCTTGCACTTAGGAGTAAGAAAAATAAAGCTAATATACAAAAGAGATGATTTAAAATTGCACAGTCTTTGAAATGAGTTCATTGTAGTAGCAGTACAGGTACGAGTATTGGCAGAGAAGTATTATAGACAGTAACTAAAATCTGATAGCTCTCTACAGTTTAAAAAGTGCTTTCAGATATAGTCTGAATTAAGCCTCAGCTAAGATAACCTGTGGCAGGTACAACTGCCGAACCTCTACCTCTGAGCACGGAGGAAAGGAACTCACAGAAGTGGTGAGCCCAAGTTGGCTGCATCTCAGAGATGGGTTCTCCCTAGTAAGTCTCGTGCTCTTATAACAATACGGATTTGTTACTGTCCTTATGTTTCTTCCTTTGTGCTTTCTCTCTATAGATCAAATATCGGGAAGAATATGAAAAGTTTAAAGCTCTTTACACTTTACCCAAAAGTGTTGAAGATGATCCCAACACAGCGCGATGTCTCCGAGTTGGCAAGTTCAACATTGATGTAAGTCGTCTCAAAGACCTCACTTCCAATGGAAGCCTACTAATAGAGCTGTCCATTGCAAATCAGAACAGGAGCTAGGTGTTATTGCAGCCCAGGCTGCTTCTCCTGCCCACACAAATCTGTAGACAGTGTCAGAAAAGTCCAGTCCCTGCCCATCCCCCAGCTGATTGCTGTAAGTTGGTCATCCTGACTTCTTAGGTGTATAAGAAAGTCCTATATTGCTATGATTCTGTGCATGATTTCCTGTGTGAGTGGCATGTCATTTTGACTTCACAGCGCCTGTACAAATCAGTTTACGAAAAGAACAAGATGAAAATCAACATTGTGCCCGACATGGTAGAGATGGTGACTGCTAAGGATTCTCAGAAGAAAGTCAGTGAAATCGATTACCGCCTACACCTCCACGAGTGGATTTGCCACCCTGACTTGCAAGTCAACAGTCATGTCAGGAAAGTCACAGATCAGATCAGCGATGTAAGTCCATTGCTTATGCAGGTCCACCCCTCCCCCCTGCCCCACGTGCCCACCCTGGAGAGGAGCGGACTCACCCATTTCTTCACCTCAGCCTTCTCCCAGGCTTGCTCTCCTACATACCCATAGGTCCGACTGGAATTCAAAAGTATCCCTGGAGGCAGGGCTCTGTGTGCCGATGTTTCCATGACACCTTTGGCCTCACTGTGTAATGCCTTGGGTTTTCATTCCACACGGTCAACCTCGGTCCAGAGCGTGTCCATGTCTTTGATGTTCGAGTTACGGTCAAATTTTATTTTGCTAATCCCCTTCATCTGTTTTGGTTCTGTAGATTGTGTACAAAGATGACCTCAACTGGTTGAAAGGCATTGGTTGCTATGTCTGGGACACTCCTGAAATCCTCCATGCCAAACACGCTTATGATCTACGCAACGATGTGAGTTTGACCTCTTTTGTTTTGTTTCGACGTATGTTTTTTTTCTCTACATAGTCGAGAGTTAAGGAGAGAGTATGTAAACTATGAACTTTGTCCCAGACCAGCTGTGTCTTAAGTGATGGTGAGGCTGGCTGAGCTAGAGGAAGATGCTAAGGAAGAGAAAGCAGCCATCTCTCAGGCGCACAGGTGGCATTCCCAGTCAACAGTGCGGTTGGCTCTCCCACTGGACTTGGCGGAGATGGGACACATGGCTCTTCTCTCTACCTTTTGGGCTAATTTGGATATATTAATGAGCACATAACTGTCATTATAGACAATTAGGAGTTTGTTAGGAGTTGGTGATGCCACAGACAGGATCTATTGGTGAAGAGAGGATTTGCTAGGCAAATTAACACTGTCATCAAGATTTCAGTAAGAAAGCTTAAACGTCCCCAGGAGAGCAATGGTCAAACCTCCTAGCAGACCCTGGAAGTTCCATAGAACTATAAGCGTTAGTTACACTGACTGTCATGAACTTCAAACACATCTTGGTCTGTTAACTAACCTCTAGTGAATGTAAATGCCATGAGTTCAAAAGAACCAAACCCGCTGTGGAAACCAGCAGTTTTTGATATAATGCATGGTCTAACACAGGCTTATTTTCTTCCTCTTGGCAGATCAAGTACAAAGCTCACGTGAAGAAAACAAGGAATGACTACAAGCTGGTCACTGATACTCCAGTCTACGTCCAGGCTGTCCAAAGTGGGAAACAGATAAGCGATGTAAGTGCCCCTGGGGGGAGGTACTGTGGCCAGTGATAAAGACAGGACCGCCATTCGAGCAGAAGCGGCAGACACTGGGAGACCAGAGCTGGTGCCTTAGAAAGTACTTAAGATTCTGCTCTTCACCTGAAACTAATATAAAATAATATTGAATGCCAACTACAATTGGAAAATAAAAGTAAAAGATTCTGCTTTTTCCCTAAAACCTGATGTGTTCAAGGAGCTCCCTGGGGTGAATTGTAAGTGATCTACGTCTATAAAATACTTGTTTTAGAGCTTCCAGAGTTGCTTTTTGTGTTCTTATATCAAGAGCAACAGTTTATGTGTCACTGTCTAGACCTTCTAATAAATTAGAGCTAATTAGCCCGGCTGGTGTGGCTCAGTGGTTGAGCATTGACCCATGCACCAAGAGGTCACCGGTTCGATTGCTGGTCAGGGCACATGCCCAGGTTGTGGGCCAAATCCCCAGTGAAGGACATGCAGGAGGCAGCCCATCAATGTTCTTTCTCGTAGATGTTTCTATTTCTCCTTTCATCTCTCTCTAAAATCATTATAGAAAAAAAAAATTTTTAATTAGAGGTAATTAGAGTGGAATGAGAAGGAAGCAGGCTCTGAAGTTAGAAATGTGGGAGGATTCCAGCCTCTACCAATCTATGAAGCTCAGGAAAAGCACTTAAGCCTCCAGGCCTCAGCACCCTTCTCTGTGCAGTGAGAAAACAAACGCAAAGCACCAACCATAATGCCTGGCACAGAGCAGGAAGAATTGGGCACAAAGCTGCTCTTTTTTTTTTTTTTTTTAATTAACCCCACAGGTTAATGAATAAATACTATCCCACCAGTGAGTCAGATCACTGATATCTATTATTTTTAAACTTGCAATGGTAAAATGACCATCTTTCTTCTTCTGATGCCTGAGCCAACTCTTCCACTTGCTTCTCAATGTGGGATTTATACCCTGGCTCTGCTCTTATTGGACAAAGCCCATTAATATATCAGATAGAATTCTCCAGACAAAGGGAAGCAGACTACCCTTAGAGAGAGAGAGAGAGAGAGAAACTTGTGTTTCCATTTGCTTTGCTTCTTTCTAACAATGCTGCCATTGGTCTGAATCAGTGCACTCTCTTCTCTCTGCACCCAGGCTGTCTACCACTATGACTATGTGCACAGTGTCAGAGGCAAAGTGGCTCCAACTACAAAAACCGTAGACCTGGACCGGGCTCTTCACGCGTACAAGCTCCAGAGCGAGGTGAGCAGTGAGATCTCTACAGCGTGCCTGGCAGGTATCCTGGGTGCAGCTCACAAACGCCAGGTCACTGGCCTCTGTTGAAGGCACTTCAGCCTGGGCATCTTCTCGGCCTGACCTTGTAAATTGGAAATGTTGTTCCATACTGTATATGCTGTTCCATTCACATGAGTTACAAAAAAAGGAGAACGTCGCCTGTCTTCCTCTTTGGCTGGCATATCATCCTTTTTAAGCAAGCAATGGGCATTTGGGGAGCAGTGTTTACAAGTTACAAAGCAGAGGGCCAATCTACTGTGTCTGCTCTCAAAAAGCTTAAGATCCAAGTGACAAAGACAAGGTATATAATGATAAAAGACTACTAACAATAAGAGATAAAGCTAGAAATTGCTGTTGAAATTCAGACGAGAAAGCACGTAGATTCCACTCGCATATTTAATATCTCTGTGCCAGCTGATGGTGCTACTTTGGTCTCGACCTTCAGTGCTACTCTCCTATATTGAATGTTAGAGGTAATTTGGTTTTTAATCTTTTAAATACTATTCTTACTCCCGTAGCTCCCCTGAGAGACAGGCTATTTAAGGTCACAGAAAGAAACTTCGTCCACACTCTGCCAGGAATATGAGCACCCTGCCCACTTCATAGTCTGACATCAAAGCTGTGTTTATGAGGGTGATGGGATTCCAAAGATGCTCCTTATAATCAGGACCGTCTCTGAGATTGGTGACAGCTTGAACATCACCTGAGAGTGTGGTGAAGAACAGAGGTGGCTGTTGGCAGCCTGTTTTCTCTACTTATCCCAAATTCTTACTGGTTGCCATGCGGTTTGCTGGCCATATGTTCAGAAGCATAGAAGAATTAATTCCTATAAGTTTCTGCATTCACTGCTCTCTTTTTCAGAAACAGTTGGTTAAGAGCAATTTTATTAATTGCCTAACTCTTGGAACTTACTTAATTTATTTCTGAAATCAACTCAGTAAGCATAAGTACTTTAAGTATGGGATTGAAAACCTAACGTGAGTGGGATGGGACTTGAACTTGCATCAGTTACTTGACGTAGGTGTCATTTAACCCGTTCTTCCTCACTCGGCAGAATCTGTACCGAGATGCTGGCAAGCGCTCCCTGTCTACTGGATACAGGCTTCCAGTCGACACTCCTCACTTCAAACACTCCAAGGACATGCAGTACATGAGCAGTTATGTGAGTCTCTCCTCCTTATTAAGGTGGGGTCTGAAGTGGGAGGGGCACTGATACTCATGAATAGCCTGTTCTCATCCCCCCAGATATATGGCAGTAATACTGTCTTCCTTCTGCAATGTTTCACTGGAAAAGATATAACATCACTGTATATTTCTTTGAAAAAAAAAAATGGACTTTCTGCCCAGCCAGTGTAGCTTGGTGGTTGAGCATCGACCCATGCACCAAGAGGTTGACAGTTCAATTCCCAATCAAGGCACATCCCAGGTTGTGGGCTAAATCCCCAGTGTGGGGCATGCAGGAGGCGGCCAATCAATATTCTCTCTCATCAATATTTTCATATCTCTCTCTCCCTTTCTCTTCCTCTTTCTCTAAAATCAATAAAGAAAAAAAAGGGTTTTTTTTAAAAGGACTTCTTGCCTGGCTGCTGGCCCTGGTGCTTGCCTCACTACTTACCCGCTGTACCCATTTCATAGAAAGCTCAGAGGGATAGATAGGTTCTCACTTCCTGTTGCTTGCGCCAGCATTAGTTCTGACACCAACTGTCCCCACTTTTCAGAAGTGCCAGGTTGGGACTTGATACCATTTACCTGAAGGACAAGGACTTGGAAAGTTTTGTCTATCCCAGTGACTCTGGCCTTCAGACCATACCCATAAATAAGCCATCAGCTGCAGAATAAGCTCTTCCTTCCATCTTGCCCTTTAAAGTCCTGGGAATCAAATCTGCTGGCCAGTGAGGTCCAGTATCAATCTGTAAAGCCACTCATCAGTCTTTATTCTCTTGTTTCTTCTTTGAATTTCCTAATTTACTACCTAGGTCAGAGCTAAAAAATATAGATTTTGTGTGTGTGTTTTTTTCCATTTTGCATATCTGCATACAGATTTCATCTAGGCAACCTCGAAATTTATTCCTTTCTGGACCTGGCTGTATTTGCCAACGAAATAATTTTCAAGAGTCAAATTATTATTGAAATTTTGTCAATGACTTTTTCTTATACTTAATGCTTAGAGAATAATTTTCAAATGAAAGTGAGAGTTCTCATTCTGACTTTGCTTTTGCAGTTCAAGTACAAAGAAGTTTATGAACACATCAAGGCAAATGGGTATACACTTGGCCCCAATGACGTTCCCTTTGTCAATGTCCGGAGGGTCAACAATGTTACCAGTGAGGTACTGTGAATGCTAATTCTGTGGAGAAAATATTGAATTTTGAAGACCATGGCTTTGTTTGAAATGCATTAAGAATTCATTGTAGTTCAGCTATAAATTTATACATTAGCAAGGGGTAAGAGGGTCTCTTTGTCACCATTTTGATACTGGTATCCCTTGGCAATGTTTTCTATATTAAGCAATGCCATTGGAGACCCCGATCCATAAATTATAATGCAAATTAATTGCACCTTTTGACATTTTTTATTAAAAAATCTTTAATAAATTTGCATTTTAGTCTGACTCATGATCCTAGTTTTCTACATGAACTATTCATTTGTATATCTGACAGAAAGTAGAAGATTTTATGCTTAAAATTCTTCACCGAAATAAAATATTTTCTTTGTTTCATAATATAAATCATTTTCTATACCTTCAATCTTTTCTCTCATGGCTCTTTAAGTAAAATATTTGCTTGCTAATTCGTCAATATCCCACACTAACCACCTGAAATGTTTCCTCTGATTTAGAGACTGTATCGAGAACTGTACCACAAGCTGAAGGACAAGATCCACACGACCCCTGACACGCCTGAAATCCGCCAAGTCAAGAAGACACAAGAGGCTGTCAGTGAGGTGAGTGTCTTCTTAGGAGAGAAGACGGGCCAGGGAACCCCGGGGTACCTGTCAGCCACTCGGTCTCTAATGTGTGTATTTCTGGACATTTTTTTTTTCTTTAGTTGATCTACAAGTCAGACTTCTTCAAGATGCAGGGCCACATGATCTCGCTGCCATACACACCCCACGTGCTCCATTGCCGTTATGTGGGAGACATCACCAGTGACGTAAGCATCTCATAGGGTCTTTCTGGAAGACTTACCAAGAGGCCGGCTTCTTTCAGCGTTTAAGCCGACCAGTGAGCTTTGAATAGCCTTTTCCTCTAAATACTTCTAAATGGAGCATACAACTTGGAGGTGAAATAGTGTGGAAGCAGCTTCCACCAGCTTTGGAAATAGTAGTAAGAGGACCACTTGGGAAATGTAGGAATTTCTGGCCACACTTCTTCATTCATCACTGAATTATTACCAATCTCCATTCTCTGAATGGCCTCCAGTCCAGGTCATGTTTAGTGTCTTTCTCCTGCTCATCCCTGCTTCGTTTAAGCAATGTTTTTCTGTTTGTTTGTATTCCCCTCCTTGGTGTTTCCTTTTCCTAAAAACCACTTCATTCCATCTAGGCTCTTCTCCCATCAATACAATAATAAAATAATAGCTGTGCCCTCTCCTCAGCTCAGGGTTAGAGATTTAACTTTCAAAATCTGTGATTTACTTGCCTGCAAGCAAACCATGAGTACAAGGTAGATATGTTGAATCAAAATGAAAGATATGCCAATAGAAAAGCTTACTAACCCTGGCCGGTTTGGCTCAGTGGTTGGAGCGTCAGCCTGAGGACCAAAGAGTTCTGGGTTCGGTTCCCGCTAGGGGCACGTACCAAAAAAGAAAAGCTTACTACCCTGTCTTATTTAGGCTTGATTTATATTTTCTCACGACAAGCTATCTTTCTATATTTTGCCACACAGATTAAATACAAAGAGGACTTGCAGATCCTGAAAGGAATGGGCTGCTTCTTGATGGACACTCCCGACATGGTCCGTTCCCGGCACCTGCGGAAGCTCTGGGTGAGTGTGGGTTTTCACAACATGTGGTGGCTGCCCCCACACAGCTGCAAGGAGCTGGGTGAAAGAATCTTTGCCTGCAGCTACTTTTAAGGGGAAATTTGCCATTAACCCACTTGAGCAAGTCATGACCCACTTAAGATGACCCGTACCTCCTAACAAAGGTAATGAGCTTAGGTAGATGACGATTGGTTTTGTCCCTGCCTGGGAAGTAGAGGCTCAGCTTGACTTGCACATATCAGCCATTTGAAAGACAATGTGTGACCATGCAGTTCCTTAAATGATGAATCAACTTCCATTTTCATTGTTGTTTTTTTAAGTCTAATTACCTGTACACGGATAATGCAAGGAAGATGAGAGACAAATACAAAGTGGTGCTTGATACTCCAGAATACAGAAAAGTACAGGAACTCAAGACACATCTGAGTGAGGTAAGGATACCAAACCTGTCACTACTAGGGATGTGTGCTTCTAGTGATCATTTTTTCAGGCAACTACGGGAGGCAAAATATCTTCCCTGTGCCTTTAATGTCAGAATCGCCACCATATCTAAGCAAGTCAGTTGATCTCACTTTGCCTCAGTTTACTTATTTTATTCCCTTTTAATAAAATGAAGAGATTGATATTTGGTCTACCTAAGACTGCTGAGAGTTTACATGATTTTATAGATTAGAAAGTCCTTCTGTCTTATACTATTGTTGTATTCTCTAAACTAAATTTATTTCAAAAGTTTCTCTCTTGAATTCCTGCTATCAGGAACCCTAACCATGGTAGTGTCATTTGAAAAGTCTTCACTGGTGCTCTGCTCTGTTCCTACTCAATAAATTCCAAATTACTTAAATTTATTTGGGTCCCCATCATTTTCACCAGCCCCTCCTGGTGTTTAGATTGGCTGTCACCTAGACTATTGGTGTCTCGAGGCTTGGACCCCATCTTATTTAGATGTGTATCCCATAGTGCCTTGGCCATAAAGGATGTCCATGTTTGCCAATGACTAAATCTGTTCTGTAAAAGTAAGGGCATTGCACAGATGTCAATGGTTGCTCTTATTATAGGTCAGCTGGCCATTCTCATTCAACTCTCAGTTTTTCTGTGGCCTCATCCATCAGACTTCATCAAGCTGAGCCAAGCTTTGACTGTGGGGCCACTTCATTGACTCCCCATTCTCAATGGCTGCTGACAAGGAATAACTTATGATTTTAGACCTAGAGATGCCCAGGCACACCAAACGTGGCCCTAAGTGGAGGGATGTGCAGCCTCCTACATTCCTAGTGAGCCAGAGAAAGGGGATGATCACTTCTTAGCTTCTCCAGATGCTACACTGAGCCCACTTGCTTTCCTGAATGCTTCCCTCTGTCATTTCCACCAGCACTAGCACTCAGATAGGAAAGCTTATGTATTGTTGCTTTTTTATCTCAGTAAAGGCACTTTTCCACTCTGGCTGAGTATCAGAATCATCTGTGAAATATTTTAAAGCTGCCCTTGAGTGGGCTGCGATCCCCAGCCCCACGTCCCTGATTCTCCACATCTGCTCCAGGTGCTCCATGGACGATTCTAACACTCCGCCACGTCAGGACCCACTACTTTAAAGCACTACATCTCTCCTCCAGCTACCAAACAATAAAAAACTGTTTGGTAGCTTACAGTGCATATTGGTATCTCTGAAATACCCTCACTTCTTCTCTTGGAAGTCTGGGTTCAGAATTATATAACATTTTAATTTCTCCTCTCCCCGATTCCCATTGGGAACGTTATTCGTATTGTGCCTCAACACTGAGGAAGAAGAATAGCCATGTTTCAGCAGCGCCGTTTCTCTCACATGTGCCTCACCATGGAATGATCTGGGCTTGATAAAATACTGATCCAAGCTACCACCCTGGATTCAGAAGGTCTAGGGTAGAGACTGCACATCTGTTCTAATAAGGATTCTAGAGGTATTTTTGGATCAGGAAAGTTTGGGAAACACTGATTTCGTAAAATGTTTAACAACCAAAGGAAGTTTAAGTTGGGTTTTGAACTCTACAGATTCTTGTCACATGCACATTGTAGTTCCGGGAAGCAGGGGTGTTGTCCGGAGAAGCGTAACCAGTGCGTAAGCATGTTTGAGGGAATGTAGTACAAAGAGAATTCTAGAAATGGCATGGGAGAGTCGGGTCTTAGTCCCAGATTTACAACCCATTTGCTGTGTGACCTTGCATAATTCACCACTTCAATACCCCAATTCCCTGAGCTAGAGAATTGGACTTGATCATAATTCAGGCTCCTTTTAATCAGAATATTCTCTGAGTTTGTTTTTTTTCTTTATTTGAAATTTAGCCTGGAAGAAACAGTACATTTTTAATTAGTTCTTTATTTCAGAAATAGGCTCCAGCAGATAAGATCATTTTGTTTCAACTTGCACTTGTATATCATTTAGATTTTAAAATATGGACATGTACATACATGTATTTATACTTATTACTTATTTCCTACATTTTGTCTGTCTAACTGGCATTGATATTCACAATTAGAATGTAATTGTTATTCTTTTGGACTTTCTAGTTTGCCTCATTATGTTAAATTCCCTCAACATTTATTAGAGGACTACTATTTTTCAGATCATTTATCTAAGCACAAGGTGATAAAGGGATAATAGAGCAGAACCCTGCATTCCATGGGCCTGCAATCTGTGAGCAAACAGACATCATCATGATAAATGGTATCCTATAGAAACAATCAAGGCGGTACAGACTCTAGGAGCTTTGCAGGCAGATAAGAGGGGCAAGAACATTCTAGGCAGAAAGAACAGTATGAGCAAATGGCTGTAATAAATTCTAGAAATTGGGAGTAGTTTCAAATAGCACATGGGGAGTGTGGGAGACTGTTGGGAAAGTAGACGAGAGACATTAAATAGAAGCTAGGTTATGACGACTCATTGGTGCTATATTAATGACCTGGGGTTTGATGAAAAATCATTGAAGAATTACTCTGAGCAGGGTAGACCTGGGATTTAAGATCTGCTTTAAGAAAATCTCTTTCTCAGATTTGTGAAAGGGGATGAGCCCTGTGGAGTGCCCAATAGAGGATTTGGGTGAGTGTTTAGGAGGCTTCCACGGGTGCGTAGAGAAGAAATGACAGAGGAGGCTGAACCAGTGGGGAAGGAGAAGGGTCAGATTTGTGGACTAGTATGAAGTTAGGAACCCAAGGTTCACAACCAACCATTTTGATGACTCCCCACGTTTCTGGCCTGGGTGACTGGGAGATCAAAGCGCCATTTAGCAAAATAAAGAAAATAGGAGACGCCGATTTGGGCTGGAGATTAGGGGGTAATATAAAGAATTCTACACCAAACATGATGAGGTACCCCTGTTCAAAACATTGTTGAAAATTTGGGTCTGGAGCTCAGGGGAGACATTGGATGTAAAGATTTGGAAGTCATCAATCTCAAATTGAATGTTGAGGCCCTGGGTATGGAAGAGGTCACTCAAGAGGGTATACATGGTGAAAGGGGCCAACCTAATAGCAGCCTTAGGGGAAGGACAGAGCCGTAGAAAGAAGCTGCTCCCTAAGCACCCAGAGGAGAATGATGGAATGGAAGGCAGAGAAGAGAGTTTTCAGGAATGAAAACTGCTCAGCAGTTTCAGTTGTTACAGAAAAGTATTCTTGGATTTGGCAATTGTAAAGTCTTTGATGATCTTATTGAGAGTGACTTCATTGGAGTGGTTGGGGGAAAGCCAAACTATTGCTTTGAGAAATTAATCCAAAGAAAGAAAAAGAACAAACACATAGTCTGCTTGGTTGTAAAAAAGAGGAACAAGGCCATTGGTAAAGGTTGGAAAAGGCTTAATGAAGGGAGGAACTTGAGTCTGTGTGCAGACAAAGGGGGAGAGCTGGGAAACCAGGAGGGTTGAGGATAACAGAGGGGAAGGGGATAATTGATGGAACAGCATCCTAGATGGAACAGGTGCGAAGGGACAAAGATCACAGCAGGAGCCTGAATCTTGGACAGGCTCCAGGGTGTGTTTTTACAGAAGGGGGGAAAGTAAAGGAAGTCTAGGGAGGTTAATAAATTATTGGTTTACTGGGAAGAAACTGAGATTGTTGCAGTGGGAGCGCCCAGCTTCTTGAAGTAAGCAGTAAAGGCATCTGCAGAGAACATGTCCACGAAGCAGAAATGATGCTGATGACTGTTTTATGTCCAGCTGGTGTACAGAGCTACAGGCAAGAAGCAGAAGTCAATCTTCACTTCAGTTCCTGATACTCCTGATCTTTTAAGAGCCAAGCGAGGGCAGAAGCTTCAGAGTCAGGTAAGAGTAATAAACAAAGATTTATAAACCTGCCAGGCTGGCATCACAGGGGGTGGGTACGTGTGCCTGACCACTCCTGGTCGGTAACAACCTCTCGTACTTGGTTGTCAGTGACACAGTTGTATGCCCACTAGTTTCAGGAGGCAGTGTTTATTTGGGCCATCATAATCACGGTTTTGTTTTACATGAGCACGTAGTGCCGTGTCTTCTTTTCCAAGTTCTATATAACTTTTGTCTGTGGGCTCCAGTAATGAAAATAAATTGCTCGATTCACTCGATAGGGCCTATGTAATGTCTGCAGACAAATGAAACTACAATTCATGCATTCAGGCAAAAATGGAAAAATAATATGTTGAAGGCTCTATCAGAAGCATTTTGTTCTTCCGTCGGCATCCTTTATTATATGGATTTAGATTAAACTATACTCATCGATAGGATTATCAGGCAACTGGAGTGTCAATATGTGTTTCCAAATGTGAGATGCAGAGAGAAACAAATGAACTGAAACACATATAACCGACAAAAACAAAAAACAGGACAACAGGTAGACACCAGTTGAATAAAGAAGACTGAATGCTAAATAAGAAATGTTTTATCTTTGTAACAACTGATCCCTATTCTGATTACTTAGTATCTGTATGTTGAACTGGCCACCAAAGAGAGACCCCATCATCACGCTGGAAACCAGACCACGGCCTTGCAACACGCCAAGGACGTGAAGGACCTGGTCAGCGAGGTAAGTTGGGAATTTGGCACCGAGACACTGGGTTAAAGAAAGAATCCTTCACCAAAACCTTCACCTGCTGCCTCTGACAGGGGAGTTTGGGTCAATAATTTGTGCTCAGCAGCGTCAAGAACAGAAGGCAGCGCCATTCTCCTAACAAGCATAATACATGTGTCCAGGGTGGATCTGTGACATGCTCGTGGATTATGATGGATGAAAACACCTGAGCTTATATTTGTCTCTCTCTTCTATCTTTATTTCCTAGAATAAGTACAAGACTCAATATGAGAAGATGAAGGACAAGTACACTCCAATTCCAGATACACCAGTCCTCATCAGAGCCAAGAAGGCTTACTGGAACGCCAGTGATGTATGCATTCCTTCCCTCTTTCTTCTGGTGTGATAGGGGCAGCTGAGGTTGAGGTACCTGAGAAACAGAAGATATTATAGTCATATCCATAGTTTAAAGTCCTGACCCACACATGGACCAGGAAAACAAAAACAAACAAAAAAAAACCCTCAAAAACATAAAAAGAAAAAAAAAACCACAGGTACAAACAAGACCAGTTTAGGCAAAGTAGTAGCTGAGAGATGCAAAAACCTACTACTCTTCTGACTGCTTTCTAGGAAGAACATGACCCTTTCTTGTAATTCTTTGGAAGTATTTCCTAGGGATACTTGACAACTAATTGTTGCTTACCTATAAAATCATGTTCTTAGAGTCAACCAAACATGGTTTCGAATCCTGAATACTGTCACTTCCCTGATGTATGACTATATATGCCTTATCTAATTTTTCTGAGACTGTATTCTTATAATGTGGAACGAGGGTAAGAATTGTGATAATTAAATTAGACTCAATACAATAATGTTCCTCGTATGGTGCTAGTCTCTTAGTTGCCCCTCAGAAAATGTTTCTTCCCTTTCTTCTCTTGATTGTCTAAATCATGTGAATGAAATGTTTGTTAGAATTAGAAGGGACAGACTTTCAGTTTCTGTACCCCATGATCAAGGACAGTACTGCCTTTTAATGGTAATGGGATTATCTGCTAATAAAGATATAGAATTAACCCAGGGCCGATGGGTAGTCCTTAGCAGTTTTTTGTCTTAGAGCCCATTTGCAAATGTAGCGCTCCCATTACCAGAACCAGAATCCCCAGACGACTGGCCATGTTGGGACTTAACCTCAACCAAAAAAACCTCAATCAACTTCATAACCCCTGCTTAGCAACATAGCTCTAGGATTTCAAGTCATCTTAGGGTAAGTATAGTGACCCCAAAACAGAAAGATGAGAGGGTACACAGTAAATCGGAACAGTATCTCAGCTCCATAATTTTGTCGGAAATTTTTATTTGGAGCTGAAAGGATCCTGATAGTTGGAAAGAGACCATGCCAATTTGCTTCAAAGATAAGCTGATAAAATTATATGCTACCTTCAAAATCTATCCCCTAAGATATTTTTAGTCTTCTTTAGACATCCTCATCTTTATCACTATAAGGTTACCCTTGAATATTAACTTGAAACAAGCTTACTCTGCATCAACACTGTTGGGGGTGGCCACACAGTGCAACTGACCCTGGGGCTCATTATGCCGCAGTGGACAGCCCCATGCCTAAAGCTGTGTCAGTACCAACACTGATAACTCTAACCTTTAAACTAGCCCAATGTCATTTAGTCCAAATTGGCCTTTCTACCATGATTATCCTCACAGTAGAGCTAAGCAATCTTATGAGATTATCCACATGAAAAGCAAAGTTGAAGTTAAAGAAAAGACATCTTTTATTACATGTTTGCTCAGCTACTCAAGAAGAAAAGGTTTGTTGGAGGTGACTTCTTGGAAAGTGCTCATCTTATGTAGATGAGGTGAATCTTCTACGATATTCTTAGGTTAAGGTAGGAGTTGTTGTCTCTTGAAATATGACAAAGGTAAAGAGTATAATGAAATAAAAGTTTAGGGCTGCTTCATGGGGATGGCATTCTAATACCAGGAGTTAGAAACAAAATCTTTCTCCTCCTTCCAAGTGTACCAATAGGTCTTGGGCTCAACAAGGTTATGTTTGTTTTTCTTCCTAAATGAGCTTTTTGTTTGTTTTACATTTAAGTAAACTTTTCATTTTAAGTAGTTTTAGATTTACAAATAACTTGCAAAAATAGTGGAGTTCCCCTACAGCCTACATCTGGTTTCCCCTATTGCTAACACCTCACATTACCATCATACATTTGTCACACCAATGAGCCAATATTGATACATTATTAGTTAAATTCTACATTTTATTCAAAGTCTATTAGGTTCCTCCTCCTGTCCCTTTTCTCTTCCAGGATGTGAAATGAGTTTTTAAATCTCTCCTAAATGTTTTCATGGGAAAACCTAAGAGAGAACACTCAAGAGAGTTCAAGCTTAAAAAACCTCAATTATTTAACTCAGTCGTTGTTCATCATAATCTATGTGCATTTTCTCTTCCCAGCTACGCTACAAAGAAACATTTGAAAAGACCAAAGGGAAATACCACACTGTGAAGGATGCTCTGGACATTGTTTATCATCGCAAAGTCACAGATGACATCAGTAAAGTACGTCCCTACCTTCTTCTACTTGTGTGGGGCTCACTGACCCACCCTCAGTGTACAAAAGTACCCCCCCTTTCCTAAGACTCTCTGGAGATAACTAGACTTTTTTACATTAGTTCTGGGTAGGATTTCATACCTGTCTTTGTGTTCTAACCACAGGTGAAATACAAGGAGAACTACATGAGCCAGCTGGGAATCTGGAGGTCCATTCCCGATCGCCCAGACCATTTCCACCATCGTGCAGTCACTGATGCCATCAGTGACGTGAGTCCTCAGATCTGCTGTTTGTACATATAAAACCATGTGCCCATATGGCTTAGGGAATCAAACAGGGCATAAAAATTGATTAAGCACCGAACTCAATGGTAGTTCTTATGCGTGGATGTTTGAATCATAAAATTCATTGATAAATGTGTGAACTTCAACTTGGGAGAGAAACAATATATCCAAATTTATAAACCTAATTTTTCTTCCATATGTATTATATTATATTACCCGACTGGCAGTAATATACTTCATCTAAACAATAACCTATTTTAGTCGATTGAAGAGACAACTTCATGAAGCAATTAAGACACGTAACAGTGCTCACTGAGAGAGAAATTTCAGCTCTCTGTATGAACTACAGCTGCCACATTAATGATGTACTGTCTAGGAAAGTACACCTGTTCAATCTGAATTGTTTTCACTAGTAATTAAAATGTCCTTGTATAACATAACAATATACCTTAAAATAAGCAGGAAAAAAGTATGGCTGGCAACTTTTCTTATATAATTGTTTTAATACTTTATTCTACATGTCTCAAGGGTCAGAGCTTCCACTTGTTCTACTTACATCGATCGTAACCTACTGCTATTTGGAGATAGGTTCTTAAAACTCTTTGATGATGTTCTTCTCTCAGGTAAAATACAAAGAAGATCTGACCTGGCTTAAAGGCATTGGTTGCTATGCCAATGATACCCCTGACTTCACGCTGGCTGAAAAGAACAAGGCACTCTACAGCAAGGTACAGCTACTCAAGGGTGGTGGCCACATCTGTTCGACACATCTCAGTGCCCACAGAGAGAATTAGCATTCTAGACCCTGTAGTTGGAGTACGTACTGAAATGTTCACCATCTGACGGGCTCCGCCAAAAGAGCATGTCTCAAAATTTTTTTAGTACTGACCTCATTGACTGCAGTCTGTTTATTTGAGTTTGATGAATGGCCATTGCAGAACAACTCCTCATGTCTCTGCCAGCATTCCCTCCCTATTAATATGTCTCTGGGTAATTTACCCTGTTAGAGTTGACACAGGAGCAAATGTAAAGTGGGATTATTTTAATCCACAAACTTGATGTGTGACTCGAGGCAAATGACTTGTTTTTTGTGGCCTCATTTTCTATTTCCAAAATAAAGCAGTTGGATTAGCTTCCTTTGAGTTCTAAAATAGGGGTCAACAAACTTTTCTTAAAAGTGCCAGATAGTACCTTGGCCGGTTTGGCTTAGTGGTTGGAGTGTCGACCTGCGGACCAGAGAGTCCCGGGTTCGGTTCCCACTAGGGGCATGTACCAAAAAAAAAAGTGCCAGATAGTTAATATTTTAGACTTTGTGGGCCACATTCATTCTGTCACATATTCTTTGTTTACAATTCTTTAAAAGTGTTAATAAACACATACAACATTCTTAGTTCATGAGTCCATTTAGATATAGGTAATGCTCTAAATGTTGGCCTACCTCTGCCCTAAAATATTATGAATATCTGATTAATTACTGGAAGCAATTTTAAATTAATGGACTAAAAACTGCCTTCAACTGCACATGGTAATACCTTCAAAGTAAAATAATCATTATAATACGTAGAAACAAAGAAGGAACTGATTTGGATATACCCTTCATTGTCTTGGGAGACAGAATAAGCATTCAGTAATTACTTGTTTACTCTATGAAGGGATTATCACAATTGTATGATAAGATAAATGGCATGTCTCATTCTAAGGATAATCACAGCCTGCTATCAAGTAACCACATTCTGTTTTCTGTAGTATAAGTATAAGGAGATATTTGAAAGGACAAAGTCAAAGTTCAAGTATGAAGCCGACTGTCCAATCAATAGGCATTTCAAGTATGCAACTCAATTGATGAATGAGGTATGTATGACCTGACCCAATTAAGCCTATTCAGTTCCCTTAAGAAGTCTATAAAGTTCTTTGATTATAACCCAAAAAGTAAAATGACTGAGAAGTCTTTCTAAGTGTTGATTCAAGATAAAGATCTGAAAAGACTCGTATAAAGTCACCATCTGATGGGCTCTGCCACAGCAGGAATAAGAACAAGAGAAGGGACTGTGCAGAGGGGTGTGAGGGCCCCACAGCCATCCACCTCTTTTCACACCGACATAGGGCAGCACAGCCCCTTAGGTGATGACAGCAAGGAGGTAAAGGATTTTGTTGACTATCGGCTGAAGTCCCTTAAACATGATACTGTGTAGAGCTGAGAGCCACAGAAGATCAAGGTTGACTTCGCATCCCTTCCCATGGCACAGAAATAGCGGTGGGTGGAAAAGCCACCTCTAAAGGGATAGTTGTGATTCAGCATTCACTTGTATTGCCATTGTTTACTCATTCCTTGGTTCAAAGAAGTATCCATCTGTACCCAGAATATTATTTTATATTCTACCCAGTCTTTCTCGGAACTGTCTTTGTATTAATTTAACTTAAAAGCAGCTTAAAATGACTGAAGTAGGCAAGCTATGAATTAAGTTAAACGTTTGAATGTTTTAATACTTAACTTCCTATCTGTGGATATTCCATAGATTTATATAAGTGCCAAAACAATGTTAGAAAATCAGTGAACTGTATCTAAAAATGGAAATGTAGCCAATGCTCTATTTATGTCAATGTGTGACTTTTTTTTGTTGTTTTTAAATTTGGTTTTGTTCATTTTCAGTAGATTTCCAGGTGGGACAACTCTGAAGAAATACTGTTAGTAGCTTCCTAGAATAGTCTTGATATATTTTGTTTCTATTTTTCACATTCACAAAGGATTTTCAGGTCTCAGCTATAATTAAATAAATTAGCTAGCATTAGAAGACTATTTGAATTTTTCATGAATATTCTTTTTGATTCTCACAGCCTTAGATAGTAGACCCATAGATTATCAGCACCTTATTTTAAATACAATGTAAAGTGCCATAAATCCTAACATTGCTAATGGCATCATATGTAGAGATGGAAAACCTTTAGGCACAAGGTGTTCCCATTTTGGTGTCACAGATCCTATCTATCCCAAGCCCTGGCCTCCTCCATGCACCCTCCCTTCACTGGACTGTCTTTGCCTCCCTTTGTTTATTACCCTGGATGCTTGGAAGCCCACCTCTCAAAATGACATATTTCTGGCCCTCTGGGAGTGTTTATCTTGAGATATTTCTGTGTAGACTTGAAGTTGTACTCTTGCTATAATTTGATCTGATGTCTGAGCAGAAAAAATACAGAGCTGATTATGAGCAGCGGAAAGATAAATACCACCTGGTAGTCGATGAGCCTAGACATCTGCTGGCTAAGATCGCAGGCAACCAGATCAGTCAGGTACTGTGATGGGGCTGTTTGGACGGCCCCGGCAGGATTGTGCTCCAGATTTCTCAAGAGATGTTGTCCTGTCTGCTGCAAGGATGTCATAGGTTCTGCCTATGATATTGGGATGTTCTGTTTCAAAGTATCTGTCTAGCCACCCAAAGAGCTCATGAGCTGTTTGAGTGTGCAGTCCATGCTCTGTGTGCTCACATGTGCTGTGGTGGAGATGAAAAGAAAGGCTGGGTCCTTCCACCCTCTATTCCTCTGGAGGCCCAGTTTTCAACCTGCAGTTTTAAATTGCAAACTGATTTGCAAAAGCAAAAACAAAGAAGCAAATTGATGGGAGGAATGAAGACAGAACTCCCTAGTGTATTTTTCTACTCCAGTGATGCCCTTTTTCCTAGAAGGCAGTGTGGGTGGCATAGATAAGTCATTCCCCATTCACAAGGACGATGGGTGGTCAATGGCAGGTGCTGCAGTCATTCTGTGCGGCACTGCCATGTGTTTGGTGCCTTCACCCACACATATATGTGAGTACATAAAGTGTGTCTGCCTACATCTCTTCACTCAGAGGTGACGGGGATATAGAGCCATGTTCTTAAGTCTCTTTTGTGCTTTACTGCTCTTTGCATGAACAGAGAAAATATAAATCTAGTGCCAAGATGTTTCTGAAACAAGGATGTAATGAAATTCTGCGCCCAGATATGTTGACTGCCCTCTACAACTCGTACATGTGGAGCCAGGTAATTTCGGATGTGATGTGAAGAAGCAATACAGACGCCTTGGGGGCATTCACCATCATGCTTTCCTTGACTTCCTTCATCTGCCCCCTGCCCAAGCTGGTTTCACATGATAAGGCTGCATAAATATTCATTCCTTGTCAATGAACTCCGGATGTGGTCTCCACTGGGCTGAGGCCCTCTGTATATCAATATCTGACACTTTGGGGACTCTTAGTAAGACTGACTGAGACTTTTCCAGACTTTATTTCCAAATGGTATAACATTAATTTATATGTTTTAATATTTGCCCCCTCCCCAAATGGATTCTTAGAAACTGAGCATATTAAGTATATTCAACAGCATTTAAAAGATCTGAATATTTAATGTCTTTATCTCATTTGGCCACGTGTATCATTTAGGACAGATAGAGATTACAGTGTAGCTCTTTGAATATTGTCCACATTCATGGCCCCTCTTGAGTTTGATGCTGAATTTGCTAGGTTATTTCCAGCATATCTATCCTCTTGCACACTTGTTAATAACCTTCCTGATAACATTACCTTCCCACAAGGTCAACAGAAGCACACACCACCACCTTTCCATCATAGGCTGAAAGGTAAATTCGAGGCAGCAAAAAATGGTGATAATTGCTTAACTACCAGATACAATGTTAATACAATGCCATTGTTCCCATACAAAAAGAGTTTTTAATCAATCTTTTGTATTAGGAACTTGTTTTATCACTTTAGGGTGACATCCATCAACACATGAAATGAGGGGGATGAGGTCTCCCTAGGAACATCTATTTGCCTGCCACCTTTTTTGTCCTATGATCATCAAGTAGTTGTGCATGAACTTTCATTGTGCTCTCTGTTTCTGCACTGCTTGAAATAGCTTTCGTGCATGAAAAAAAATGATGACTTGGAAATTACAAAATGCATGTTTTGTTTAAAATGATAAATGCTTTAAACTGTATATACTTGATTTTTACTTTACATCTATCTCATCTGTGATATGGAAACATACCTAAAGAGGTCATACGTATTAGATGCCGCATACAGGGTAGGGCAAAAGTAGGTTTACAGTTGTGAGTGTGTGGAACAGACTTCTCATATTATTATTTATTAATTATTGTATTCTTTTCTATACTAATGGCTGTTAACCTACTTTGCCCCCACTCTGTATTGAGAGTGAATCATTGCTTGTCAGCGTCCAGAGGACAAAGGTCTAGTCTTGGCTCTGAGATTCACTCTATGTGTGCCCTTCGTCTCTTAACCCCTCTGGACCTCAGTTTCTGCATGTTTAAAATGTATGGACACTATCACATCATCATCATCATCATCATTATTATTATTATTACTTGCTTACTCCATTGCAAGATTGCTATCAAATATAGATTTACAGTAAACATTTTCAATTAGGATTTAAAGAGAAAGCATGACCCCACCCCACCCCACATCTGCGGCTTGTATAATAATCCTATTTGCTGTGGGACTCTCTCAAGAGGAAAATTAGGTTCCTTAAAGCCCTCCATCCTACAGTTTAGAGTTAACTTGTTCTTCTATTCCACAATGCAGATTGAGTATAAGAGAAATTATGAAAAGTCTAAGGACAAATTTACCTCGGTTGTGGACACGCCGGAACACCTGCGTACTACGAAAGTCAACAAACAAATCAGTGATGTAAGTACAAGGAACATCAAATGGGTTCTCAAGCTCAGGGGCATTTTCCCATGTGGAGGGGCATTTTAGATCGTCACCGTGTGTGGAGGGCCCTCCTACTGGGTAGTGGAAGTGAGACAGGGTGCTAACTGCCCCACTGTGCTCAGGACTTCTTTTACAATAATGAACTGTCCCAGCCAGATTGGCAGACACCCCCTTTCAGAGCCCTGGGGCCTGGGCGGGAAGCGTGAACGCACCTGTTAAATTTATAGGATTCTGCCACCTTTATATACACTCAAAAAAAACTCTTTGCATTAATAATTTTACATTACATGGCATTGCAAATTGAGGTGTATAACATCGTCTGTTTCTGCTTTTTCATCTCCTTTAGATACTTTATAAACTGGAATACAACAAGGCCAAGCCTAGAGGCTACACCACCATCCACGACACGCCCATGTTGCTGCATGTCCGGAAGGTCAAAGATGAAGTCAGTGATGTAAGCACCAGAGGCTTTGCAGTCTCCCTCATCTTGGCCTCTCTACTGTGATAGAATAAATCCTGGTTCAGCTATCTACCTCTGTGTGACAATCCCCCGAAATCTTAGTGGCTTAAAACAACAATCTTTTTTATTTTTTTGCTCATGATTCTGTGAGCTGACTGGGCAAAGCTGAGTATATCTCCTGTGCCTCGTGCTGTGGGCACCCAGTCGAGGCTCGGGTGGGCCAGCGCCTCCAGATGTCTGCCTCACATGGCTGGTTGTTGATGCAGGCTCTGGGCTGGGAGCTCGGCTGTTTTGCAGACAGCACCCTCCATGTGGCCCTTCCATGTGATTGGACATCTCACAGCACAGTGGGTAGGTCCCAAGAGGCTGGAATGGAAGCTTCCAGACCAGTTCAGGACTATTCCTAGAACTGACATGAGTCACTTTGCTGCATTTGACTGGGCACAGTGCACACCCAGATTCGATGAGTGAAGAGATCATGCCACCTCGGGATGAACAAGGTCATACTGTGGAAAGGCATGCAGGGGGTATTGCAGAGACCATGTTGAAAAATGCAAAATACCATAAATGCCATGAATATTCTCTATGCTTTATTTTGGCTAAAAGGAACAAGGGAGCCATTACATTCCCTGAACTCCCTGAATTTGAGGAAAAACTGTATTCATAAATTTTTAAATTTCCAGATATATATCTAGATTCTATGGTTGAAAACAATCATGATTGTTAGTTTAAAAAAAAAAAAAATGAGGAACTCAATGCCTACCTCCTAGCCATACTCAATGGCAACTCTGTGGTGAACTCCTCCTCACCCCGAAGGCTTGGCCATAGCTGGCACTCAGGAGTCTCGGATAGACGCGCGAATGTGTTCACAGCGTGGACCCTGACGTGCCATGAAAAAAATGCTAAATACATTCTGTGCGCCGTTTATGAAGGCAGAAATGCATAAGACACCTTAAAAATATTGTTTTCTTGTTAACATAAGTTTTAGTATATCAAGCATGAACGTCAGGTACTCACACACGTCGTAAGGGTGATCCTTTAGTGGAGCCCCTTTCACTGTAGAAAGATGAAGCATTTCTAGGTCCATTCTCCCGTGTGTTCTGATTATAACAAGAACCTGAGATATTGATGAAAAGTATGGCTTTCCAGGCCTTCCCCCCCCCCCAAAAAAAAATGCTGATTTATCATGTATATGGTGAAGTACAGAAGATTGTGATCAAGCAAACTTAGTAACACAACTGGGCTTTCTTAGAACATGTTCACCTCAGATTTAACTAACTTAAAACCTGGGATCCTTCAGCAACATTTAGTGGGAAAACCCAGGTGAGGCTCCCAGGCCCTGAAATTTACAAGGAACAACATTGGGTGAAGTTAGAACTTCTAGACCCAGAATGGAGACACTACCCACTGCGCCCTCAGAGCCTAGGCTTTGTCTGACACTATCCCTCCCATCCAAGCCCACATATGCCCAAACTTGCCAGATGTGGCCCTAGCGATGATGATAGTGATGACTGCGTCCATCCATCGGTTCATCCGTTCTATGTGCCTGACACTAGGACCAGAGGATGAGTGACACACCATCTTTGCCCTGGAGGGGTCCAGTTTCATGAAAAGAATAGACAGATAAGCAAATAATGTCCGCATGAGGCGATAACAGCTGGGGTGGTGGGGCACAGAAGGCGGGCGACACTCACTGCCTCTGGGTGGGGAAGCTTCTCTTCCAGCAGCAGCAGTTTTCAAGATGTTCTGAACTTGGAATGTTCTGATTTGGAAAAGGGAACACATATGGGGTACTGTGCAGCTAGCCCTTTCAGCATAACCTCAGGGGGCATGCGTGCTATGGTGACCTAGTGCACACACTCGGTGTGTCCTGGGAGCTGGTTTTACGATCTGAAACAGGCATGTCTGCTTGGCCGCATTCTTTCCACACACAGCTCTGTTCTCTCTTAAGGACCAGTGTGTGCTGTAGTCATGGTTTTCACTTCTTTCTTTTTGCTTTTTGAAATGCTTAGTAGGCTACTATAAAAAGTTAACCTTGTCATTGTGCCACCTCCCACAGCTGAAATACAAAGAAGTTTACCAAAGAAATAAGTCCAACTGCACCATTAAGCCGGACGCTGTTCATATCAAAGCAGCCAAGGATGCGTACAAAGTCAACACCAATGTGAGTTCTGGACACTTCCCCCAGCCTAACCGGGGATCCATCAGGTTCTACAGGACACATGATTCTTGTACATCCCTTCCGGTCACTGAGCTCTAATGAGTCCAGACCAAGAGTTAGGCCCCGGGAGCATGGGGAATGACGCTGGAATCTACATGCTGCCTTTGGTTCCCACCGAGGCCCACGGGGAAGAGCAAGGTGGCCAACCCATGCCACAGTCGTTATACCCACTCAGCTTTCGCACTCGGTGCTGAGAAACAGGAGACTTAATTCTGAAATGAATTTTGGAAAGTGTTTCAGCATCTTTCATTCCCTCTACCCTCTGTATTCTCCTCCTGCCCTAAACCCTAGAGCCGGCTTCTTTATGGGAAAAAGAAGTTATCCTCATCTGAGGATACTTTCCCATTGATTTTTAGAGACAGTGGAAGGGAGGGAGGGAGGGAGAAACATCAACCGGCTGCCTCCCGCATAACTGAGCAAACCTACAACCCAGGTACCTGCTCTTGACCAGGAATCAAACCTGTGACACTGTGGCCTGCAGGCTGACGCTCTAACTGCTGAGCCAAACCAGCCAGGGCCAAGGAAAAAATTTTAGTCACTTGGTGATGTTAGGAGTTGGCCTTAACCTTTCTTCTGCTCAGATCTCCCTGTACTGACTCATTTCCTTGTAGTGGGGCATCTTAAAGCCTCAACCACAGAAACATTTTTGTGCATTTAGATGATATTAGCTTTTTAAAAAATATATAATGGTTATAAAATGAAACCATTGTAGCCCAACGAGTGCCCACTAGTGCCAGAGAGAACATGTTTATCAGGGCCAGCAAACTGAAATGCCTGAAGGGGCTGGCAAGTGACTTACAGATGTCCTGAGGATGGATTGAGGGGTGGGTAGCAGCATGGATGGGGGGAAGGCAAATTCCATAAAATGTACATTGTAGAATGCAGGCAGTGGGTATTTTCTATAAGATTCTAGCAATTCTGTTGTCTGACTGAAAAATTTCACAATAATATGGGGGAAAACTCATCAAATAGTATACATAGATGCATGCATATTTTGTGTGCAAATTAATACTTGACAAAAAAGGGAGAGAAGGAAAGAGTGAGCAAAGAAATGTGCCTGATAGAAAAAGCTCTTCCCTGGACTCTCATATTAAACTTCAGACATGTCTGTGCCTCGGATACGGCTCGAGGCAGCCAGTTTTCGAGCTCAGATGAAAGTCTGGCAAGTGCACAGGCACCCTCAACCCCGATTGCCTGAGTTTAAATCCCACCTCTTACTAGTTGTCTCTCCTTGGGCAGGTGACTTAACCTCTAGGCAGTTCTTCAGCTGTCAACTTCATGCAGTTGTTACAAAAATTAAATAAGTTAATTCTATAAAGCACTTAAAAAGTGCCTGGCACAAAAGAATTTACTATATGTTTAATGTGTGTGTGTGTGTGTGTTTTTTAATTAAGCCTGAATTTAATCAGAAATTAAGAGTTCTCAAGTACTCTGAAGATGATTAAGCTACACTGGCAGAACAAGAAGATGGTAGAGTCAATTCACGCAGAGGTCTTTAAAGTTTTTAGCCTCTATTTTGAGACCAAAGGGTCCCACAAGATGACTTCTTGAGTGGCTGACTAGTTGCAAAAATTGTAGAGAAATTTTCACTGGGGCTCTCTCTTGCATAAAGAACCATAATTTGCCCAGCCAGTGTGGCTCAGTGGTTGAGCATTGACCCATGCACCAAGAGGTCACAGGTTCAATTCCCAGTCAGGGCACATGCCCAAGTTGTGGGCCTGATCCCCAGTAGGGGGCATGCAGGAGGCGGCCAATCGATGTTCTCTCTCATCGATGTTTCTCTCTTTCTCCCTCCCTCTCTCTTCCTCTCTCTCTAAAATCAATAAAAGAAAAAAAATTTTTTTGATAAAATGCAAGAGGAGCCGCTCCATGCGTGGGTTAGGAACTCAGCCCCCTGACTGACACAAGTTGTTTTCCTCTTGGTTAAAACAGCTGGACTACAAGAGGCTGTATGAAGCCAACAAAGCCCACTGGAAGTGGATCCCTGACCGACCGGACTTCCTGCAGGCCGCCAAGTCGTCCCTGCAACAGAGCGATGTGAGATAGAAGAGACATGATGTGAGATAGAAGAGACGTGCATGAGACAGAGAATGAGTCATTAGTCATAATAACCACTGCCGTGGGTGCTAACCCTAGCTCCTTGTCCAAGGACAGGAGGGGTGTGGGAGTGGGGGGCAAGCTCAGGAAGCGGACCTGGCCACAGAGCCTGGTCTCCCATGGCGGGGCCCAGACACATGGTTCTGAGTCCTGAGTGAGGCCGGGGTGGGGAGGGGCTGGGCCTGGGGGTGGAAAGGAGGAGCTCAGCGCGAAGTGAGGGGCCAGGAAGCCCCTGCCCCTCCGGGTAGCAAGCCCTCTTTAACAGGAGGACTCCTGACGAATTTAATCAAACACTGGCTTTCTCCTGTGCCTGTCACCCTGTCCCATCTTCCTCTGCTTTTCTTCTGTGACAGTTTGAGTATAAGCTGGACCGAGAGTTCCTCAAAGGTTGCAAGCTTTCTGTCACTGATGACAAAGACATGGTGCTGGCCCTGAGGAATTCCTTAATAGAAAGTGACGTGAGTACCCGTCCCTTCCAGGTGCCTAACCTCGCTCAGGGCCTTTCTGCAGCACAGTCCCCGGGGACACCCAGCAAAGGCCCAGGGCTGCTGCTGGGGTGTGGGGCCTGAACATGACATGGCAGAGCAGGGCAGCAACAGCAGGAAGTTATTAACCCAGGCGACCGTTCTTGACCGTTCTTGTACCACGAGATAACTGACAGCAAGAACTGGGACTCTGAAGGCCTGGCCGGGTTCTATGAGGAAACTAATTCCTGTGTGTGGGATCCTATTCCCCCAGGCGGCAGTGTCCTCGCCTGGAAAGGAGGGCTAAGGGTGCCTCCTGGGCCTTGGGGGAGGGTCAAGTGACATACTTGTAAGTGCTTTGAACTAGGCTCTATGTGTAAAGACTCATCGCGAGGCCCATCTGATTGTTATTAAAACCTCAACTAGCAAGAGATCAAGAAACCCATTACTGCGTATTTCCCAAGATTTCCAAACATCACATCTTTTATTGAGTTTATTATTCCCACTGTGTCAACAGTACTGTTCTCCTAGCTCTATGCAGTGACTCGGGAGCTTAATAAAGACATGCAGGAGACCCAGAGGAGATAAAGATGTTTTTCTCACCCCTGCAGCTGAAATACAAGGAGAAGCACGTCAAGGAAAGAGGAAGCTGCCGTGCTGTGCCCGACACGCCCCAGATCCTCCTGGCCAAGACTGTCAGCAACCTGGTGTCCGAGGTAACCCTCCCGCTGCCCACCTAGTCTGTTTTCATCTCGGGCTACTGCCCAGCCAGACAGTCTGACACTGTCTACGGATTCCCTCAGAACAAGTATAAGGACTACGTGAAGAAGCACTTGGCCCAGGGCTCCTACACGACCCTGCCGGAGACGCCGAACACCATTCGAGTCAAGGAAGTGACCAAGCATGTCAGCGATGTAAGTGACCGGCCCCGGGACACTGAGCAGCCCCAGTGCCGCTTTACCTTGAATCCAGCAAGACTGGAAGTGGCCGTTTTGCTTACAGACATTTCCCTTTATCTCATTTCACTCTCGCCCTCAGTACCGGTCTGTGAATTTTGAACTCTGGTTTCAAGGACAACTCCTATTTATTAGCTTTCCAATGTTGGCAACTGTGGCAGATGTGGGGTTTGCCCCGGGACATGTTATCTAACAATATGTTACTAACCTACTATTCATAAGGGGAGAAAAGACCCTAGATGAAGATTGGCCTCCCCTACCATTAAACGGCTGAACAACTTTAGAGAAGTAAAATCACCTCTTTGTAGCTCGGTAACCTCTGCCCAGCATGTATGTCCTAATCATTAATACTTTAATCATCATGGTAGCATATTTTATGAGCCCTATATGGTTCCATATATTTTTAAAAGGTAGAAATGGTGCATGAAAGAGCTTAAATTCCCTGTGGTCATTTCTCCAAAAATGGGTGTGCGGTTCCAATGTTGGGTGACGGGACAGAAAGGACAGGGAAGAACTAGAATAGGGACCAGACCCCTGAATTCCAGACTAATCCGAAAGGGGGAGCCCTGGGTGTTCCTGGAGATCTTCTCAAAGTTCTAGAAGTAAATCCACTCTGTTCTGAGCTACCCCTGCTCACATACGTAAGTCTGGCTCTTTTTAGACAAATTACAAAAAGAAGTTTGTCAAGGAGAAAGGGAAGTCCAACTACTCCATCATGCTGGAGCCCCCAGACGTCAAGCACGCTATGGAGGTGGCCAAGAAGCAGAGTGACGTAAGTTTCTCTTTTCAACTCTCTCGGGATTTCAAATTGGTATACGCGGGTTCTGGTCGCCCTAATTTCTGTATCTTCTAGTTTAATAAATATGGTAGTGGTATTAGTTGGGCTTTAATATAAAGGTTCTGCCCTGGCCGGTTTGGCTCAGTGGTTAGAGTGTCGGCCTGCGGTCCAGAGAGAACCGGGTTTGGTTCCCACTAAGTGCGCGTAACTCAGTTGCAGTTTGTCCCCGGCCCTGGTTGGGTCGTGCGGGTGGCGGCCACCCGATGTGTCCCTTTCATGTCAATGTTTCTCTCTCTCTCTTCTTCTCTCTCCCTCCCGCTCTATCTGAATAAAAAAATGGAAAAATGTCCTCGGGAGAGGATAAAAATAAATAAGTAAATTAAAAATAAAAAGGTTCCTTATACTTAATGAGGACTTCGGAAAGAAAGCATATCTCTCAAAAGAGTAAACATTGTTTTTTTCCCATATAAAGGTCGCCTACAGAAAAGATGCCAAAGAAAACCTGCATTACACCACAGTGGCCGATCGGCCCGACATCAAGAAGGCCACGCAGGCAGCCAAGCAGGCCAGTGAGGTAAAGATGTGGTTAAAATGTACCCGGTCCCAGTGATCACTGCCAACAAGGAGTCCGTGGCACCACCACCTAGAATGTATTGCCCATTTGGGTTTCCTTTGATCCAGGTGGAGTACAGAGCCAAGCACCGGAAGGAGGGCAGCCACGGGTTAAGCATGCTCGGTCGCCCGGACATTGAAATGGCCAAGAAGGCAGCCAAGCTGAGCAGCCAGGTAATGCAAATGGGCAAGAGCAGCTGTCGTGTGAGGAGATTTAACAAACCCTGCAGGAAGAAGTGATTCCTTGGAGGAAAGTGCAATATTAGCCACCAAAGAACGCTGGGTCTTTAATAGCACTGCAAAGCTTTGAAATGTTGTACCAGAAAAAGTGTGCCAAGGACCTTCTTTCTTGTTTCCAGCTAACGTCTCTAGGCCTTTCTTTTTCTCCACTTTTCCATTTATGGGTATGTGTCTAGGTGTTTGAGCGTTTAGCTATCTTCATGTGACAAAAACATCAGCTCGTGAGCTCCTTTTGGAACCTCTCTCTGGGCACTGAGCACTACATCCCAAGGGTTTGATCCATACTTAACTCACCTGTGGGATCTTGTTAACATGCAAGTGTCATAGAATTCTAACTTCTAGAATCCAACTAGATACAGTACCTTTATTCTTTATTTCAACGTCCGTATATTAAATGCCTGGGCTAGGGACTAGGGATGAGTAGATGTCCTCAGACTATATATCCATGGATAAATTAAGTACAGTAAAGGTGATAAATTTTTAATCAAGGTATACACAGGATGCTGTGCAGGAATGCTTCATTCTAGCATATTTCATATTATTGAGAAGATAGACTCAAATATGTGTTTCCCAAATATGGTTGCCCCATTACCTAATTTTCCTTGTTAGACCAATGATCTAGAATACTCTTGAATTATGACAGATTTTCAGACTTTAGCTCAGAATATCTTATTTCTTCTCCAATTTGGAGGTCCTACCTTCTTCTTCATTGTTTGTTCTCGCAAGTATCTGTTTAAAGAAATAGGTTTGGGGTACATTCGGTTGTTGTGTGTATGACTTTCAGCAATAGCATATATGGGGCTCCAATCTTTTGGGAGATATGAAGTAGTGATATCAAGTGACAAAACAAGTCATAATTATGAAGAGGCAAAAGGTGCAGATGGATGATGACAAGCAAATATGACCTTTTAAAGTTTTTTAATGTAAAACTCCTATGCAATGATTTTATTATAAGTTAATGGAATTGTACAAGCATTTGAGACTAAGATATGAAATCACCAACAAAATAAACAACAGTGCAAGCTCTAAAAGTAATGAAATATAACAAGAACTTTTTAATGTAAAATTTTTTAATGTTTTTAAATTTTCCAAGGTCATATCATTATCAAGTTAAAAACAAAGAAATGACAATGATGTTGAAATATTGAAGACTTTGCTGTTTTTAAAAATCAAGAGGCTCATATTTCTAATTCTAAGTGAATGCTATGATGTGGAGAATAAGACCTAACCATATCCTTTTATGAGCTCACCTCTTGGGTTTACTTCCTGTGAAAGGCTTGCCTTGGGATTTACAGCTTCATGGTGTGACCCTGGCCCAACAGGGCTTCACCTGTACTTGGGCCCTCTGCATTCTGACTTTGCTGTCTCGCTGGCACCCTAGGCAGAATACCTCAAAGGCCAAAGGAGAGGACACGGGCACGGCGCTGCATCTTATGACACCCCTATGATGAGGCATCTTAAGAAAGTTAATGCACTCATCAGTGATGTAAGACTGGCACCATCAAGCCGAGATCTCTGTCTTTCTCTTTTTCTTGTCGAGTTTCCTAGCCTTGGTCAGGGGACTGACCAAGTTGCACTCTTTTCTGTTGAGTTTGTGTTGGAATGTGGAGAATGCTGTGGAAATTTGTCAAAGACTATACTTTTGCACACACCCATCTTTTCTTGCATGAAGCATTCCCCCTGGAACATACCACTTAGACTAGGAAGATAGACTAGTCTAACTTGTAATGATATGACCTTGGACATGGCCTCACCGTGTACTTTGGGTTGCTGACAAAAATCAATGTAAAAGATGAAATGAAAACAAATGAAGAATCTCATCTTCAACCACATAAAGAAAACCTCTGCTGATGGCCATTGCTGATGTTTCATACATCTGAGACTGGCACTTAATACAGTCTCTCCGTTCTGGCAGACTATGAACTCACAGTTCTTTCACCCTTTGTTTTACAGTCTCAGTAGCAAGGAATTTTATAATTCTTGGGCCTGTTCTTCAGTCTTTAGAAGTACTAATTCCTTGATAAGGAGCTGAACAGTTGGATGTTAGACCTTTAATTAAACATTGAAAGAATAATTGATTTGAGACCTATACTGCATCCATATAAACCAGTAACTGAGCCTGGTGGAATTATAAACAATTATAATTGTGTTGCACTTGCTGATACATGGCGTTGCATGGTCACCTCTTAGGCTTCCATGATCAACAAGAAAAAGAAGGCATTAGCATTCCATAATGCACATATATGTAGTTTTACTACTCACTGCCTGGTCCTAGACTATACTCACTGTCTAGTCCAAGAATTCCCGGAGTCCTAAATTTGATGTCGGTCTCTATCTTTCAAAATGTAGTAAGTGCTTCTCAAGAAGATCTAGTCAAACAGGAAGGCCTTTTTGTGCTGAACTCACTTCTATAGGCTGCATTCGCCTGGGGGCCTTTGTGTAGGAAAGGGAGGCCGAGATTTTTTTTTTTTTTTAATTAAAAAGTTGAAAATTTAAGTTTACTTGAAATTAACAGAAGAAAAAGATATCGAAGTGAGACCAATGGATCTGCTGCTTGTCAAGTAAATATTTCTTCAGAAACAAGTTATTTCTTAAAAGATAGAAAGAGGAATCTAAGGTACTTCTATAAAAAAAAGTGAATTTTATTCTCATCTACGATGGGCATTTGCAACATTTCTTTCTCAGTCTGGTTTACTTTACTTTTTTGTGTTTCACAGCTCTGGGGATTAACCCTAGTCTTATGGGTTTCTATATCCCTTAGGAAAAGTTTCCTTTTGGTCCAGACACCGGCTCACCACCTCTGACTCTCTTCGTTTTTTTATTTTAAGGTTGCATTTTTTTTCCAGAGAGGAGCCATTGCGCATTTACTTGCATTCCCTTTTCTTTCTATGTTGTGTTTCTCCTCTTTCGTCGTGTGTCTGTCTCTGTGTGCCTGCATCACATGGTACTGATTGTGCATGCTTATGTGTTCCTATGCATTTCCACTGTAGGTTTATTCAGAACTGAGTGTCAGACTTGTGGATGCATTTTCTCTGCAGTGGCAGGTTTCATTGTTCTTAGCATTTGAGTGGTCTCATTTTGTGCTGTCCTTCTGAATATGTAAAGTTGTGGGGAAGTGAAGTAATGTGATGAAGCATGGGGGGTGCTGGTTTTAAATGTCTGCAGAGTGAAATATCTGGGTGACTGGGTCCTGGTGTGCTAAGTGAATGAGCGAGTCTTTCATTACCAATAGCAGAAATTCTAGATTTGCTAGAGAGTCCAATGTTGCCCTTTTAGCTGGCTAACATCTAGAGATAGCTCATTTTTCATGCTTCTTAAGAGTGAATAACTCGGGGAGTTCTACCTGTGCACTTAATCCTACAATAATCTTGACAAAGGCATTAGTCTATTTTTTAGTAAGGAAATGTTTCTGTCAGTTTCATTTTTTTCTGTTGAATTTTCTTATGACTGAACCATCTTGTTTAGCTGTTTTGACTAATGACTTTAGGCATAATGACTGTTCTTCCTTTTACTCAATCAAATCACATTTACTAAGCAACTGTTAGTGCCAGGCATTATGCTTATTTTTTTTTAATTGAAGTAATTTAGTCCTTTGCATGGTCTTACTTTTATATATCCTAAAAGAATATTTTATCCAACTTTTTCATTATTCTAAGGTAGCTCACTTCTTTCTTCCAGTCTGCAATGACGTAGAAGCCATTAACCCCCAAACTTTGTTATTACTCAGAAGATATGTCATTTTTTGCCAAGTTTAAAAAACTAAAATGATGTAGCCAAAGTACTATTTTAAAATAACAATACATTCTCCTAATTTAACAGATTCCTGACATCTCATCCTTCTTGACCACTGACAACCTCTCTTGGAATTCCTTGCAATAGACCTCAAATACTTTCCGTTTTTCTAGTTAGGAGGGCCCAGGTACTCCAAATCAGTGACATCAGATCATTTCTCTGAATTTAGCTTAATGCAATTCCACTTATTTTTGTTTTGCATTAAAAAGAGGTGATTATCTTTCATACCTCTGGATAATCTGAAAGTGAGCAAAGCAAGTTATATATCACTGGATCTTATTCTTGATCAACTGTTGTCCCAACCTAATTACTAATAGTACCCCTTTCACTATTAAAAGTGTCCTAGTTTGGTTAGCAAATTATATGATCACTTTATAACACATATTCTTTTGCATTTATATCTCCTTCATTCCTCAGTTCTCAAATTAATTTATGTTCAGGAGTAATTTGAATTTTTGCATTTGCTGTTAGGTTAAATACCGAGAAAATTTCGACAAAGAGAAGGGCAAGACACCGAAATACAATCCAAAAGACAGCCAGCTCTACAAAGTCATGAAAGATGCTAATAATCTCGCAAGTGAGGTATGTTTTTAAAATTGTGATAAAATATATAACGTGAAATTTGTCATTTTAACTATTTTTCCAGGCATTAGTTACACTCATGTCCAGCTACTACCATGACTTCCAAGACTTTTTTATCTCCCCAAATAGAAACTCTATATTAAGCAAATAACTTTCCCTTTTCCCCACTGGTAATCTCTAATCTACTTTGTGTTCCTATGAATTTGCCTATTAGAGATTCATATAAGAGGAATCATACAATATTTGTCTTTTTTGTCTGGCTGATTTCACCTCACATAATTTTTTCCAGGTTCATCCATGTTGTAGTGTGAATCAGAATTGCATTCTTTTTTTATGGCTAAATAGTATTCCATTGTATGGATAAACCTTTTGTTTATTCATTCACCCGTTGATGAATTGTGTTGTTTCCACCTTTTGGCCACATGAATAAGGAATATCTTTTTGTTACCCTTTGCAGCGTTTGTTTCGGGATGAGTCTTACTATGGTTTCCACTTGTACTGGTTACCATTTCCCATGTACGTAACATCCTTTATTCCTCCTAACATACAGGTTAAATATAAGGCTGACCTGAAGAAACTTCACAAACCTGTGACTGACATGAAGGAGTCTCTGATAATGAATCACGTCCTGAACACAAGCCAGCTCGCCAGTTCCGTAAGCGCCAACACTTGCTCCAGAAACAGCTTGTTCCATCCACTAGCAGTTCGATGCCTTCTCTGGGCTCACCCAGTCCCCTTCCCTGCCACCCAGACGCGAGGCCCATTAGAAAGCTCTTCTCTTGTTTGAGTGCATGCTTCCAAATTACAACACTGACCTACAGCTTCTCACGACTGTAGCACCTCTCGGAATATAAAAAAATGTTTTTCTACTTAGAATATTTAAAAAATTTTTTTTCAATTAACCAATCCCTTCCCTCCTTTAAAGGACCTCTTTTACTTTTAACTTTTCACTCTAAAACCTAATTTGGCCCTGGCCGGTTTGGTTCAGCCATTAGAACGTCGGCCTGGGGACTGAAGGGTTTGATTCTGGTCAAGGGCACATACCTGGGTTGCAAGTTCAATCCCCAGCCCCAGCTGGAGTCATGCAGGAGGCAACCAATCAATGTGTCTCTTGCATCGATGTTTATCTATCTATCTATCTATCTATCTATCTATCTAGGAATCAATGGGAAAATATCCTCAGATGAGGATTAACAACAATAACAAAAAAATCTAATTTGAATGGGCCATATAGCCTAAGTGCTTACATCCTGTATTAACTGACAATGCTGAGCATGGATCTTCATCTTTTAAAACTTTTTCTTAACCCCTAACTAGTGTTCGTTCATTTTGATCTGGCCTTGCTGCTGCTGCTGTGTGAATGTCTGATCTAAAGGGGACATTCAGGATGCTAAGCAGCCTTCACACCAATGTGCCTTTCTGCCCCCTTCCCCTCAGTACCAGTACAAGAAAAAGTACGAGAAGAGTAAGGGCCACTACCACACGATACCCGACAACCTGGAGCAGCTCCACCTAAAGGAAGCGACAGAGTTACAGAGTATCGTAAGTTCAAGACTGACCTTTTCCCTGATGCTCATTCATCTAGCGTCAGAAACTTTTGTGGATTTCCTCTAGGGTAGTAGTTCCAGTTTTAATAACTATTGCTTGAAAAAAAATGTCCAAAGATATAAGGGGCTTTGAATTCAGTAACATTTTGAAACACACTTTTATGTTATAAGTGATAACAGCATCAGCATGCACTGAAGAAACAATGCATGTACATGTAATGTGTGGAGTCAGGTTACTGACTGGTACTGGATGCCTAAGATTGTGCTATAAGGGAGACCACCCCTCACAATAACCCCGGTGTGCCCCCATGAGCCTGCATCACAGGTTAGGAAACAATGGATGATAGGGAGGCTTAGGAAGATTTTAAGCAAGGAAGTGATATGATCAGATCTACCAATGAAGTATTCTCTGGGTATTTTAAAAATTGTAAAACAGTGAAGGAAAGAACTCAGAGAAGGAGCTTGCAGTCACATGACCTCCTATATTACAAATTCAGCATTATTAAGGTCCCCTGTTAGGCATTAACCAAGAGGGCTACATTACTGGAAATGTCCCCATGTCATCTATGAAGCAGCACGTGCCACTGGGCCTCTATGTGTTGCTACAATAAAAAGAGCAGATATTGAGCGTTGCCACTAAGAGGCAGCATGAGCAAGGGCCTCTGCCCTTTTATCCCCTGAAGATAAGGAGATTATATTGGTAAAATAGTGTTGGGGGAGGGGGACCTAGAGAATGTCATATTTATTAGTAAGTCAGTCAACATGTAAGCTAGTTTTTATTTTTATACCAATTATGTTGGTTGCATTACACACGTGACCATTTATGACCCAGATAGAATTATTAACCTGTCAAGGTGCATGTATTATCTATCAAATCAAGACCCCAGTTGTCTGATAACAGTTCTTATGAAAGAAAAGCTGGATATTTTTTCAAATCAGAAATGTTGACTAACACCATGGTTCACATCTACACAGTTCCAATCTTGGCCAACCTCATCTATGGGGGATCGTCCCCATGAGCGGCCTCGCCTCAGTGTTTCACTCTGCTGACCCTTCTGCAGTGATCTCCCGTCTCGATGAACTGAACAAACGTCCTGATTGTGCCTTGCAGCATGTTTCCCCCAGGCAGCAATAAACAGCTTCTGAATCTGTCTTGAGTGGCGCAGATACCAACCCATTGGACATAATCTATCAATCGAAAATTACTATCCTTAAACTGCTATCTGTCTACAAGTTGATCTGAGGAGAGATATCTAATAAGGCTTTTCATCACTAGGTGAAATACAAAGAAAAGTATGAAAAGGAACGAGGAAAGCCCATGTTGGACTTTGAAACACCAACATACATCACCGCCAAAGAGTCTCAGCAGATGCAAAGCGGGGTGAGTCCTACAAAAACACACCACACAACAAACACACCATCAACCTGACGAAAACATGCTCTGCCTACAAATGTATTCAGCCTTCTGTTATCCAACAGTGGTAGATGAGGGGATGCTTTAATATGTGACCACTAAAATCCTATGGTCCAGTTATCAAAAATGTTCTGAGTGGTAAAATTTACCATATGTTTTTTAAACTATCACTTGTATAGAATTAGAACATAGTAAACTATTCCTAACACTGAAAGAAATTATTGAATATAATTTTTTTTTCATGAATGAAACATTCCCTCTGCATAGACTTACCATCAGTTTTTGGATTGCTCTTCTCTTGATAGGGAGCTCCAAGCCACACAAAAGGAGACTAGTGATCAAGGTGTTTATCAAAACAGTGAAAGTCAAGGTGCCATAATTCCTATTTTAGAAATGTTAGCTGAGGCATCTAAAAATAATTCTGTCCACATAATCTATTTAGTGGTTAAAATAATAGATCGTGATTATGAAAAAAACCAAGCTTGTATTTGGAGCCCTCAGGCTCTCTTCCTCTGGGTTGTTTTATTGTTTTCCCTTGAGTCACTTACTTCTAATTCAGAAGTAAAATCTTTTGTTGCCTTAAGAACAACGTCATCAGCAGAGATGGCAGAGGATGTGTGGGTCCCCTTCTGCTGGCGTGGAGGGCCAGCCCCAGTCACCAGTGGACTGCAGGGCCCAGGCCAGCTTTTCAACCTCTGCATTTGCTCTGGACAAAATGTTTCCAAAACAAAGTATTTCCAGACATGTTTCAAATATGTGACCATCAGCAGAACGATGATCAAGTTAAGAGGCCAACATAGAAAGAAAATGTACTGTTTTGTCTTAAGATTGAGACATAAAGACTAATAAATATTTTTTTCTTAACTTGTCTTTCCTTCCTACTCATATTAGAAAGAATATAGGAAAGAGTATGATGAGTCCATCAAAGGCAGAAACCTGACTGGCCTGGAGGTCACGCCCGCTTTGTTACATGTCAAATATGCAACCAAAATAGCCAGCGAGGTACTGCCCAGTTAGTCTTGTCTTTCCCTCTTGATACAAATAACTGCACTAATGCCACTCACCAATATGTTCCTCCTACTGTTTTTACCACCACCTAACTTTGCGGGTTTCAAGTTGGGTTCACATTTGGTCACCTAGTCTATGACCCATGTTAATTCTTCTAGTTTTTTCGTTGAATACCTAATAAAATGTGCTTACCTTACATTCTGTTAATTTCTACTTTTTGAATTGAATATTTAATACTCACTGATGAAGCTCATACCCTGCTTTTATTGATATCTCTATTACTAAACTGCAATTGTTTGGAATTGGAAAGGTTTTTTATCTGTTGGGTTTTTGACTCTTTACCTGAGAGGAACTATCCAGGATTTCTGGTCATCATTGCTGCTTTTAATTTGTGATACAGAAAGAGTACAGGCGAGATCTAGAGGAAAGCATCCGTGGGAAGGGTCTCAGTGAAATGGAAGATACTCCCGACATGATAAGAGCAAAGAACGCCACTCAAATCCTCAACGAGGTGGGTCCACAGCCAATTGCATGCACATAATTTACAGAGCATGTTCTCCTTCCCAGCCAAGTCACACAAACACACACACACACACATCCAAAGAGATGAGAAGAGAGTTTTTAAATTTCAAATTCCATAACCAACATGATTATTTCCATTTAATAAAATATATCTTGATTTCTAATGAGTTGATATTATAATAATCTTTGTCTGTAGTGACCATTGCTATCATAACCTCTTTATCTAATATTATTTGATTTGACCTTGATCCATTTGGTGTGCTCCTTTAAATAAAAACACCACATGGGAGTGCTGTGCACCAAAGTTTAATCCTGGTTGCTACCAAACCAGATTTAAAGTTTGCTTTATACTCTAATTTTCTAAATAGAGGATGCAAAAGTGTTCAAAAGGAGGCCTTAAAGTAGATTTCGGTGGTCACCACTGCCTCTTACCAGAGGGAAGGATGAACACTAGCAATTAAAGTGGTATGTTATGTGGATTTGTATTCACTGTGCACATTTAATACCTAATTGTGGGAGTAAGGTAACTTTTTTATTTTTTAATGCTACTATAGAAAGAATATAAGAGAGACCTGGAGCTGGAAGTCAAAGGAAAAGGCCTGACCGCTATGGCCAATGAAACGCCTGACTTTATGAGGGCCAAGAATGCTACTGACATTGCCAGTCAGGTAAGTGTCACTATTTCATGTCAGTCTTTCAGAAAAGGAGCTGTGATCGCAAGGACACACATTGTCCTTCCGTTATCTTACTTGTTGGTCAATGACAGTCAAGTGCATGTAATGTCATTCTTCAACATCCGCCTGGTGAATCCATTCTAATAAAAGGATCAGGGACCTTTGCCAGGCCTGCTTCCATCTGCCTTCCTGAGTCTGTAGCCACAGGAGATATTCAGAGCAAAGGGCAGAAGTTGGGGAACCAAATAGCTGCTTGGAGACAGTGTAGGCTCTCTGATGTCCTGGCCTTGTTTCTTAGTCAATACACTCCTCCTTGGGCATCAAGAATTCCTTGCTTAGAATATTTTGGGAGTTCTTTCTTTCCCTCCTTTCAAGGCCTAAATTTAAATCACAGTTTTTAAGTATCCCACATTGTCTCATAGTGGTTGGTATGGGTCCTTGGCTTACTTGTCCTGCCCCCTGCTCTTATTTATGTAAACAATCCATGCCTTACTATCAGCTGATTATCTCTCTTATTTCCTGTTACCTCTCCCTCTTCCCTTCCTTCCCCCTCTTCTGTTTCCATGCCCAACTAACATAGCCTTTCAACAGCTAGAACTCATTCTTTCTGAATTTCACTCTTTAGTATAGAGCTATAAACATAATAGGAAAAATGTCTGTTGATTGGGAAATGAATAAATTTTTTTGGAAAAGAAATATCGATCACCTATTAATCAAATTAAACCAACAAGTGTTGTGCACATTGTAAACATTTACCCAATTGTTGGGTGTTCTTTTGCAGATTAAGTACAAACAATCAGCAGAAATGGAAAAAGCCAATTTTACTTCTGTGGTTGATACTCCAGAGATCATTCATGCCCAGCAAGTTAAGAACCTTTCAAGCCAGGTAAGGACTTTCACCAGGATGCCACTCATTGACCCCAATCATGAAGAACAACATCTTTCCATTAATTCATAAGGACATTCTTTCAAGTCACAATTTTGCCCAATAAAAGAGAAAGGATTTATCTGCAATGCAAGTTTGAGTCAAAGTTTAGATTTTTGCATCAGAATTACAACAAATTATATGAGATAATCTTAAACTACTGAAGAACTCTTACATAGAATCCATCTTTAATGAATCAATATTTTAACATCCAAAATCTCTTGTAATGTAGATGTAAAATTTGTCTTCAAATCTGGAAGAAATAAAGTAGACAGTCCACATTTGGATTATCAATGATTTCTTTAACAAGATTGAGATTATGTCATCAATGCTAACCTCACAATCTAACCCTGATTCCTCCCATAAGGAGTAACTCTCCATTGTCCAACAAATAGAGAGAAGAAGAAATGTAGGATGTCCTCCATTTGTTTACATCTTCCATATTAGCAGGAGTCTGCAATTTATTTGAGTAGTTCCAAATTAGAAATTTTGCTGTCTTCTGACCAATGAGTTCTAAAACAGTAGTTATCTGACATGGCTATGCTTTATAAACACCTGGGAATGTAGGTTTTACCGGTTCCACCCTTGAATTTTGAAGCTAGTAAATCTGATGTAGGCCCTGGAAATCTGTTTTGTTTATTTATTTGTTTGTTTTTAATCCCCACAGATGATAACTTAATGACAGTAGGTTGGAAGAATCATGATTTAAAGACTTTATTAGCAACATATAATTTTAAATCATAAAGTGAGACAAAATATAGTTATCACCAGTATAGCTTAATTAGGAAGCAAATATATTCAAATTGGGAGAATTGAACCTCTTATTTTGGAGGTGAGAGGTGGGGAATTTGATTAGCAAAATTATATGGATCCCAAACTACCACGTTGTGTTTATTGGGGGAGCCAGTGAAGCCAAAATCCTTGGTGCTGTGGGAGGCTCACCAGCCAAATAACCTCAGCCTTCTGATCTTGTTAATTTTTAAGGAAAACCTCAGCCAGTGGACCTTTCCAGGGAGGGATTAGTTCACTTAATCTGCTCCTGTGTGCCTTCCCAGGCCTCTCCAGGGCTAGTTCCCCAACGCCTAAAATATGGCCAGGCTGGTTACGTCCTTCCCAGTTCAGATCAGAATTTCCCTCTGGGTATTGGAATGGTGTCTATGCTTTCCACAAAACTACTTCTCAGTTTCCACTGGGGAGTATGTATTTTATAACTTATAAATTTCATACTTGGGGGTTAATGCAAGTAGTGTGAGCTGACCCACAAATTCAGGATAATATTCTGATACTCTTTTATGCCAGGAGGTCTGGGACTCCCTCCTCTCAGAATGCTTCTAAATATTCTGTGCAAACTGACCACTCCTCTTAGGAACTAGCGCTAGCTCTGCAAACCAGTTAAAACCGCTTTTGCTAAAGAAAAGGAAGTCTGGTTCTTTCTCTTACCCAAGACAATGAGAACTCTCTGCCTTCCATTTGCATAACTAAGAAGAGTCATTCCAGTGACTTTCTCCTGCAGGAAACATCTGTTCCCAGTGAACTTCCCTTTCCTTCCAAAAACATCTGTTCTAACTGGCTTCTTACATGAACAAAATCCAAGCCAAAACCTCTTATTGGCTGAAACTGCGTCTCGTTTGTTGTTCTTGAGGAGATTAAAATTGTCAACACTTGTAAATGTAATTTGTCTACAGAATGGGGGCAAAAGTAGGTTTACAGTTGTTTGTGTGGAAAACAATACAGTGATTAATAAATAATAATACAAGAATAAACTGTTTTACGTGTTCACAACCGTAAATGTACATATGCCCCACCGTGTGATACGATTTAGGTAGCTAAAGATACGCATAGAGGGAATAGTCTTATCCCCATGACAAAAGCACCTGGCCTCTTCCCCAGCCCTCAGCCCCGCACACCCACACTTGCCTGAAAAGTGGCAGAAAGCAGAGCTAAATAAGAGACAGAGGAAAGTGAAGGGCTGAGTGACAAGCAATGAAGGGGAAATCAGGCTCTAAGGCAGAGAAAGTGATCTCCTTTTTTAAGACTGGAGATGATTAGTTTAGTCCTGGAGGCGGACAGCGGAGATGTCTGGGGCAGACCAGCCCCTGTGGGCAGTCTCTCCCACCAAAGGCTGAGCGAGGGCAGGACAGCCCAAGAAAAGCGATGCTTGGCTCTGAGAGTCCTTGGCCAGTCAGTTGGCTGGTCAGTCGGTCGTGGTGGTGGCCCCAGGCCAGTTTCTGCAGTGTCCGACGGGTGTTCTGGAAGCCCCCGCTGGTCCTGCCTGCCTCTTCTGTCCTGTAGCCAGCAGCCTGACCACCTGCTCATGGCTCAGCAAAAATGTCCTTGTCACCAACCAAGGCTGGTTTTCAGGAGGCCTTGTTGATGGCTTCTAGCCCCCTGCTTTTCCACCTGCCTGTTGAATAGTCTGGCTCCATCCAGTTCACCGTGGGCATCCCTGTCTCCACGCTGGCTGTCTCTTCCCTCGTGTGGACCAGCCAACAAGCACCTTCCTCCGCCAGCTCTGCCAGGAGCTGGGTCCCATTAAATACCAGGCTTGGTCCTCCAGGAAAGAGAGAGCATGGTGCACTCACTGCGAGAGCTCTGCTTTATCCAGACCTGACTCCTGAACAGCCAACAAAGTGCAGAAGACTTCCTCTGCTGAGCAGAAAGGGCTGTTTTAGGTTCCACCGGGTCATCTCCCTGTGGTGTTCACCATCCTGATTTTTGGAATCTGTTCCCAGAAAAAGTACAAGGAAGATGCAGAGAAGGGCATGTCCTACTATGAAACCGTTTTGGATACCCCAGAGATGCAAAGAGTTCGGGAGAACCAGAAGAACTTCAGCCTCGTAAGTTTTTGTTGAATCTATGACCCCGCCCACTGGTGCCTGGGATGTGGCAGGGCAAGGAGGCTGCCTCCGGGCACACACTTGGGCATCCCCCCTGCAATGGGGCCATGGAGCAGCCCCCCACGGCCCCCATCCTCTGCCCGGGAAATGTGTGTGCCATTCTTCTCCAGACTCACCTCATACTTCAACCCGGTCAAAGCATGAAAGACCCATCTGTTGCTTTCTTTGTGACTTCTGTCACGAATGTGAACTATCACCATTTTTTATTAGTGGCAACATCTGTCTTTTTCACAGTTGATTCTAGGTAAGGTACACATTGGGGAAAAAAACAAAACTAATTTGACATGTTACAAGTTTTAGGCTTTTAAAAAAATTAGTTTTTCCACAGAATTCTTATTAAAGAATTCCCTTTGACTATCAGACCATGATTATTGTGGCACAAACATTTGTTTATTTTATTTTATTTTTTGCTAATTCTCACTCAAGGATATTTTTCCATTGATTTTTAGAGAGTGGGAAGGAGGGAGGGAGGGAGGGAGGGAGGGAGAGAGAGAGAGAGAGAGAGAGAGAGAGAGAGAGAGAGAGAGAGAAACATCAATGTGAGAGAGACACATCAATCAGTTGCCTTCCTCACCACCCCAGCCAGGGATCAAACCTGCAACCCAGGTATGTGCCCTTGACTGGGAATCAAACTTGCAACCCTTAGGTCCAAGGGTCAACACTAATCACTGAGCCAAAACTGTCAGGGCCATAGACAACTTTTTTTATGTTTTCACTGTTTTTTTTTTCAGAGAGAGGAAGGGAGAGAGAGAGAGAAACATCAGTGTGAGAGCGATACATCAATTGGCTGCCTCCTGCACGCCCCCTACTGGGGGTCAAGCATGCAACCTGGGCATGTGCCCTGACCAGGAATCGAATCGGGACCTCTCAGTCCATGCGACAATGCTCAATCTGCTAAGCCACACTGGCCAGGCACATAGACAAATTTTTAAATACAGGATTTTAACTTCCTTTACACAATATTGGACAATTAAAAACATATAAAGCAATGTTGAAATCTTAACAAAATGTTTACTCTTTCTTCATAGCTCCAGTACCAGTGTGACCTTAAAAACAGTAAAGGGAAAATTACAGTTGTTCAAGACACACCAGAAATACTGCGTGTGAAAGAAAATCAGAAGAATTTCAGCTCGGTATATTACTCTTCACATTCCACTCAGTGCTAACCTAATCATTCTATACTCTTTAAAAATATGCTCGCCTCACGTTTATTCAGTCCATTAATGTCTAACCTCCCAGGTAACACTAGCGGTTATTTGGTAAAATTCCCCATAGTTTGCTGTAGAATCATCATTGCAGAGTCCATTTGCATAACAATTTAAATCTGCTAACAAAATAACTCTTCTGTCTTTACATTTTTTTAATCCCACAGCAAGACGCGTTGTCTTGCTCCTGAAAGATGGGTCTCCGTTTGGCCTTGTGATTTCTTTTACTATTCCTCCCCAAAATGACCGACTGACTACATTTCTTTCATGGAATTTTCTATTTCAGATGAGCATGGGTTTTTTAAAATCAACATTTTCTAGTTTTTCTCATTCTTTTTTAGTATGGTATGATAATCTTAAAAGAAATCTCAAAAATCTGGAAAGCGACCCCTTGCTGTTTGTTGGATTGCTGACGTGGAAGCTGTCAGGTGCTCGGGCACCAGAACGTTCTCTAGTGCCTTTTGTTTGCACAGAAGCCATGTTTCCTAGACTTTCTCTAGGAATTGCTGGGCGTTCCCTCCTTCTGGGTAACACTGTCGTGACTCTGATGTCCAGGTTTTATATAAAGAGGACCTGTCTCCAGGAACCGCGATTGGAAAGACACCCGAGATGATGAGGGTGAAGCAAACGCAGGACCACATCAGCTCGGTAAGGATGCCTCCGTGGACTCGCGCAGTGTTCTCTGCCTCCTTGTGATAACTGACCGGTGTCTGAGCTGCACTGAGACCTTTGTCACCAAAAGCAGCTTACGTTGCTGACACGGGTGCATCACTGCGGCGTTTCCTGAGGGGAGGTTAGATATGGGAGACGGAGAGACCTGTGTCGGAGCAAACCAGAGCTGGACGGTGGTTAAGGTGGTAAAAATCAGAATTTATTCAGGACTACTGCAGTGTAAGGGGAAGAGATCTCGATCTAGAACTGGACTCCATTTTGAATACAATGAGGAGAAGTGGGAATGTATGGGGGGTGCAGGGGGAGGGGCAGTGGATGGACAGGACTCGGAGAAAACATCCGGGGTAAGGAGGCTGGTGGCTAAGCCCCCGGACAGGACTCCTGCTGGAGGCAGGCCAGGGTGACCAGGCGGCACCTGTGGGATGGTGGGTGAGGAATTGGGGCAGATAGGAAGGGTGAACAGGTAGCAAGGGTGGGAGATTCTGGCTAAACTGAATTATCAGGATTTTTGCTAAAATTGGGTGATAGTCCAAAAGTTGAGGCCTACTTGGAAAGAAGACTTGGAGGAGGTCTGACTAAAGTTTGGTTAAGGAGAGACTCTTTGTCACTTGTCAGAAAATAGAGTAAATTAAGGTCAAAAGATTAACCTTCCTGCATATATATGTGAAAGGATCAGTCCTCGATAAATACACTGCTGGGTATAGAAACACCGGAATACACAGGAAAGAGAAGGGACTACAGTAGAAATATGGGGCCCCACCCCTACCCCGCCCCTAAAGAGACAAGAGGGCAGCCCAGGGTCCTCGTCCTTGACACTGTCTCCTCTGACCCAGTGTCAGAATATGGCCCCATTCAAACTAAGTGTAGAGCTTGTACTATTTAATTGTGATGTTTAAATTACAGAATTACTAATCAAACACCCTGCACATGTTCCCCCTTTATCTCTGCAGGTGAAATATAAGGAAGCAATTGGACAAGGGACCCCGATCCCTGACCTGCCGGAAGTGAAACGTGTCAAGGAGACGCAGAAGCACATTAGCTCGGTAGTGGCCCAGATGCTTGCTCGGCATGCGTGTGCGCACCCAGCCCCGTCCGGTTGCTGTCTCGCTCCATCTCCCCCCTTCTGCCTTCTACCAAGGGCTTCCCGTGCTTTGGGGCTGGTGTGAACCCTCCCTCAGCCCTGAGAGGAGAACTTCCATTTGTGAAAGTAGATAAGACACCTCTGTCTACGCATGGTCAAGGAGCATGGTCACACCTGCATTTTTTAAAGTGAAATGTGCCAATAGTAGTAATAAGGTTATTGGATGATCTCATTAGTTAGCCATACATATAAACATACATATAAACACAAAAGCAATATAAAATAATTCATATATATGGGTGTGTGCATGTGTGTATATCTCAGGACATTCTCCACCATCCAGAAGACCATAGGTAGACTTATAAGTCTCTGCAGCCTTCTCCCCTCCCTTTCAAGATTTCTTGTCTTGTATCCTCTGCTCTCTCCTTGCCAATGTTGTGTGTGTTTAAGGTGCTAGCAGTCATCTGCCAACAGGGGTATATTATGTGTTAAGCCTGTTCTCTAACAGGAATTTCAGGTGCATGTACACACACACACACACACACACACACACACACTCTTTCTCATCAATAGCAGATTCTAAGCAATTGCTACCAGCAAGAGACTGTGTGAAGTTTGGGAAATAGTTTATGGCCAACAGAAGGCAAAGACCTTATTCTTAGAGATTCTTCTGGTCCCTGGAGGACTGCACTCTCTTTTAATTTTCTTTAGAAGACACCTGATATTTCTCTTGCATGCCATTCAGATTATTTAGACATCATCCCCTTTTCACTCCCTGCTTACACTCTGGCTTCCTGGTAATTCAAGCTTCAGTTAGAGTTTTGTGTCCACTAATCCAAGAAAACTAGCCCATAGCTTTGTCACTTTTCATTGCAAGTTCCTGTCTTTCTCTTGTTTTATTTTGTCCATGATCACTTTTGTTGTCTTGCTAGGTAAAGAAACACAACTTTGTACCAAGATGGTAGACTTTTAATGATCCCTAAAAGTTTCTTAGCAAAACAAAGGTTCAATTTTAGGAATTCAGTTGGATTTTAGGAATTCATCTGTGACACAAACCCTTAGATTTTTCGTGTTCTCCCACCCAGGTGCTAGTACACCATAGAACCCATGCACTTAAGTAAGAGTTCATTCATTTCTTTAGGCTGAAAAGTCTTAACATTCAGAGGAAAGGAAGCTAGAGGTTCAGGAAGTTCCTCGCTCTTCATGAAAATGTCCAGTCCTCTGATACTACCCCCTAACAAACAGGGATTTACCTGCCTTCGCAAAACATGATAGAGCAATCACCAGTGCAAATTCCGGGGGAAGGTGCTCTTCCTGAAACAGGAAACTGCTTAATCTCCTTACATTCAGGGTACCTGCAGACTAGGGGCCAACTAGGAATTTTCAGTAGAGAATACAGAGCAAACAGAAAAGTCTCAATAACCCTGAAGAGATAGCGTATCATACAATTAGAAAAATTTTAAACCAAACAACCTACTTATTAAGTAAAATAGATTTCTTGTGGACTTTGTATTAAAGGTCTGAATACAAAATGTTACAAAATGGACAGACTTTTCTCGTTGCTCAATTTATTACTATTTAGTGCATTTTAGGAATCTACTAAGTGCTGACTAGAAAATGCACAATTTAGTACACAGTTTTCAAGGTAGTAAAATCATTGCTTTTGAAGAGAGAACATAAATATTTGTGGAATTTCTTCTCCTTACTCCTTGATGCCATATTGAAAGTGAGATTGTTCTTATGAGTTTCCACCAAATAGCACACATGTGGCTGTAATGCAAAGGATTTGCAGTCATTTTACCTTCTCGGGTATTCCAATTCTCTCCTGCAGGTCATGTACAAAGAGAACCTGGGAACAGGCATTCCAACCTCCGTCACGCCAGAGATTGAGAGAGTCAAACGCAATCAAGAGAACTTTAGCTCGGTATTTATGAATACATCAACTAAGAAACTCTATTTCCCATTAAAAAATTACCAGAATAACCCATCATCCTTTTTTTTTTTTTTTAAAGTAACATCTTAACAACAATTCTGTGTGTACTTGTGTCTGTGTGTGTTATTACCTGACTAAAACCATCTGGACTTACACAAAGTAACTTACTTTTCCGATGGTCCCTTAACACGTCCAGCAACTGACAGGTGTGAGTACGTAGATGTGAAATACTATAAGTATAATTAACACAAGACTCCTCCTCATTGTACTCATGTCTTAAACTCAGTGCTTTCCACTGTACTTTTTCATTCTCAGAATTAGCATTGTAGAGTTCATTAAAATTGTGACAGAAAAAGCGCTATCCTTACTAAATATTATTCACTAAAAAACTCCCCTCTCACAAGCCCCCGTCTTTAAATTTCTCCCTTCCTTAATCTCTGTGCTCCTTTTGAATGTCTTCTGGGTACTTTCTTGTATCTCACAGGTTTTGTACAAAGAAAATTTGGGGACAGGAACCCCAACACCTATCACTCCAGAGATGGAGAGAGTCAAACGCAATCAAGAGAACGTTAGCTCGGTACTTCTTAGGGGACAAAAATTAAATCCCTTAATTCTTACTTAAAATAATATTTTAACACATTACAAACATTTGATTTTTCTTCCTATAAAATTACTAAATTTATATAAAAATAATGATACCAAATATTACCTCAGTTTTTAATCTAAACCTAATTTAGTATTTACTTTAGTTCTGGTGTGAAATTTTAACTGGTGTTCCCTAAAACATAGTATTGATCACATTCCTCAAATTCCTGTACTACTCAGTGTTTCCTTCCTCAGATCCTCCTTGAATAACAATAGGTGTTTCTAACCGGTGTGACATATGTCAAAAGTAAAATCTAACACCCCTTTAAAGGGTCAATGTTAATTAGAATTAATTATTCTGGCTCTGGTGTATTTTTTTTGTGTTTGCAGCTTTTCTTTAAAAATGTGATCCTTAGACATTTTCATTCAAAAGACAACATAGCAACTTTTAGTAACTCAGATACAACTTTCCTTGACTTAGCTGTTTGTGTATCCCATGCAAGATACAACTGAGCTTTCTTTTGGAATAGTTTCAGGGTCATTGAAAGCTACTACCTAGTTAGTTTTTAATATTTGTTAATATTTATTTTATTTTCCAAACACCTCTCTCTCTCTCATTCCCTAATTTAGAGTTACCAACAGCTCATTATAGATATAAAATTCAGTTGGCTTGAATGCCATTTGACGAGGCCTAATCCTTCTGTCTTTGGAAGAAGGCCTGTAAGTGAGTGCCTCCTGCCTGCACCCTGGCAGCTGCGTCTGTAGTACTACTACTTGAAGACAGACGTCATACGTTTGACTAAATGTCCAAAGGTGGCCTATATTTCTATTTCTTAAAGTTATTTAGGCCTATTTTACATACTTATGAAAAAAAAATACTTTTAGAGACTATTTGAAAGGTTATGTCTACCTAAAAGATGGGTCCAAGCTGATTTGATTGTTGGTTTTGTGCACACAGATTTTGTACAAAGAGAATTTGAACCAGGGGACCCCCATACCTGTCACTCCTGAGATGGAGAGAGTCAAACGCAATCAAGAAAACTTTAGCTCGGTATTTGACAGAAACCCCTTTAACTCCGTATTAAAAAATAATAATAATAACTCTCTACAAACCCAAACTTCTTATTATGAGTCTCTTTAAAATTCTCAATTTAACAAATTCTTTTTCTAAACCTCATCAACTGAATCCTTCTGTCTTCCAGACCTTTAACCACCATTTGGTTCTAACGTTTTATACTTTCTGTAAGGGTCCCTTAAAACTTTTAATCGGTTCCTTCTCTTTTCACTTTTTGTGTGACTACTGGGACTTTTGAAGTTAATTGATGTAAAAAAAACAAAAAACAAAACCCAAACAGAGTAGTTATTATTTTCTTGGAAATCTTTTTATTAAATGTTCCTGGGTCAGCAGTGCAGGAAAAGACACAGGATTGAGGCTCCCTGTGGAAATGGTGGCTGCTGCCTGGGAACAGGGGCTGCCTGGACATAGATCCTACCTAGAGACACAGCAGTGCTGAGGAGGAAAGGGGCTCGGTCTCAGGACACAAAGCAATCTCATCTCAATACTTGCCCTGAACAAGCCATTCCGGGAATAGAAATCCAAACTCTCTGATTTTTTTTTTTTTTTTTTTATTCTCACTCGAGGACATTTTTCCATTTTTTACTCAGATAGAGTGGGAAGGAGAGAGAGGAAGAGAGAGAAACATCGATGTGAAAGGGACACATCGAGTGGCCGCCACCCACACGACCCAACCAGGGCCGGGGACAAACTGCAGCCAAGGTACATGCCCTTAGCGGGAACCGAACCTGGGTCTCTGTGGACCGCAGGCTGACGCTCCAACCGCTGAGCCAAACCGGCCAGGGCCAAACTCTCTGATTTGTTTTTAACCCACAAATCACATCATAAGTTATAGTTAATGTTATTTTCTCTTATATTATTATTGCTGAAAACCTCCATAATCCGCAAAAGGTTTGTGAATTGTATATAAGGATCTTAGATTCGGCTCTAGAAATCTGAATCAAATTTAATCAAATGTTATTAGGAAAATTTAGTTGAATTTTGGGGGGGGCAGAATGGAAGAAGGTTTGATTCAAAATGTGTTTTAATGATCAGTTTAAATGTTTTCTTGAAGTTTGATTCTTTCTCATAATTAGATCAGTAACTTTCTTTGGTCCCACTGTCTTTTTTAAGTAATATTTAAAAAATTTTTTCAATTACAGTTGAGATACAATGGTATATTTGTTTCAGGTGTACAACATAGTGATTAGATTTTTATATAACTTACAAAGTAATCACCCTGATAAGTCCCACTGGATTTTTGTTTGTTTTCCTTTGTTTCTAATTACTATTCACTAACACTCTTTTAATTTTGTTTAAATTTTCAATGTAAATTAATATTACTTTTGGAATGTTACAGTCACTGTTTTCCTTGTGGGTTTATTATTACTATTATTCCTTCTTTTGCAAAGGTTTGCATTAATTTTTCTAAATTATTTTCTTCTATATTACAGTAAGTATATTATTATTGATATCTGTTTAAGATCTTGATGACCCTGATGATCCTGGACAATTTTTTTTTTTTTTTGGTACGTGCCCCTAGTGGGAACCAAACCCAGGACATTCTGGTCCGCAGGCCGATGCTCCAACCGCTAAGCCAAACTGGCCAGGGCCAATTTTCTTTTTTAAAGTAACCATTTGTGTTAATTATTACACAAGTTGCATTTGGGCAAATTGTCCAGTGGTGCAGGGAGCCTTTACGACACTGTGGCCTATAAACAGTGCTATGTGTTAAAACTTTGACTTGTAGACTTGACCACCTCTGCAGTTTGAATTCACTCAGCAAAGACCAGTTTTGCCATATTGCATAGATTTGGCCTGGGGTTTTAAATATCTGTTCTTCTGTAAAACAGATGTTCTGTGTAGGGAAAATAAATACTTACCAATCCAATTTTAAAACAATCTTTTCATTGTACACTAAAAAGTTTAGTGCTCTTATGAAATTAGCATTTTTAATTTTTTTCTTATTTCCTGATACAGGAAACATTTAACCTAGGGGTTAGACTAAAAATTGAGTCTACAATGGCATTTTATCCAAGGATCGCGGTGCCTGTTCTCACCCAGATCCGTGCTTAAAAGACAGGCTGACTTGGTGAAGTTTCCTGTTTGATGTCACAGTCTCATTCCAGGCTCCCCCGAGAGCGAGGAAAGGGCCGTGTTGACTGCTCTTGTCTTTTCCGGATGCTTTCTTGTGTCATACAGGTGTCGTACAAAGAGAACCTCGGGAGAGGGATCCCGATTCCCATCACTCCAGAGATGGAGAGAGTCAAACACAATCAAGAAAACTTTAGTTCGGTATTTAAAAGAAGAAAAAAAAAAATCCCTTAACTACTGTTTAAAAAACAATTTTAAAAGATTAATGGCTATATTTAGAAAATCTAATCAACTTATCCCAATAAAAACTTTGACGCGTCTTGTTTGCAACTTACTGCTACCATTTCCCATGAATTAGTTCCCCCAACTTGGTTAAACATTAATATAATTACTTGACTTAAAAAAAAAAAGTGTTCAGTATTACATTCCAGGCTTTGAAAGCATAACATTCTCAATGTCTAAGCACCCACGTTTATCCTGCTTTGGCGAATTTGATCTGAACATAAGCTTACAAAAATTTATTCTGCAACAATCAGACTGTTGGCCTCATTTCCTATTCTAACCTTACTCTCCAATTGCCTTAGAAGTGATTAATTCTTCCTAATACGTTCACCGAAACTAAAAATTAAATACTTGAACTTCTTTTGAAAGTTAATAAAGAAGATGTATGCGTACGTATCTTCATATGTGCAATGTTTATAAAACCCAAATATCCTTATGTGGTTTATTAATAATGTTTCCAAATCGACAATAACTTCCCTGGTCTCTCTCCGTGTCTCGCCCTTGACATTCCCCTCCTGTAACAAGCTGGGCAGGGCTCATGGCTCCCGTGCCTGGTGCTTTTCCGTTGCTCGGCGCTGCAGAGATTAGTTCAAACAGCACAAATTACAAAACGTTCTTTTCCTAGTGCCTGGTTTTCACTGGTCTTTCCTGCATTCCCTTGCTTTTAAGGACGTTTCTAGGCTCCTGCAGTTTGGATCTAGAAGCTTGTGGAGTTTCCCTTCCTCTAACTCTCTTCCTCTTTGCCCTCCTGCTCCCAGCTGCTCCCGGAGGGGGGAGTGGTTGATTGCGTTTTTGTTCTGGTTGCTTTCTCATTACACAGGTGCTATACAAGGAAAACCTGGGGACAGGAATCCCAATCTCCATCACTCCTGAGATGCAGAGAGTCAAACACAATCAAGAAAACCTTAGCTCGGTATTTTGGACAGAAAGGGAAAAGAAGACGCCATTTAACCGCATAATTAAATTGATACTAAACATTTACTATTTTTGGAAAGCCAGTTCCCTTCCTTTGTTTCTAATATCCCTCCCTTAGCAAGAGGACGTGCGACTTTCGCATTTCTATGCATTCTACGTTTGTAAATTCAGTTCAGTGTGATTTCTATTCCATCTGGTATTTTAAAATATGTTTTTTTAACCACCTTATCTTTTTGTTTGCTTGGATAACCACAAAGCCAGATTCTAACCATCTTAAATCCCCTAGTAACTGTTTAGGAGGTACCGTGCTCCTAGAAATGAAATGTGAGGTGGTTAACTCCGACATCCTTACCCCCTGCGGCTGAGGTCCTGGGCGCCCCAGCAAGTGTCTCCCTCTCCCAAGAATAGCTGCCATTAAAGTACTTAGTGGCATCCTGTCCATGCATAACTCCTGGCTTCTTAGACTACTGTGCAATTCGGTGACTAGGAAGTCAAACTCACCCTTAAAATCTCACAACAAACGAAATGTTCCTTACGGTTGTTTTCTGGATGCTTTGTGATTACACAAGTGTTATACAAAGAAAACACGGACAAGGGGCCCCTTTACCTGTCACGGCAGAGATGGAGAGGGTCAAACGCAATCAAGGAAATATTAGCACGGTACTTCAGCAAGAAAAGAAAGAACTACTACTTTTTAGTGATTTAAAATAGTGCATAGCAATCCTACTTTTTAAAGACAACTTAAATGTTGTGAATTTCTTTATCACATTTATCCTGTTTTCCTATAGGGCTACACTTGGCCTTAACCTCGTAATAACAAGATTGCTTTAATCTGTAGTTAAAATTCTAATATCAGGAAGTAAAGGACTTCCCAATAAATTTTTTTTTTTTTTTTTTGCTCATCTCTCCCCCAAACTTACTCTCTATCCGCTACCCCCAAGGTCTCTGTTTTCCGTACTTGTGGGATTTGGTGGCACAGTAGTTGTGAAAGGGCTCTCGCTGGGACATTGGAGCAGTGGGGTTTTTGTGTTTCTGCGCCTGTGACTAGGTTCTCATCCACCCTGTCAGATTTGTGCAAAGAGACCTTGGGGGAAATAACCTCGATCCTCTCCCTCAGAAATAATGACATAAACTAAGACTCAGGAGTGGCTTTGGCAAATGGTTATCAATTAACTTAAGGAAAGTGTCACCAACTGTTTTTCTGTTTGACCGATCTTGGTGCCTTTGTCTTTTTCGTGGTCTTTAACTGCTAACTTGGTAAGCCATTTCCTGTACGCCTGTGCTGTGTGACACTGTGTACGTTGATAAATGACCAGGGCTGGGGTTTGTGTCGGGACGGCTTTAGTAATGAAGGACCTTGTGGCCTCCGCCTGAGCACCGACCGCGGGTGTCTCCACTGAGCGCAGCGCTTCTAAAACCTCGGCGTGGGGGTTCGTTACACCAGACTGCAGGGCTGCTCATTCTGTAACTCCAGTGTGGGGCCAGAAAATATGCATTTCTAGCAAGTTCTCAGATGCTGCTGCCCTTGCTGCCCCAGGGACCCCACTTTGAGAACCACCAGTGTAGCCGAAGCCTTCCTCCAGCATGGCATTTCCCAAACCTCCTGTGTCCCCAAGAATGATGCTAAGGGGAGACATTGCAGTGGAGGATTTGTCATGATGGGTTATTATGTGTTTTATTGATTTAACCACGATAGTGACCTAACTGCTGAAAACATTTCCCCTTCCCGAGAGGTTTGATAGCGTGGTCACTAGAGTAAGAGGCACAACCCAGACGACAGCAGGGAATCAAGAGGGGGGACACCCTTTGCTGGTTGAGGGCCCACGTTTTGCCGAGGTGCCTCTAGGACGTTAAGAGGCTGGACTGCCCTGCTGCTCAGTAGTGTTCAAGCCCAGGCCCCTCAGCGGTTTCGGTGCTCTGTCAGGTGCTCGAAGTCATGGCCAGGGAAGGGGCAGGAGGCCCCTGGCTCCTCGGGGCGCTGCAGTTCTGTCGTGCCAGCAGCGAGGAGGTCAGCACAGGTCCTGCCCTGGAGATGTGTGTCACTGTAACTACGCCAACCTCCTTCGGAAGCACATTCCTTTCTGTCTAACCGCACTGCCCAAATGGTCTGACCCCGCGCCTCCTAACGAGTTATCTGTTCCATTTAATCTTTTGGTAACTGTCATTCTTTTTTTCCCCTTCTTTTTGGCTTTTTGGATCCATTGGACTGGTGTAGGTTTTGTACAAAGAAAATATGGGGAAAGCCACCCCAACCCCTGTCACTCCAGAGATGCAGAGAGTCAAACGCAATCAAGAGAACATTAGCTCGGTATTGTCTTGAGAAAGTGCTTCTATTTTTTGCAAAGTAACCCCTGCAGTTTGGCCTGCTCCTAACTCCATCCCAGGTTAAAAATAAGCAAAATGCTGGTTTTTTAGGACCTCCTCTAAATGACATACGACATTTAGTGTTGCCATTAACCGTTTTTAAGCTTTCTTCTTGAGAGCTATTCTCACTAATAACAATAGATTAAACATGGGACTTTCTCCCCCATGTCGCGTTATATGTAATCGCCTGAAAATTGCCTCCTAGTGACGTTCAGGTCCACTTTGTATCTCACAGGTGTTATACAAAGACAGCCTGGGGAAAGCCACCCCCACCCCCTTTACTCCTGAGATGGAAAGAGTCAAACGCAATCAAGAGAACTTTAGCTCGGTATTTCAGAGCGGAAAAAAGAAATTGTTACACTTTTAACAAACACCACTAATTCATCTCACCGTTTCCCCCAAACTTTTGTTTATCTATTAAAATTCTTCTTTACCCCACTTAAAAACAACAAACCAACCCCCTCCAGCCCAAACTTCATCCTTTGCTTTATACAATAACATTTTAATGGCTTAATCTTCCTGAGGTGTTTCTCATCGAGTGTGATATAATTGAGCCGTAACACCAGCTAGATGATGGTTTTCATAAATGGTTTTTCTGCTCTCTGATGTCTGGATGCTCTCTTGACTCCTCTAGGTATTGTACAAAGAAAATATGAGAAAAGCAACTCCGACACCTGTTACTCCAGAGATGGAGAGAGCTAAGCGCAACCAAGAAAACATTAGCTCGGTATTACCTAGGATTACAAAAAAAAAAAAAAAAAGGAATGCAGTAACTTGGACAATAACATTTTAACATCATAAAAACGCGCCTTTCTCATTCAACTGAAAACACACTAAAATGAAAAAAAAAAGAGAGGGAAATGCAACATTGGAAAATAACATTTTAACACCATAAAAATGTGCACTTTCTTATTCCACTGAAAATTTACACTAAAATTAACACATCTGTGCTTTTAAATTCCAAACCATCATACTAAGACATAACAAGTTAATTGCCAATGTTTGTTCACCCCTTTTACTTTCCACTGGGGTAGTTTACGTAACCAACTGTAACAGATTGACTTCCTAACACCCTTAGTCTTCAGCTTTCCTTTATTTTTAAGGTGCTCTAGGTAAAATACTCTGAAATGGATGCCTTCTCTGGTTTTGATGTTTTGGGTTTTTCATGTCTGGGGGACTTTGAGTTCTGTATTTGCACATTGGTTTATAAAATCTGGACATAAACCTACAAAAAAAAAGTGATCACTTGCTTTAAAGGATAGTGCCTTTCAAATACCAGTATCACGTTTAGCACCAAATACCATGCACTATGCTGGTGCTGGTGCTCCAATCCCTAGCAAATTCAAGAGACCACTTTCTTCCTTGTCCTTTCAAAATGTACTGTTCCTCTTCTCGTTTGAAAAGGAAAGTTACATTTCAAAGTCAAAACAGATCCTTTCTGTCCGGAGGCAAGCTCCGCCTACCCATCCTCTTGCTGACCTGTCCCACCGTTAGTCCACCGTTAGTGGTTAGTCGTGGGCCTCGCTGGGTCCTCTCAGTGGGCTCCAGCTTCCTCCCCACCCCTTGCAGCTCTGCCTGTTGGAAAGGTTTAGAGGCTTCAGAATGAGTGCGTACCATGGCCTGAGCTCATTCATGGTTTCTCCTCCTTCAGGTTCTTTATTCCGATAGCTTCCGGAAACAGATACAAGGCAAAGCTGCCTATGTCTTGGACACCCCAGAGATGAGACGGGTGAGGGAGACCCAACGCCACATCTCAACAGTGAGTCCGGACCTCCTCGGGATGGGTGGGCCAGCCTGTGGGAACACGGGAAACAGAAGTGACCACACCACGATGTTTTCACAAAGCGAATTCACGACTTTTCAGGTGAAATATCATGAAGACTTTGAGAAACACAAGGGCTGCTTCACACCAGTGGTGACCGACCCTGTCACTGAACGAGTAAAGAAGAACACACAGGACTTCAGTGACATCAACTACCGAGGGATTCAGAGGAAAGTGGTAGAAATGGAACAAAAACGAAACGACCAGGATCAGGAGATTATTACAGGTGATTGAGCCCTGGGGGGGAATGGACCTGAAGGTAAGGGAGTAGAAGCACAAAAGTGGATTATCTCTAGCAAGGCAAAGGATAAAGGACCTCAATCTGTGTCTTCATCAGGTGTGAAAGAAAAACCTCTGTTATTTCAGTTTGCAAACCTGACCTCTCTTCTACCTTATACTTGGATCTCCTCTGAGGAGAAGACGTGACTAGAACCTAAGCTAAATCAGTGTTAGTCAATCCTCCTGTGATTAAGTTCGCACCTGGATTTCCAAGTTTTTGAGACTCCAAGAACATCTGCTCTGATCCTTAATCTCTCTTTCAGGTTTACGTGTCTGGCGTACTAATCCTGGCTCAGTTTTTGACTATGACCCAGCAGAAGACAACATTCAATCCCGAAGCTTACACATGATTAATGGTATGTTCGGCCACAAAAGGATTATGACAAAAATGTCACCCTTTAACAGGCTAGAGTAAATAATGACTTCTGAAGTTCTTACCTCGAGGGCTTTCAATTTCCTGAGTTGCCCATTTAACATAAACACACCTTGAGTAACGGGCCACACTAATTTTCTAGACAAGTTCCACTGCCTCAATGGAAGTCTCCTTCAGGCCTCGTTACTATTATTTTTCCCTAAAGAAAAAAAAAAAAGGGTAGTAGATCTTTCTATTAAAGAAATAATGAAAAAAATACATAGGCAAAGGGAAGAGAGAATGGATTTGATCTTAAGCAACTTTCTGCGCTCTCTTACATCAAGGAAGATGAGTCATTCAACCAAACAGGCCACGTGCGTGCCTTTATGTCTTCTATTCATGTTGAAAAGTAGAATCATATGTAGGGCCCGTGCTCAGGTCTACTGATGAAGGGAGACGAGTCCGTCAGTGTGTACACCCTGACAGTGCAGTGTTAACTGTCTGCACACAGATCGTGGGGACACAGAGAAGGGCGTCTAAATTGATTTGGAAATTAGGGAGGACCTTCTGGAGAAGTCAAAGGTGGCATCTGAATGTGAATATTACGATCTGTTCATTTTTGTGAGCCAGGAAAATGGGCTGGTTGGAGGGAAGAGTAGTCTCCAGGACAGACTCGGCGACTGATTGGTAGCCTGGCTGCAACACTTTACTACCTGCCCTTCTGCAATTTACTTAAACTCTCTTCTGGAAAATGAGAATGGCACCTTATAGCTTAAGCGTGTTGAGGGTTTCGTCCATAGACATCTACTTAAGACCGTGCTTGGTGACAGACAAACAAAAAGCAAAGGAGATTCAGTTACTGTCAGGGATCCCTGCCATCAAAGTTTCACCTCTGCTCCCCTGAAATGTCCCGTCCCAGCCCAAGCTCAGCGCCGGAGCCGGGAGCAGTCGCGATCGGCCAGCGCACTGAGCGTCAGTGGCGGCGAGGAGAAGTCTGAGCACTCAGAAGGCGCCGACCACCACCTGTCCACCTACAGCAATGGTGGCATCTTCTTCTCTGCAACCTCAACAGGTACAAACAGATGGCGCTGACTCTGACAGCATGGCCGGCCAGCTCTTGGGCAGTTACTATAAGAGATACTTTAAGCAAAAGAAAATAATTTAAAGATAGATGATAGATAGATAGATAGATGACATTTTTCCATTTTTTGTACAGAGTGGGAGGGAGAGAGAGGAAGAGAGAGAGAGGGAAACATCGATGTGAAAGGGACACATCAAGTGGCTGCCACCCGCACGACCAACCAGGGCCGGGGACAAACTGCAACCAAAGTACGTGCCCTTAGCGGGAACCGAACCCGGGTCTCTCCGGACCGCAGGCGGACGCTCTAACCGCTGAGCCAAACCGGCCAGGGCTGGAAATCATTCTTTTTAAATTAGGGGGAAAGACAGCCCTGCTCAGCTGCCGAACACGGATTTGATGATGTTTGGCTGGTGTCTTCCTATAAACTATTGTCCTTCCTTGCAGCTTACAAACATGCGAAAACCACAGAGCTCCCGCAGCAGCGATCGTCCTCAGTTGCCACCCAACAGACAACTGTCTCCTCTATCCCGTCTCACCCATCTACTGCTGGAGTAAGTAATGATAAAGAACTTCCTCAAATCATTCTTAGTTTTTGATATGTGCAAAAATAATTAAATGTATTCTGATTTTTTTAACCAAACCTTTGGTTTTATATCATGGTTTTTTTTTTGTTTTGTTTTGTTTTTTTTTTAGAGAGAGAGAGAGGAGAAGGGAGAGAGAGATATACAAACATCCATGCGAGAGATACATCTATCGGCTGCCTCCTGCACGCCCCCTACTGGGGATCGAGCCTGCAACCTGACCTGAAATCAAACCAGGACCTCTCAGTCCATGGAATGACCCTCAATCCACTGAGCCACACCAGCTGGGCTATATCATGCTTTTTACTACACATACCAGATTAACAGCAATATTAGAAAAACTTCATTACAAAACTAAAACATTAAAAAGCGTTATTCAATGATTTAAAAGAAAATGAAAGAAAAAACTAAAGTAAATGATTAGTTAGGGTTCTTTGGTCCCACCCACTCTCTTAAACTAAACCATTTGCTGCTTGGAATCATTCTTCAAAAGTAGGTATCTGTGTAAACATGTCACACATATAAACATGTCATATCTTAGACCTCTCCTGTTAATATATATTGAAGAGTTAAGTCAAATCATGTTCACAAGACCCTGCATCTCATTTGTAGTATCACAAACACTTAATTGTTTAGGATTCAAATGAATATTTGTATGAAGAAAACAATCTTAACTAAAAGACGGAACATCTAAGTAAGTATTGAAACCCATTATATTTCAAGAAGAGAATCTTATAAAGTTGTCAAATCTCCTAAAATCAATCCATAAATTCAGAGCAATTCCAATCAAAATCCCAGTAGCATTTTTTAAAAATTTTGTATGTTAATCCTTAAATTTATTTGAAAGTGTAAAGATACAAGAATAACCAGGTCAATTTTGAAAATGACAGGACTTAGCCATGTTAGAGCAAAACATATTCAAAGCTATTATAATTAAATATGGATATAGCATGTAGATAGATTTTTTTTTAATTCTCACCCGAGGATATTTTTCCATTTACTCTCAGGTAGAGTGGGAGGGGGGTGAGAGAGAGAGAGAAACATCGATGTGAGAGAGATCCATCGATTTGTTGCCCCCTGCATTACCCCAACGAGGGCCAGCGACCGAACCACAACCAAGGTACATGCCCTTGACCAGAATCAAACCCGCAACTCTTTGGTCCCTGGGCCATCGCTCTAACCATTTAGCAAAACTGGCCAGGGCAAGGATAGATTTTTTTTTAAAACGATAAAGTCTAGCCTGGCTGGTGTGGTTCAGTGGTTGAGCGTTGACCCATGCACCAAGAGGTCACAGGTTCAATTCCCAGTCAGGGCACATGCCCAGGCTGTGGGCCAGATCCCCAGTGAGGGGCATGCAGGAGGCGGCCAGTTGATGTTCTCTCTCATTGATGTTTCTATCCCTTTCTCCCTCTCCCTTCCTCTTTCTCTAAAATCAATAAAGAAATATAAAGAATATAAAGTCCAGGGAGAGTGGTGGGTAGAGGTGAAAGAGGATACAGGGAGAATAAATGGTGATTAAAAAAAATTTTTTTTTTAAAGATAAAGTCCAAAAATGGACCTTAAAATAAAATAATCATAAATCAGCATACTACTAGTATGCTTCCAAATTCCCAAAGTGAGAGATACCTGCAATATGGTTACGTTTTTTCAAATCCTTTTCCAAAACACAAGACTGACCTCCTCCAAAGGGGAAAAAAGGCCATATATAAAATTACATTCTTTTTTCACAGATACATAGCCATGGTTTTATGAATACATTATTAATATACTATGAAGTTCATCATTTGAAATGTATAATTCCAATGATTTTAGTTCATTTACGGAGTTGTTCAACATGACCATAATGTAATTTTAGAAAATTTTCATCACCCTAAAAAATACCTTTGTGTCCATCAGCAGCCACCCCCATCCTGAGTGCTAGGCATCCACTAATGTACCTTCTGTCTCTATTAATTTCCCTCTATATACATCTTGATATTTCATATACATGAAATCACACAATATGTGGTCTTTTGTGACTGGATTCTTTTACTTTATGTTTTGAGGTTCATTCATGTTATATCATGTATCAGTACTTCATTCTTTTTTATTACCAAATAATATTCCATTGTATGGAAATTCCACTTTTTTGTTCATTGATCTTGGTGGACATTTTAGTTGTTTTCCCTTCTTGGCTATTATGAAAAAATGCTTCAATGAATGAATAAGTGTGTATAAGTTATTATATGGACATATGTTTTCATTCCTCTTGGGTATATACCTAGGAGCGGAATTGCTGGGTCACATGAGGACTCTATGTTTAACATGAGAACAACTCCCAAAACTGTTTTCCAAAATGGCAGCACATTCCCATCAGCAGTTTATAAAGGTTCCAATTTTTCCACATCTTCCCCAATACCTTTTATTGCCTGTCTTTTTGATTATCACTGTTCTGGTTTGTGAAGTGGTATCTCATTGCGTTTTGAACTGCAAAATTATCAATTCTCTGATAGTTAGTGATGTTGTGCATCTTTTCATGTGCTTATTGGCTCTTCGTATCCTTCTTTTGGAGAATTCAGATCCTTTGCTCCCCAGGTTTATTTTTTTTTATCGAATTGTAGAAGTTCTTTATATATTCTAGATAGTAATCCTTTATCAGATATATGTTTTGCAAAAATTTTCTTCTAGTTTGTGAGTTGCCTTTTTACTTTCTTGGTGGTAGTTGTACATTCTCTTTTGGGCAACCTAAATTTATGGAGTAAGTCATAGAGACCTTAAACTTGAGTGCTTGGGTTAATTGTTGCAAATATAATATATTCTCCCCCTTTTCCCATTCTCATGAACAGAAAATCTTCCGTGCCATGTACGACTATATGGCTGCTGATGCTGATGAGGTGTCCTTCAAAGATGGAGATGCCATAGTAAATGTTCAAGCTATAGATGAAGGCTGGATGTATGGCACTGTGCAGAGGACTGGAAGGACCGGCATGCTCCCAGCCAACTATGTTGAAGCCATGTAGGCGTTTCAAAGCTTCATACCCGTCTACAGAACCGAAATCCTGCAGTCAGTATTTCAGTTTAGACTCTCCACTATTACCCAAGTTCTCAAGCTGCCTAATGGTTTTTCTGTGTCAGTATGATTTATGGTTGTACCATCCTTTAATTTGCTCATATATGAACTCCAATAATTCTCCAGTTTAAAAGAAAGTTAGCATGACTGATCTGGTTTATTGAACTGGTTTACTTCCTTATTATCTTCTGGGCTTGCATATAAAAGAAGAGACAACATTAAACTCATAGGCTCATTATCTTTTTAAATAGCCACTATCAAATTTTCTTTTGGGTTTTGAAATAATTTAAATTTCAAAATAAACATTTAAAAGATTTATGCAATGTTCTATTATTGCTGTATCAACCCAGGTCTTTCTCCATTATGAAAACGTTTAACATTTCTTTTCTAAAACAAGGATTCTGAACATGTACATGTTAAAGGAAAAATGGCAGAGATATTCACCTTTTCCTTGCTTACTGAATGCTGATGCTTTTATTTCTAATCTAGTTCTGAAGTTATAAGCTGACAGTCAATATAAACTGGTGTAAGCTAATAACTAATAAAATCTATAATTCTGCAACAAATGCCACTGATGGAATAAGCCTTATTTATTTTTAATAGTTTTATGAGGCATAAATAAAAACAAATGCCTTACACTAGACTTTACTAAAAAAAAAAAATGAAACTTTAAGAAAAATATACTGTTGCCCTGGCTGGTTTTGCTCAGCGGTTAGAGCGTCAGCCCACGGGACAGAGAGTCCTGGGTTCGGTTCCCGCTAAGGGCACGTACCTCGGTTGCAATTTGTTCCTGGCCCTGGTTGGGGTCGTGTGGGTGGCAAGCAGTCGATGTGTCTCTCTCACATTGGTGTTTCTCTCTCTCTTCCTCCCTCTCTCCTTCCCGCTCTGTCTGAAGATAAATGCAAAAATGTCCTCGGGTGAGGATAAAAAAAGAAAAATATACTGTTAAAAATGCACAAGCGTAGACTTTCTCAAAACTCTATCCATACTTGTGTTCAGCAAGCTTCCCTAGGGCTCAGCTTACAAAGTTTTAGAAACAGTCTGGGACCTAAGCCTAACCTCAGTGGTTCTTTGTCTTCTGTATCCAGTGGGCTGGCAGTAGGTGGCAAAGGCATTAAACGGGAGAAAGTTGGAGTGCCAACCAATGACGGTTTAATGCTTACGTTTGCAGAGTATCCTTTCTAAAAAATAAACAATCTGTCCATGTTACTTTATGTATTTATTTTTTCTTTGTGGTACGTGCCCCTAGCGGAAACCAAACCCAGGACTCTCTGGTCCATAGACCGACGCTCAACCACTGAGCCAAACTGGGCAGGGCAGTCCATGTTACTTTAGAGCTGTAGTAATACTGCTGTCTTCATGAGGCAGGATAGTAAGAAGCCAGGACCATTCCTTGGATATGGAATGGGGAAATGAAGACAGATAGCTTGATCAAATTGGCCTTACCCAGTACACTGATTCACCTGTCTCCTCCTCCCTTGCATGACCACTCCCTTAAGCACTAAGCCTTCAGGAAAATAAGGATCTGATCAGCATCAAATAACTTTAGGAACAAAGCCTCAGATCTGTTGACCATGGACACAGAGCTGTGGTCAAACCAGAAGTAACATCTAGGTCTCATTATGCTTCAGCTACAGGCCCAGAAAAGCAATAAAATCAGACTAAAAGATGCCATGGCTGACATCAGGACCAGATGCAGTGACCAATGAGCCCCCTACCATAGCACCTACTAATCAGTAGAGACCATGACCCTGACCTTATACTCTCTCTTCTTAAAAAAAAAATATTTTTTCTTTATTGATGTTAGAGAGAGAGGGAGAGCCATAGAAACATCAGTGAGAGAAAGAACATCAATTGGCCGCCTCCTTCATGTCCCCCACTGGGGATCGGGCTCACAACCTGGGCATGTGCCTTGACCAGGAATCGAGCCAGCGACCTCTTTATGCATGGGTCGATGCTTAACCACTGAGTCACACTAGCAGGGCCATACTCTCATTTTTTAAACAAAATATAGAGAGGGTAAGGGAGAAAAAGAGAGATCCATGTGAGAGAGAAACATTGATTGGTTGCCTTCCTATATGCACCAGACTGGGCACTGAACCCGTAATCTAGATATGTGCCCTGACTGGGACTCAAACCCTCAAACTTTCAGTACACTGGATGATGCTCCAACCAACTGAGCCACACTGGCCAGAGCTATACTCTCATTTTGATGAATCAGCATATCAAAGGACACACCTAGAAAGCTGATGAATATTCCATTGAGGTCCTTCCTGGAGATCTCCCCTAAAATTCCTGACTTTAGAAAATAGATAATGCCTGGCTGGTGTGGCTCAGTGGTTGAACGTCGACCCATGCACCAAGAGGTCGCCAGTTTGATTCCCAGTCAGGACACATGCCCAGGTTGTGGGGCAAAACTCCAGTGGGGGCCATGCAGGAGGCAGCCAATCGATGTTCTCTCTCATTGACGTTTCTATCTCTCTCTTCCTCTCTCTCTAAAATCAATAAAGGAAAAAAAAGAAAACAGATAAAAAACACTTAAGACAAAGGACCCAGGGCATACTCTCTCTCTAGAGCACACCTGTACCTTCTTTCTTCGGGTGTGTATCTTTACTTTCCTTTTTCTAAGCTCTAAGTGTCCCCACAAGATTTGCAACCAGGGGAGCAGGCAGCGGCAACAGCAGCTTGTCCTGGACTAACTCCCTGACCATTTCTCCAAGGGCCCTTCTTTTGCCTTTGTAACTTGTTTCCTGAGTCTATGCAGCCCAGCTGGCTCACTTCCTCTGCCTCTGTGACTTTCTCTCTGAAAGGCCAAGGCAGATCTCTGAGAAGCCAGCTCAAAATTTCTCTTCGAGGGTACTTTCACTTTGCATGCTAAGTAAACTTCCTCTTGCACTACAGTTCTTGACTCTGAATAGTTCTTTTAAAAAATTATTTTTATTAACTTATTTTGTTACAGATGTTTCTCCTGTTTCCCCCATTGACACCCTCCTCCCACCCCCTCACCCCCGCCCTGTCCCCAGCTTTGTTGTGTATATCCATTGGTTATGCGTACATGCATAAAGGTTCTGTGGTTTATCTCTTCTGCCCCCCACCCCCTCTTCTGAGGTTTGTCAGTCTGTACCCTACTTCTGTGTCTCCAGGTTTATTTTGTTCATCAGTTTGTTTTGTTCATTATATTCCACAAATAAGTGAGATCACGTGATATTTGTCTTTCTCTGCTTGGCTTGTTTTGCTTAGGATAATATTCTCCAGGTCCCTAAATGTCATCTCAAAGGATAGATCTTTCTTACAGCTGCATAGTATTCCATTGTGTACATGTACCACAGCTTTCTTATCCACTCATCTATTGATGGACACTTGGATTGATTCCAGATCTTAGCGACTGTAAATAGTGCTTCTGTGAACATGATTGGTGTTTCAGACTTCTTAGGGTATATTCCTAGAAGTAGGATCACTGGGTCAAACAGTAGTTCAATTTTTAACTTTTTGAGGTAACACGACTCTAAATACTTTCTTTGAAGTACTCAAGAACTGAGAGCCAACATAACCAGCAACACTCAGACTTTTTTTTTTTTTTTTTTAATTCTGCTTTATTAATGAGGAAGGCCAGAGGCCTGGCCTGGTAAGGGAGGGGGATGTTCCTGCCGCATCAAGTGGAGGAGATTGTGGGTTGGGCAGGAAAACTCCTTAGGAGATCCCCACCTCTTCCTCACAGGGGAAACGGGGGCTAAGAGTGACCCCCACCCATCACAGGAGCACGGAGAGTTGGTCTCTGCCACCCCAGGCCCCCTGTAGGCTGGCGCTGGTGGAGCAGCCCCTGTAGGCCTGAGTAGGCAGCCTGAGGAGGCAAAGCACTGAGGGGTCTCCCTGGAGAAAGGGAAGGAAGGAGGGTCCCGGAGAGCTCGGCACAGTGGGCAGTGCAGTGGGCTGCGGGGGCTGAGAGGTAGGCGATGGGGACCCAGTGTCCCAGGCACTGCCAGGTAAGAAGGCTGGGACTGGAAGATCTCAGGTGGGGCTGGAGGGTAGGGAAGGATAAGTCACGGCTCCCTGTGCCTGTCTCTCCTGTTTCTTGACCCTCAGCCCCATCTGTCCGTCCCTGTCACTCTTACCATCGGTCCATTTCCCTTCCCAGTGTTCCAGCGGGTAGTTCTACCCTCTCAGCTCTTGCCACCTGGGTATCCAGGGATGTGTGGTCCTGAGCCAGCCTGGAAGCCTCCGGGGCAGCACGTGGAGCTGGCAGCAGTGGAACCCTGGGGCACCCAGGCTGAGGCAGCTGTGGTCGGGGGAGGATCTGGGCGAGACAGCAATGGAGCCCAGAAATGGGAAGGTGGGGGACATAAATATGGCTGTGGGGGACAGAAATGCAACCATGGTGACAGAGATGTGGCCATGGGGTCAGACAGAGGTCTGTGGGAACAGGGATGTGGCCATGGGGACAGAAATGGGACCCTGGGCACAGAGATGTCGGTCAGAGATGGGCAGTGGCGTCATGTGGAGCCCTAGGATCAGGAATGGGTCAGTATCAAATGGGGTTGCAACCAGGAACTGGCCTCGGTGTAAATGGGAGCAGGTCCCTGAGGCCCAGAGGCTGTGACAGACAGGAGGGCTAGAGCCAGAGGAACCACAGTGACCAGAGCCGGCAGAGAGCAGAGCTGGATGGTGAGAGGCAGAGGAGGAGTCAGGAACAGGGCAGCCAGGGCCACTGGAGTTGCTTTGGGGTCATGTGGGCCCCGATGTTCTGTGAAGTGACCATCGGCTGGTCCCAGAACAACGGTGGACGCTGTGTCCTGGACCAGCCTCATCTAGTCTTCCTCTTTGCCCCAACTCCATCCCTGGCACCTGACTTGAACCCGAACGAGCCCCTCAAGCTGAGCCTGGAGGGCTAGGCGACCTCGTGCACGGGCCTGGGGCGCCCATCGCGTAGACTGGGCAGCAATCAGGCCTCAGGGGTGCGTTGCAAGCGTGCCCATCTTCTCCTTGACACTGGCGCGGCTGGCACGCGTGGGCCAAGACAAGCTGCAGTACCCGGGCACGTGGTGTTTCACTGGCCTCGGCCGGGAGGGCTGCTGGTTCCAGGCACTGCTCATCGCCCGCCTCACCGGCCGC